TTCTCCTTGGCTTCGTCTGCTTCAGGCGGTGATGGTTTCTTCTTGATTATCTTCTTCTTTGGAGTTTCTGGAAGGTCATCCGCTTTGCCAGTGGCATCTTGAGAATCTGGCGCTGAAGGTGCTTCGTCTGGGAGATCTCCAGCCTTCTCCTTAGCTTCGTCTGCCGAAGGTGCTTTGTCTTGGAGATCGCCAGCCTTGTCCTTAGCTTCGTCTGCCGAAGGTGCTTTGTCTTGGAGATCTCCAGCTTTGTCCTTGGCTTCATCTGCTTCAGGTGGTGATGGTTTCTTTTTCTTTGGTGTCTCCGGAAGCTCCTCAGTTTTGCCAGTAGCTTGATCTGCGTCAGGAGCCGCAGGTTTTTTCTTGATCATCTTCTTCTTTGGAGTTTCCGGAAGGTCGTCCGCTTTGTCAGTGGCATCTTGAGGATCTGGCACTGAAGGTGTATCTGGCTTTTCCTTAGGAGTTTGGGGCAGCTCATCAGGCTTGTCGGTGACCTGCTCTGGCTCGGGAGCTGAAGGTGGAGCGGGGCTCTTCTTCTTCACCTTGTCAGGCGTGCCTTGAAGATCTTGAGATTGCGGAGCATTGTTGGTATCTTTCTTCTTCTTGACCATCCTCTTGGGATTCGGAGAATCTCCTACCGCATTTGACGGTTTTGAAGGGGTCTCTGGACGAGGCGTCCTCTTTTGCAATGGCGAGGAAGTGTCTCTACGGACATTGGGAGACTTCTTCACACCATTGGCATCAGGTGTCTGAGGAGCGCGCTTCTTGACTGAGTGTGTTGATTTTGGGGTTGGGGGGTTCTTGTCGGCTGATTTGAGGGGGGTTTTTGGGGGCTTGGGTGTAGACATGTTGGCAATTGGATTTGCAGAGAATATGCGATGGATTAGGAACAAGAGACGGAGGTCGAATAGCAATAAGAGCATGAAAGGTTTAATCTTAATACTGCATGGGAAAAACTCTATGGAACGGTTTCAAGAGTTTCCAGGTTTGCGGAGTAATTGGAAATCGATGACCATCTTGCCATGGTATGCCATGCTACCTACGCCATGATCTGCGGAAAGAGGGAGGGAGCTATGACACAGAAGCCACACTTCCTTGTACTGGGGGTGGGGTGGGTAGGAAGCTTCGAAGGAGGGGTAGGTAGGCAGGATGGTGTGGCGTAGACACAGAGTTGGAACCGGGCCAAAGAAGTAACACTTACGAAACTCAGTGTGATCCTGCGGGAAATCGCCCGTGCTGTTCACGATCTAGGCGCTGTATGACGCCACACCTGCATCCTATTTGTAAGGAGAGAAAGTAAGATACCGGTATTCTCGTGACAATGCCATGGATGCATTTGTTGGAACCGTGTGGAACCGAACCGAGCCAACCGCTCAGGCCGCTTCGACCTTTGATGCGCTCATACTACGGAGTACTAGTAGGCAGGGCAGGCTACTTGTAGGAGAACAGGGATAGCTCCCGTCGTTTCACAGGATGCAAGTAGTGAAATCGAGAAAGAACAAGGGAAGGAAGAAGGGAAGGCAGAAGGCAGAAGCGCCAAGGAGCTTGAAGGAAGGATTTTAGTGGTGCGGTTGGCTGACTGTTGGCTAGGTAGGTGTAGGGTAGGTAGGACAAGATAGGCCCCGTAAATGGAAAGGAAAGCCAGCCACTTAGCCTCTTGTATGGGTCTGTGCCAGTTACCAAGGATGTTGTTAACTTGTTGGTGGAAGAAAAGACAACCTGACTTGTGCCACACGTCTAAAATAAGAGAAGGATTTACCGATGGCGCCGTTAACCGATACTAGTGAGGTCCACTCACTGAGGTGGGGTGGTTCTAGTGGGGTGGCTCTAGTGGGGCTGTAGAGTGTGTGGCTAGAGAAAAAGCTCGAGAGCTCGCTCCAGTTTTCGTGGCGTAACGCTGAATCTCACCTGACAGCGACAGCGATCAACCCCGGGTCGCATAAAGGATTAAAGGATGGGACAGGGATTCGAGATGTGGCTGGTGCATTTCCCCCCCCCCCTGCTGCCCCGCCTATATCCAAGTTTGTTTTTCCATCCAGTGAGTACTCACTCGTACAGATCAATGCTTTTGTCAAGCTTTCCTCCCCCCCTATTCCAAAGCCTGATATGTTCCCTGTACAAAGTATAATATGGGTTCTTGCATCACCCACGCTACGGAGAACGAGGGGTGATCTCTCTGTGGACTGCCACTTCGGGACAAGAGGCAAAACGGCTTCACACATCCACCTCTGTCTGCGACAACCGTTGTCTCCGTGGTGATGTAACAGGGTCTTGATAGTTCATGGATGATAGCTGCTCATCGGATTTGGGAGCTATTGCTGCTTCCCAGATGACGTAGCTGTTCATAATGTCCAGGATTCCAAGTAGAAATCTTGTATGTCACAAATTGGAGTGAACGGGAGGTGACGCCTCATATAACCAGAGCCTTGCAGGAGATATCTTTGGAAAATCCATATCACTTTATAACCATTCCCGTTTTGAGCATTTGTATGATACTCAAAATACATTAAGCTGAATTCGAAAATACCACCACCACGGAGATCATTCTCTAGCACGTTAAACAGCAAAATCTTTTTCTTTTGAACAAATCGCCAACATGGCGGACGCAGCATCGCAGAAAGCACCTAGTGCAAAGAAATCCAACTTGGGTTCCGAGGCTGGATCATCACCCAAAGCTGCCAAGAAGCCCTCAGCCTCGGCACCAAGTGAACTTAACGGCAACGAGAGTCATGCCAATGGCAACGAGAGTCATACCAATGGCAACGGAACACAAAATGGAGAGTTCGAGGAGGAGGTAAGTCCACACTTCTGGAGCTCTGCTACTAGAACGGCTCGAGACTTCTATTCATATAATGTCTTGCAACCTGCAATTCTTTATAAATACTGACTTACCATTTCACAGCAAACCGAAGACGGGACCGAAGCTCCCGGAACTGAGGCGGGCGAGACCGAAGTACCGGCGGGAACGGCAAATGAGGAGGAAGGCACCGAAGCTGTTCCAGCAGGCAGTGTTGACAAGAACGGCGATGTGATAGACGATGATGGTAACAAGGTAAGTTTCCTCGACTGTAGAAACCTCGTCCCAATCAATCTAATGCCCTCGCAGATTGGAACTGTGAATGGCGACAAAGCCTCCGAACTCGTAGGATCCATAGTCGACCAAGAAGGTGACGTTCTTGATGATGAAGGAAATATCATCGGCCATGCCGATTCGGTCGCCGAAACGTTGAAAGATGCCGAGGCCAAGCCAACATCAGAGGGCACCGAGAAGGCAGAGGGCACCGAGAAGGCCGAGGGCTCCCAAAAGCCTCTCGGGGAAGGTAGTGAGGCTGTTGAGAAGCCAGAGATCAAGGGCCCGTTTGGAGTTCAAGATCAGGGCGAGGTCACCAACGCCGAAGGGGTAGTAATTGGCAAGTTGGCCGAAGGAACACCACAGGATCTCGTCGGCACATCCATTCAAGACATTGACTCAGAGGGCAATCTGGTCAACAAAAGCGGATCTATAGTTGGCAAGGTTGAGCTCAACCAACACTGCCGGCAAGGAAGGATCAGAAGTCGAATCTAAACTACCGACAGGCGTTGAAGGTTCCAAGGCTCCTGGATCTGAAGAGAAACCTGAGGTCCCCGAAGGCGAAGAATTGGCAGAAGGCGAGAAGCCAGAGGGTGAACTTGCGGAAGGCGAAGCTCCAGAGGGAGAACTGGCAGAAGGCGAGAAGCCAGAGGGAGAACTAGCAGAAGGCGAGAAGCCAGAGGGTGAACTAGCGGAAGGCGAAGTTCCAGAGGGAGAAGAACCAGACGCGGAGGTCCCTGACTTATCCATCTTGAAGGACAAGACTGTCAACAAGATTGGTAAGATAGTCGACGAAGAAGGCAATCCATTTGGTGTTCTTGTAGAGGGAGAAGCCAAGAAGCTCGCTGGGTAAGATACCTAATATCTGATGCTATCAAACATATACTAACTACTTCTTAGCAAAAAGGTAGACGCCGAGGGCAAAATTTGGGATGATTCTGGAAACGTCATTGGACGTGCTGAGCTCCTTCCCGAGGACGAGCGAGCTGCCGAACCTTCGGCTCCTTTTGAGGATTTCCCAGACAGCATTGTCGACAGCAAAGGCAATGTGCTTTTTGAAGAGAAGGTTGTCGGCAAGGTTGTTGAAGGAGACATCAAGAAACTCGACGGAAAGAAGGTCGATGCTGATGGTGACATTCTGGACAAGAACGGTAATGTGCTCGGCAAGGCTGAGCGCATTTTCGAAGAGGAAGAAGTACCCGAGGAAGCCGAAGATCTCTCTATCCTGGAAGGAAAGAAGGTCAACAAAGCGGGCAACGTCGTAGATGACGCTGGCAAGTTGTTCGGCAAGGTCGTCACTGGTGAATTGGCCAAGTTGGTCGGAAAGAAGTGTGACGCCGAGGGCAAGATCTGGAGTGATTCCGGAAAGGTCATTGGTAAGTACTCAAACTCTTGACATCTGTTTATCCCAAGAATGATTACTGACTGTCGCTTCCATAGGTACCGCAGAACTCATCCCCGCCGATGACAGGGAACAAGAAGCAGGAGCACCATTCGAAGACTTCCTTGAAGCCGTTCTCGACTCCAAGGGAAACCTCATATATGACGGCCAGATTGTCGGCAAATTGATCGAGGGTGACGCAAAGAAGTTGGCCGGTAAGAAGGTCGACAAAGACGGAGAAATTGTCGACAAGGTCGGAAACGTCTTGGGCAAATGCGAACGATATGAAGAGCCTGATGAGCCAGAGGCAGAGAAAATTGATACGTCTGCCCTTGCTGGCAAGCGTGTAAACAAAGCTGGCAACCTAGTTGATTCCCATGGGGAGATCTTTGGCAGACTTGTCTCTGGAGACCCAAAGAAGGTTTGTTCCTCCAAAGCCAACCCAGCTTGCGAGAACTTTACTGACCTCTATCTTTAGCTTGTTGGTAAAATGTCTGACAAGAACGGCGACATTTGGAATGATGGTGGACAAATTGTCGGCAAAGCAGAGCTTGTTCCAGAAAGTGAGAGGCAGGGTGAGAAAGAAGGCCCATTTTCAGGCTTCAGCACGCCTGTCGTCACCAAAGATGGCAAGGTCGCCGATTCTGCAGGTAACATCATCGGACGCCTGATCGAGGGTGATGCGAAGAAGCTTTACGGCAAGGAAGTTGATCCTGACGGAGATGTTGTCGACAAGAATGGCAACGCCCTTGGAAAAGCTGAGCGCTGGGAAGAGGAAGAGAAGGAGAAGCCCAAGCACCCTTGTTTTGGCCGGTAAGTCATTGTCTCGCAGTTTGACACTTCAAGAACCCAGGCTAACGATGATGCCTATACAGCAAGGTAAACAAGGACGGAAATGTCGTAGATGATAGCGGAGATGTGATTGCGAAGCTCACCGAAGGAGAAGTCGCCAAATGTACCGGCAAGGAGATCGACAACGATGGCGATATCAGCAACGAGAAGGGTCTAACTCTCGGTCATGTCACTCTTATTGACGATATTCCCGAGCCCGAGCCCGAGCCCGAGCCAGAGGAGCCACAAGAGACCGAGGAAGAGATCGCAGAGCGGAAGCAGAAGGAGCAAGACAAGAAGCTCGCCGGTCAAATGGCCACGGTTGTCGGACAATCTCTTGACAAGATTAAGCCTATCCTACAGATGATTGCAGAGGTATGTGCCTGAAAATTGTAGAGATGATCAAATCAACTTAGGGCTAACCCAAAATAGAACATCGACGCCGCCGAAAGGCAGCCAAAAGAAGAGCTCGATGAGCAAAAGCTCGTCGATACCGTCAAGCCACTCATTGAAGAGGGAGGTCGCATCCTCTCCGAGTGCAACGGAGCTATCCGCGGTCTCGACCCAGACGGAAGAATCGCTGCCAACGCCAAGCACAAGACTGCCGCTCGTGAAGCATCACCAGAAGAGTACCAGCTCGCAGACGTGCTGAAAGACTTGACTGAGAATGTTCACAAGACCATCGAGCAGGCAAAGAAGAAGATTGCTGGCATGCCTCATGCCAAGAAGCAACTCAACCCTCTGTGGGGCCTTCTCGCTGAACCTCTTGGTCAGATCCTCGCTGCCGTCGGACTGCTTCTCGCAGGTGTACTCGGCTTGGTTGGGAAACTTGTAAGTCTCCTAATACCCTCCCCCAAACTGCGAATTGCATGCTAACAACCAACTAGCTCAGCGGGCTTGGTCTCGGCGGTCTGTTGGATAATTTATTGGGAGGTCTTGGACTCAAGGGTATCCTCAAGGGTCTTGGTCTTGGAATGGTAACCGATTCCTTGACCGGGAAGAAGTAAAATATGTCTGTTTGTTTACTGAGGTCAAAAGGTAAAGCGCTTCATCTGTATAGTTAGTTTATTGTGCTTCAATTGGGATCAATGGTTTCGGAGTGCTTACTCTGTATGCCTCCAATGTACTTTAATGAGAAATGAATGTCATGGTTCAAAACACCTACGCACTTTGATTGAAAGTAATTATTTTCCCTGTAACTGCGCCCTTTGATGAACAAGTAAGTAAGTCTTCACCTCATGTACATACCGGTTGAAACCTTGTAACAGGCAGTATAATAACCCCTTGATTGATTAGCCTCTTGAACCACAGACGCTTATATGCTCAGTGACCAGCATTCCAGATATATAGTACTTCCGTAGGCTCAAGAGGTGTTTCCTCTGCACCTTGAAGAGGCGCATAGAAATGGAATGTTGAAGATATTATCGTGGGAATATAATCGTAGACGCACGAAGACAAACTGTAATTTGAAAGAAAAACTTCCTCGATGATCGCTGATGATCGGCACTGACTGCTTTTGATTTGATCACGTGAAGCGCGTACCGTGTCGTACATGCCCTCTTATCATACGCGTGAATCTTCATGCGCGCATGCTTAGCCCTTGTTTTCTCGTACCAACCTAGTCCGAGAAGGTGATAAGCATAGCACAGTACGCCCTTCGACGCCTTCCTTCTTGTCAAAGATTGTCTAACAGTCGCTTCGATTTGTGCTGTGCTGTGCTGTTATAAAAGAGTAAGTACGAGGACGGACGGTAGGTCATGCTCTGCTCTTGTTTTTTACAAAGTCAATCTGTACATCTACGGCGTGGAGCAACGAGAGATCTCATGTCAAGAGCAAGTGCTATTTTTACATCCAGGCAGTTGATATATAGAAGCGCGACGCGATCGAATTGTATGGTCCTCTTGTTTTCTAGGCACAAGCTTTTGCTGATATGGTATGGTGCTGTAGTGCAAAATGGCATCTACTGAATCTAAAGATCCATCGCCATCTACTACCTCTACCCCGCCTACAAGACGTGCCTACAAAGGCTCCTGCCACTGTTAGTCTATCCAGATCCAACATACATCCTATTTCCCCCCGCCCTTCTCTTCCTTCTCTCCCTCCAAGCTCCCACAGCACGTCCGGCCCAGCAACACAAAGCTAACTCCCGCAGGCGGAAAAACGCAATACATCACCTACCTAACCCTCCCACCCCCCACCATCTCAGCCACCGACACCACCACAACCCGTTTCCGCAAATGCAACTGCTCAACCTGCCACAAAACCGCCTTCTTCCACGTTCGCGTGCCCCACGAACCCGAAGATTTCCTGCTATTAGCCCCTCGCAATCCGTTCGCGGATCTAGCCGATTACACGTGTTTCGAGTCGCGCATCCATTGGTTTTTCTGTGGGACGTGTGGGGTGCGATGTTTTGCTTTTTCGGGAGAGGGGGAGGAACGCGAGGTGGATGTGGAGGGGGAGAAGAGGATGGTTTGGAGTGCCAAACGAGAGGGGTGGGTGAAAGGTACTAGTGCCAAGGGGTTTGATTATCTGACTGTTAACGGGGTGACGATCGAGCCGGGACAGGAGGGCTTTGATATGAGGGAGTGGATGGAGAAGGGCTGGATTGCGTATTTGGATGTTAAGGATGAAGTTGGGGAGCCGCGGCTTCGTCGTCCTTATGATGGTGGGGCTTACTGATGTATGTACTTACCTTAGGTATGTTTTCCTTTATTTCTTATTTCTCTACGCATGGGTTGAAATGTGTTAAGTGCTTAGATATGACATGCCTTGCTCTTGTTCTTACTGCCTAGTCTACTAGTACGAAATGAAAGCCTTTTTATAGCGATACGTGTCGCTTTCCTCTTACTTTCGCTTTTGCTTGTTCTAGTCTATCGTTGAGTCATATTTAAAGAAGGGCGTGGAAGTTCCAAGACAGCATGGCTTCTGCTCGAGTTGTAGAGAATGAGCTCGAATTCATCTTGATATAACAGCAAGGTACTGTAAGGGGCGGAAAGAGCGTCAGTGAGTAAATATACGCTGTAATTTAGCGAGTGCGCACTGAAGCCCCACGCTGTAACTTAGCGATCTGTCGCTAGTCTGGCGCTGAAATAAATTAAACCGCATCGTTTAGCGTGACGAGGCAAGCTCTTTTGTGGGCAATTAGTTGAGGCTATTTGTATCAAGTAATTAGTTAGATAGTTAATATATAGCTATAGCGGGAAATCCACTCTTGATATCAGGGTTTTTGGGTACTTACCTTCTCTTTCTTTAATATACTCCATAGTAGTGCATAAGCGTAATTAGTGTAAGACGGCTTTATACTACTCCGTATTCCGTATCCCGAATATACCGTATAGTGTGAGGCGAGAACTCAATCCACTTTCTGCGATATTTTACGCTACCCCTTATATGGCCAAGTATAAAGACATTGACTTTACCTACCTAAGTATAGACCGAATATATAGGTGGGATATATATAAGCTTCAAAGCTAAGATATCAAATGATCGGTGGAAACTATTACTTTTCTACTCCGTATAAACTTTAATCCTTAGCAACTTTACCCGTCCCCGTTGAATCTGCCCACTGACGGTACAGTAGGCTTACCGGGATCGGGTCTAACCGAAGCTTAGCAATTTCCGGCTGCTTATTATTCGTTACCGACAATCTATCTATACCTTCCTCACTAAGCTTAGCCTCAATGGCATCACTACTATGCAGAGCTGCAGATATCGTACATTACCCCTCAGTAGTACCTGGAAAAAGTGTTCTTCCTCTTTTTCAGTGCTCTTCACTTTCATCATACTTTTGATTCAAGATGAAGCTTAATCTAATTGTTCCCACTCTCGCCATTGGGTTTCTCGATTTCACAACCGGGCTCACCACAAGAAACCCAAATGGACTGCAACTGGCTCCAAGGCAATCTTCGCCTTACCCACCGAATACTTTTGACCAGATAGTTCGTCATGAGCTTCCAAACCCCTGTTCAATGTCTGACTTTCCCTGGTAGATCGACCATTACCCAAGCAATGATCGCTACAAGCCTCATGCAAATGGGACTTTCAAACAACGGTACTTTTTCGACAGTACCTACTACAAAGCGGGTGGTCCAGTCTTCCTTTATATCGGAGGGGAGACCTCTGGAGAAAGTCGATTCAGTAATCTACAAACCGGAAGTAAGAAACTCCAATTGTTTAATTGACCCGATCAGCTGACATGGACTTCCTAGTTATTCAAATTTTAATGCAGGAGTTCAATGGCCTGGGGGTAATTCTAGAGAACCGATATTACGGCTCCAGCTATCCTTTCAATACAAGCACGACAGACAATCTGGCGTACCTGACTGCTGAACAAAGTTTGTCATATCTGGTGAAGGAAGGCATTGTCTTAGCTTCTAACCTTTGTTCTAGGTATTGCTGATAATGCATATTTCGCACAACACGCTACTTTTCCTGGAGTCTCGGCGAATCTCACCGCTCCAGGAACACCATGGATTCTGTATGGAGGAAGTCTGGCAGGTGCTCAGACTGCCTACACCATGGTAGCTCATGGCGATGTCCTTTATGGAGGGATTGGCAGCAGTGCTACAGTAGTAGGACTCCATGAATACCCAGAATGGTCAGTAATCAAGATATAACCAAAGGATACTTCTGACTGAACTTTCCTTCAGGTATGAACCAATTCAAAAATTCGGCCCTCAAGATTGTATCTCTAGCATCAATGGCATTATCGCGAAGATTGACAGTCTTGTGGATTCCCACAACACAGAAGCTATCCAGGAACTGAAAGGCCTTTTCGGGTTGGAGGATCTAGAAGATATCCGGGATTTTGCCATGACTATCGCGTTCCCAAGTAAGTCTCTCCAACCCATGATCAATTAGTCAAGTCAAAAGCTGACAAATATCCGAAGTTGGTGGACCGATGAACTACCCCACATCAACATGGCAGGAGTTGAACTGGAACCCGGCTTATAGCGCAGATGACTTCTGGAATTTCTGCTCGAATGTCACTAACATTGACGCGTCTGCCGAAATCACCGCCGTGGATAGTGTACTTGCAAAGTACACTGGTGGTCAGGCCTGGACTAACCTTGGAAACTATGCAAACTACTTCAAGGAAATCGTATTACCGGGATGCACATCCGGCGACGTTAACAGTCCCCTGAATGGTTGTTTCGGGACTCAAAATCGTAAGTTTATCCTCCCCCCTCCCAAAAATATGAGTTTTACTATTTATTAATACATTTCTAGAATCGTTTTACGCCATTGAAGACAACTCAGCCAGTCGCTCTTACCTTTACACAAGTACGACCTCTCCCCCATTTTTCTTTCCTATACTAACCTTATGCCTAGCTTGCACCGAACAGGGAGCATACCAAGTCGCACCAAAATCAGGCCCAGCTCTAATCATGAATGTCTTGCAAGTGGATTACACGTAAGTCAGACATATTTCAACTCGTTGTAACATTTCTAAAATAACCACAAGGCAACAATGGTGTACCTGGGCATTCCCACGAGGAAGATACAACTCCATCCCCTCCAGCCCCGACCTCGAGCGACTCAACATATACGGCGGCTATGAACTCAGCGCCAATCGCCTAGCACTAGTCGACGGCGGTAAGTACATCGCATCTCCAGCCCATCCCATTTCCCCCAGATCACATATTCTGACATTTTTCTGTTTCATCAAGGCATTGATCCCTGGCTCGGCATCTGCGTGCACTCCAAATACGCGCCCCCTCGCGAGTCCACAGATCTCCGGCCCGCGTATCTGATCGCGGGAGCTGGGCATCACTGGGACAGTTATGGGATTTTAGATGTGGCTGCTGAGCCGCTGTTCATTCAGCAGACGCATTTGTTTGAGATCAAGACGGTGCGGAAATGGTTGAGGGCTTTCAAGCCTTCGTATGCTCACTCGGAGCTCTGAGTGGGGGTCTTGTTGATGCTGCATTTAGAAAGAGAATGATGATTAATGTCTCGATTAAGGAGAGATCTTAAAAGTAATTTAATGCGGCGATTGATGTACTTTTTCTCAATATGTCGGTTCTGCGTCCCTTCTTAATACCGGTACACTGCGTATACTTGTTGTCGTTGCTTGTATTGCGCTCCAAGCAAAAGGGGGGCAGACACGTGATTATGGCTCAAATTTAGGATCACTTTCATTGTCACTCCGCGAGACTCAGTACATCGGTTTTGATAGATGACAAAGATTGAAACTTCAAGGAGCACCCAGTTGATAGTTTAGTTGGCTATGGTTACCTATTAGTGTCGCAAGTATCTCTTAGAAGATGTTGGCGGCTTGTTGAATCGTCTTCGGACCCCGCCAATCATGTGCCATTTTCCCTCTCGTAGTGCTCAGGACGCACTCGTTGGTCTTCGAGCCATACATGAGAAAGCTTTCGCGGCAATTTACAAGTACCGTATGGTCAAGACTGCCATTCCGAAGAACATTTCTACTGATTAGTTTGTATTCTGTCATGGTGCTCTCGTTGTTGCCTGCAGCTAGATATTCTTTAACTTCGGCGAAATCGTAAGTTGAGTACTCATCATTGCAGTGTTCGTATTTCATCCAAGCCAGACTTGGGGGACTTTGGAGTTGACCGGAAAGATGAATCCAAGAATAGTTGACGAGGAAGGCCATGGGGAGTTTTTGACGAAACTCTTGCAGATGGTTCTGTGGAGAAGCCAGTCCGTTTGCTGACATTCTAAGGAGCAATACGCTGCCGAGCGATAGGACGCGCAGGACTTAGAAGTAGATAGGTTGCAGATTGTGCAATTCAGCGGCGCCATTGTGGCAATGGAGGGTACTGAAAGTTGATCAGAGATTGTTCATGGAAAGCTTTGGATGCTAGGACTGGCGACGTAACGGATTCAAGACTTTAAGAGCTCTGTCAGGCTAGCAAACATTGCTTTGATATATCTGGATATCTTGATTCTAATGAAACACTTAAAGCGTGCTCCCGAATTCGCTATCAGAAAGGGTCACTCGTTTGTATGTTCCCGAATAGACAAGGGGGTCATTGCCTGGCGCCATTACCTTCACTTATCATGAAAGCTTTATACTACTCCATTTATTCATTGAAACATTATGTCATCTCGACTTCAGCTACTTAGAACATCTTTCTTTGTAATTATATTGAATTTATTATTAGTGAGAGTTATAAAATTGTATTGCTACTCGCTACCCCTTTTCTGACCAATCGGTTAAATCGTTAACTTAAGTCATAAATTTGGTCTCACTTCACTATACTATTTTAACCTCGATGTGTCGGCTTTGTGCGAGTATTATGACTGACACGATTATTCATCTTAGTAAATTGACATTATGAAACTCAGCTTCGACATGCTAATAAGTGTTGAGAGCTAGAGCTTCAAACATGACACTGCGCTGTGACTGCCCTCCGGATATTTTATAATCCGTTCCGACTCAACTTTTACCTTTACCTCACCTCAGAATACTCCCCGCCGTCTTAATCATAAATCCCATCCTCTGAGGACCTATTTGGTTTAATGACCGAGGCAAGCTCATCTCAGATGACAATCATGGCCACGGTCAGTGGCCCTCAATCGATACCACCCCAGACGGGTATCCAGTCCTTCCCCCAATTCAAAAAGCTTCCACTGGAGATACGACTTAAGATCTACCAATTCGCTATCCCGGTGCGCCTCGTTACCATACTAGCCTATCAGCGTATCATAAATACCACTGATATAGAATTACCGTGGAGAAGCTCAACGTTGATACGCTTAACGTCGAGACGCTTGACGTGCGTAGAACGCCTCTTCACAGATCCCAACCCAATCCCGCCTCTGTTTCACGCCAACCGCGAGACTCGCAGCTTTGTGCTCGCCCAAAACCTTAGAAAGATCGAATCTAATAAAGCCACAGATTTCGATATCAGGCGAATGATCTTGCGTCCTCATATCAACAAGGACGGACGGTATCCAGGTGATTGGGGCTCATCCGACCTTGACAATGCATGCCGTGCTGTGCCTGCTGGACACCGCCGCTATTCTCTTGTCAGCCCAGAAAATGATATATTCTTTCTCGGAGATCCTGAAATTCCGGGGCCTAATGTTATCTTGTCCAGAATTAATGTCATGGTTCGATGGATGGATAGATATTGCTTGGACCACATCAGAAGGCTTGCTTTGCCTTATTACACCTGGAAAAAGGCATTCACAGATCCGACAAGCTGCCCGCTGACAGAGTTCAATGCTCTGGACGAGTTGTTCATTATATTTGTATGTTCTGAAGTCAAGCCGTTGACGGATTATCTGCATGGAATACCCAATTACGTCAATCCATATTTCGCGACTATAGGCCCAGAGGTATGTACTTCTGGATATTAGAATCTTGAGTCTAAGCCCCGAGATGAAATATACGTCTTCTGGGTTTCCCGAAGTTGTTGCTACGCCGTTATCTTTCCTCGAAAAGTAAAACTAATTCGCCTCTCTTCATAGGTGATGGATGAATTTGAAGCGTTATCGAGCGCATTTCCGGATTGGAAAAAGCCAGCAATCAAATTCGTGGAGAACAAAACCGCCCTGTTGAAGGAATTGGGTCTCTAAGTGAGCTTGGCCAATTGAACTTGACGACAAAGGCTATCGATATGTGAAAGTGCAAAGGAGCTCGAAATAATCCAACAAGTTCCTCGGTTTATAGGTTCTTCAGGCGTTGGCGGGTTACAGTTGGTGTTAGTTATTCGCTCACTCGGTTTCCAAACTTTTCGGGATTTATAGCGCTCACAGTGTGAGCGCCACAGTCTGCAACTACTTCGGACTTCTGGTCAGATATGAAGCATGACAGGTAATTGAAGTAGAAATTCAATCAACATATAGGGCGGGTCCTCAATAAACTGCTTGAATTACTACACGAGCTGTAAGTGGTGCCTTCAAAGGTAACAAGACATAGGTGGATAGTGGGTATATCTAGCTTTCTGGTTCTGCATACTGTAATACTTGATGTGTTATGAGATTGAGTGCTCGGCTTGAGTGTTGGATCTTTGATTAGGACTTCCCTAGCGTGTCTGAATGATAAATTTGAATACTGTTATTCTCCCCTTTTAACATGATTGACGGTGTTTACAGGTTGATGATGAAATATTGCAGACAATAGTAAGACATAAGAGTAGTAACAATATGCTAGATTATGTGATAGAAGCTGTTTCCGTCAAGTGAGGGCAAGTAACAACTTTACTTACTACAAACTAGAAATTTGGCCATAAAGTCTCAATCTATTTGAAGTGAAAAACATAGAAAGGTATCAATAAAACCATAACTATCACATTCCTAATAACCTCTAACAAACCAATATCATGTGATCAAATTTCCCCTCCATTGTTCAGCCTCGCTTCATTTTTCTAACTTCCAGCCTTGCCCTCAACCTCCAATGCGCCGCAACTACCTTCCACGGGCTGCCATATTGTCGCCCTCAGGTTGCCACCAAACTCCAGAGAGTTTCCCGCCCGACGACCTTGAAACGGGCACTTGTCCCGGCTCCCTTCCCAGACACCACCACCACAATGAACCTCTCCCTAACCGATCCCTTCGTCCTCGCACAAGATTACCCTGAATCTACCACCGGCAACCTCCGTAGTGGGCATGCTTGTGCCCTACGCTTCAACCGCAAAGGCGACTTCCTGGCCGCTGGGCGCGCCGATGGTGTCGTCGTGATCTTCGACGTAGAAACACAAGGCGTGGCGCGGAAACTAAAGGGACACACGAGGCAGATACAGTCGCTGAGTTGGTCGCGCGATGGGCGGTATCTCTTGACGAGTAGCCAGGATTGGAAGTGCAACTTGTGGGATTTGCAGGATGGGAGTATTGTGAGGAGTGTGAGGTTTGAGGCGGCGGTTTATATTGCAGAGTTGCATCCGTGGAATCAGTAAGTCACTTGCGCAGACCGAGAGGGGCAGGTTATGCTGACTGGAATAGTCTCATGTTCGTGGTGTCGCTTTTCGAGGAACAGCCTTTATTGGTTGATGCGACGAATCCGGAATGCATCAAGCTCAATCTTCCCTCCGCACCGAAACGAGGGCTTGATGAGAAGGTCACCGAGAAACAAGCGTCGCAGGATGCAAAGCAGGCGACGACAGTTTCGGTATTTACAGCTTCGGGCAAGCATATCGTTGCGGGTACGAATAAGGGGTGGTTGAATGTCATTGAAGTGGATTCGAGGACGACTATCTACTCTACGAAAATATGCGCGGGCGTTGTCATTTTTTTGCGGCTTACGAGTTCGGGGAGAGATATTGTGATAAATTCTTCCGATAGAATCATTCGAACGATACAGATGCCCAATCTTTCCGACGATCCAGATACGATTGATATTGAGGTGGAGCACAAATTCCAGGATGTGGTCAATAGGCTGTCGTGGAATCATGTTGCTTTCAGCTCTACGGGAGAATATGTTACGGCTTCGACATATAATAATCACGACATCTATATCTGGGAAAGAAATCACGGCAGTTTGGTCAAAATTCTGGAGGGCCCGAAAGAAGAGCATGGTGTTGTGGAGTGGCATCCTCATCGACCCCTGATTACTGCTTGTGGGCTTGAGTCGGGGAGGATACATATCTGGTCAAACATACCACAACAACGATGGTCAGCTCTGGCTCCTGATTTTGTGGAAGTTGAAGAGAACGTCGAGTATATAGAGCACGAAGACGAGTTTGATATCCATCCACAAGAAGAAATCCACAAGCGAAGATTGGATCAGGAGGATGAAGATATTGATGTTTTGACTGTGGAGCCGGTCAAGGGCTTGGAAGAAGATAATGAAGCCTTCCGCATGCCAGTCCAGTTGGATCTCCAGGATAGTGAAGGTGAGGAGGAGTTTGTGGCTGTTAGGAGGGGTGAGATGAGGAGGAAAAGTCCAACTGCTAGTAGAGACTACATGCTGGACTCAGGGGTCATTGGGAGCGGGGATGAGTTTGCCAACAAACGTAAAACGAAGAGCAAAAGGCGTTAAGAGTTGGGTTAGGCGTTCAGGGGAAGCCATGGTCGGCATGAGCATTAGGTTGAGGGAGTTACATTAGCGATATGAATCTCATTCCATATGAAATAGATGTTTCCGAGATGCTGGTTTCCCACCTGGCGCGGGACACTGCAGGTGTGCGACCTGCAGATCGCCGTTACCTTCTTTTCCACCATAAAGTTGCGGAAGCTCGCCTCCTAGAGCTATACCCTTTGAAATACCTCTCTTCCCCCAACCCATCATCTTTAAGGTGGCAATGACTGACTCTGAGTCAAGTCGGTTGTCTGCTGCCTGCCTGCCTGCAAGTAGTTCTTGACTCTTTCTAAACATAAGGTGTACTTCTTACCGGTAGTTTTAACAAACGCTACTTTGCCCTTGAACTTGCCTCTTCCGAGCAGTCCTTTTCAATACACAACGACTAATTGACTGCCAACAGCAGCTTATTCACAGTGGAATACAATATGTGACTAATCCACTGTAAGTTATTTTCTTATAGTAAGTTGGTAAGTACGTCGATACTCTCTCCTATTCATATTAAGCTGAGGGCCTTGGAGGTGGCCAGACCTGGGTAAGAACAGAATGAATGTTTCTAGGTTGCATTTGCGTGTGCTGGGTGTCTGATGTGACAGTTCGAGGAAGTGTGAATTGCCTCTGATATAATAAGTAATTCAAGAGCATTAGCATAGCCAGTGTGCACTCAATTCTGCCCAAGTACCTCTTCTTACGCCGTGTGAATCATAAACCTTATTGTCGTATCCGTATTTGGACTAGCGCGATTTTGAGCCGCCGCATGGATTCATTCTTCAAATTCGCGCCTCGACAAAGGGAATCGACAACCCACAACTACATAACACCCAACATCATCCTCTAGGGATAGCACGCGCAGCATCGTGTATTCCTCCATCAGAGTCTCTATTCGACTGAGACAACTACAGTACACTCATTTACCGACTCGTCGCATCGTTGGTCCACTCGCGGTAGGAAGTCGAACGATTCACGGCCTTGGGCCCGCGCTGCCTGGAGCGCCACCGCGACCACAACACTCTTTTCCATCTCGCGCGTACTGTTTCTCTCTCTGTACCACGGTTCTGCATCTCTCTCCTTTACCCTCGAGTCGAACACTCGTTGCGCCGCCGCGTTGAGAGCGTCGCCTCAATCACTGCTCTCGCCACGACCAACTTCGCCCTTGGCGAACAACATCCATCAAGATGGCGAACCTCAATTTCACACACTCGGATGCGCCGTTGAAGATCATCCAGGAGATACAATTTGGCCTGCTGTCGCCGGAGGAGATTAAGAATATGAGTGTCGCTCACATTCTTTACCCTGAGACAATGGACGAGAGCAAGATGAAGCCGCGCGATGGAGGACTGAATGATCCGCGACTCGGTTCTATCGACCGTCAATTCAAGTGCGCCACTTGTGATCAAAATATGTCCGAATGTCCTGGTCACTTTGGTCATATTGAATTAGCCAAGCCGGTTTACCACCCCGGCTTCATTAAGAAGATCAAGAAGATTCTGGAGATTGTCTGCCACAACTGTGGCCGAATTTTATCTGATAGAGTCAGTATACCTGGTCAAGTGCAAATTTACTTGTACTAGTCTTGCTAACATCATCGTTGAAGAATGATCCGCAATACAAAGCAGCCGTCTCCATTCGAGACCCGAAGCGTCGGTTTGATACGATATGGCGGATTTGCAAGCCTAAATTGGTCTGCGAGAGTGATTTAAGTGCTGGGGATGAAGGGTTCAACGATGATCCAAAGGGTGCTGCGAAGCGCTCCCATGGAGGATGCGGGAACAAACAGCCAGAAGTGCGCCAGAGTGCTCTTCAGCTCACCGGTACTTTTAAGCCTTCAAAGGAAGAAGTGAGCGAGGGTAGCCAGCCAGAGAAGAAGCTCATTACTCCAGAGGCGGCTCTGCACATCTTCCGAAGCATTTCTTCCGACGAGATACGCGACCTAGGTTTGAGCAATGATTATGCGCGACCAGAATGGATGATCATCACAGTCCTACCAGTGCCCCCACCTCCCGTTCGACCTAGTATCTCTATGGATGGAACCGGTCAGGGCATGCGAGGAGAGGATGATTTGACGTATAAGCTGGGTGATATCATTCGCGCCAATGGCAATGTTCGACAAGCGCATCAAGAAGGCTCTCCCGCCCATATCACGCTTGATTTTGAGAATCTCCTGCAATATCATGTTGCTACATACATGGACAATGATATTGCTGGTCAGCCTCAAGCCATGCAAAAGTCGGGTAGACCTATCAAGTCTATCAGAGCTCGTCTAAAGGGCAAGGAGGGTCGTCTTCGTGGAAACTTGATGGGCAAGCGTGTCGATTTCTCGGCGCGTACCGTCATTACGGGTGACCCCAACTTGTCCCTGGATGAAGTCGGTGTACCGAGAAGTATTGCCAGAACTCTGACATACCCTGAGACTGTCACACCTTACAACATCGGCAAGCTCTCGCAACTCGTCAAGAACGGTCCTAATGATCACCCTGGCGCCAAATATGTCATCCGATCCGATGGAACCCGTATCGATCTCCGGCATAACAAGAACACCTCGGGGGTCAACTTGGAGTATGGGTGGAAGGTTGAGCGACATATCATCGATGGAGATTTCATCATCTTCAATCGACAACCTTCGTTGCACAAGGAGTCTATGATGGGTCACAGAGTCAAGGTCATGCCTTACTCCACCTTCAGACTCAACTTGTCAGTCACGTCGCCCTACAATGCCGATTTCGACGGTGACGAGATGAACTTGCACGTTCCACAGACCGAGGAAACTCGAGCTGAGGTCATGCAACTTTGTATGGTACCCCTTAACATTGTTTCTCCTCAGCGAAACGGTCCTCTTATGGGTATTGTGCAGGACACTCTTGCTGGGGTGTACAAGATGTGCCGCCGAGATGTTTTCGTAACAAAGGAGGCCTTGATGAACATCCTCCTCTGGGTACCGGAATGGGATGGGGTGGTTCCTCATCCAGCTATCATCAAGCCCCGCCCCAGATGGACTGGAAAGCAAATCATCAGTATGGTTATTCCTAAGCTTATTAACCTTTACATGCCCAACGATAACCACGAGGATTCACCTCTGAAAGATGATGGTGTTTTGGTGACTGGCGGGGAGCTGATGTTTGGCCTTCTCACAAAGAAGAATGTTGGAGCAGCTGGTGGTGGTATCATCCATCTCATTTTCAATGAGCAGGGTCCCGATGCTGCAATGGCGTTCTTCAACGGTTGTCAGCGAGTGGTCAACTACTGGCTACTTCACCATGGCTTTAGTATTGGTATCGGTGATACGATTCCAAACAAGAGCACAATCGAGAAGATTGAAATTGAGATCACCAAGCAAAAGGACGAGGTTGCTAAGCTCACTGCGCAGGCTACTGCCAACGAGCTTGAGTCGCTTCCTGGTATGAACGTCCGTGAGACCTTTGAGAGTCAAGTCTCCAAGGCTCTAAATACCGCTCGTGACAAAGCTGGTACGAGAACAGAGGAAAGCTTGAAAGATGCCAACAATGCTGTGCAGATGGCTAAATCAGGTTCCAAGGGATCTACCATCAATATTTCCCAGATGACAGCGCTTGTGGGTCAACAATCAGTCGAAGGAAAGCGTATTCCTTTTGGCTTCAAATACCGAACACTACCCCATTTTACCAAGGACGATTACTCGCCCGAATCTCGTGGTTTCGTCGAAAATTCCTATCTTCGAGGTCTCACACCTACTGAGTTCTTCTTCCACGCCATGGCTGGTCGTGAAGGTCTGATTGATACCGCTGTCAAGACTGCCGAAACAGGATATATTCAACGTCGTCTTGTCAAGGCACTTGAAGACGTTATGGCAAAGTATGATGGTACCGTCAGAAACTCTCTCGGTGATATTGTCCAGTTCGTATACGGTGAGGATGGCCTTGATGGTACGATCATCGAAAAGCAGCGTGTTGATAGCATCAACATGTCTCACAAGGCTTTTGAAGATCGTTTCCGTATGGATGTCATGGATGAGTCCCAGCAGGTTAGTCCTGAATTGTTGGAGCATGCCAACGAGATCAACGGTGATCTCGCTGTGCAAGAGCTGTTGGATCAGGAGTGGGAGCAGCTTGTTAAGGATCGCGCCATGTTGCGCGACGTCAACTTCAAGAAGAAGGACGAAGAGTATATGCAACTTCCTCTTAACGTCATTCGAATCATCGACAGCGCCAAGCGTCTTTTCAAGGTAGATGACTCCGAGCGAAGTGATTTGCATCCAGCTGAGGTTATTCCTCAAGTCCGGCAGTTGTTGGATAGCTTGGTTATTGTTCGCGGTGAGGATTACTTGTCACAGGAGGCACAGCTAAACTCTACACTGTTGATCAAGGCTCACTTGCGATCGCGACTCTCATTCAAGCGTCTCGCCATTTCAATGCGAATCAACAAGTTAGCATTTGCCCATATACTAGGAGAAGTTGAGAGTCGATTCTCAAGGGCTTTGGTCAATCCTGGAGAAATGGTCGGAGTTCTTGCAGCGCAATCTATCGGGGAACCCGCTACGCAAATGACCCTCAACACTTTTCATTTTGCTGGTGTGTCCTCCAAGAACGTCACTCTTGGTGTACCACGTCTCAAGGAGATTCTCAACATTGCCACAAACATCAAGACGCCGTCCATGGTTGTGTATCAGGCCGACCCGAATGGAGATCAGGAGTCCGCCAAGTTATTGCGCAGCATGGTTGAGCACACTAACTTGCGCTCTGTCACTGCCGCCACTGAGATATACTACGACCCTGACATCCAGTCTACAAATATCGACGATGATCTAGATATGGTCGAATCTTACTTCATTATTCCTGAAGAGGCTGCCGATTCTGTTGACAACCAGTCGAGATGGGTTCTTCGTGTCATCCTCGACCGCCAAAAGATGTTGGACAAGGGCCTCAAGGTTGATGATGTGGCAATCAGAGTCAAGGAGGAGTATGCTACGGATGTGGCTGTCATCTTCAGTGACAACAATGCTGAAGAGCAAGTCATTCGTATTCGAATGATCAAAGATGCGAAGTTTGACGAAGACGAAGTCGAGGAAGACATCATGCTCAAACGTTTCGAGGCCCATGTCCTTGATACTTTGACACTTCGTGGTGTTCCGGGAATCGAACGAGCTTTCCTCAACAAGGAGGTTGCCCTTATTGAAACCGATGACGGAGCCCTCCTCTCATCCAAGTCGGATAAGCGCTGTGAAGAATGGTATCTCGATACGAGCGGAACTTCTCTGGCGGAAGTTTTAACTGTACCAGGTGTGGATACCACACGAACATACACAAATCATTTCATCCAGGTCCTCGAAGTCTTTGGTATCGAGGCAGCCCGATCTGCTTTGATGCGTGAATTGACCCAAGTGTTGGCTTTTGATGGTTCTTATGTCAATCATCGCCATCTCGCTCTTTTGGTCGATGTCATGACCTCTCGTGGTATGCTGATGGCAATCACTCGCCACGGTATCAATCGTGCCGATACGGGTGCTTTGATGAGATGTTCTTTCGAAGAAACTGTCGAGATTCTTCTGGAAGCAGCTGCCATTGGTGAACTTGATGACTGCCGTGGTATCTCTGAGAACGTTATGCTTGGTCAGCTTGCTCCTATGGGAACTGGCGAGCTCGATGTTCTTCTCGATCCGAAGATGCTGGAGACTGTCATCTCGGACAATGGCAGAATGGGTCTCATGCCTGGTCTTTCCGTCAAGGGTATGGATGGTGGAGCTGCTACTCCATACGACACCGGTTCTCCCCTGGCTGAAGTTGGATACATGGGTACCCCTGACTACACAGCTGGTTTCTCACCTATTGAGACTGGTGGTGCAGCAACACCTTCTGGGTTTGCTACCGCATACGGTGGATTTGGAGATAGCACTAGTCCTTATTCGGCACGAAGCCCAGGTGGCGGCCATGGTTACTCTCCTTCGAGTCCTTTCAACACGAGTCCAACCTCGCCTGGGTACACGCCTACATCCCCTGGCTACAGCCCCACTTCTCCAGGGGGTATTACCAGCCCAGGCTATGCTTCGTCCCCAAGATTCTCTCCAGTCAGCCCAGCTTTTACGCCAACTTCCCCAGCGTATTCTCCAACTTCTCCTAGTTTTGTGTCGCCGACATCACCGTCGTACTCTCCAACATCACCAAACTACTCACCAACTTCACCACATATTTCACCATCATCTCCTAACTATAGTCCCACATCTCCAAGTTATTCTCCAACTTCACCCAACTATAGTCCATCGTCGCCGAACTTTGCGGGTGGCACTAGCAAGACTTCTCCGGGATCTGGCTTGTCTCCAACAAGCCCAGTATACAGCCCCAGCAGTCCTAATTTCAGCCCGACAAGTCCTCAATACCAAGCTGGAAATGTTACTTCTCCAAAATACTCCCCAACTTCGCCATCTTACTCTCCTACCAGTCCTCAGTTCTCTCCAACGTAAGAACATTTACCCTACCTTCCATCAAGCTCTTCTAACGAGGTCACAGATCACCGCGCAGCTGAGGATCGTAATATCACCGCTTTCTTTTTAATGTATCAACAAGACACGCTCCATCAAAAGAGAAAAAAGATTCTGCATATTAGCGTTTGGGTTTGCCTGCGCAGAGATTGGTCCTTTGCATCGTACTTTCTGGTTCTTTTCCAGCTGGCGTTGAGGTTTTTATATTTGTGCCAAAATGAACGGGAGATTGAAGTGGGACCGGGGAGGATTTATCTAAAGAAGTGTTTTGTGGTTTAGATTGGTTTCTTTTAACGTCCGTTCTTTTAAAGAGCGAACACATCAGCGAAAAGGAGAGAAGGCGTGGGGAGGTCAGATTGTATTAGCGTTAAGATAGCGCCATGGGGTCAGAGACCCGCAGTGAGGGTGAACGAGGTGGGATGAGTCAAAATAATGGATAGATGCAGCCAGGAAATGAAATGCATTCATGAATCTTCTGTGTAGTTGAGTCTTATGACTTGTGTCCCTGTGAACTGAGAACTGAAGTCTTCGCCATACACCCGGCTGTCAGCTCTAGCTCTACTCAACCTAAACTTTGCAATTTATTCGTCCGTTCCACCTTTATCCATATCAGAGACCCAGAGTCGTATGCTTGACTTCCCGTCTAACCCTTTTTGTAACAGCCCAAGGTTCAGATCCCCCTCTCGCTTCACCCCACCAGCCCTGAGGCAGATCCAATGATTGACCCCTTGCCCTTAACTTGACTAGCCAAGCAGGTACTGCCATGTGTTGCATTTCTCGAATAATGCGACTTCTCAGAAATCGAATTTCCAAACAACACAACCTCTTAAGTTGAACCTGACCCCAAATGATACTTTTTCTTCATCATTAAGAGATAGATATCATCCACGAGGTCACGGGGATTTCAGCTTTCTGGCGGAATCTCCGGCGTAACACAACCACATTTCGAATCAATTCGACGCCCTCTAAGAGCATCGGTTCTTCAAAACGTGATCAGAAGGCACTCATTGAATCGCACAGCATCCCACCATCGGCTCCGGCGAAGGAGTCCTGGCCCTCCTCCTCTTCCTATGCCGTCTCTTTTTCCTGCGATGGCTCACGACTTCCATGAGGCCATGTTCCGGACTCTATTGCGCGCCATCAAATCAATATTGCACTCTTGCCTTCATTTTCCTTGGAATTATAGCCAGGGTTATAGATGGGTAGTAAGGAAGGTAAAGAAAGGGGCGTGTTCCTCACTTACATTAAAGCTGGTAGTCCTGCCCATACAAGCCGGACACGGCGTGCGATCGACGTCGAACTCCAGCCTGCGCTTCTCGGACCAGCGTAGAGGCTCACACGCCTGGTGCGTGCCCTGGTGCCGGTGGCAGCGCCAGGCATGGATGTAGTGGTGGGAGATTTGGTAGACGACGTGTTGTTTGGGGCGCTTGGTGCAGGCTGGGTAGGTGCGGCCGTCCATGGTTATTTCGCAGAGCCGGCCGTCGCGGGATTCGGGGGATTCGGAGTCGTCATCGGACATTGTTTTGGGTGGTTTGGGTGAAATGATTAGGTATGTGTTGATTCTGTGATGTTTATATATATTATATGGGTGTTTTTGCAAGGAAGGATGAACGAATGGATGAATTGATGGAATGAATGGATTGATGGATGGAAGATGAATGATGGATGATGGATGCAATTCCACGTGAACGAGATATGCTTTATAAAGCTGAAGCTGACAGTACCGTACCTTATTTTTATCTTTATCGCGCGAATCGCGGGGCCATGCAAGTTGAATGCGATGCAACCTCAAGCATACTTCGTACATACTCACTCTAGCGCCTATAGTACCCCATTTATACCGGTGAGCCCCGCCCATTTCAGAGACTTGGTTCTGGCTTGCAGACCTCACCGACATAGTTCTGTGGGCCATATACTTGATCAGTACTGAGGGGTCCGTTGAAATTTTCATTTCGCATTGGTGTAGTTGCAGTGCATTGTCTCTGACTCTGACAGCTGTACTGACAATGGCGAAACTTGGTTCATTCGTATGTTCTGGGTATGCAGCAGGTCCCTAGGTAGCTGTGCAGTTGTTTCCGTTTCTGCATTCATTTTGCCAGTTGTACTATACTGTACCTCAACTAATGTTTTAGATGCAGGCTGGTCCGAGAGGAGGAATCGTTGGCATCAGATCCCCTGTTCTAGATCTCCAAGTGGGTTGTGAGTTCGCCATTGTGGACAGAAAGGGGACTATGAAGACGCGAGGCCTGGGTCTTATGCTTAAGTGACAGAGAGATGGTCAATAGTTCCGATGCGTACTGTATGCAGCGTGAACTGTGCGTTGCATATATGCTTGGAAGAATGTTCAATCGCCTACTGCGGTTCGAGGATTCGATTCCGGAGAGGGGGAATTGGAAATCATGCCATTCATTTCTCATATTTATTGCCTGAGTTTCCCTTTGTACTTGAGATTGGATACCCGGTCAAGCTGTCTCTGGAAATGATTATCTTTGGCCGCACTTTATGCTTGAAGGCTTTCATGTGAAAGTTTTTTCGATTCTCCAGGCAAGGAATTTCGAATTGAGAAGTTCAGATCTCAACCGAGACAAAGGAATCGGCAATCCACCACGTCGAAGACAACGACGACGCTGATACTTGGGTCCAAGTCTCGGGTATTCAAGCCGCTGGTCTCTTCGAAACGGTTTCAAAACTGCCAGAATGGCCCAGAGCGTGGGAGACAATGAACGCCTGGTATTCGCGTTGTAAATACGAATAGATTGTTCGGTAGGCACGAAGATTTCAGGGCTGCGGAACAAACGCTTGGTCAACAAAGCGATCCTCTTCGGGCTGAAAAGGACTCATAGCAGTCAATCGTTATCGGACGTCAATCATTCCTTCCATGAAGAAACGTAAGCTCGATACTATTTTGGGGAATTGATAGTATTTCCACGTGTTTCTGGCCGTCTTGCCCTGCTTTCCGTATCATAAATCAACATTCATCCAAAGGAATACATAAATCAAGGGAATATATGACTGTGAATTCGATTATTGTATTGTTTATTTCCACGTTGATAGCTTTTAGCCGTTCACAGATGACGCTGCTAACTAAAAAGAGCGAATTCTTGAGCTGGGGTTGCTTCTTTCTACAAATGAATAGAGTTTCAAGTTACTTACAAGTGACTTCGAGAACTGTCCCGCCTTCCCTTATGACATCTTCCAACTATAAGATGAACAGATAAGAGGTTACACTGGATAAGTAGCAGCCTGGGCTTTGGATATGAATACCACTTCTCGAGTCCTATTTAAAGCCACAACAACAGCCATCTCCACCACCTGCATTCACCTCACCACGCACACAAATCATGGAGTTCCCAAAAGAGTCACTGAAGAAGGAAGCATCTCAAAGGTATGATATCCGAGTTTTCTTGCATTCTAAATACCTTATATCTCCCAAAACACCCCACTAACCCCCCTCCAGCAGCACCTCGGAACCCTCAGAATCGTCCAAAAAAGCCACCAAGAGATCTCCCAAAAAGCCGCCAGCCAAAAAAGTCACAAAAGACATCCCGAAGCCCGCCGCTCCCAGAAAATCACGAGCCGAAACCAAAGTCCAGAAAAACATCTTCAACTCCAAAGTCCACTATGAGATCAGCATGCTGCTGCAGTCAGTAAGGAACGCTCCGTATGGCCCGGTCTTGGCGGAGATATACGATGTGTATGTCTCGCACAAGAAGGCAGATGATGATTTTTTGAGGCGCCAGAAGAATCGTATCGTGAGTGAGGCGACGGCTGAAAGGGATGCGTTTGAGGCTATTACGATGGAGTGGAGTACGCAGTAAGTAACTTACTCCAGCTTGTATATTTCATTGTGAATTTCGTTCGCGGGAGTTGTGAGATATTAATTGATACAACGAATTCATTTCGGAGCTCAACGCGATGTTGTTGATTGGTTAATCAATTCGATTGATGGATACAACTGACAGCAAGCAGGTTCGAGTCAGCCGTCAAGACGCGTATCGGTCTTCTGCAAACCCAGGCTGAGACTGGAGCTGGAGCTTCTGAGAAGAGCGAGGAGCAGCGTGTCAAGGACCAGCAGGATATGGATAGCGGCCTGAACCATGTTATTTTGAAAATGTTGGGGCAGTATCAGCAGAAGATCAAGGCTTCGAAGCAAGATCTCACTGGTCAGCTGAAGAAGATCGAGGATCAGAATTATGCGAACCATGAGAAAGGTCTTGCGGAAGAGGAAGTATGAAGATGGATTCCCATTCTGAAAATCTTTGGTTCAAAAATGCTTCATGGCTCTTAGGCTATTACTAGGCTTTCCAATGGTCTTTTAAGGAAAGAGTAAAGCTAACCTCTGCTTATAGTTGCACCTCTTGAATTTATTCCGCCGCTTCATCCCCAGTATCCAGGTACGCAAAATACAATACAGCACCCCTATGCAACTCTCCTCTCCCAACACTAATCAATTCAGATGTCCGCTCCCCCTATGCCTCGGCCCATCCAAGCAGCAGCCATAGCTCACCCGCCACTGTATCTCTTCCAAACCGCAGGCAACGAGAACATCAAACTAGAACAGCCTCTCTCCTCTACCAAGCCGGAACCGGGACCGAAACCGAAAGCTGTGATTGCGAATGCGAATGATGATACGGATGAGGATCTGGAGATGGAAGACGAGAATTATACAGTGAGTCTGAGCTCGCTCGGCATCAAGAAGCGGAGGATTTCGGATGGGGGAGAGGATTAAATCAAGGAAGGTCGTTGGCGGTTTAGGGGGGGGGGTAGGGAGGAGGATCGAGGTTAGGATATCCTAGGTACTGCTTTGGTATATTCTACACGCGCGGTGCTCGCTGTACAATTAATTAGGTTTCAGCGTTGATTTGGTTTTGATGCGGTGGTTTATTTTTTAGGTGGGAGGGGGAGTTGCGGGGGTTTGATAGACCGAGGGTCTGGATGGATGGATGGATGGATGGATGGATTATGCGTGGAGTTTGGGGGATCGAAAATGATAGATACGACATGCAAAATATAGACTTTCTTATGAACCAAAAGAGTTGATGATAAGTCGACTTGTAGATCGCGGAAGTTAACCGGGATATGAGACAGATCAAAAGTATATGAGAGTTTGGAGGCAGTGCTACTAAATCCAACGTGCCGGAGAGATGTTATATACACTTGTAAGTTGATATCCCACGCAAGGAGGAATTATATTGATTCTTGTATAAAGTAACCTGCTTAATCTCAGCGGTATAATTTTAATATCCCTCGAGTCCTCAGACTCTGTCCTGAACACCCAACGCCAGCTACGCACCCTGTTTATACAATCATTCTTCCTTATCCATATCTTGATCCCCATCACCACCAAACAGGTCCTCCATTGTCCCCTCACCCTCTTCCCCACCCTCCACACCTTCTTCCACCGTATTCTGAATCCCTTCCATCAAATCGCCAACCTCTTCCTCGTCATCATCGGCTGCCTCAACCCACTCCCCCTTTAACCCCCACGGCACACCCGACAGCACAAACCTCTCACTCGGCAACCTAACCCCCCACTCATTCTGCAAGACCCTCGGCAACGCAATCTTATTCCTCGCCCTCGCCGTCTCCAACAAAAACTCTTTACTCAATCCGCCCCCGCCATTCCCGCCCCCAAACTGATACTGCAACCGATTCCCCACCGCAAGCTGCACGGCATTCGCGCTCACCTGTCCATCTGCATCCTTGAGGCCTCCCCCCGGCGGCGCATCGCGGGCCCGCGTCTGTTGCGACACGTAGGCGTCCGAGGAGAAGTGTAGAGCGTCGGAGAGAATGCCTGATGTGTGGCGGTACGCGAAGTCGAGGAGTTGCAGGGGCACGCGTTCTTGGTAGGCGGTTACGCCCATGGAGGAGAGGAGCATGTGGATGAGGCGGGCGTCGCGGGGGCGTTTGCCCAGCCCGTTGTCTTGGAAGGAGGTTAGGGGGATGGTGGGTAGAGCGGGTGGTGTGGGTGCGGCGGGTTGGGAGGCTTGCGGTTGTGTGGAGGTTTGGGTTGCGGTGGGTTGGGATGGCGAGGAGTGGTTGCCATTCGTTTGGGCTGTGTCGCCGTTGACTTCTGCCATGGTGGATGGATTTGAGGATAGAGAGTCGGAGTTGGGATGGGGATTGTAGTGGTTTTGTCGGAGAGCCAACCCTCCAAGCAAGAGTGAATCGGGAAGTTTGATTATTGGTGGTTTATGAGTAGCTTCGGTAAATGTAATGTCTCATAGTCTTGATGGCAATACTACTCATCAATAGATCTTCAGTCAAGAAATCCAATTGTCGTGTTCAGTAAATTGCCAGGCGCAAAGCTGAGATTCCCCATTTGTCTTTCACCCGCAGAACGATGAGGTTGTTAAAGTTCAGGCACAGACCACACCTTAAATACATATCTGACGCTAAACCCGATCTGACAATCACCCGATTTGATTGCCCCTCCATCCGTTTATCGGACCAGAAATTTCTTGACTCACTCTTCCTCTCTATTTACATCTACACATTTCAAAATGGACACGACATTGCCTCTTCCCTTTCTTCCCAGTGTCGACCTGGCAAAAGGGGCCACTGAATCCAAAGAAGGATTAACCCGAAACCAACTCTCCTATCTTGGATGCGTCTACCTTTCAGCAACCAACGAGACTGTTGATACATTGCTGCAATTCTTACAGAGACACATTGAAATCGAGGCGTATGTCAATGTGACATCAGTTGATTCCACAGATGATCTTGTTTCAATTCTAGACGCTGGAGCTCGAAAGGTCTTTGCCAATGGCTCACAATGCGAATCCCTAAAGACTTATGGAGATCGAGTCATTCCGGTCATATCAACAAAAGATAATACTCCTTCCACCTTCAAATACTCCAATGGCGCTCTCTTCGAAACGGGGGATGATTTGTCTTCTTATAAAACACTCCTATCCAACTTCACGGCCAGCCAAACATCACCAATCTTCGTCGTATCCTCCCCAAAAATCAACCTTCAACCCTTTGTCGAATTTGTAACAGAAGCATCCGCAGTTCCAATTATACCCGCAACTCAACTCACGATAGGAGATGGATCAGAAACACTAACTTCAGTAGCAAGTCTAATTGGGTCATCATGGACTTCAGACAGGCCAGATAAACTGATACCAACGGTGGTCACAGATGAGAGAGGGGTAGCTCTCGGGTTGGTATACAGCAGCCAGGAGAGTTTGGCAGAATCTTTGAAGACTGGTACTGGAGTCTACCAAAGCCGAAAGCGGGGATTATGGTACAAGGGAGCTACATCTGGGGATACACAAGAACTTGTCAGAATATCCTTGGACTGCGATCAAGATTGTCTAAAGTTTGTCGTTCGCCAAAAGGGCCGAGGTGAGAGGACTCACTATGTTGGGGGCATTTTCTAATCATCTTTCAGGCTTCTGTCACCTATCTCAATCTACTTGCTTCGGGGAACTACGCGGAATATCGAAGTTGGAGAAGACATTGGTGTCGAGAAAGGTTTCGGCACCTGAAGGGTCATATACAGCACGTTTGTTCTCTGATGAGAAGCTTCTACGAGCTAAAATCATGGAGGAGGCCGAGGAGTTATGTGACGCAAAGACAAAGGACGAAGTGGCTTTCGAGGCAGCAGACTTGATATACTTTGCTTTGACAAAGGCTGTCAGTGCCGGAGTCAGTGTTGCGGATATTGAGAGAAACCTTGATGCCAAGAGTGTCAAAGTCAAGAGGAGACAGGGAGATGCCAAGGGGCAATGGGCTGCAAAAGAAGGTATTACCAATGGATCCTCAGAAAAGGAAGTTGTAAAAGAAGCAGCATCAGTTCCCAAGGCTGCAGATGACAAGGCAGGGACTGAAGATGGCCGCATTACTATGAGGCGCTACAATGCTGCATCAACTTCTTCCGAAGATCTTAAAGCAGTGCTACAGAGACCTTCTCAAAAGTCGACCGAGATGATCATGGGTATTGTAAATCCTATCATCAAGGGGGTTCGCACTGGCGGTGACAAGGCACTTCTGGGGTATACTCACAAATTCGAGAAAGCGACCTCTTTGACATCACCTGTTCTAAAGGCACCATATCCGCAATCTCTAATGGATCTACCTCCAGAGACCATTGAAGCAATCGATATTTCATTCGAAAATATCCGCAAGTTCCACGCTGCCCAAAAAGAGGAGCCTCTGCAAGTCGAGACTATGCCAGGTGTTGTCTGCACTCGTTTCGCCAGACCAATCGAGCGTGTTGGGCTTTACGTTCCCGGTGGAACTGCCGTCCTTCCCAGCACAGCGCTTATGCTTGGTGTACCTGCAATGGTGGCCGGCTGCAAAACCATCGTCCTCGCTTCCCCACCTCGCGCGGACGGTAGCATTACCCCTGAGATCGTATATGTTGCTCACAAAGTCGGTGCAGAGTCGATCGTACTTGCAGGTGGTGCTCAAGCTGTTGCTGCCATGGCGTATGGTACCGAGAGCGTGAGTAAAGTAGACAAGATTCTTGGCCCTGGAAATCAATTCGTGACTGCTGCGAAGATGTATGTCAGTAATGATACGAATGCTGGAGTAAGCATCGATATGCCTGCTGGACCTTCAGAGGTGTTGGTCATCGCGGACAAAGACGCCAACCCAGCGTTTGTCGCTTCGGATCTGCTGTCACAGGCTGAGCATGGTGTTGACAGTCAAGTCATTCTGATTGCAATTGATCTTTCTGAGAAGGAATTGTCGGCTATTGAGGATGAACTGCACAAGCAAGCAATGGCCTTACCAAGAGTTGATATCGTTCGAGGTGCGATTGCGCATTCGGTGACGCTTGTGGTCAAAGATGTCAAGGAAGCCATGGAACTGAGCAATGATTATGCCCCTGAGCATCTGATCCTCCAGCTGAAAGATGCGGCAAGTGTTGTGCCACTCGTCGAGAATGCAGGAAGTGTATTCATCGGCGAGTGGACACCAGAGAGCGTTGGTGATTATTCGGCAGGAGTAAACCACTCTTTGCGTAAGTCGTTTTCCCTCTCTTGATCCTGAACAAGGCTAACAATGACCAGCAACATATGGCTACGCAAAGCAATACTCGGGCGTCAATCTCGGCTCCTACGTTAAGCATATCACCTCGTCGCAGTTGACGGCTCAAGGGTTAAGGAATGTCGGTGGTGCAGTGATGCAGCTGGCGAAGGTCGAGGAGTTGGAGGCTCATAGACGGGCTGTCTCTCTGAGGATTAAGTACATGGATGATAACAAGTTATGATAGTGCACGATAACAATTGGGAATGAATTAAACTGATATTGCTGCTTCCATATGAGGTGCTAAATGAAGTGCAGCGCTCAAACAAAAAGACATGGTCTGCTCACAAAGTGCTCTAAAATCCAACTCCCGACACATCTGATTCCTGTCTTCAGAGGCAGACCGCTCCTAAAACAGATTCTCCAATGCTGATATAGGCTTCTCATGTCTCTGAAGGTTGAGCGATATTCAGACCATCCGCAAAATAATCGACGCATGAGCACCTGAGGGGGTTCTTCGGTACTGCGAGTTGCCATTGTGAGTTTGTGCTGGTGAAGATGTCAGAGATTATATTCCACGAAGTTAATAATCAACTGGACTTCACCTGATCTCTTTCAGAAGTGCTTGTATTCATGAATGAAGAACTCTTTTAGGAAATTAGGAAAAGTAGAGCAATTTATGTAGACTGGCTATGTGAATCACATAAGAGTAGAGATGCTAGTCCCCACATGGATAGGGAACGACGTGAATATATTGCCATTACCAACAACTGTAACAAAATGCACCCAGAACAAAGCAGCCCCCTGCTGGGCCATGCCAGTCAGCCAGCACAGGTCTACCTCAGGTAGAAACAACGACAAAAACACGAATCTCCCAACTAAACGCCATTCCCGCGATGAGAGATAAACACTCCAAAATCAGACCCATAGTCAAGACATCCTCACTCGAAGACGACCACCCAAGAAGCAAGCAAGTACAGTCTCAAGCCCACCCTGACAACAAAAACACCCCTCTCCCAAAGGCAAGAAAGAGCTAGATATATATACAAAAGAAGGGAGATTGGGGGTGTATAGATGCTGGACGTCAAAGCATGCACGCATGAGTACCCGCTTCCCTCTTCCCATATCAAATGCCAATCACAGCGCTCACTCCGTGCCTATAACCATCATTCATATCTTCGCCATCTCAACTCTAGCTAGCAAGCTGACTGACTTATCACGGTGCGGTGCAAGCAAGTAGTCCCCCATCCTACGACACACTTGACGTGTCCAAATTTTCAAAATCACAACTGGTCATCTGACTCAACAACTCGAAGAGGCTCAGCTGTCCGGGGTAGGGCAAGAAATAAATAAATATGATGCACTACAACAACTTCAAGTAGATAAATAGAACTTCCTCTAGGACATGAAAAAATAGATATCACATCACAGTACCAGTCGCTACGAAGAAAAGAGACAGCATAACTCATCATATCATTCATTCACACCATCCCTCCCTTCCATACATACACCAATACCATGCCATGCCATATCCCTCCCTCTCTTCTCTCAGCAAAAAATAAACCCCTGGGGAAAAAAAAGTATGCAATTAAGATGTTCGTTGTCAGCTCTGCCCACCATCATGCAGTCTATCTCTGATTCTGTGTTGAATGCCCATATGTACCTTGCTTTCTTTCTTCCCTAATCCGACGATCCACATCCAATAGCAAGTGCCAGCCTGTTCTCCATTCATTCCATTCCCTTTTAGCAAAAATTCGAAAAATAAAGCAGATAAAAATCCCGAGCTCCCTTCCCATCCCACACCTTGCAGTTATAACGCCTTGCTAATGGAAACGCCTGATCTTCAACAAACAAAAATGGTATATTGCCCAGCCCCATGTCTAAGAAAATATCATGCTCCATTATTTGGTTGTGCGCTCATTGTTGGGAGTCGAACCTCGGCTGCGAATGGTTCGGAATCGAGGCGAACCGTAGACTGTGGGACAACTGGTCTCCGGGAAAAGTGTTCTGCGAAATGGTTGTCTAGACTTGAAACCATTCTTGGATTGAGTCGTCTAGTGGGATTTGAGGATGTTGGGGTAGCTCTGGTGCGAGGTCTTGAGGCGAACGAAGGAGAAAGATTCGCCGAGGAAGGAGAGCTGATAGCTGAATCTTCTATCCGACGATTATTGGCCTCCAGGTTTTGTCTGACGATGTTGTGCAGGAAATCAGGAATGTTCTGCCATTGTCCTAATCTCGCAGCGTTCAGAAGTCGAGGATCCAAGGTTTGGCGGTCGGATGCTGGTCTTGTACCTGGAATGTTGGCATTCGGTGAAAGATCTGAAGTGAGAAATGGCAACCCCCCAGCTTCAGCAGCTTCCTTCAACCACTGCTCCCACTCCTCATCCATCACTGTTGCCGAATTTCCTGCCTCTCGTTGTGCAACAGCTGCTCGCAACCGTTCGTTCAGCTCGATTCCTACGCTCTGGATCTCGATATCTGAATCATCTCCATCCTCGTCCATGTCATTCTGGATCCCTTCGTTTTCTCGAATGTCCTCCATGTTCTCTACATCCACACGGTGAGCTTGTAGGGTACTCGCAACGCGTAATTCTGGCTCTACCCAATCCTCAATTCCATCCCCAGTAGAATCCCGAATCACGATCCCTTGTTCTTTCTCGAATCGGTCTTTTGCCCAGCGTGTACCTTCCCATTTTGTCAAGCTTGCGATTTCAAATTTCGTCAGACCGAGATTGTCAAAGGCACGAAATAGGCGTCGGTGCCACTGGTATCGAGAGAGTCGTACACGATGTGGTGGATATGAGTAATCCAGTCCTGGATATTTGGCTTCTTGTGAAGAGAGATGGCCATAGAATGCCTGGGTTTCCAGTCGAACTTCTGGTACGAGCTGACGTTGCAGAAGCCCTTGAAAATTTTGAGGATCCGTTGTTTTGGGCTTGGGAAACATGCACTCGTACACGATCTGGTCGATTGGGCGACCCTTCATGTTTGCGTTTGCTGAAGCTGAAGGTTGTGGAATGTAGTGAATGCCTCAGAAGTTTTAACAATTCTGAGGCGTTGGCGGCGTGGGAGGTTGGCGCGAGTGAGGCAGTGACGGTCTCTTTGTTATATTTGAGGCTGGTGGGGCGAAGAGAGATTGAGACTGAGACTGAGATTTGAACCCGCGACGTGGTCCTTTTGTGGGAGCTGAAGGGAGTCCGTGTTCGTGTCCGAACTAATTCCAAAGAAGATCCCGGACTTGTGACGTGGAGCGTGTAGTGGAATCCAAGGAGATGAGAAATATATTTCCGCCCGTCTTATAATAATTCCTCCTTTTATGTGCTGGTAATATCGTATATCCTGGCAGATTTCCCAGTGAAGTATATGTTCGCTGGTGTTTACGGTATAGTGATTCGCAATCCACGCTTCGAGAACTAATTTCGTCCCGAGAGGTTTCCTCCAATGTTCCACCAAACGACGGGCAGATATTTAGAAGACGGAGGGGATGGTTGACGAGTTTGCGATGCGGCGTTGACGACCTTTTGTAAAGGAACCGCGGTCAGAAAGGAAGGGCCAGAGGGAGGAGGGAAGTGAGCGGGAATTTGTCGGGTCTTGGAAACGGACGTGCAGGTACGAAGGTGGTTACGAATGCGGTGAGAACGGTGGATGGTATTTCTTTTCACTCACTCTTATTTTCACTCTTCGACCAGTGAAATTCCAGAAGTGCCATTTTTCATGACTACGCCGTTCGTTGACTACAACAATACAACATGCCTCATCCCTTCTTCCCTCCCACCGACCAAAACAGAAGCCCACATGTCGTAAAACCGAGCAATCCAAATACCGTAGTTGGGAACTGCGTCTCCTTTCTTTCGTCTATCGCAAACCCGAATCTGGCTTCCTCGTCGAGATTCTAAATTCTGGATTATTTCATCTCATGTTATTATTAGGCCAGTACTGTTAATAACCTCCCCGGTCGGGTCTGGGGAATGGTACCGTACAAGAATTAAGGTTGTTGGTTACAGGCATAACAAGGCCAAAGCCTTTTAAAAGTTGGGGGCAGAAAGAACCATTCGATTATTCCATTCCTTCTTGATCCTTCTCCTTGCATTACATTATTACTCAGACAGGCCACCGCCTTTTACCTAATTCATTAATTCATACATTCCGTCCGTCAGCAAGCAGGTCGCCGCTGTTCTGTCATCATCTCACCCACTTACGCATCCAATATAATGCCGTACAGTACAGTACACATATCCCAAATACAAACACAACAATTGGGTACGTACGTTACTAGCCATATAATCGACCACTGCAAAAGGAAACACGTCAAGACCTACCTCGCGTCCCATCCCTCCCTCCACTTCCCGACATCCATCCATCCATCCCACTGCTGCACATGACCACAACCAAAATCCCCAAGAATCAACCCAAACCAATAACCCCCCATTCTAACATCTGCAACCTTCGTCTGCATCCCCATCGCCATCCCATCCCACGAAACCCAGCCATCCAGTTATTGCCTTGAAAGAGGGCTGAGAACCCACCCACCGGCCCTTCCCTGGCCCACACATATGCATGCAGGTAGGTCGCCAAGATGCTCTGTCTGCAAGGAAAGACCCAAATGATTGGGTATGAACTGTTGGATCGCTCTTGTTGTTTTACTCAGTAGACGTACAAGTATGTGCATATGTAAATAAACAGTGTATTGTGTGTTGTTATTGATCATGCATAGGTAGGTAGCCATAATGCAATGCAATTTCTAGGATATCTACCTATCTATATTGACCTACGCTGAGGCCTTCCGTTAAAGAACAAGCCAGTTCTGGGGTATGTCATCCATATCCGTTAGCAACGCAATTCCTGACCTACTTCGAGGCCATATAAGACATGCAAATCCCAGGGTACCATTACCAGTACCATTCCCATTTCCATAGCCTGCGCCGATATCATATCCATACTAAAAGCAATGTTCAAGCAAATCCCAGGGTATCATCCATAGCAACTCCATCCTGACCTGACCTGACCTGACCTGGCCGGCCTCATATCAAAGCAAAGCAAATGTTCAACTCAACTCAAAATCGTACCACCACCCCCTACAACTCAATCTCCGGATATGTGTGATTGTCCCCCGTCGACACCATCGAGATGTCCTGCCAGACCCGGCCGTTCTCATTGCTGGCAGCCTCAAAGGCCTCAGCGCGATCCCTCACTCGCTGTGGTGTAATCTCCTCTTCCTGTGACTGCTCCCGTGCTTGCGAAAGAACGAGTTCCGTCACAATTGGGTCTGGCATCGCGACCTCGACTACAAGCAGGTCATCCTCGTCGAAATCGTCTCCCTCATCGCTATCGTTGGTCGATTCGTATTCATCCCCTTCAATTGCCATCCTGTATCCGTGGTACTTAATGTCCAGCGTTTCGTGAGCGTAGCTGAGTGCTGTATGAGCACCGGCGAGGTTGCGATATCTTTCCTCCCAGTTGACTTCCTGTTCTTCTTCAGAATCTATTTCCTCGTCCGGTTCATCCTCTGGGCTATCGTCGATGAAACTGTTGATTTCATATTCCTCATTGTAGTCTGAGTCCTCATCTTGGGTATCGTAGGCTGAGGAGTTGCAGTCAAGATAAGGGAAAGTTATATCCTCAATAACACTTGCCTCAATTTCACTTGCATCAACGGCTGAATGCTCGTTCAAAACAAATCTCGGGAGCATATGACTTTCCACGACCTCATAGTAGGGAATTCCTGATTGGCCATCCTCGCAACCTGTACAGAAGCCCATATACAAACTCCAGAATTCATGACCACACTTTTTGCAGCGCAGTACGTCATCTGCTTTATCGAAGAAAGTAGCATGAGCCACATATGCTGTATCTCCTGGGTGATCCTCCGGATATGTAATCTCTTCTCCATTTTCGTCAACGAATGGTGAATACCGAGGGCGTGGTGTATGTTGAGTGTGCGGTGCCTCTTGATCACTATCATCCTCTGAACCTGGGGTATCCGCGTGAGAGGATTCTCCTGAAGAATCATGCCCAGTTGAAATGTTGACGTGAACGAAATTCTGCGCGTCTTTTTCTGTAGCGGCAGGATGCAGTGAAGTTGGAATACTGCGGGTAGCTTGAGTATTACGTACCAGAGAGGAAGATGCGGTCTTCGTTGACTCATCTACACTCGTTAAAGCATTGAAATTCCATCCTCCTTGAAAATACCCCTTTGGTCTATGCTCATGTACTGCTGGGCCAACATTTACGACCTCGTCATCAGAAATATCGATAGTATCTCCCGATGCATCCCCACTATGAAGAGGTGAGATGGTCCTCTTGAGGTTTCCCTTACTAGCTGTCAAAGCGTTCTCTACAGCCGGAACAGGGAAGAGAGGGAAAACGTTCTTAATACTTCTGCTGTTCTCAGGAATAAGATCAGAAAAGGACTTTTCAACGACACCTTGGGCCGGCTCTCCGCGATCAATTATAGGTCGCTTTACTGCCGTTTGAGACTTCGCTTCAAATGTTGTCCCAAATCCTTGAAACATTGGCGATTGTGCTGTCGCTACCATCTCATCCCCACCAGGCGATGAAGCAGGATCAAGGAGACGCCGCCGACGCTTCGCTTCTGTCTCAACTTCATCAATCACAAGCTTTCGGCGTACACCTTGGGAAGCTGATCCCGGAGACCTAAAGTAAAGTCCAGGCGGGGTTTTTGTATGGAATCGCTGCGTTGAAGAAAGGCTACCTTGAGAGCCAGCAGAGACGTTACAATAAGGATTGTTTGGTCTGGCCGGGGATGCCATTAAGTCCTCGAGATGGGAAGGCGGGCTGCTGGCTGTAGTCTGGCTTTGGGTTTCACGGTCTCGACCAACGAGGTCTCTCAGCAATTCGGCTTTTCTGGCTTGTTTCTCCTTGATTTCCGTATCGTGGCGGAAGATTTTGGTAGAGCATTCGTGCCCGAAAAGCTTTCTGACGCTATGGGCTATTTTCAACATTAGTATAGAAACCTATCAAGTAAAATATAACAAAACGTACCATCATTCCACTTCTCCTCGTTGACCGTGCATAGATAGACATCTTTCGGCTTGAAAGCCCGGACGAGATCGCAGAGCTCCGGATAGGACGAGTGGCGTGAGTATGGAAAAGTGATCTGTTTAGCAAGAGCACCATCTTCCACTTCAGCGCTTCCATAGACGTTTTGTTTTTCAGATACCGCTTTCTCAATGGCCTTTACCAGCTTTGTAAGGCACAGCCTGCCGTCCTCGAAGAATTCTGTCATGTTTTCGAACGGCAGAGATCTTCCTAGCGCTTTAACGCCTGCGAGGAACCTGTCTTTGAGATCAACATCCCTAGATGCGAGGTTATGGATTCTACAAACCGTCAGTGCCAAATCTGTACATTCCGAATCCACAACTTACTCGAAAAGAATCTGCGCAATCGAATCATCATCTAGCTCAAGCTGTGATTGCTCTATCAAATCCTGTCCACCTCCGCCAATGCCAGCCTCCACAAGTTCAGTTCCATTCTTTAATCTTGTTACAATCGGTCGAATCCAAACCACCTTTTCGTCGATGCCAGGACAAGGAACACCTTTCTTACAGCTGTGGATTCGAGCAGTTGCATCATTTGTAAGACAGCCTTCTTGTGGGGTATTCCCGCAAGTATAGCCCGTCAGCACAGGGCCTTCATGTGCCAGGAACGGTCCAGAAGGTAGGTCGTTATCGGAATTACCACGGAGACATTTGTAGATCCTTAAGGTGTATTTATCGACATGAATCTAGCACCCCATCAGTACGGCATACGAATGGTAAGGATGCTATACCTGTGATTTCAGAGCACGAGATAAAGCCATCCAGACTTCCTCATACCCATATGTCCACGCCGAGAAATGAAAGACGGTATCTTCAGGATATAACGAGACCTTTCGTAAAAGTTCACCCAGTCCTTGAGCCTTGGTAGGGAGGCTCATAGGATCGATGTTACTAGTATCCAGGTAAATACAATCAAGCGTCTTCAGACCACTCGTATACTCGATCAAGAAGGGATTCCGCGTCAAGTTGTTAACAAACCATGGTTCAGATCTGATATCTCCGGTGTACAAGACTGCTTTGCCATCGCCCTCAAAAACTGGAGTAACATCAGCATCCACAGGTAGAACCGTCCAATTGAAACTTACGGAACATAACAGCACCGGTGCAATGATTGGCATCAAAAAGCGTGACTTGAATCTCGTTATTAGGCGATAACTCAATCCGCGTAGGCGTCTCCAACGGAATCGTCTTCTGCATCACTCATCAGCTCACCCCTTCACGTCCACCTGAAAACATAGGTAGCCACGTACCAGTCTCGGCTCAAGCGACTTGTAAGTCTGCTTGCGAGCCTCCAAGATGCCATTCTCAAAATTAATCCTATTCGTATTCCGTTCCAGTCGAATCAAGAGTTCTTTCGTCGCAGCAGAGCAGTACACGCTGTACACATACGGATTAGCAAGGGCATGGAGGCATTGACAAACCCAAGCAGCGCTGGACCCAAGTCTCAGAATATACTGTACATACAAGCAAGCCTTAAAGTTCTCAAGCCCAGTAAGATGATCACTATGTATATGGCTTAGGAATGCCTTCAGCGGAGGACGATGACCAGGGATCTCGCGGAAGTAATCGACTGTAATCCATTCATTAGCAGGGGATTGGTCCCGTCCTCTAATCCAATACTCCAATCTAATCCTCCAAAGAGAAATCGAGTTTCTCGAAGTTAAGTCAACGCACCTCGAACATCAGGGAACTCAGCCATCAAACCACCGAATGTTGACATGTCAGCGGTTTGTAATGGCGGATTCCCATTCCATCCCAGGTTTACCGTCGTCAATGTTGAAGTTTTCAGAAAACGTAGGGAGTAAAGTGGCGATGGAATGTGCCAATGTGGACGGGACGGAACGGTTTCGCGAAGACGTGAAAATGTTGACGCGCTGGAAGTGGGGCGGAACGCCATATCACGTGCCCGGCCATGATCCCCTGCTCAACTCTCTACATCACAACAGGGTTCTTTGCCTGTGCTAGAGGGCCCTTTTCGCGCACAAGAGAGTCAGTGTAAGAGCATGTGAACTTCAGGAAGCGGGTATAAAGGGATATTTGCTATATATCCATATCTCAACAGCTAAGCATACAGCCATACTCTTACTATGCTACCGCCCCATCCCATCCCATCCCATCCACATTGTCCTATATCATTTGACGATTTTTACCTCTATACCTATAAGTTCGTTTGTTACCCATACAGGATCCGATGTTCATATCGTTTTATCTTCCTCGAAACATTCTGCATCCACGTCAACCTTGACCCGCTTCTCCTCCCGCTCCGTCTGATCGTCACCCTCGTCAACCTTCCTCTTAGCCGCATGTCCCAAGGAGGCGGGTGCAGCTTCAGCAATTGAGTTTAGATCTCTGTCTTCAAGTCCGACGAATCGGCACAAGGTCCTCTTCTTGAATTCCTCCAAGCTGATCAGCTCCCCAGACTCCTCATCGTGGACCATTCTCAGTAGTCCTTCGGCCTAGTAACATTGTAATCAGTAGGTGGCATGCGGATGAGACAACAAGGAAAAGGCCCCACTTACTTTGGCCGATTCTTCCATCATCATCCGATCTATGTCACAGGCCGCGAAGGCCTCGGCATATTGCTCCCATTGCTGATCGGCACATTCAAAACCAGGCCCATTGGACGAATCCAGCCACCATTTTCCTCCCCAGCTGTCCATACCAGCTACTTGTAAGGCTATGCCCTCTACAAGATCCTTTGGTGCCCCGTTGGCCTCTAGCATCAATATCAGCAACAGACATAATCATCCCTTGAACTGAGACTTTGTGCTCAGGGCCAACCTACGGCAATAGTCTAGAAAATAACTAGACATCTCAACGGGGTCGCCTTCTAAAATTTTGGTAGCCCACTGTAGTAAGAACTGGCCTGGCCAATCGGAGATACCCTCTTCAAGCGAAATTGACTCAAGCATGAGCTTGCCGCTCTTGTCTATATGAGAGACTTTGAATTTGCATTTGAATGCCTTTGCAACCATTTCAAACTTATCGTCTTGCATGATGGAGTAGGCAATGTTTTTGATATCCGCAAGAGAACAACTGATTAGATTCCCATTGACTTGAAGAACTGCATCGTGCATGGACTCGGGCTCCTTTTCAACCACAGGTTCAGGGGGTTCAACTTCCTGCGGCGGAGTGGGGGATTCAAGTTCGGGCTTCTTCGCCGGCATCTGGGCTTGTAATTGTGCTTGTACTTGATGTGGGATCTGTACCGCAGGAATTGATGGTGGTAAACGTACAACAGGAACTGGTCTTGCCGGCTGAGGTTGCCTCAACCCAGCTGAAGTATCATTAGCCATCATAGACCGATTTATGCATTCTTTTGTATGCCCTCCAATAGGATCATTTCCTGGGAAGGGCTCCTTGACTATACAGTCATTAGACAGATATAGAGCAGCAAGAATAAGAAGTACTCACAAAACTGCTTCCAGGTGAGACTATCAGCTATAAAGTGCTTGACGGCTTTCTCGCAATGTTTATGCTCTGAATTGGTTTGGTCTCGCATCCGCTGAAGATATTGAAAGAACTGGCGTCTGGCATTCTGACCTCCACGCTGCTTGACTTTGTCTTCCATTTGCTTTTCAAGAGTAACATATTCTGTAGGCCAGGGGCTTCCTCGCTTGTCTACTTCCTTGGTGGCTCCCTTGGATATTGTTCTGTGGAAGGAACGGTGGTCAGCGTGGGAGCTCTTTGTGTCGGAATCGTTAGATGTTTTGGGGCAAGATTTACCTCAACGGCTCCAATGCGCCAGAGCGAGTGCTGGCTCCTTTTCGAGGGAATGCCGAATGTGGCTCTTCGAACGGAAATGGCTTCTGAAAAGCTGTACACAGTCAGTAATGATTACCACAACCTTTTTGAACTCACAAAAGTACGACCACATCATAGACTGCGCCGCCCATTCCAACCACTCCTGATTCAATACCTTCTTCGGGTGCTTAGTACGGACCTCGTCCTTACAGATCTTTTGAACCATATCAAATCTTTGAGTAGTAATGCCGTTGCTGATAGCCATGCTCCTCATTTCCTCGTCTTGCGATCGTGACTCGTCCTGTCTAGGGCCAGTTGGGATGCCTTTAGAAAGAGGTATCTGAGAGTGTCCCATAGAAAGTGAAACAATCTCGCTAGTATGGGCCGTTGCGCCTCCGTCTCTTGCTGGTCTATAATGATCACTTCGAAGCAAGCTCCTAGAGGGTTTGTAGTAATCAGGCAGCTTGAACGATTCGGATTCGGATGAGGGAGGGATGTGTTTAGTAGGCGAGGATAGTGTAGGAGAATACTTGTCGTGGATCCACCTATTATTTCCTCTATCAGCAACGGCAGCTCTCGTAGTGGAATGATCTAAGCCGTCGTTGAATATGCGGTCTAATCTCGAAGGTTGAGGGTTTTGGTCATCCTCGAGCTCCATTTTGAATACCGTCCGCTCTGTTCCGGCTTCACTTCCCGGGAAACACTCCCCAGGAACTGGTCAATGTCAGCTGTTTTCCAAGGCTACTTGAAGTGCTCACCGTCGTATGGAATGGAGTTCAAACTTACAGAAGTGCTCCCATGTGAGGGACTCTACAGAATCGCTGCTGCTCGATCTGTCTCGGACCTTTTTCTTCATCATATCGATATACTGGTACAAGTCGCTTTCACTGATGTTCGATTCCCGCGCACGGGACTCGAGAGCCGCTCTTTGAGACGCCATTGTGAGTGTTGCAGATATCTAGGCGGAGAATGACTTGGGTTGTGTGAGTGATCAGGAGGAGTCGTACTTGGAAAGGACCTACCTTTCCTTTCACGTAGACAGACTCTGGTAGCATGAACCTAAAAACAGAGTCATATAAGTAGATAGGTAGTCAGTAATTCACAAGAAGGTTCGATACTGTATGTTGTCAGTTGAGGGAAGTCGCGTTCATATTCGCATTCCCAGAGCGGCGAGCGGTAGCATAAAAAGGCAAAACGACCTTGCAAAAATCATGTCCCTGGCCGAGTGAATACTCCTATGCAAAATCACATTGCTGCTTTGAATTACGAGCACATGACAAAGACATCTTTTGAAGATGTTTGATCTAGTGCCGTCTTGATTGCCCACCTGAGGTCAAACATCGCAGCTTCTTGTAGCCAACACAATAGATGAAGACTATGCAGCATCCCGGCAACAACACGTCAACAGCAAGCGCAATGCATTGCTTCTGCTTTTGCCTATAGTATATAAGGGTAGCGCTCAACGTTCAGTGTAGCAAACTGTTTTGAATGTCGTATTCGCAATAAGTGAAACAGAAGTACAGCAGACATAATGCATAAGCTTCCAAGTAGCTGCAAAGAAATATCACTTCAGTCTAGACTACCTTGTTGACCTACGCTCGTAGGATAAAGACCAGACGATGTTAAGCAGAAAATACCTATGTTGTGGATTTAATACTACAAACCGCCCCAAACACCAATGCTCCCTATGCTCCCTATGCTCCAAAAACACCTGATCGCAATCCCGTAACAACCCAACCCCCTAAAAACAACTTATCTACAGATCTAGTCCTCTTCCGCATCTTCGTCCCAAGCCTCCTTCTCCCTCTTGATAAGCTCTCCCATATCCTCCGGCTTGAAGATCGAGCTGCCTGGATTCGAAGACCGAGGCACCTTAACAGTGCTCCTCTCGTCATCAAATACAAGCCCAATGCCCTCAATCCATTTCTTCCGTCTCTCCATGACCGTCTTGGTCATATCGCCAATACCCGGTCTTGCCATCCCAGTAGCACCGCCAACAAAGTGACTGCCTCCACCAGCTCCACCGGGTCGCTTGTTCTTCTTGCTCTTGCCCATTGTGCGTGTCCGCTTCAGATACGCTGTTTGGACTTGGCTGTCGAGATCTTCGAGGATGGTAGTGTATTCTTGGTGGGCCATTCGCTCCTTGACAAGATCTTGTAGTTTGGCTTTGCGAGCACCATTGATGATGGATTGTTGCTTCAACTCCGCCTGAAGTGCGCGTAGACGTACACCAATTTCATCGTCATAGTGGGCTTCGTAGTCGGGGTCCGGATCAGGAGGCAAGAAACCGATGTGACGGAGTTCTTGCTTGAGTCTTTCGTCAACTTGCGAGTATTCGAGTTTGGGATGACTGGCTTTCTTCCAGGATTCTGAAGCAGAGTCTGTCATGTAGGTAGCTGGAGGAACTGGGGCCGCTTCACCAGATGCTTGAAAAGGATCACTGAGATCCCCATTGGCCTCCCCGTTGACGTTTGCCTCGCCATTTGTAAGTCCATTTGTCGTCGGCTTCTCTTCAGACGGCGGCGCGCGATGCTCTGGTCTAAGGGTTGCTAACAATCTTGAACAGACTGGGCCAGCTGAAATCTGATCCGTCTCTGCGATAGCATCATCCAAAGTATCAATGCTGCCACGGCCCTGGTTAGCCGGGAGCTTATCACGACCATGCAGGGGATTATCCAGAGCCATAGCACCATCTTCCTCCGCCCATAGTTCGCTATAATGCTTCTTGCCTCGACGAGGCATGACAAATGGAGTGGTACGGTCACCCCTATCGCGGAGAAAGGCGCTGTCTTCTTCGGTGTAGGCTCGGAAGTAAGGCTCGAGGTAGGTAGCAAAGGTATTGGCTTGCACTTGGTTTGTAGCTTTCCCATTGCTGAAATCTTTATCGGGGGGCGTCCCAGGGATCAAGTTCTCCAGATTTGATTCTGGGAAATAGGCCACTGAGTATATCCTGCGCTTCGTATCATCATCCATATCGGGGGTCACATTTTGAATATCGTATACTGTTGGGTCTGGGAATGTGGTGGGATCGTCGCCAAAGGTTTGGAGGTGTGGTATTGATGGCGCGGGAGGAGGTTGATGCTCGTCGGAGCTGGAATCTTCTTCGTCGACTGCCCGTTCGTCCTTGTCGTCAACATCCATCCCAGTAGCTGCAGGTGTCGCAACAACAGGAGACAAAGATGAGCTAGCGGAATCGTCGCCGGATAATCTGCGAGATGTTTTTCCTACGTGAGGTATTGGTGAGGATCGGTCTGATGAGAATGGCTAGTTAGTTCTTCGTCTAAACCTTGGGACATATTGAATATATCACCACAACAATCGCTAAACCATTCAATGAATGACAGTACGAACCTAGATTTGTTCCATCTTGAGGCGCCAAACCATGCGCGCCATGTGTCAATGGTCTTTCTTCTGCGCTTGTATCCTTTCTTCTCTTGAGCTTGTTGGCCCTATGTCTCCCCCGCTCCTCTTCTTCGGCGGCATCTCTCTTCTTTTTCTCCATGACCTCTTGCTCTTGATTTTGCCTTGCGATGTCATCTTGTCTATCCTTTCTCATCTCCACCATGAGGCGCATTCCTTTGTTGCAGATGTCACCCCGAGTCTCGATGATGGCCATGAGCCGCTTCAATTTGTCGGAAAGGGCTTCCAAGTCTTTGGAGCTGGGAATTGCAAGCGCAACATAGTCGCCAAAGTCAGGCGATGTCGGGAACTTGTCTTTGGGAAGCTCGAGGAGCCCAGTCTCACCAGACTCGGTGTGGGATAAAGAGGTGGAGGTGCCGATGATGCTGGGCGTGGTATTGCGACTGCGACTCTGACGCGGGTCTCTGCCCTTCTTGCCGGTGCCTTTCTGACTAGGAAGGGGGGGCATTGTGGGTGAGGGTGAGTGATGCAGCGCAATAGGATTGTGGTTGGGTTCAATTCCCAGGTGTGATGTACATGTACATGTGAATTCACAGTTGAGGCTGCGGTCGTTGAATCTGCGTCATAGTGAAGTTCCGTAGAGATGGAGAGAAGAGAGTTTAAGGTTACTGAGTGGAGCTACGCTACAAGTACGGTACAACGCTTGGCGCATAAGCCCTTGCAAGTTGCAAGTTGCAAATTGTAAGATGCGGCAAGGCGATGCGATGCAATACGACGCGATACGATACGAGTGACCTCTTGTAGCTATCGTATCGCGGGACGGAATGATTTGATTCTCCGATGCGCAGCCTAAATTGTGTTTTAAGTTTATAGTATAGTAAGGCTGTTAGGGACTTTAGATGCACGAGAAGATACTTCTTACCGCACGAATATTTCTGAAGCAAGAAAACCGTTCATCTCCATATTCATTTATCCCATCCCATCCCATCCCATCGCATCCTATCCCATCCTTTCCTCTCCCTTGCCTCAGAGTCCAGGCTAGCCTGTCCTGGCCTCCTCAGTCCTGACCCTGAGTCCGTCCCGTCCGGAAGTGAGTGCTGATACGCAGAGAAGCGAGGCAAAACACGCAGGCAGTACTGTAGTGAAGATCATCTCAGACAAGCTTTTCTGACACCCCCTCAAGACCCCCCCCCCCGACCCCCCAAGACTCTTGGCATTTGCCCTTTATCGGTGTCCCTCATCAACGACGCTTTGCACGACGATCAGTATCCTGACCCCCCGAACAACCCTTTGTACGCATGTTGGCCCATAATACGCGCAGAGCGAACGCCCTGCTGCGTGCTGGAAGACGCTCTGCGCTTTGCCGGCCCTTGCTGTGCTGAAGATGTGTGCGTTCGTTTGTTTTCATCATTCCGTTGTCCTTGTTCAGCCTTGGCATCTGGGCGCCCAGATCTGGTGGATGTACATATTCTTGGCTCCTACCATAGCTCGATGCCCTTTTCTGTTTTGATCCCTACTACTACTGAGTGGGGAATAGTTTTACGTACCGGTACTGTACTGACTTTGACTCCATAGCGGCGAATCAGATAAAATCTTATGTGTACGTCTTGCCCGCTGCCCCGAAATCCCGTATTGCTATCCCCGGCCCTCAGCTGAGCCGCATTGGCAACATCAACATCAACATCAACATCAATCCATCCAACACGCGACCCATTCAAATCTAGATAGCTAACCATAGCCTAGACTACTCTTCCCCAACGAAGAATGGGGTAACACAGCCACCGACACGCAACTCGATAACAACGTCTCACAAGTGTCCGTACGTATCTTGTACCTTGCCTAGTTCCACAACGACGCGACTGACCTTCGGAACAGCCCAATCTCTCATTCTATCAGGATCTCCAAGACAAGATTCAAACCCTGTCTACGCAAAATGCCGACCGAGGTGGTACCACGGGTGGATTTCTTTATGTACCCGACCTAGAAGCGCACAGCGAATGCTATAACGTCTCCACAGCATACGTACCAACCAATGCCACTAGACAAGCCAACCTACCCCCAACAGACTTCACTCTAATAGCCGTCGCTCCTTGGATCAATGTTGAATGCACCCGAGAATATATGGGTGCCGCACGTCAAGACCCAAATCGAGCATTTATATTCTATCTTCCTGACAATGACACAACTACGCCTCCGTCGCCTTCCGATCCAGTTTGGAATCTCCAGGATGGTGGTGCCTGGAAGACAAAGACTCAGTATCCAGTATATACAATTCCTGGATATTATGGTGACCGGCTGATGCATGCACTGAGTCTTTACTCAGGAAACATGACAAGTGTTCCTTACGGCCACCAAATATCAGAGCTTCCTGGTATAGATCCTCGAAGCTACGTCCGGCTATACACCGTCATCGACAACTCAAATTCATCAACTCTGCCCCAATTTTGGGTTTTCTTGCTTCTTGTAATTGCAGTCCTCGTTGTTATTCTGGGATCTACCTCAGCCGCTATGCATCTCATCCAAAGATGGCGGCGTCATTCTCTCCGCCGCCGGGTGGCGAGTGGAGAAGTCAATCTCGAGGCCCTTGGAATTAAACGTCTTGCCGTACCACATAGCCTCATTGATCGACTTCCTCTCTTTATATATAACGACGAAAACGAAACATCGCTTCCGCCATCTCCTTTACATAAGAGAAGTCTGACTGCTGCCACCACTGAGCGACATCTCCCAACAAACTTCTCGGCCGGTACAACTTCCCAATCAGAATTTCGAGATCATGGGACAGCTATACCCCGGGAACTGATTCTAGTTGACGGCCGTGCTTCTACTCCAGACTCGTATTTTGTCCATAAGTTCTTGCCATATTCACAACCTACCTGTCATATATGTGACGATGATTTTGAAGTGGGTGTAACAGAAATCAGGGAACTTCCCTGTGGCCATATATTTCATCCAGACTGCATCGACACTTTCTTGGGATCGAGCAGTTCACTCTGTCCCGTATGCAAGCAGAGTGCATTACTTCCCGGTTATTGCCCAACCAAAATAACTAATGCGATGGTTCGTCGTGAACGAAATCTGCGAAGATTACGGCATAGGATAACACTCTACGACGGAAGTACAAGAGCAGAATCAAGTACAGTATGGGGTCGGATAAAGAATATAAATTGGAAGCTGGAGAATAATCCTATGTCTAATCAGCAGTCGAGTCAGGAATTATCGCCGATGCCAGAGGCACAGCAAGTGTTCATAACAAACGCTCTGCCCACACAACCTCGAGCCTCGGTCCTTGGTCAGGAAATACCACATGGTCCTACACGACAAGAGATAGTGGGGCAGAGGATACGAGAGATAGCAGCATCTCAGACTCCAATTCAAGATCCGGATGAGGCTAGTGAGCGACAGCAGCGTCCAAAATGTGAGTAACAACTGGCCCATGAGCAAGAAAATAGCTAATATATTCTCAGGGAAGCAAACTCTGTCAAAGGCATTCCCTGGTTTCACGTAATGGTTTGGGAAATATATGTAGTCTGGTCTTGTATATAGCGTTGCGTTGAGGGTCGGTGTTATGGGCGTTTATGTTGGGCGTTCATATTGGGCGAGAAGGTTTGCATCTATTGGAGTCGTGAAATCATGAAATCATGAAGGATAGGATTATAGGACTGTGCAAATATGGCGATATGGTGCATTAAAGGGGTTTCTTGGAGCAGAGGACATTGGTCAACATACCTGTAAATGCCTGGCCGGATGTATATATAACGATAGCAATGTTGGATGAAATACCAAAAGATTCAAAACAATCCGAGAAACTACTCCACAGCTAGATACCTACTAATGAGTCTCCTCTCTTATGCCCACATGGCATTGCCAAGAACTGCTACCGCCAACCCGGGCTACTGTAAATTCTACTATCTTATCGCAGAAGCATCAGTTCACAACGCGGGGTAAACAACTTGGGACAACATCGTCAGGCAATTGAAGCTATTTCGAAGCTTTAACCACTTGTAACTGGTGTTCAGCCTTTGTCTAGCTCAAGATGCATCTCGTCCCCAAAGAAGTGCGTCCAGCCCAGTACTTCCCAAATGAAGGCCTCGCTCACAAGTCCACATAGTTAGACAAGCTGGTCATTTCCCAGCTAGGCCTCCTTGCACAGCGACGACTTGCTCGAGGCGTGAAGCTGAATCACTCAGAAGCAGCAGTCAGTATCCGGCAATGCCTCAGCCCAATGGCATAGCGAAGTTGACTCTTGACCCAGGCTCTCATCGCGAACAATCTCCAAGAAGTCCCTCCCCGCCCCCTCTTCAGCAGAAAACACCAGACCTAACAGCTGAAAGCTTATCCGCGATGGCAATCACACAGTGGCAGACCTCATGTCAATCGGGGCTACTATGCTCGGTCGCCGCCATGTTCTCCCGTCCGTCTGCTCGACTCTCACAGAGATCATGGTCGAAGGTACCTTTCCCACGGGAACCTACCTCGTCACGGTGCACCACCCAATCAGCAGCGATGATGGCGATCTTGCGAAGGCTTTGTACGGCAGCTTCTTGCCCATCCCGGATATAAACGTGTTTGAAATGCCTGCAGCCGAAGAATACGAGGCTACGAAGCAGCCGGGTGCGGTTGTGACGGTCAAGGGGAAGGTGGTGCTGAATGAGGGTAGGAAGAGGATTAGATTGAAGGTTACAAGCAAGGGAGATCGACCAATACAGGTATACATTTTAAGGGGATTGGTAAATAATCGCTAAGACTAGTAGATTGGTTCCCACTATCACTTCATCGAGACGAATCCCCAGCTCGAGTTTGACCGCATCAAAGCATATGGATACCGCCTTGACATCGCCGCAGGAACTTCTGTCCGTTTCGAGCCTGGAGATGCCAAGACTGTTACACTTGTTGAGATTGGCGGAAATAAAGTCATCCGTGGTGGGAATCACATTGCTACTGGCAAGGTGGATCTTTCTCGTGTCGAGGACATCCTTTCCAATCTTCAACAAGCAGGTTTCGCCCATGTTCCTACTGCTATCGGTGATGCTGCACATATTGATATGTTTGAGATGGACAGAGCTGCTTATTGCACTATGTTTGGCCCTACTACTGGCGATACTGTTAGACTGGGCTTTACGGACCTTTGGGTCAAAGTTGAGAAAGATCTTACTTCTTTCGGTGATGAGTGCAAGTTTGGTGGCGGTAAGACTCTACGAGAAGGTATGGGTCAGGCTACTGGAGTATCGGATGAAGTTTCATTGGATCTTGTTATTGTGAATGCCTTGATTGTCGATTGGAGCGGTATATATAAAGCAGATATTGGAGTCAAGAACGGTGTCATAGTTGGCATTGGAAAAGCTGGAAATCCAGATGTGATGGACGGTGTGGCTCCTAACATGGTTGTTGGATCTTGCACGGATGTTATTGCTGGAGAAGGAAAGATTATTACATCAGGTGGTTTTGATTCTCATATTCACTTTATCTGCCCTCAACAAGTGTATGAAGCAATCTCATCTGGTATTACCACTATGCTTGGAGGAGGAACGGGCCCTAGGTAGGTTGCTAATTTTTCGAAAAGGAACCTAGCTAACGCCCCTTTAGTGCTGGCACAAGTGCAACAACTTGCACTCCTGGAAAGAACTACATGCGTCAAATGCTCCAGGCTTGTGATACCCTACCAGTCAACCTTGGAATCACAGGCAAAGGAAACGACAGCAATCCTTTAGCACTCCGAGAGCAAGTAATTGCCGGTGCTTGTGGTCTCAAACTCCACGAGGATTGGGGCACGACTCCTTCAGCTATTGACTCCTGCTTGACAGTCTGTGATGAGTTTGATGTCCAATGTCTCATCCACACTGATACATTGAACGAGTCCGGTTTCGTCGAATCAACTATTGCAGCATTCAAAGACCGTGCAATCCACACATATCACACCGAGGGTGCTGGTGGTGGCCATGCTCCAGATATCATCAGTGTCGTCGAGCACGCCAACGTGCTACCTTCCTCAACCAACCCAACACGACCATTTACGAGGAATACACTTGACGAACATCTCGACATGTTAATGGTATGCCATCATCTGTCCAAGAACATCCCCGAAGACGTCGCGTTCGCCGAATCCCGTATCCGCGCCGAAACAATCGCCGCCGAGGACGTCCTCCACGATCTCGGCGCCATCAGCATGATGTCTTCGGATTCTCAAGCCATGGGTCGCTGTGGAGAAGTCATCCTCCGCACCTGGAACACAGCTCACAAGAACAAAGTCCAGCGCGGCACACTAAAGGAAGACGAAGGAACAGGAGCAGACAACTTCCGTGTGAAGAGATATGTCAGCAAATACACCATCAACCCAGCGGTTGCACAGGGCATGGGCCATGTAATCGGAAGTGTCGAAGTAGGCAAATTGGCCGATCTCGTAGTTTGGGACCCGGCTTGGTTTGGTACGAAACCTACAACTGTGATTAAAAGCGGTTTGATCTCCTACGCACAAATGGTAAGACAGGCCCATTCACTTCCTCCCTCCCTTCCTTCCCCTAACCAACAATTAATCTTAACAGGGGGACCCCAACGCTTCCATCCCAACCGTCCAACCAATAATCTCACGCCCCATGTTCGCGCCCCTCGTGCCCCAAACGTCCATCCTCTTCGTCTCCCAATCGTCTATTACAAGCGGTACTATCGCTTCCTACGGACTGAAGAAACGCATCGAGGCGGTGAAGAACTGCCGGAAGATCGGGAAGAGGGATATGAAGTTCAATGATGTGAGGCCGAAGATGAAGGTTGATCCAGAGAGTTATAGGGTTGAGGCCGATGGCGTGCATGCTACGTGTGAAGCGGCTACGGCGTTGCCGTTGACGCAGGCGGCGTATGTTTATTGAGATGCGTTATGAACTTATGATTATGATTGGTTTATTTATGTTATTGGTGTTGGTTATATGTGATCAATATATGCTTCTGTTACATTGCCATATTCGTCTAAATAGGCCCAGTTTGCAGTTATGACAGTCTGAAGTAACTTGCTTGAGCAAAGGGCTGGAATGATTCGATGCAGCACCGGAGCAAAGCAATAGACACAAGACATGTTGGCAACGGCTCGAAGAACCATTGTGGAGACTTGGAATTGTAATTTCTTTCTATAATGTCCATGGGCATTGTAACAACAATCGTACAGCTAAGACCTGAATCTACTTGCATACCAGCAAGAATAGCACAGTGCAAAAGCCCAGGAGACGCCACCAGACCTAACCCAGCCCCTCATTATTCGTATGTCATGTCATGTCTATCATAATTCGTAGCTTTTGCTCTCCCACCAAGTTGTACAGTATAATCGTATCGTACCGTAATCGTATCAATCAATCAATCCAGCCACCTCTGCTGGTCTCTGTCGTAACCAATGATATCCAGATCAACATTCAGCGTCCGGAGCATCATAGCCATCGTGAACTCCTGAAAATAGAATATACAGTCAGTATAAGGTAGAATCCATCAATAAACAGGCAGGAGGAAGATAAAGCACGCACATCTTCCTCTCCCGGCCGTTCGCCCGTATCACCAAGTCCCTTTGGGCGCTGGGACTTCTCGTTCTCAGTTTCCTCATCCACATCATACTGGGCATAGAGATCTTTCTTCGCAGCCTCCCTAGCTTCTGCCTCTGCCTCATCATCGTCCGAATCATTACCATTGCCGGTATTCATCTGCTCATCTTGCTGATCCCACGTAGTCTGGAACTCCTCTTGCTTCTTCTGCATCTCCTTCCAAGCTCGCGGTCCTCCCATCCTGCCATCAGCCAGAATATCAGCACTCGTCCCATGATGTGTAAGAGACACAAAGGGGAATGAGATCCGAGTATATCACAAACCTATTAACCTTATCCCTCACCTGCCCAAACAGCTCCTCAGCAGCCTGTCGACTAGCGGCCGTCCACCTGCCAATCAACTCCACCAGCTCCCCATCAACCTCGACCTCTACTCCCCCTCCCACAACACTCTTCCTCCGACTCTCCGCCTCGATCTTCCGCGCCTGCTCCGCAACATCCAACCCCTCCTTCACATCCCTCAACTCCCTCTCCAGCTCCAGCTGCCTCCGCAGAAGCGCCGCAACCTCCGGATCGGCATTCAGCGCTGCGGCTTGTACGGGCGACGAGAAGGTTTTCTGAGAGCGGGGGCCGCGGGTACGAGATGGCGTTGCGAGGGACGGGATTGGGAACGAGATATTGGGGGTCTTGTCGGCGAGAACAGAGGGGGTGTTGGTGGCGTCGCGTGTAGGTGTAGATGTAAATGTGTCTTTGACGGGGGATTTGAAGGGCGTTTTGAAAGGTGAGCGGAAGGGCTTTGCGAGGACGTGGGAGGCTGCGTCGATGCGGCGGCGTTTGGCGGCTTGGGTTGACATCTTTGCTTGTGATGCTGGTTGTGCTTGGGATTGGAATTGGGGAGGTGTTAGTGCTGAGGGGTCAGTTTTGGATCAATTGGTGGGAGCATTGCATTGTTGTTTGTTGTTGATATTTAGAGAGGATGGAAATTGGGATTGGCGAGAATGTCGTATGGCCGAGTTGAGACAACACAAGCACGACTACCAGAGGCCAGCATTTGGGAAATTCAAGGGAAACGATGATGTAATATATAATCGCTTTTTAACGCTGGTCTATTTACACAAACTAAATTACATTTCAGTGACCTACTCCACCAGCCACCCATTGCCCAAATTCTGGATCTCCAGGCCGTGGGAAAAGCCCCCGATCTCCTCCCTGAGGCTGTTGCACCTGTGCCTGAGCAGCTAGCTGATCTCCCTGTCGTGCCCTTGCAGCATCCTCTTGCCGCCTATGTGCCTGCTGGGCCTGCTGGCGCCAGTAGATGAGAAACGCCAGCGCCGTAACAAGGACAATAATAAGCACGCTTTCCAAAAGCCCATCATCAATACCGTCATCGTAGAACCCATCCGAGTCTCCGCCCGGCATTGGATCATTGTCTGGAAGATAGTTTTCATCATAATCAGCATCACCGTAATATGGGTGATCATCTTGAAGAAAGTTGCTGATCCATTCTGATAATGACCACTGCTTCTTAGGCGCTACAATTGTTAGCATAGGATCTCAACTGCCAAAAAAGACATAGCTTACCTGGTTCATCTTGAATGGAATTGACCCTGCCATGTGTCAGAGTATTCCAAGCACTTCGGAGTCGCAATTTAAGCAAGCTCAATGTTACAGGCAAATAGGCCTCATCGTTCGTTTCTAGGGCGTGGTCATAAAATCTCTTCGCAAGGTGAAAGTCTTGATCGAGACCAACTCCATTCTCATGCATCCACCCTAGATTGTACAAGGCTTGAGCGCTTTGATGAAATTCAGAAGCTGAATTGTAGCAAGTTGCTGCCTTGTCCATATCAGGCTCTGTCCCAATTCCATATAAATAGTAGTCTCCCATCTTGACCATAGAATCGATGTTAGTTTGCTTCGCTGATCTTGTCCAATATATCAGAGCCAGAGCAGCGTTTTGAAGTAGTATCGGTCGAGGGTTGTTTGACAGAGTTAACCAAGATGGCAAAATCCATTTGGCCTTTTGCTCATCGAGAAGATATGCTACATTCGCCTGGCCTTTCTCATAGCCTTGTTCAGCTGCGTGCATAAAATCAACAAGCGCTAACTCGGAATTCCCCTCCTCATATGCTCGATTGGCTTCAGAGAATGAAGAAAGTAGCGGTTCTGCTTTCTCTGCAACGTTCTTATAGTAAGCAGCTGCAAGCCCACAGCTTCGGTCCCTCCCAACCCCTTGGTTGATGAGCTCGGCTAGGTAGTAGTAGGCCTCGATGTGGCCATACCGTGCAGCGAGTTCGAAATAGCGATTTGCAACTTGGATATCACTTGGGGTGCCTTGATCTAGGTACAAAGCTCCTAGGCTCACCTGTGCAGGGGCGTAATCTTGCTCTGCAGAGGCCTTGAATAGTTCGGTCGCTCTGATGGTGTTCTTCGGGATACCCAGGCCTTCCAAATTCATCAAACCCAGTCCATACTGAGACCCCGCATCGCCACTCTTAACACCACGCTGTAACCAATTGTTCGCTTTCTCGAAGTTTTGAGCAACTCCTTCTCCTCGTAGGGACATACGGCCTAGGTATCCAGCAGCTTTGGTAGCAATCTTCTCCAATCCTGGCTTGTCGGCATCGATTATGCGGCCATCCTTTTGCCAGTACATTTTAGCAACCCTCATGAAATACCACTGCGCACTTTTCAAATTTCGGGCAAGGCCTTTTTGCCCATCGTAATGGATCCGTCCCAGACTAAAGGTTGCCTTAAAGTCTCCCTTCCTCGACATCAAATCAAGGTACTCCAAAACATCATCCAGAGCTGCATGGGCATCTGAGCTCGGCCCAGCTTTATTGGCATTGTTTCCAGCGCTCGAGAAGCTCGCCCCTTCGCCATAGACACCACCATCATCATCCGCCAGTCGATAAGAGTCAGGTACCCATGCCATTCCTCCTGGAGGTCCAGATCTGTACCACTCAATAGCCTTGTCCGAAACGTTCTTGTAGTGTTTGACTGCCAAATCGCAGTTCCGCGCTGTCCCAATGCCACTATGATGTCGAAATGCTACAGTCATCTCGGATCTTATACTTCCCCCTTGAGCCGCATATGTGTGATAAAGTAGCGCCTTTGCTTGGTCGTTCTCAACAGCTCCCCCAATTCCCGTGGCATACATAAAACCAATCATATGCTGTGCCGAGCTATTTCCGTTCAATGTGGCTAGTTGGTGGTACCTCCTGAAGGCTTCTGAATAATCGTTCGGGTGTGTGAAATTGCCATAGAAGTTCATCTGGGCAAGAAGGTACATGGCGTCTGGATTTTCGACTTGAGCTGCTTCTTCTAACAATCGAACTCCTTCGGCAACTGCTTTTGGGAGAGCCTTGTATCCCTCACTTTCTCCTGACCCATCCGAAGGCGGACCTTGGATGTATAACCGTGGCAGCGCTGCCAGAACATATTGACCAACTGCTGCTACTATTCCGGGAGGTTTTCGAGAGGGTCGTGGATTTAAACGTTCATGTCGTCGTAATAAGTAAAGTGCTTTGTCAACTTGCTCCTTGCCTAATTCAGTCAGCCAAGTCCTTTCTACGAAGAACTGTCCTTCTCACCATCTATCCTACTCCTGCCTTCCTCTTGTTCTCGGAGAGGTTGCTGGGGCGTCGGCGATTGCGCAGCTACTGGTAAAGGGCTGCCGTCTGAATTTGTGCTTAATGTCGACTCATCGTGAAGAGCCTTCGCAGACGTAATAGGAAGGATTATCTGTAAAAACACTGTAGCACAAAACTGTTAGCTTTGGGTGGAAAAGACTCCGAATAGCAAGTAGCCTACAGATCAAGAACGGCAATAGCCGTTTGCTTCCGTCTTTCATGTTGTAGAGCTCGGCGCAAAAAGCAATTACTTCGTGCCAGAAGCTGAAGAAAAGAAATCGATCATCGTCTCATGCCCTCGTGAAATGACATGTCGGAATAGGCGGGGTGTTGGGAGCCTGGATGGAAGTTGGTATTTGTAAAGCTTCCACGCTGTTATCTTCTTTAGGCGGAGTTGTCGCGTGTCTAAGCCGAGCTTCCTCTTGGCTTTTACGACCTCATTACAAATCAACAAGTCAACAGCAGTTCTAAAATCCTGTAATGGATTGGATTTTAATATCACGATTTTCAGTCAACATCTATTATGGCTTCATGTTGGGTATTATAGGATGGTACAATATTTTCTCCATCAAAAGGCCCCCAGGTATTTCAATCGCCCCCTCTCCACGCCTTGACTTGCCCGTCTTCGCCAGCGGTCAATACCGTTTTATGCTACATTTCTATCAGAATTGGGAAGTCAATAAGTCGTGGAGGTACTCACCGAGTCTAAGAAGCAAAAAGCGCGTACAATTTCAGAACTATGAGCTCCAACCAAAGTAACCTTCGACTCAGGCGCAAACGTCCAAGGGGAACCATTCTTCAGCTGAACCAGATCAAAGCTTTCTCGACTATGAGCTGTGTTAATATTGCGCTGTATGATCACTTAGGGCGTGAAGTCCACTTACCTATGAGTTCCAACACCAAGTACAGCACCACCGTCCGGTCTCCTCAAAACATTTGCAACATACTCGCCACCCAACTGTTCCCTCATATCCCCATAATGTATAGGAGGGGGTTCCTCAACGCCTTCTTCAGGATTTGTCACCAACTCGTACATTGAGAACTTCTCATCATGTGACAGAGCAAATATGTTTACATCGCTGAGAAAGTTGGCGTGGTGTATTGAATGCCCATGATTGATAGTTTGGTGTATAGCTTCTTCCTCATCTGTGATTGTGGTATTGTAGATATTTACCAACCCATCTGTTGAGCCGGAAAGTAATATTTGCGGCCGGCTGGGATGAAATTGTAGCTGGACGAGAGTTAGCATGATTCCAGAGCTGACCTGTGTGCAACAAACTTCTGTGACATCATCACTATGGCTTTCAACGTATTTAACAACGGGTTCCGAAAGGTCTCTCGTGTCCCTATCATCATCAGCAACGGAGCTTGAAATACTGGCACTGAAGAACCCACCATATCAAAACTGCTGCTTGGTGATTAGTCAATTCCGTCCCCGCTGCAAGACCGTACGGATATGAGCATGCCAGCGATATTATAGGAGCATTCTGATCTATTATATGTCAGAAAAATGCCTGTAATTAAACCATAAGAAAACATCTGAAAGGCACCAAGCAGTTGAAGCTACTGCGACTGACACTCAAAACTTGACCTCAATCATTCCGAATATAAAATATTATAGGCAAAAAGATTTGGGAAACATTTAAGAAAGGTCACATGAAGAACAACATATTCTGAAGAAAACATTCAAAAATTACTCACCACTCCTGACCGTCGCAACCACCCCACCAGTCCTCGGATCCAAAACTTTCACAGACCCATCCCTCCCCGCTGTACACACAACCGCTGCATCTTCCCCTCCCAAAGCCTTCAAACACGTAACATCAGTATTGACTTTCTTGACTGAATTTATCGGCGGTCCATTCAAAGACAGAGGGTCCAGAAGTCTCAAGCTGTCATCTGAAGAAATAGTTGCTACCCCACCTGCTACCGGGACGATGTCGTAGATGTAGGTGTTTTCAGGTGATGAGATGTGGAATGAATCCACGCTTTCTAATGTGTACATATTGGGCGGAATGTTTATACTGGCTAAGTGTTGTATTAATCAGAAGACTGTGGTGGATTTATCTTTTTTTTTGTGATAGAAAATATTTTTGGAGTCGGCTCGGCCCGTTCAAGCAACTTCCCCGCCATCATCGTCCCCCCTTTTCAATATTTCCGTTTTACGCCAACGCTCATCTAAACCACACATGTTCAAGTTTCTAGAATTTAAATCATCTACTTTTCTTTAAAAGCTCGTCCTGCACTTCATTAAGCACTATTCAAGCATGATAGTGCGGTGGGAGATAGCAAAACTATACACGACGTAGTTGTTTTAAAATGGGTTTCAAAGCCAACGCCATTATCGGTATAAGGCTGCAGCTACTCCTCAGTAGGACGAGGTTTTTGCTCTGCTTCATCCAATAAAGGTTACGATGCGTTCTACGCCCCGCTACACCCCATATGGTCGCAGAGGAAGCCCGGCATCTGTTTTCAAATACGGACATCGCCTGATATCCGACTCCTCAATCCCTTCAAGATACCTCCGTCGCTGTGCCCGATCCGCCAGAGGCTCCAAAATATCCTGCAACATGTGCATAGGGTAGCGCTATTGAGATGAAACTGGTTCGTCTAGTCTGACAACGTGATACTTGTTGTCTGTTTGTCTGCGCAGGCGTTATGGTCCCGAAAAATCGGCAATCTTCTCGTGTATCGCTGTCTTGGGCAGCCACTAATGATACGGAGCAATCCGTAATAATCTACCAGAGCTCGAGGATTACTTCCACGTGGGAGCAGCTTCAGGCTGATGGGCGAGGTGCCCGGAGCTTTCTGATTCCGAGTAGGGGTTCAAAGTCTGTAGCCTGTCACTTTCAGTGTCAGTTGAGTATGGGAATGGGAATGTTGATACTTACAAGTTATTGCTTCATCTAGCCTCGGACGTTCACATGGAGCTGTTAATTCGTGAACAACAACGGTGCGATTTCTAATTTGTTCTCCGGGTGTTTTGTATACAAGGGAAGTCGCAAGAAATCTTATGTATTTGCTACCTCGAGCTCACTTACAGCCAATTCGTTACAAATGAGGCTTTGCCCTTTAGGATGATAGTGAGCCATTTTCCAATTGAGTAGTTTGGACGGACTTTCTCTGTAGTAGATTATGATTCAGACAATGTGCAAGATGAATCATGCTGTCAAAGAAACCGAACTTGTCTATTGCAGGAGAATGGAAGAATGGAGTTCTTTTGAGGCTAAGCCAGCACTCATTTAAGAGTGGCGCGATCCATGGTTCTCTAATGAGCCCTCGGACTCCTCCGATAGCTATACAAAGAGCTGAGTCGCATCCCGCCGAGCTCCTTCATACATCTAATGGATAGTTTTATTACTGTCCAACGTTCCACCGAAATGCCTGTTTATAATCGTAAAGCTCAACTGTACTTGTCGTGCTTATTCTTGACTTTGATAAGCAGTAACGCCTCATGGTAATCGCCCTCCCTTCGAGCCTTCTTCAGTTTCCGGACTTCATCATCCTCCAACCTCCGTCCCACAGCTTCCTCAAGCTCCTTCCTGCTGATCTTTTCTCGTGCCTTTTCCTCTTTGTTGGCTTTCAATTTAGGCTTGAATCGTGCCTGCATCCGTATCCGTAGTGTTGTGTTGAAAGTAATAGTCTCTCCGTCACCACGAACTTCTGGAAGGGCAGTTGTTTTCGAGGATGTAGAGGGCTTGATTGTTAGGAAAGTCTCGCGCAGAGTTTGTATCTGAAATGTGCCTGGTGTATCGGCTGTTGGTATACAGTTGAAGGATTCGAGAGGGGACACGGCTTCTGTGCTGGCAGATAATATGCCGTATTTGTCGCAACTCAGGTATCTTGAACACTCATTAGCTTCTAGACACCTAGTAGAATGCTTAGGAACTTACTTTCCATGGTGACCTTTGAAACTAAAAGTTTCCGTACCTGCAACTCTATTTGCAACCCAAACCTGCCTAACATCGTGTGGTTCTGCTGTCGCGGGGTCGTTCTCGATGATGTTTTCAAGAGGGCTGGCGAACACCTTGCCATTCGTGTCGCAAGCTATGCATGAGGGCGGTTCGGAGGGTAATACAAATATAATCGGTCCTATGACATCTCCTGAAGCTTCTGCTGTAACCCAGCTATCGTCATCGACTGAAGGCGCATCTTCTTCTGGCTTTGAGACTGTGATTTCCTTCGATTTCGATCCCGAGCTTTCGCCAAACTTCTCCTCGGTGTCGACGCGCTTTCTCTTCTTCGCTTTCTTGTCGCCCTTAAAAGACAATGGTTTAACCATGTTGAAGGAGTAGAACCACGTGGCTTGGTCGTATGATCTGATAGTGTAGGAGGGGTGGTGGTCTAGACAGAATCTCTAGCCTGAAAGTTACTATCGCCGAGGCGGTTGTGGTTTATTGAGCTTCCTCTTTGGTTACACGCCACCTCTTCAAAAGAAAAGAAAAAATCTCCAAATGTAAATGTCCCAGAATTATTGGATGATCAATTGCTTCTCAGGCTCATTCATACTTTAAGTCAAGCATGTCTTCAGGTGCAGTCACTGTCAGTCTTGAGGACTTGAAGAACGGTATTTCCTCTCTAGTCCACATGATCGGCGAACCCCCGCTAAAACCCATGAATAGGCAATGTCTCTTTCGAAACTTTAGAAGAGGCATTTGGCCCTGAATCTTTGGGAGTAATCATAGTCAAAGATGTTCCCTCTGTTTTTCTTGAATTACGCCATCGGCTGCTTTCGTATTCTTCATATCTTGGGAACCTCCCGGAATACAGACTTGGTCAGTCGTGCCACTTCAAATTTTTATACCCAAACTTACACAAAAGCAGAGAAAATTGAGAATCCTGCAGCAAAATACTTAACTGGCTGGTCTCGTGGTAAAGAAACACTAAAGAATGGCCAAGTTGATACCCTCAAAGGCTCATTCTACGCAAATTGTGCCTTCTACGTGGACCCCTCCCTCTCCTGTACCAAACCCACAGCAGAGTTCTCGACCAAGAACTTCCCGGAATATCTAAGTCCCAACCTGTGGCCTGGTGATACCACCATTCCAGGCTTCAAAGAAACCTTTGAGGATCTCTGTCGTCTCATTATCGACACCGGGGTACTGGTTGCTAGAGCATGTGACAGATACGCCGAGAAAGAGATCCCAGAATACAAGCCTGGATACCTGGAACATGTCGTCAGAACATCAACGACGACAAAAGCTCGATTACTTCATTACTTCCCCGCAGACCCTAAGGTGGCCGATGACAAGAAAGAGGAAAATGATGATGATTGGTGCGCAACTCATTTGGATCACGGGTGTCTCACGGGCTTGACCTCTGCTATGTTCATTAATGAGACGAGACAAATTCCTGCGGTTCCGGTATAGATTCCCATATCAATCCCAGGTAGCTTAAATGCATCACTAACTTTGAGACATTCAGATGGGCTACGCCTACAACCCCCGCTACCTGCCAACCCTGGGCGAGCTCCCATCATCCCCAGACCCAACAGCAGGACTCTACATCCAATCTCGCAGTGGAGAGACAGTCCAAGTGAAGATCCCCCGTGACTGCATCGCCTTTCAAACCGGTGAAGCGCTTGAACGAATCACCAAAGGCAAATTCAAAGCCGTACCTCACTTTGTCAGGGGTGTACAACCTGGTGTTGCTAGTGGAGAGGATGAAGGTGGTAAGATTGCCAGGAATACATTGGCGGTGTTCACGCAGCCTAACTTGGAGGAGATTGTGGATTCGGAGCAGGGAATTACGTTTGGGGAGTTTGCGAGAGGCATTGTGGAGAAGAATACTACCAAGTGAGGTAGATAAGTCTTGATGTCTTGTTCCCTTCATACATGAAACATGACACTCAGTTCATCAAGACGGAATTAGATGATCTTCGTTCTTGTTGTATTCATAACCTCGTCGTAAGAATATTACCCGTTATCTCTAAGATCAGTGGACTTGGACTAGGTTCCGTCGTCGAAGACACAAATCTTGTCGTGGGTGATAGAGCTCCAGACACTGATGGTCATCAAGAGCTCATCTGCGATAGCATGTAGTTCCGAAACTATAGAGGGCCGCGGAGAGAGGTGTCACCCTTCAGCTTATTTCATAAATCAGACCCTAGTTTAGGCTAAAAGTAGGCTAAATCTGACAGGGCATGTCACGCTAATTAGGAAAGCCCGAGTGGTCAAATCAAGAAGCCAGCCACGTGAGAGAACCTTCAGCCTTGCAAGGAACTCAGATTGATTAGTCATCTCGTATAGGGTTTCACATGGGATGGGTTCAGCCCGGCCCGGGGAATTATCCAATTGTAGTATAAAACGAACCACATTATTAACATACCCAACAACGTAGCGCGTATAACTTGTGGAGATGATAGAAGCTCGGGAAGATACTTCAACGCCTTGATGTGCTTTTCAACTTGTAAAGTTTGCCAATATTTCAATTCTTGATCTTGTTCCCTCCGTCTCTCGCGTATCGATCGTCGAGGACCCACTATCGAATGGCGGATCTCAAGGGACCGGACTCGGCCTTCTTCACAGTATCGGATGTCATTGTTCTTGACGAATTATATCGAGATATCAACGACCATGAAGCTTCAAAAGGTCAACAGCAACCACAAATTGCCCTCGATCGTCTATCATCCTTAGCTGATCCTAAGCACCCCGGCTTCCAACCCACCGTCTTCTGCGCTTGGGATGCTGAGGAACCCAAAAAGAAAAGCAGTCGTACGCTTCGTGAGAGCATCTTGCAACTGTATATCAACTGGGCAAGAACCGTTGTACGGAACGAAACCGATGTCGTCTTTCTCACCCACATAATCCTATACTTCTCCACCGCGGTCCCAAGTGCCTTGTATATGTTTCACGACTTCCATTTGCTGCATGGGATAGCACACCTGCTGCTCATCATATGGTATTCCGGCTCCTTCACCCTGATGATGCACAATCACATCCACAACAATGGCGTACTAAGAAAACCCTACGCTATCTTCGACTGGACTTTCCCATATATCTTGGAGCCCCTGATGGGCCATACCTGGGATTCATATTATTACCATCACGTGAAAGCTCATCACGTGGAAGGCAACGGTCCAGATGATTTGAGCAGTACCATTCGATACCAACGGGATTCGGTGGTTGCTTTCTTGCAATACGAATTGAGGTTTCTCCTACTGTGCTGGATAGATCTGCCGTTGTACTTTATAAGCAAGCGGAAATACAATTTGGCGGCTAAGGTCTTTTGCTCGGAAATATCAAGCTACACAGCCATGGTCCTTCTCGCTCGATGGAATCTCAAGCCCACGCTCTTCGTGTTCATTCTCCCGTTCGTAGTACTGAGATTTGGACTTATGGTTGGAAATTGGGGTCAACATGCGTTGGTGGATGAGCTGGAGCCGGATTCGGATTTCAGAAGCAGTATTACATTGATCGACGTACCGGTATGTTATTCTTTCTGCGAAAAGATCTAAACTAATGTGAATAGTCGAATCGCTTCTGCTTTAATGATGGCTACCATACCTCTCATCACTTGAATCCACTTCGGCATTGGCGTGATCATCCGCGTGCGTTCTTGAAAGCCAAAGAGCGGTATGCAGATGAAGGTGCGTTGGTGTTTCAGAATATCGATTATCTGGAAATCACATTTCGTTGTTTGACGAAGAATTATATGCATTTGGCGAAACAATTGGTTCCGATGGGGAAACAGATTGGAATGAGTCAGGTTGAGCTTGCGGCGATGCTGAAAACGAAGCTGCGGAAGTTTAGTGAGGAGGAGATTGCGGCTAAGTTTGCGAAGTTTGATGTGGAGGAGGTGAAGAAGAAGACGGAGGAGAAGAGGGTTCAGTAGGAGGCCTGAGCATAATTGGTCTGTGTATATTATTCATGGTATATGTTTCAATGACTATAGACTTACCTGCAACATTCGCTTCACGCTGAGGGTGTGCTTGTTAATGTCTCAAATTCCGTACGGAAAAACGTTGTCAGATAAACATATAGTCAACGGTACTCGTGGAATCCTTTACATTGTAAACAAAGGAATTGATAATTGCTAGTATGAGCTCTTAAGCAATATCTTCAATTGGTTGGGCCTTTGACTAGACTTTTGGGTCTGAAGGGAAGGGAAGCACAAAATCCTTCTAAAACAACCACTCTGCTTTGGTTAAAGTCGCCAGTCCAGACGAGACAACCAAGGCTCAGGGACGCCTATTTGATTGGTATATTAGTCTTGCGCTGCAAACTTCAGATCAAACAGGAAAGCTTTCAACGAGATGTTCGTCCATTGGTGTAGTGCACCACGTTATGGTCAATTTCTTCAAAGAAGAAGGAAGCTTGGAGAGAATCTCGAATCCACTGAGCTCTACACCGGATAGAGAACATCTCCCTAGCACATCAGCTGCCCCGGCATTATATTCCTGGTTCTGTGATTTCAAGTCTTCAGAACTCTGGGACAAGACTTGCCGAACGGAGTCACAAGAACAGTGGGCTATTTCATACTTCTATTCTCATTATCATGATGCATACCATTTATCAACACCGAAGCTATGCAATATCAAGCTCAATCCAGAGCAACCCATAACACCATATGCCCATCCCAAATACGCCGATTAAATACCCCTCAAGATGCCATAATATCAGTAATAGGCTGTCTCTCAATCACACTCTTCTGCCTGTCATCTCTACTAACACGGTAATAGTGCTCAGTAAAGTCATTACAATGCACATGCTTCAAGAACTCCTCATCGTGAGTGATGATGATGAGTTGGAAGTTGGCTTGGTGCTTGCGAGCCTCGATGATTCCATGCAAAGCCTTAGCCAGAGCCTGGATATTGTCCTGGTCGAGGTTCGTAGTAGGTTCGTCGAGCGCAATAATCTTTTATCGTTAGAAAAGTCAAGAAAGCAGATAGGGTACTTACTCCACAGTTGACTCCAAAACATTCTGCAAGTGCCAAACGAATGATAATACATGCAAGCACCTTTTGCCCGGCACTACATCGACCACGCATATCCATCTCTGTGTCCTGCTTAACCATCACCACGCGGTACTTGTAGGAATTTCGCGCGACTGTCGACTCCTCATCGTCATCAGAGCGAATCATGATTGTGTCAATGTCAGTACCTTGGTATGTCTTTTGCCAGAGGTCACTCGCAATTGCATTGATCTCCTCCATCTTCATGCTATGGTACTTCATAATCGCCTGGTCGACTGCCTTGTGTAACTTGGCAACGTCATCGGTAACAGCTTTTGTGCTTGTCAAGTTCACAAGAGCCTGACGATATCGCACAGCAGCATCTTTGTAGTCGGTATCCCATTCCGTCAAGTACTTCCTCAACTCCTCATCCTTAGACTTGATCTCACCAAAGACCGGGCCTCGCTTAGCAATAAGATTCTGATACATCTTCTCAGCTCTGACAGCTTCATGCTCAAGCTGCTCCCAATCATCTGCGACGTTGCGCAACTCCAATTCTCCAATCTCATTCTGCAGCACCTTGAGTTGTTGAAGAAACTTGCGGTATCTCACATTGTCCTTCATGCTTCTCAAGGTATTTTCGCTGTCACTGAGTAGGTCTTTTAGCTTATTAGCTCTCTCGGTGACCTTGACTAAATCGCTCTCAACCCGATTCTGTTCTTGCTCGATGGCCTTGATCTCGCGTTGACAAGATGCAAGTTTTCCTGGACCGCCCGCGTCGATGTATTGGTTGACATTGCCTTCAATCATGTCAATCTTGCTCACAGTCTCAGATAGAGCATTCTTGTCAGTCTGAACCTCGTTTTCCTTGGTACGACCACGTGCCTGCACCTTCTTGAGTTGAGCTGTTGCCTTGTCAATTTGGGGGCCCAAAAGTCCAAGCTCAGAATCAGCTTGTTGAATGGATTCACGAAGTTGGGTGGTACTCTCACGGAGTTCCTCGATTCTGGAAAGCAGGCCGCGCTTGTTCTCGAGAAGGTGGTCGGCGGAAGTGATCTTGCTAGAAAGGGCATCTGATTCTCTCTCGAGATCAATCCTAGCGGTCTTGGCTTTCTCTTTGTTACTAGACATCTTTTCGATTTTGGCTTCAAGTGCTCGAATTTGCTCGTCACAAGCTGCCATCTGCTGCTGGATCTCATCTGTACTTCGAGTACCCCCAGACAGAGATTGCTGCGAGGAAAGTCTCGTCACATCACTTTCATGCTTGACAATCTCGCTGCTGCATAGAGAGATGGCACGAACAGTCTCGGTGAGTGCCTCGATGTCTCTCTTCGTTGACTCTGCCACGCTCACCACGCTATCATGCTTTTCGAGCCGTGTAAGAGCAACTGCCTTTGCATTGTCAAGCTTCTGCACCTCCATCTCAAGCGATGGCAATTCGGCCTTGAGGGTATTGTATTTCTCATATTGTGATCGCGCCGAGTTTGCCTTGCGAAGATCTTCCTCGAGGCTATCAAGCTCTTTTTGAAGCTCGTCCTCCGCAAGTTTGGTGAGACGAGCGTTAATCTTTTGCATAGCTGTCGATTGTTCCTTCTGATCGGCAAACTTTCGAGTGCAGAGTCTACAGGCGTTGTTTTTGTTTAGATACCCAAGACATTCTTTGAAATATTTCGTGGCGAAATCCGCGCCATCAACTTGCGTCTTGAAGTCATCGCGCTCGCTTTCCAGGCTCTCGAGCTCAGTCTGGTAGTCTTCGACACTGGTAAGGGATTTATCGTCAGAAGTGGTAATGGACGCTAATACTGCAGTCTCGCATTGCTGCATTGTTTCCTTGTTCTTCTTCAAGTCCTCGCGGGCTTGCTTCAGCTGGTAGTCAATTCTGTTGTACTCATCCTTGACTCCTTCGTGCTGCTTCTTGGCATCTGCAACATCTCGAGCTCGTTGCTCAACGACAGTGTAGAACTCACGCTCCAAAGTGTCAACACGCCAGTCCGTACCAACTACCGACACCAAATCGCCGTTGTGAGTAGCCTTCATGGTGTCAAGACTCGACTGTTGTTGCTTGGCATTCTTCTTGGCCAGATCAAGTTGAGCCCGAGCGCTGGATTGGTTGGTGACTTGGGTAATCTCATCGACGAGCTTTCTTGACTCCTCCTTCAACTCTGCAAGGCTGGTGTGCCCCTTTTTCAGATTCTGATCCCAAGCTGCAGCTTCATAGTCGGCATCCATTTTTTGAAGTCGTTCCTGAACATCATTTCGTGAGGTTACAAGTCCGGCCTTTGTGCCTTCGTCCATCTTGATAGTGCCCATCGATTTCTGCTTCGCATTAGTTTCCGTCTCATTCTTTCCAATGGTTTGTCGAGAGAAGATTTTGGATTGAGTTTGAGTATTCCGACGTTGCTCAAGATCGTTGATGGCGGCCTGTGCTTCGTCCATTTCGTCGCTGGTGATCTTTCTGATTCGCTCTAGCTCTCGATCCTTGTCTTTGGAAGCCTTGACTATCCGCGAGATGAAGTCCTGAATCTGGTCCGAGTCAACATCACCCTCATATCCCCTCACACCATGGCGGCGAGCAGATTCCTTGATGAGTTGTACTCGATTCTCGAGGTTTCTCTCATGTTGTTCCTTCTGAGCTTGATGTTGACCCTGCTCCGCCTGCTTTTGAGACATTTGCCGCCCAAGATCCTTGACGAAACTTTTAAGTTCGGAATACTCCACAGTACAACCATTCTGCTCCTCCTCATATTCAGCCATTCGTTCGCTGTACTGTGCAATGGTAGACTCTAGCCATTCGTCCGAGTCTTGGAGTTCAGCCATATAACTCTTTAGGCTGTCAATGCTCTCCTGTACACCTTCTGCCTTTTGAGTCTTCGCTTTTAGATCCTCAACAGCAGTGGAAGCCTTCTTTGCATCCTTGCGCTTCTGCATCGCAACCGCCCCAGCATCCTTTATTTCTTGATCGAGAACCGCGAGTTCCTTTACAAGTTCACCCACCACTTCCTGGAGTACGTCGGTCTTCTTTACCAACCTCTCGCCCTTTTCCTTGTTGACCTTTTCGGTTCTTTCGGTCTGCTCGAGAAGCCTCACATCCTCCATATACTTCTTCCGTACAACCTTGAGATTGTCGATGACCTTTGTGTATTTCGAGGCATCGAATATCAAGTCGAACTTCTTCTTCAGGGACAAAGGATCGCTCATTGGCCACAGCGAATCATCTTGGTGGCAGAAGATGACGTTGTCCAAGATTGCTGGGGATACCCCAAGGAAATCGAGCATAGCCTCATTCATTCCGGCCACTTTGTTGGAGGTTGAAGTCCGTTCGCCATTTTTGTCGATGAGGAGATTGCCGTCGAGAGTTGTCATCTTATATGCTCCTCCTCTCTGAGAAGTGAGCGATACACTTCTTGTGACAACGACTTTGTTTCCTTGGGTGTCCTTCAATCGTAGCTTAACTTGTGCCATAACCTCCTTTTCGCCGCAGAGCTGCCAATATGTTAGTGTGAGACTAGATTATGCAATAAGTCCTACCTTGGGGTCATGAATAAAGGCACCTTTGACGCTATTGGGGGGTTGTTGACCGGTGGTGGCATACTTGAGGCATTCGATGATAGTCTGTAGAAGGTTTAGCACAGTATTATTTCGGCAGGAGTTATGCATACGGTCTTGCCAGAGCCATTGAATCCGACGATGAGGGTCAAGGGGGTGTGGAAGATAATAATCTCCCCACGGGTATTGTCGAAGGAGCGGACTCTGGATAGATAGGTAGTTAGCAAAGAAGCAAGCGAAAGATGTTACACCTGTGGTGATAGATTCAACAGTGTAATGACATGAGATTTACCCCATAATCTTCAACCTGTCGATGGAAGCTATCGTGAGGGTTAGTCTTTCGGTCCGGAGCCCGTTTGCCTAAAGGTTACTTACACCTGGTATGATTAGCCAGAGCTCTTGAAGGAGGGATGGCAGACTGTACTTACATCTTGTATATTGCCTATGCGGCTGGGTGCCCAAGCCAAAAGAATATCTCATGCGTTGCCAGACTCTGTCAATCTGATGGAAGTGGTGTTGACGAGCTCAGGTACGACGCGAGAGCTTTACTTATAGTGGACGCGACAGGCTTCTGCGCCCTATCACGTGCCCCATCGGAACATGCTGTAAGTCAATCTAGCTGCAACATCTGTGTGATTTGAGTTGTAGACTTGAGATATGGATGAATTATCAAACGGAATCTAGATCTCTTTCTCTTCGGATATTACCCTTTCCGTGAAAGCGATGCTTGCTCTTTTCAAAGCTTCAGAAATAGGTACCTAGGTACTTACCTTATCCCATGTACTTCCGTAATTTTGTATCATGTACCTAGGTACCTATTCCGTATGTATTCCGTACCTACAGTGGAGTGGTAGTGGGGCGCAAAAGGCTTGAACCCATGTCTTTGTGGCTAAGTAAGAAAAGTAGCCGCTTGACTGATTTGCGTTAGATTTACGCCACTTCTAGCTTCGCTAAGAAAGCAAGACATGGGTGCAAACTGTTTACACCGCACTGCACTGTAGACTCCTCCGTAGAGCCCTGCCACCGCCTCCGCATAATTGAAGCACGGCACGCTAAAAGACCCTGAATGTACATAGATAGGTACCGGTATTGTATCAGATCGCCACTCCAAGCCCAGCCCATCCCATGCCCATGTCAATGCTCTGGATTCTTCCTCCCCTCCTATCCGATCAACCCCAAGCCAGGTGCAGGTCCGCCTTTGCAGATCCTCGAATGTGCATTTGTTCTATATATTGCCAGCACGTTCCTACCTCTGGACATGAACAATCTGGCAATGGATCCGTCCTACATGTACACGGACGTGGGCATGATCGAACTGCCCACGGACTTGTCAGCCTCGGCGGTACTAGCCACCCTCTCCTCCCTCCCGTCCTTATCCCGAAGAGATACTGATGAAATGTTCAGGGCGGCTCCAACGAACATGACATTTCAATGACAGGAATGATGGACGATGCGGGGATGCTCGCAGATTTCGATAACATGCCACTGACGCTCGACGCTGGCCACCTCAATAGCCAAAGCCAAAGCCAAATGCCTTACACTTCAATGGATCATACGATGCCGCATAGTGGTCTAGAATCGTCGAATGACAAGGCAAAGTCTGGATCGAATTCTGTACTCGAGCAGATGACGGGGGCTGGTGCGGGCCCTCTGCCCACCGGCTTCGGAGCTCAATCAACACTCAGTGGTGGCAGTACTCTCACAGAATTTACCAAGAGGAGGAACTGGTCGCAGAGGGTGGTCGAAGAACTAAAGGACTTCTTACACATTCTTACGCCCGATGGTCGAATAGTCTATCTCTCTCCAAGCAGCAATCACCTAACGGGATACCTTCAAGAAGAGTTGGTCGGCAAATTTATTGTGGATTTCATACATCCAGATGATAGTGGGATATTTGTCAGAGAGTTTAACGAGTCGATTGCAAGTGGCCATCCTCTACGATTCTTCTATCGATTTAGGAGGAAAAATGATACATATACTATATTCGAATCTCACGGGCATCCGCATCTCACGTCCGAGGCGGCACAATTTGGGCCCAACAATTCGGCAGGCTTCTGTAGAGGCTTCTTTATGATGGCACGCCCATATCCAACCAAGAATGCAGCACTACTGGACTCGTTTCTTGAGCACAAGATCGAGAATGAGCGGTTGATGAAGCGGATCGAGGAATTGAAGAATGAAGAGGCAGAGGAGGCAGACGACGCTAATCGACATCGCAAAAAGGAAGGTCGGTCCGAAAACCAATCCGAGGAAAATGATACTATTGGAGGAACGTCCATAGGTACATCGCTACCAGTATCAATGGCAATGCCCCCACCTACAAAACCTTCGAATCTGAATGCTGCCCTTACTCGCCAGAATCTTGAAGATGCCAACTTGGGTAGTAGGCCGGATTCCATGAAAGACAAGATGGCCCGTTACGAGGGTGCTACTCACATTGAAACTATCGAGATGCTGACAGGTTTGAGATATCAAGATGGAGAAAGGAGTCAGGGTATCAGCACTGGAGATATAAGCCCAGCTTTGATAAAGGGAGATGCAGGAATTGTGATAGCAGTTGACAAGGAAGCTAGAGCAAGTGACAAGAGGAAGAAGATCAAATTGCCAGATGAATATGTCTGTACAGATTGTGGTAAGTTCCTTGTTTCCAATCTTACTTTTATCCCTAACCTTAGACAGGCACGCTCGATTCACCTGAGTGGCGTAAAGGCCCCAGTGGACCAAAGACACTTTGCAACGCATGCGGTCTTCGATGGGCCAAGAAAGAAAAGAAGAGGCCCGGCCCCCCTGGACCAGGCAATGGAAGCAGTAGTTGATACCCTCCATATTTCCGGCATAAATTGCTTATAGGCGCAAGGAGCTTCTGGGATCTTCGATATGGCGCTGGTTGGGCTCCGGTGTTTAGGAGCGCGCGAAGATACCCAAACTAGTAGGGAACATATTCCTGGTATTATGAAAAGGAAACAAAGTCTGCCTCTACCCTCCCTCATGAGTGATGAATTACAGTACTACTATTAAAGCCCGGTAGGAGTGCAGCCAAGCAAACGATCCAACCCTAGAACCCAACCCCGTTTATAAAATCAACCGCCTCTCCAAAATGGAAATGAATCCCCGTCTTCTCAGCAATCTGGTACTTGAACGCCAAAGCCAGAATCCCCAACGCCGACGCCCCCACAATCGTAGCAATCATCGGCCTCTTCCCCACCACCATCCCCACCGTCGGATCCCACTCCCTCTGCTTCAGCTCCACAAACTCCTCCAAGCCAACCCTCCCATCCTGCCTCCTCCCCATCTTCCCATAATAGCACACCACCGCTCCCTTGCTAATCTCATACTCCCTCGACCCGTTCTTCATATACAATGGGATCTTCTCGCGCGGGTTCTCATTCTCGCGCTCCTCGTCCGCTGCCGACCCGGGCTTGAATCTCTTGATGGATGGCCAGACGCCCATCTTGGCCATCGCGCGGTACTCGTAGGTCGGTTGGCGCGGCGCTTGCGTTTGCATGGCTGCTTGTCTCTGCTTGGCTTTCGTGCCCCTGCGTGTGGTGATCTGGCCTCGCATTTCGAGGTCCGCGACTAGGTCATCGAGTTCCTGTTTCTCAGCTACCCATTGACTACGCGCAATGGTATATGCGCTGGTCACGGCGTGCTTGCTGCGGGTGTAGGAGATGTTGTCGAGGCTCGTTTGGTCGTCTTGGTCGTAGAAGGTTCCGGGGGATACGTCGACCCAGAAGAAGATGGTGGGGGACATGCGGACGGCCAGGGAGAGGTAGGCGGCTGAGGAGATGAGGTTGTGGAGGCTTTGGTATTGGTTGGCTGGGCCTGGGATTGTCTTTCCGTCGGACGGCTCCAGGCGGTAGAGGTAGCTGGTCAGGGGCTCGAGCAGGAGATATACTTGGGCGTTGAGTTTCGCAACCTCTTCGTAGAAGTTTTCCGTGACGGCCCTTGCGCCGATAATGCTACGACACGTCTCGGCACGTAGAGCTGTACGGGTATATCCTGGTTGGAGTTAGCTGGTATCTTGAATACACGCGCAAGACTTTGACATACCATCTCGTTGAAACATCGATCTCTCAAGCGCGAGCAACAACTCCTTTTGCTGCTGATTCGCACCCCACAGATCCGCATCGAATATCTTCACCTTGATAATCTTCACCAAAATAGCAACCAAGAACCATTTCCGCTCCGACGAATTCCTCAACAGCTCGTCCCAACTCCCAACCTGAGGATCATCCTCCGCAACCTGCTCCGCCCAGAAGATGAACTCCGGGTTCCATTTCAATGCCCACGGCTGGTGGAAGTCCCCGAGCTCGAGATCGTGCAGCACAAAGTAGTCATCGACAAACTTGATCACATCAGTAAAGAGCCGCTTGAACAGCGCCCCGTACCATTGGTCATCCCGATCCTTGATCGGGAGAGGGAAGTATTGGATCTGGATAGGTTTGGGCAGGTCGTATACATTGGTTGGAGATTGATTCAAAACTTCTTTGGAACTTCCCCTCGCCCGCTTCTGCGACTGCTGACCATTCGCAACCGAGTCTCGTCGTCGCTTCACACCTTGTCGCGTGTTAGTAGTGCCGGCCCTTTGCGATTCAATGTAAGCATTGGCGTCTGCTCGTTCCCGGGCTGTAATCGCATTACTCAGCAGGACGTTGATGTTTGCGGTGATATACGACTGGTTCTCTGCCGACCATTTGGGAAGAGCTATGGGCTGTGGGTTGGTGTCTATCGTGGTTGAATTCTGAGGACTCTTATATTGGGACTTGGCAGGCATAGCTGTCAGTAGCCTGCCTATTGCCGATTGAGTTTGCTCTCTCCTTTTCGCAGCTTCGTAGTGTGCAGGAGATTTTGAAGACATGTCAGGTAGGTCTTGTGCTAGGCGTCTCGACCTCGGATTACTTGGTGTAATTTTCTGGGTGGTTGAATAGGAGCTGTTATAAGTGGATTATCAATCTGTAATTTCTTCCCCCAGGTGCTTGACTTGTTTGAAGTGGGATGTTTTGGAGGTTTTGGGGGGCTTCCTTGATACGTCAAAACCGCCGAATCCAATTGCAAATCATTGAGTATATTGTCGTCCACTTATTTGTCATGACAACGGATGATTGAAAAGGAAAGTTCTTGGGCGGTTTCAGCTGAATGCGCCGTACAAACGTTCAAAGGGGAGATAATTGGCATCAAGAGCAACATTCCTCCAGCTGCTTTAGGAATGAAACAATAACAAGAAAGAATGACCAATCAAGAGGCAATATTTGAGAATGTAATAATGGGACTTCCCAGTAAAGTCACAAAAACGGACCAATCTAGAAGTGTTTCCAAAACCATGAATATTATTCTGAGGGCTTTCATGACAGCCATGTTGATGATTTCTCAACGCATTCATCACCAATCCCCCCCTAATGCATTCACAGCCTGGCTTTGGACTGCCCTTCACTTAAAAATCAGTCCTCATTTGCCCTCCATGAAAGGATGGAAACCTCACAAATGGGCCGTAAGTTCAATCTCAACATCTAAAACAGAAATTCAGCCATGCATCATCGTACAACCATAGTAGGAAGACTCACCAGTACCCAACGGTAACTGATGCACCGCAACACAAGTCCGAACCGGCTTCGGCTCCTTGGAAAAGAACCCATCATAGACTTTATTCATAGCAGCAAAGTTCTCCATGTTAGTCAGGAAGACATTCACTTTAACCGCGTTGTCGATGGACGAGCCAGCTGCCTCGAGGACCGCGCTGAGGTTCTTGAGTGCTTGTTCCTAATCCCGTGTCAGCTTCTCGGTTCGGTTCAACGCCATGCAAGTAGGAGAAAGGAGTAATTACAGTGCGATCTGCAACACCTCCTTCGACGAGCTTCATGGTTACTGGATCCGTGCCAATAGAGCCGGAGCAGTAAACCATTCCTTGGCACTTGATGGCTTGCGAGAAGAAGGGTAAGGGGAGGGGAGCCTTGTCGGTCTTGACTGCTTCTTTGAGGACCATGGTTGCGATTTGGGGTTTTTTATATGAGGATGGGAATTGAGTTTTGTTGGTTGTGTTGTGATGTTTTGTCTATCAAGAGGTGGGGCAAAGGTGGGATGGATGCGCCTCGATTAGTGAGAACGAGCCAATGGTCCCCTGTTCTTTTTGTGTGACGTGGACTGAATCTTCTATATTTTGGTACTAATATACTAGTAAAGCAAGATACTAAGAACTAATACCATGTCTAAGGTATAACTTTGTTTCGAACAGGGAGTTGGAAGTTTGTTGATGGTGTATAAACTCGGACATCACTGCCAGTGACTCGCTGGCAGAGCTCTTTCAAAAGCCGAACTTATTAATTCGGAGGTCTTTTACTATTTCTGAGGAGAATTAGACACGCCAAAACCACAGACCATTCTCTCAAAGCTTCGACTTGACATCCGCAGCAGAAACAGGAGCTTTAATATCAATCGGTTCCCACCAAGGCCAAACACTTGGTGCATTTTCCAACATATTCCCCTTAAACTCCGGACTCCTCTTCTGCAAAAAGCTCTCTATTCCCTCCAACTTATCCCTCCCATCAAACAGCTCCAGAAGTATCTTGGAATCAAGCAAATGCGTGCCCTCCGCAGTCCCAGGATTCCTCCACATCAAATCCTTCATCAGATGCGTACTAACCACACTAGTATTCCGCGCTATATCCTGTGCAAGTTCCAACGCTCTGGGGAGAACTTGATCTTCCGGCACGATTTCCGTAAAGAGTTCGCGGAGCAGAGGATGAGTGGCTGGATATACGCTGCCTGCGGTAATAAGATGCATCGCTTTGCTAAGCCCAATCAGCCTGGGCAGAAAATACGAACTCGCAGCCTATTACAAGCATATGAGCCATTAGCATGATCTCCATCCCCAACCCCTCATCCGAGATACATAGCTAGGTGGGTAGGTATATACATATACATACCTCCATAACAATCCCCCTCCTCGCAAACACAAACCCAATCTTCGCCTTCTCGCTCACAACCCTAATATTCATTGGCAACGTCATCGTAACGCCCACACCCACCGCACTCCCATTTACAGCCGCGATGACCGGTTTCAAACACCTGTGTACAGCCAACGCTACCATGCCGCCGCCATCGCGATGCGTGCGCGCCGTGTCTTGTTTATATGCAAGGCCTACGCCTAGATCAGCGCCAGCGCAGAAGATGCGGCCATGCCCAGTTACTACGATGGCTTTTACGCGGGGGTCGTGGGAGAGCAGGTCCAGGGCGCTGACGAGGGACGCGGCCATGGCGTCTGTGAAGGCGTTGTGGGAGGTGGGGCGGTAGAGGGTTATGAGGATAACGGGCGTAGGTGTGGGAGAGGAGGCGGGGATATGGGAGAGGCATATGTCGGGGAGGGTGAGGGTTGTGTAGGATGGTGGGGGAGAGGACATGTTGGTGGTTGATTGAGCGAGGGGGAGCTTTAGGGAGGGGTAGCTTTCTTCTTTGTGGGGTGGATTGTGAGATGGGTACTGGATGACTTGTCAGTAGGTTGGGTTTGAAATAGAGAAATGCAACCGTTTAGTTTATCATCAATTTGAACTAAAGTTTATATAAGTTTATAAAAGTGAAATGCGGAGGTCAATAGAAAATCCGGGGAAGTTGAGCCGGCAGACCGAGGCCCACTATGGTAAAGCTTCCGGCGGGGTCATGTACCTAGGGAAGTAGTAGCATGTTTCCCCTTGCACTTGTCCAGGACCCCAGCAATAGAAATTGGAAGAATCACCTAGCGATGACTTCTGAAGTTTGTAGTTCTGCTTGCGAAGATCAAGATCCGAGGGCGTGTCCTTACACCGATTAATCATCAGCAGACTTTGGTTTCCTATACCATGAGACGATACTTAATCGAATTTACAACATCACTCCCGAGTTCGAATCGTTTCGTCTTGGAAAGGTATTCAAATCAGCACCAAGGCCAATGAGGGATATATTTCATGTAGAAGTAGCTTAATTTCTGATAAGCTTACACTCAGTGCATTCCTATCCTAATGAAAACACCCCTAATACCAATCGAATTGGGTCCTAACGCCTTGGGTATGAGATCCAGCAAGCCTTGATATGCCACACTGGCCAAGACAAATGCGCGCAAGAAACAAAAGAAAAGTCGTCATTTTATCGTTCCTGTATACATGAAATGGGTACAACCTGCCCATTCCAAATTCGCTCCATATCCTAGGAATTTGCAAGTCTAGTCGATTGTCATCCGGCTTGAATTTGCGGCATGCCCGGGTTTAAGATCTGGTAGTTCGGTCATATTGTCCAACTTCTCCTCCTCTCCACCTATTTTACGCTTCATAACATGTTGCTTCAACCCTTTGTCAAAGTTGGCCGTGCAGAAACACGCATTTATGATTGTAAGAACAATCAAAACAATAGTGATGACAGCAAAACTGGTGAGATTCTTTCGCGCTGGTAGGTAGAAATCTCTGTGGGCTGGTTGATACATCCTGGCGAGCTTGAAGATGAAATATGCCATACCGGCAAAGTACATGAAGATAGTAATGACCATGCCAAACTTGTTTTCACGGCGGGTCCAAAAAGAAGCCATAAACAGAATCAAGACCGTGATTGGGATCGCAGCAATAGTAAGGCCAAATTCCGTATCGGTGACATTGGTGACGATAACAAGAAACTGGACCGTAAAACCTAGGAAGAAGAAGAAATCGAATTTCAAGATGGCGATGTAGATCTAGAGAATAATTAGTATCTGGAGAATACATTACTTATTTGATCTCTTACCTGGAAAGTCAAGAACCGGCGCTTCATTCGGAGGTCCGCACTGATGTGCTTGTAGATTGTCCACGCAAACTCATCGTAAAGTTTCCAAGCAATGACCGACATGAGTATGGTAAAGAATGCAATGATGCACGGAACTGCCAGTATATAAGGTCGAATGATTGACCAAACATCATCTTGGGGAGCTATGTATGGCAATGCTTCCTTGGTTTTGGGACCAACCCAGTCACGAAGTCCCGTGATAGCCTTGTTGACCTGGTCATACTGAATGGAAGCATAGATCAACATCCCACAGTTGTAGAAGCACAGTCCAATGACTTGAATGGTGTTTTTTAGTCGCAGAGCATCGTAGACCAGCACCAATTCGTACACGAATCCGAAAATAAATAATGTGAGGTATGTGGGAATCGTCTTGACGAGAGGGATCGTGGGGTGGTCTTTGCCTGCTAATAGACTCTCCTGGAATCTAACAAAGATATACGATTCCATGACCAATACAACGATAGCTTGTGCGGTCGTCACGAGCATAAACGCCCAGGTCCATGGTGTATTTGGTCTAGAACAATTAGAATCTGCTAAATTCCGTACGATAAGAATCAAAATTTACCTGTACATTGTGTTTCGAGCAGGTCTTGGGGGTAATGCAGCAGGCGTCAGTCCTTCTCTAGAGAAATAACCACCATAAGCATCTGCGTCTGGCAGCAGACTTTTGCGAGATTCCTGCCTGTACGCCACGTTGACGATTAGGAAGCTCTCTATGGAGCTGTCGACTGTCTCGTGGGTTTAGGTAAAGCCTGCGAATGGCTTGCCGACGTCCAATATGTTATTGCGTTGGTGGGTATATTTTTAGGGCCAATACGAGGATAATGACAAATGCGCGAATTCGATTTGAGAATGGCTAGGAAGGGTGAGTTCTCGAATTGATGGCCGTCGTGGGATTAGTTGCAACGGGGATGAAACAGACGGCGTGGCGAAGGGGTTCTTCTTTCGCAGACAAGTAAAAGGGAGGATTCGTATGCGATAGGGAGTCCAAGTGTTCGTAGGCAGTATCAACGAGCGTGGGGTGAGTAAGAGGTGAGGTGGATAGCGGACTGGGGTGGAGATGGAGATGGAGGTGGAGGTAGAAGAGGTCGGGAATGGAATGAATCTGATGGATGAGACAAATTGAGGAGGTTGTGTGAATCAGAAGATTCTCACTCTTCCGCGCCGTTGGTATTCTAGCACGCTCGTACGGATATGGATGGGGTCAGGGCGGGTCAGGGTCAGACTCTGAAATCGCGGCCGCAGTGGATATGCCAGCCCAGCCACGGGAACTCTATTTATAATCCGTAGACACCTCCTGTACGATAAATGAGAATAAATCAGCGTCGCGGAGACTTTCGAAATATATTAAAATGTGCACTTGAAGTAACAAACGAAAGATGGGATCGTTCGTTCCAATTGTGATCATGGGGGGAGACTCTTTATTTAGCACGGCCAGACCAACCAGACCAGACCAAGCCAAGACGCAGCTGAGTGCCCAGCATGCTCTGTCTCGCCTGTATCGCCAGCAGTCAGTCCTGTTTCGCCCGGCTGCCCTACTTTTTTGCTTGGCAATGGGGCAGAGTAAGCGCTTCTACCACTTAACGAGGCTGAGTTCGTAAAAGCGTATCTAGGAATCTCTCGGATTCACAAAGGCATAAACATTGATTAAAGGACTCTGGACCGGTTGTTTGATCGCTGGTACTAAGTAGGCTTGAATGTTTCTTGGGAGTATATATTTGGAAGCTTTGGTTCTTTGTGTCAAGTTCAGTGTGCCGTGATCTAGGAACTCTCAGTGTCGCACGGCATCAGCCAGCCAGCGATCATATCCGTACGAAGAATACTCCGTATGTATTTACGTACCCCATCAATATTTAATTTAATAATAGGGCTGTGAGCCTGTGATGCGAACAAAGGATTCATGCTCGGATCTACAGTTGCTGATCTGATTACTTCGCCGTCACCATCAGGGCTGCATATATATCAAGAGGACCATTCATTAAGAGTTGATGAAGATGCGTCTGCTATTAATTTGAAACTGCATCGAGTTGAGTAGTCAATATTCAGAGCCGCCATGAAATACTGTCCCAACATGGATTACATGCCGAAAATGCTCAAAATAAAGATCATTCTTCAATATATATATTCTTCTTCTTCTTCTTCTTCTTCAAGTCCCAGCGCGAAGCTGATGAGCTCAATGAAAAATCAAACGGACAAGCCGTGGAAGCAATCAAAAATTCCCCCGAAGAGTTGCCCGAAGACAGCTCAACAAATCTCAACACCCCGATGTGCAATGGAGGTTTCGTTTTGTAGCTTCTCAATTCATGATCTGAGAGAGCTTCAAGAAGGTAAGTATGAAGAAGAAAGAAAAAAAGCAGGAAAGGCGGGCGAGGATGGAGACTTTATACCGTTGGCGAGCTGGAGGCGGGCGCCAGCGGGAGCTAGATCAGGAGGGGTGGGTTCCCTTTGGTGGATCAGGTCATGTGACAATGAACTTCTTCTGCGGATTTGAATTCTACGGAGTATATGCTACTTCCTATTAGGTAGATTTTTATGTGGTCTGTTGGTATCTATCAATTCTTCCTACAATCTGGCTGGGTTTATTGTTGTTGAGTTAGACAAAATCCCCCACTTCAGCCTCCTGCGCGTCACTCCACCGAGCTCCTCCACCGAGCTCAAGTCAAACTGCGATTGAAGCAACACCAAAACATACATTCCTGTCGCAAACCCAACCATGGACCTCGATACAGATAACCAAATATTGCAGGCCCTGGCAGATGGCAAGTCGATGGACTAGTAGGATCTCTGACCCTTTCAATGCATTTCGATCAGTCTAACATGTTTGAAGTGAGCTGTGGCCTGGTCTTCTTTCCCGATTGATCCCCAGATTAGAAAAGGTATATATCCCCCTCCTTACATGCTTCCAATTCTAACAGGTTACAGATTGTAGAAACCGAATTCCCCATTCCAACCCCTGTCTCTTCCATACCATCCTCCCAGATCCCATCATCACCACCGCCCCAACCGAAAAAAGAAGACCCATCCAGCCAAACCAGCACCGACTCATTCGACAAGGAAAACGCCTCTCCCCAATCGAAACCCAAACCCACCTCTCTCCCCTCCCAGACCCAAGCCTTCCTAAACTCCATAACCACAACCCTCCAATCCCTCTTCTCCAAATACCCACCCCACACCATACAACGGCTCGCAGAACTAATCCTCACCCCGCACAAGCACTACCGATCCCTCCCCACCTACCTCCACGCCGTCGACCGCGTCGTCCACGTCTCATCCGGCGCACACATATTCCCCCTCCCACCCGCAATCTCCAACCCTTCCACCACCGGCCTCGATCCCCTATCTATATCCTGGGGCAAACCCCCATCAGCACAGTCCAATCTAGAGTCCGATGAATCACTAGGAGGAGCGCTGCTTACGCCGATCCCGTGGTTGAGCAAGAATGCGAGTGGGAGTGGCACGCATTCGCCGTTGGAAGGGGAAGTCAAGACGGAGAGCACGGAGATGATCGATGGGCCCAATGGCATGGGTGGTATCGAGACGGTATCTGTATCCGTGAACGGCGTCTCGTCTGCTACGAAAGAAAACCCCGCGTCTGGTGTGGATTCAATTCTACGCGCAGAGGGAGGGGTCACGCAAGGAGAGTTATTGAGGCAGGAACAGAGGGCGGGTGTAGTGCCGGCTACGCAGTTGGGAGTTAGAGGGACGGGGGATAGTGATAGGATGGGAGAGGAGAATGAGGCGCCGCACGCGAGGGGGCCAGAGGAGATTGGCATGGACGATACGGGGCCGCAGCCTGGGCTTGAGAGGACGGGATCGGGGGTTATTAGGCAGGGGATTGATGTTGAGGCTGCTGTTGGCAGGAAAGCTGAAGTCAAGGACGAGGATGAGGATGTGAAGAAAGAGGATCAGCTTGAGACTCCTAGTACACCGAAGAGGGATGCAGAGGAGGAAATAGGCGCTGATGAGAAGAGGGTCAAAGAAGATTCCACAGCAGATGATGACGATGATATGGTTCTAGTAGATGCGGATGGCAGGATGGAGGATGTAAAGAAAATCAGCGAGGAAGGTGAGGATAAGGGTCCTGATGCTGTTGATGCTCCTACTATCTGATCAGATCAAGGGATCTCAATTTCCATGGCGTTGCTTGGAGTCTTTTCGGTATTTCCTCACTTGTACTGTACGGAGTCTATAGATTACAACACGAATCACATGACATAAAAATAACTCAATTACTCCGTGCAGCCAGCCCAATTGGATATGCCAAGCATGCCAAGACCCAAAACTGCGAATTGCAACAAGGAAACATATTATTTGAGCCTGAATGGCCGCTCGGAATGTTAGAGCCGGAGTGGAGAAGTTTCGGCATGTGTCTAGCCAGCTTGTGATTGCCGTTTCCCGTTCCGGCTATTTTTAGGTGATGTAAGTAAGATTACAGTAAGCGAGGTACTTTTCCGATGGAGAAGAGAAGGAAGCTGTGAAGATTTATTTGTTGTAGTCAGATCAGAAGGATCGACTTTGAAGGGACTCAAAATGAACGCCGAATGCTGCCAAAGCTATGCAGTCTGTAGTATAACCAAAACCCGTCCGTCCTGTCCGTTGTCTGTGTCCTGAACTCCGTCATGAATGCCATCAACTCCTTATGTACCTGGGCCTTCTATCCACAGTTCAAGTCCCACTGTACTCTAGATACTACAAGATGATCTCCCTCGCTTGACTCAGAATACTCTCTCCCGGACAATAAGGGCATTTGAATTTCCCTCCCTTACTCAGCCTTTGTAGACTCTCCTTTGCTACCACATGCCCGCATGGCATTATCATGGGAGGATTCTGATCCGTGGTCTGCTCTTTGCTGACTGGGCAGACGAAGATGGCGTGGAAGATCATGCTTTTGGGTAGAGCTATTTCAACAGGTAGCTCGGATCGTGTAGTCCATTCTGTCCTCTTTTCCTTGACGATGGCGTAAAGTTTGAGTAGAGTAGGGAGAGCAATGGCTCCTGCTGTTGCGGCGAGGTAGAGAGGTGACTCGGCGGATAGGCCAAGAAGGGAGCAGAACTCTCGAGTAAAGGAGGTGGAAACGTCGTCCCATGCTGTTTCGATATCGAAGGTTCTGTAATAAGGAGAATCCTTCAGGTTACTGCTGTAGGCCATAGCTGTAGCTAACTGTTGAATGTCTTTCAGAAACCGGGCTTGGAATCTTTGAAAGTGTTGTTGAGCGTAGACCAAAGCTCCCGATAACCCATTGTTCAAGTCGTTTGGAAGGCCGTTCACTGACGGACCTAGGAATAACCACACGAATTGTAGCTTGCTGAGTTCGAATTCTAGATTACTACCCCGCTTCTCTAATTCGTGGCTATTCGCTCGTGCCCATTCTATTGCTGGATGTAGATTCTGTGCTTTAAGTTCGTTCAGGATCGCATACATGTTCGAAAACTTGTCTTGCAGCTCCTGAGATTTGAGAGACGGAACTTCTGTTTCGTCCATTTCTGAGAAATTTGGTGTGCCTGGCATAGGTGACGGTTGTGGCGGATTTTCTTGTGCTTCGTCTAGGAATGTTGACGCCACCTGAAACTGGCCTTCTCGAAGGAGGTGCATAGATATGGCTCGATTTATGAGGGCAGGACGAGAGGCGAGGCCGTCAATATCAAAAGGGAGTTCCTTGTGAGGGAGGTTCTAGCTATCATCAGTATATAGTCTGAAGAAGGTGCTGCTCTTGCGTACTTTGTCCAGCGCCCTGCCGTATGCACTTTGGCCCTTGTGTACCCTCTTGAGATCTTCGTTGACTTTATCGAAGCCATGTTTTAGAGGATTTTGTAGTTTTGCAAGAGTGAAAGATGCTGAATTTGGATCTGCGAAATATTAGTAAATATACACATTATGAAGAGCTCTGCATGAACACCCACCCTGCACTATTGACTCTCGCGCAGCCTCCAGCTGCTCAAGTATCTTATCGACGTCCTGGATACTTTCTGTAAGGTTGGCATCCCGCCGTAGCTTTGCTAGTTCTATCAAAAGGCTGTCCATAGCTGCCCCGCTTTCGATGGTGGTTGAGGTAAGGTATGGGTATGGGTAGATTTTCTATCTGCTTGAACTTGTAGTGTCTGCAGAATCGTCCCCAGTATTCAGTGGATGGTATGGTCCATGGTGTGTGTTGATTTGCAGAATCTTGGTGTTGAAAGTTACGAGTAATGATGTTCGCGTGCTCGACGCAGTGGGTGGGTCGGTTGCTTGAACAGCTGGTTACGGAGTAGGTCGGTGAAGCAAACCGCGGAATGGCGCATTTATAGTGATTACCTGCCCAATCAGAAACCTCTTTCAGTGAGACATGGCATCCCGGCCCGCCTGAACTGCAATGCGCAGTACCTTGATCATGCAGTACTAAATCACATGCGTCACTTACCGTCAGGAATCAACACCTCTTGTTCTACTGCAACAAATATCTTTCATCCTTCTCCTTCAATATTGAAATACACACATCGTATGGCCGTTTACCATCGGTTCTAATACATTGTGGACAAAGATGCCTCTCGACAATAGACCGACGTCACTAAAACCCCTCGACACATCGAACAGCATCCCTTCTCAAGATTCATGAAAGCAATGCCTCCCCCACTTGCGTATGACCCTCAAATGCACCATGAGGACCAAATTACTCTGTCGCGGACTCTCTCATCACAGAAAGCTATAATAAAAGGCAACAGCAATGGCAAATCAGTTACTCCAGCCATGGCGACAGAACCCTCCCCCTCACATGAGACACCACATACCTCCAAACGCCGCCATTGTGTCTTTGCAGACCCAGTAGCATTCAGATACCTCGAGGAAGATTCTTCCACGGTTGTGATTGAGCGGAGGGGTAAATTACAAGGCTATGAACTGTACATAGTAGAACAATGGTCGTGTTCGAGGGTCCATCCCACGTTCGTCATCACAACTTACACAGGAGACCCAAACCATTCTGTTCTAGTAGCGGTACTAGGAGTTCCGGCAGATGAGGAATCATGGTCCCCTCGATTACGTGTATACTTCAAGGCCGTTTCTCAATTCCATGCTAGACCAAAGGAGACGCCCTTGGGATTGTTGATGGTTACAAACCTCAGCAGCTTTCCCTCTTCCCTGACAGTTATACCAGTACCAGACGGGGATGTGAGGAAGCATAGAGAAGACTTTATTGTCAATGAGAACCTCAAAAGACTTGGATGTTCTGGGAGATCTGGTAAGTAGTCCGGAATGAGTGACATTCCTTTCCGATTTACACCATATAAGCACTTTCTTACTATTTTCACAGGAATGAGCTTGTCAACCCCAGCAGGAGCTACACAAGCCAAATTCTTCCAGCTATATAAAACAAGCGATCGAATACCACTCTACGGAGCCGTAATCGAGTTGGTCAAGCTTTGTCAAGTCGCCTTGATGATTTTTGGGAAGTTGTCACAAGAGTACGCAGATGGTTGTCTTTGTGACGTTACAGAAAGAGCTGTGAATGACTGGTGGACGGAAATCGGCTCTGAATATTACAATGTCGAGCCGACAGATGGCATCCTTGGTCCAACAACAGTTTCTGCCCTTCTGGGTATGCTAATTGGAGCCCGAAATCGACTCAACTATTATGGAGCACCGGTAGCGAAAGATGCTTTTGACGTGGTGAGTCTCAAGCGTGGTATCGCGTACTTTCAAAAATCTCAGAAAATGGAACGAACCAGAAGGCTGGACAGGTATACACTTGATCGCTTACATCGAGTTACTGCCAAAGCTGCTGCTGGTGAAGGCTGGGCTGTACCGAAAGCTGTCAAGTCCACAGTAGCTGAACTCAGTGGAAAGGGAGGAGAAATGGTAATGGGCATGGTTGGTCGGGATAAAGCTGGTATCGGCGACATCGAAACTCTAGATCTCGATCGATTTGTGACTTTGATTCACGGCGAAAGAGCCAAGTGGCTGTGGTACGGTAAACCTAGGAGAATGGGCACTTCCGAGAAGTTTGGAAAGTCTGATACGGAGGGACCTACGAGTTTTACAAAAGACGACCAAGGAGGTTACAAATGGTCTCACAGCAGATCTGAGTCAGTACCACCAGAGGATGAGTCAGAGGTACGCAAAAAGGAGATTGATAGCCCCAACGCAGTCTATTCAAGCCGACCTCCAGGTTCAGCAACAAGCATGCTGGAAAGCCCAGGTGAACGAGACCCTCAACTGAGGAGGGCAATCTTCAAAGGTGTTACGGAAAAGATGAGTGATGCAAGGTCTGGTTTTGGTCGGATCAAAGATGCAGTTGGGCTCCGAGGCCATGTGAGTAAGCATTCGAAAGATGAGAGTGGTTACTTCGGTCCTACAAGCTCTACCATACTTGCACAATCGTCTGGTCCTCCAACCAGCCCACAGATGATGGGCAAAGCATTCACGTGGAAGAATACCCCAACGGACTATGAAAATGGCGCCCCCAAGCAAACAGATCCTACTACTGGTGCCGCAATATCAGCTGGCTCTCAAGAGCCGGCATCTCCGTCAAGCGACTCAAAGTCAACCCTTCCTACCGATGGACCTGTTTCAGAAGAAGTTTTGAAAGCAGCTCAGATAAATGCCAAATGGGCCGAACAAGCGAAAGAGATTCGCAAAGAGTATGTCGCCAATGAGCCTTCGGTTGCGGGATCAACATGTGGAGATGGCGATCTTGAAGGTCATTTGCTGGAGCTTGAACGGGATCCTCATAGCTCTGAGATACTTCTTCATCGGCGGCATAGCATATCTGGTTCAACTTCTGCAACGCGCAATGAAGAATGGTGGCCTCGTCAAATGTCCTTCAGCGAAGCTGAAGATGCTGTATTGACTTGGGAACCGGTTGGTACTGTCGACGATGATGTCGATGAGTCTGACAATTGGGTTGCGTTGCAAAAATACAAGTATATCGCTGAGGACTTCAAGCGCCTATTTGAACAGATCACACATTTACAGAATGCAATAGCTCCTTGGGTGGAGACAAAGGTTGAAGCTGTCGAGGCGCTTGATACACAAGCTGCCCAGGATGGAGAAGACTTTCAAACGTTGTACTACAAACTGAGCATGTCGTACAAAACCGTGAAGCAGAATTGTCAGGACATTCTTGGTGATGAACGATCTCACGTCACGGAAGCCGTAAAGGATATTGAAGTTCTAGGGGCCAAGCTTGAATACGAAATTAATGCACTTGTATCGAAAGTACAAGATGTGGAGGATGGAGTTGCCCAATTTGAGCGGCAAGTGGATAATTTGGAGTACCGCGCTGGAGAATTGGAATCAACTCTTGCGAGTGAAAGCTGGCCTCATTATATCGTCAGAACAATTACTGGAATTGGAACGGGGCCGAACATTATAGCACCTCGTCGGCAATAATCAAAAGGATACTTAAAGGAGGCGCTTTGGAGTACAAATATTAGCGGGAGTTGCGAGATACCCTTAAAGCATTTACGTGTAGCATAGCAAGTGGTTTGAACTTTGAATGGAGTGGATCAACGCCTTTTGTTCTGCCTATGTTCTAATAGTACAACTACCTTTTTGGCAGCATCTCGTCGTTGTGAAACCATCATAGTACTCTCATATCATCAATCCATCCCCATCAAGTAATACATATGTCTGAAAAGCCTCCTCCGATATCTTTCAATGTCCTACATTCCCCCAATACCAAATCCACCCCCTTGAGCACCGCCCTTCGCCGCAGCCTCTGCTTGCAATAACTCGGAAACCTTCAGCTGCACATCGAAAAACTTGGCCGCACACCGGTCGATGCACACACCCTCGCCCTTGTTGATCTCGCCCTCGAGGTATGTTTTCGGTATGCATTTCTTCATGCAGGCTTGTTGGAGTCTAGTATGTGTAAGCTTCAAATTTGGATTCGAAATAAAGGGAGACGTACTTGTTGAACATGTCTGTGATGAGGTCCATTTCCTGCTCTGCTGCTGCAATCTTCTCTGATGATGAGGGCTGAGGACGCCCGAAGCCAAACATTCCGGACATGATTGTGGTTTAGATTGGTATTGGGAGTGAGGGCTGAAGGGTTATTTGGTTGATGATGTTGACTCGGGTTCTGGTTCAAAATCTTGGAGCTGTATAGCATGCGGTTCCGTACATGCGGCCGCTAGCGTGGTCCAGTATTTCGAATCTTTTTGATTGCTCGACTTTCTTTTGAACCTGAACCTGCCAGAAATCTTCCACGCGCCACTTTATGTAGTAAGTCTCTTCATTTTTACATGTCCAATCCAAATCCTGGGATTCTATGATGATTTCCAAATAACATTAGAACCGTTGCGACTGACACCTTTACCGGTGATTGATCTCACATCGACCGTTGTCTGATAATTCCCTCAATCTACCTTTCTTGTCTCTGAAGACTTGCATATCAATTTTTACTGACAGAGCCATGACAGAATGACCATCTCTCCAGGCCTCCGTTTTCTACGGCCATACCTCTGCAAAGACCTTGCCGTATCGCAAAAACATGCCTATCTAAGGTTTTTCAGCAGTACAAGATGTTTGGGGAAGAAGGCCTATCAAAAGATCGATTCCTACGGTCATGATGTCTCGAAGGGGGGGGGTGAAGCTCTAAAACGGAATACAAATGACCGGATTACGAAACTTGAGAGTGCGAATGCGCTGAAGTGGCCGAGAATTCAGAATGATGTGAACGGTTTGACCCTGACGGAGTATAATGAAAAGTATAAACGTCTGCAGGCTGGAGCTAAACTGAGTGACGAGACCGTGTTAATACGAGGTATGGATTGGCTTGAAATTGTGTCTTGTACTGTGCTAATTGTGCACAGGGAGGTTAATGTCCTTTCGAATCGCTGGTGGCAAGCTGATATTCTTGGACATATATCAAGATGGGTATATGGTTCAAGGTATCTGCAATCAAGGTGACCTTGATGCTTTCAGTGGGATAACGAAAAGGGCATTTAAGGAGTTCTGGCATACGCTTCAAAGGGGAGATTTCATATGTTAGTACTTGAAATCTTCGCCTTTGTCTTTCGCTAATATCTCCCAGCCATGTATGGCCACCCTCACGTAACTCAACAGTCAAAAGGAGAATTATCCATGTACTGTATAGAACTTCCTCAAGTCTTAGCTCCCTCAATTTCTCTTATACCACGAAAACTCGAAGATCGGGAGGCTCGAATACGCAATCGACATGTGGATATGCTTGTCAATCCTAAGACTTCTGATACCATACGAATTCGGTCTCACATTATACAATACATCAGAAACTTTCTATTAGATGACCAGTTCCTTGAGGTTCAAACGCCAATAATATCTGATTCGGCCGGCGGTGCCATTGCAAGGCCTTTTACAACTGTCGCCACAGAGTTCTCAGACAAGCAATTAGCTCTCCGAGTCGCTCCTGAGATATGGCTCAAGAGACTTGTTATTGGAGGCATGGATCGAGTTTTTGAGATTGGACCAGCATTTCGAAATGAGGGTCTTGACGCCACCCATAATCCAGAGTTCACTACATGCGAATTTTACAAGTCATTTGCCGATTTGAATGACCTAATGTCTATGACCGAGAAGATGGTTTCTGGCATTGCGTCGCTCGTTTCAGTACAACGCAAACATCCCTTGACATCTCTCCCTGAACCAAATGCAAGCCTCAGTGCAACACCATACAAACGTATCCAATTCATTCCCGCCATCGAGAAAGCGCTAGGAGAAAAACTCCCAGATCTGGCTGATGATCAAGCTACGGAAAAACTGCTAGCTCTTTGCAAGAAGCACTCCATAAAACTCCCCGAGGCCCTCACACTCCCTCGCATCCTAGACAAGCTGGCTTCTATCTACATTGAGCCTGATTGCGAGGCTCCTACATATATCATCTACCCCCCAGCATGCATGGCACCTCTCGCAAAATCCTTCATTGACCCTGCTACCAAACAACTCGTGTCAGCTCGTGCCGAACTTTTTATCCAGAAACGGGAAATGGCGAATATGTATGAAGAGGAGAACTCGCCTTTCGAGCAAAGGGTAAAGTTTATGCAGCAAGCAAAGTTCAAGGATGACGAGAACAAGGCTTTCATCGATGAGAGCTATCTCGAAGCTTTAGAGTGGGGCCTACCTCCCACAGGAGGCTGGGGGTGTGGGATTGACCGAATGGTCATGCTGTTCTCGGGCTCAAAGAGAATCAGTGATGTCTTGGCCTTTGGAAGTTTGAAGAATGTGGTCAATCTCGGAAACCCTGCACCGAGAGCCTCTGGCGTCATGCAGAAGCTAGAGGATCTGGCGTCTGGCCCGAAAGATGTTCCTGAGAGCAAGTCGGCGAAGAAGAAGAAAAAGAAGAAGGCGGCTGCTTCTGAGGCTCCCACGTCTGTGAAGACGGCGGTCGCTTCTGAGGGTGTTACGCCTGTGCAAAAGGCAGCTTCTTCTGAGGCTACCACGCTTGTGAAGAAGAAGAAGAAGAAGGCTGCTTCTGATGCTGCCACGCCTGTGAATAAGAAGAAGAAGAAGGCTGCTTCTGAGGCAGTCAAGCCTGTGAAGAAGGATGACATGGCTACCTCTGTAAAAACAGCTCCTCAAACTGAGTCCTCGGCATCAACGAAAGAAAGTGCTTCTGAAGCCGAGTTAGCAGATAAAGCGGACGAAACTCCGCCTCTTGCGAAGACGTCCAGTACGATGTAGAATATATAACGTTGTATGATATGAACGGAGGTGTAAATATGTATATGATAGAAGAACGGCTATGTAACATTACTGTACAAATTTAATCTCTCCCACCTACAAAATGGCCAACGCATTCGGTGGACTTGCAATCCCACCATGAACATTCAAAGGCGCACTTGTCAGGAAGAAGCTATACTTATTCTCCTTCTTGCAAACCTCAGCCAGCTTCTCCAAGTTCCACAGCTCGCCAATTGGAGTTCCCCACATCGCAAGCAAGTGATCATGGAGTCCTGTCAATCGTCAGCCTTCCATTACACCACAAGATAATTAGCAGAGGGCCAAATAAAATAAACTCACTATAAGGCGCCTTAGGCGGCCACGCTTCAAACGCAATCGCATCCCCAGCCACCGCAGCAAAATGATGGTTCCACAACCACTCCACCGTCTCCTCATTCCCCGCTACCCCAACATGTTCATGTCCATCTCTAGCTCCCTTGACCCTGACCTGCGCATCTGCCTGCTCGTACCACTTGACCCATCCGCTCCTCACAATCAAGATATCCGCCGGCTTGAACTCCACACCCTGCTCTCTCGCAGCGGTCTCCAAATCTCCGACGCTGATTTCGTGGCGCGTCGTCGCCGAGTAGGAAATGTTGTGTCGTGCTGCGTATTCTACATAGTCGATCAGCACGCCGCGCCCGACTATGCCTCCGCGGCGCGTGAAGTGGTGAATGCCGTTCTTCTCCGCGTTCTCGGGTAGAGGGATCTCGTCGTGCTGGAGACCGTTGTAGTAGAGACCGGTGTCCTGATGGCCCCAGTGCCGGAGACCGTCCCATTGGGAACCGCTCTGGGTGTTGATATGGATGAGGTCGTCGAAGCCGACGAAGCCGAGGGGTTTTAGGTCTTTGAAGGTGTGTTTTGGGGTTTCGCGCTGGAAGCCAGGCTGGTGGACCTGTTCTAGATTCCAGCTGTGGGATTTCAGTTCAGGAACGGGTAGAGGAAGAACGTGGGGTTTGCATACTTGAGAGCTACGCTCTTGCCAGTCTTGATTTCTTTCTGGGCTTCGATTGTGTTTTCTGGCGTGAGCAGATTGAGAGATCCGCAATTGTCTCGTTCGCCATTCTTGTCCCACAATCCCCAAGCCGTGCCGTGGGGCATTCCCTTGACGGCAGGCATGTCTTTGAAGTTGGGGAGGTCTTGAGCGCGCATTTTGGGCAATTGAAAGAACCGAAATACAGGATTATGATTCAGGAAAAGAAAATGTGAAGTATTGAAAGATAGCTTAATTGAAAAGGACAGCAACTGTAGTGATTCCCACATACTCCACCCCCTTTCGTACAAGAGATGATCCCGTTGAAGCGGGCGGCCAACCCCGCACCCGCAACGCGGGGTGGGGTGGTACTAAGTCAGAAAATCACCACCGGCTGATGGCACTTGCAGTTTTGATCCCAATAGGAAAAGGGCATCCAGCACCCATTTTAAGAATAAATAGTAGAGCCGGTAGATAGTTAGTTCCGGGAACTCGAGGTAGTAGAGTATATAAACTCGGCACTTCCAACATGAAAGTTTAGATGAAAGAACGAAATGAACAGCTCATAATCAACTTCTGTCTTGAAATGGGCTGCCCAATAATCATACGATGAAGCCAGTTTGCAGGCTGTAAGACCTCATCTAATCCTTATTGTCGGTATTCAGGGATGGCAACTTCAATGAGTCATGGCCGTGAAAATTGAGGATATTAATAGTTGATGTTCTGTTTAGTGAGCGGTTGACCTAAGGTTTAAGTCTCGGCGTTAAGATCTTAAAACCGACTACAGTCCAACGTCACCATTCTTTGCTACTCCTCCACCACCTATTGGCCCATACATTCCAAACTTTCTGGGCCAGAATAACATGGGTATCTTCGAGATTTAACTCCGAGTCCGCTCGAAAAATAAGTTCAATAATGGGGCCTCTGACGTTGTTAGGAGCTGGGAAAGTATATTAATGCGTTTCTTTCCCATTTTCTGTTCTATCCTTCAATAAAAACTCATATCTTCCGCCCAGCCCTCTCTCTCTCTCTAATCTTTACAACATCAGCTATCATGCCTCGCGTTTTCTTCATCACTGGAACTTCCACGGGTTTTGGTAACCACCTCGTACAAGAAGTCATCGATAAGGGAGATATTGTTGTTGCTACCGCTCGCAAGCCTGAACTGCTAAGCTTCAAGAACACTACCGACAAGGTATGAAAGCCAACCCGGTCTTTCAACTCCTACTAATAATATCAGAACTTCCTCGCTGTCAAGCTTGATGTCACAAAAAAGTCCGACATCGATGCCGCATTTAAGGCTGTTATCGATAAATTCAAGCGGGTGGACGTAGTGGTCAACAATGCCGGATATGGTCTTTCAGGACCATTCGAAGAGCTTGCCGACGACCAGATCCGGACTCAAATGGAAGTCAACTTCTTTGGCCTGATCGATGTCACTCGAAAAGCGATGGAAACGATGCGTGAACAGAAACCATCTGGAGGTCTCATCCAACAAGTAACTTCGATCGGTGGCCAAAGGGGTTCCCCACTTTTCAGCATCTACTGTGCCAGCAAATGGGCAGTCGAAGGGTTCACCGAAGCTATCAGTCAAGAAGTCAAGCCCGAATGGGGTATCAAGTTTACCTGCATCGAACCAGGTGGATTCCGAACTGATTGGGCTGGACGATCGATGACTTTCCCCGAGAAGAAGCATCCCGCCTACAACCATTTGGATGCGAAAGAACTGATGGCCAAGAGGAATGGTACTCAGGCTGGTGACCCACCCAAGGGAGCCAAGGCTATGTACGAGCTGGCTATCATGAAGGACCCGCCGTTGAGAGTCGTTATCGGTTCGGATGCATACACGGGTATTATGAACAAGATCAAGACCTATAGCGAGAATTATAAGAAGTATGAGAATATTTCAAATAGCACAGATGTTGATGGGTATGAAGGATGAGATTACGCAGATGGGGTCTAAGCAGTAATTATAGATAGAATAGAAGATCATATCCTGCATCCCCGTTCTCAAGTGAGTTGCAAATGTGTGTAGGCGAAAGGCTTTTAAAGAACCTCATTTGGGTCCTCGAATGATTTCAAGTGGTATGCCTATCACACCTAGAAAATATTCTATTAGTATGGTGCTGTTACTCGTTTGACAATACATAGTAGTTTTCTCTGATGACCTTACACATTGAAACCAACCCCTCATTTTCAGCAAGATCTAGCGCCTGTCCTCTTAAAACTATCATCCATTGACCTCGCTTACTCCACCAATTCTCGCAGCACTAGTTCATTCTCTCGCTTTACAGATTCCAGCAAGGTGCTGCCAGGTTTGAACCTGTCTGAGGTCACCGGGGATGTCCGCTTTGAATATAGCTTCCGCAACCTTACGGTTTCATGACTGGCTGAAAACCCGCCACCGGGCAGCGCGCTTTACCCCACACGCTCTCACGGCTTCGACGAGTATGAGACGAGCGATCTCGGTTGGTGATGTTGGGCATTCGTCCATGCTTAATTAGATGAAATTGTGTTGGTGTCCGTGTAAAGGTTGTCCGACTTGAGCGACGAAACAGAATGCAAAGTGTTGAATAGGGGGTTGCTGAGTCACCAACCAGAATAACAAGCAGGACGATGACGAGTAGGTCTCCTGACGCAGGCAGAAAGCAAAGGGTGGAAATGTGTGCGATGCATTGTGTAAAAAGACGAAAGTGAACACCGATAAGCTGAGGGGTTTAAACGCGGAAAATAAGGCTCTTTCGGCAGAATTTAAGCCTTTGAGTAAGAGCAATGCCAAGTCCAAGTCCAAGTCCATGGAAGTGGTGTATCAAAACGATGGCGATGTTGAAATGACTCTTTGAGAGGGCGTTGAGGATGAGAGTTTTGTACGAGCGCGGATTATATACGTATTGAGTCTACTAAATCCCGGTTCTGATTTCCATGGACTAAGTATGGAATGTCTTAAGATTGCCCCGTACTTACTTCATATCATGCACACAACCTTCGCTGGCTATCAGGGTTTTTTGCTGCCACTTCAAAGGGTTCGCTTCGACTTCCGACGAAAAGGGGTATCGCTTAACTCCCAACCCGGCAACTTCAACCTCAAGATCCCAAACAATCAACGGCCATTCTCTCAGCTTACAATACACCTGGTCGGCATTCAATAAACAACAACATGGCATCAAATGAACAAAGGAAGCTGACAGCTGCCGAACTATCAGAGATTGCGCAGTACGGCAAGATCGTCAAGTTCGCGCAAGACGTATTGCTGGCAAAGCACCCGCGCGTCAAGGTCCCCGAGACGATGGTAAGCTCATGATTACCCAGCGCCACCGAGCTGCCTCCACTGATGACTGCGAAACAGCAAGCTCGAGCACATAAGATGGGTCATGCGATGTTGCAGGAGAGCGGCGCGGAGGATGTAGCTCGCAACCCTGGTTTCCATCCAACGGCCACTCCACGATTGCCTTCTCCGTTTCCGGCCGACTCAGCACAGCGAGTGAAGCCTGTTGATATGGATGTTAAACCGGTGACGGGGTGTTCAGTAGCTTCTTCGCAGGTAGTGGTTTTGAGAGAGAAAGGGTTGTGGAAGGTCGAGGAGAGTATGTCTGTGGTAGAGGCTGTGGAACAGATTAAGGCGAAGCGCATGGAAAGGAAGAAGGAAAAGAGGGCTGCGGAGACAGAAAGCGATGATGAGAGTACGCTGGGTATTTGCAACGGAGACACTGGTCGAGAGGCAAAACGTCGATTTGGTTGGAGGGACCGTGACGATAAGGGGAAGCGCCGTCGGTAATCTAGGAGCTGTCTTGTTAAGATCAAGCTCTGGGGAGAGTGGAGAATCACAACACCTTGAAACACCGCCCGAATGAAGTCTCTTCGGAACAAGATACCGGTAGGTTTTGCCAACTGCGCCGAAATCGGCCTTTGACGATAGAATGCACCAATTCTCCCTATCTTCTTCAAATCTCACAGTTTCTATTCTAGAACCCTCAAATACCCACAACCACATATTCCAATTATCTTTGTCAGCGACAACCATGCCAGCCACCGAGAATGTTCCACACCCGCTCACACAGGGCAACTTAGACCAGAATAATGACGGAGTTGTCGCTGTGAGGGTTGGGGGACGTCGAAGGATGTCTGAGAACTTGGTTAGTCTAAGCCCTTTACCAACACCATCTTGAAAGACATGATGATCCAGCATGAGACTGACCATGCTTAAAGAGGCTCCTGGGTCGCGCCGACATGACCTATCAGCATCTGAGCCACCCTCTTAACCTCCCAGTAGGAGGGCATTCAGCCCCGGTACGTGTGCCTCCTGATAAATACTTATATCCTGCTGTGAGGCATCTGAAAGAATGCTCACTCACGTCCCCAACAGTCCTACTCATACCCACCGTCTATCTAGCCGCCCAGCCTCAAACCCAAGTGATCAACTACCATCACGACTACTACGCCGATCTAGGAGTAACTTCATACGTGACCGCCGACGCAGTCGAAAGAGCATACATACCAAGGCAAATGTAAGCCTCCAACCACGCTCAGGTCTTGTAAATACGTATGCCAACTGACATTTCTCCTCGCAAGGGATACTCAACTCCACCCGTTCCAGGCGTGGAATTCGCGAACTTCTCTCCGGCAATCACATCCGCCGGCATACAGTGCGCAGGAATTGGACAAAGACGTACTTGTCTTTCCGCACTTCAAATCCCATAGCCTTAAGCAGCGCGCTGTGACATACATGTGCTGTATGATGATGCTGGATGGATAGCGTGGGGAGTCGAGGTAGGTGGTATGTGATATAGATAAGAGTAAGTAAAATAATGCGGTTAATGGCGAGTAGCGATGTGAAGAAGATATTTGATAGGGTGCGGGGATTATAAGGGTCGAGAGAGTAGTTGTGGAAGAAAGGGCACGATGCACTTGCTACATAGGGTTATGCTGTCCCAAGAGGCAGACACGGTCCAATCTTTATCAAATATATTGTAAGGCAAGGTCAGTCAATCACAATTGGACACAATCAAGACAATCTTCGCAGACAGAAGAAATTTTTTATTAACTATTACGGTGTTGCCCTAATGGCAGATTGCGAAAAGACGTAGTCTGGGTATAGGGGTATCAATAGGCAGCGAAATGCACCCGCGTAGACCGAAGACAAAACAAACAATAATGCAAAAATGAGTGGTATCAATATCGATCAATCAATCTGGGTATTTCAAGGAGATCCGTTTTCCGACGATAATGAACTCGTTCCATCAGTGACATGAGCGATCCGTACTTGGTGACGAATCTAGGCGGATGCAGTCACCTGAGTGGTGGAGACAGGGGCAGCTGAGACTGGCTCACTGACAACGGGCTCCTCAGTCGCTGGCTCGGCGACCTCTGGGGTGGTCTCAGGCTCCTCAGCCTTTGTCTCGGGGGTCTTCTCAACCTTCTCAGTCTTGGGGGAAGACTTGCCCTTGACGGTAGCCCTCAACTTGGCGAAGGGGGACTTGGGCTTCTCGCCCTCCTCATCACTGGTTGGCTTCTCCTTCTTGGTCATCCATGGTAGAGAGCTCTTGCGCTTGTCGCTCTTGGTGGTTGGGACCTCAGTCTTGGTCTCGCCGTTGGTGGGGAGAGTGGTTGTCTCGGTTGGGACAGTAGCTGGGCTCTCGACGGAGGTGGCGAGTGGCTCAGTGGACTCGACAGCGGGGATGACTGGGGCAGTCTCGCTCACTGGCTCGGTTGCCTCAGCATCCTTGGCTGGAACAGCTGGGGCCTCAGCCTCCTTCTTCTCTCCCTTGGAAGAGAAACGAGATTGGAGTTGTCCGAAGATGCTGTTACGCTTGCTTGGGGCTGGCTTGACGGCCTCAGTGGCTGGGACAGTCTCCTCGGTGGCAGCGACAGGCTCAGTTGGCTCTGCGGCAGGCTCAACGACCTCAGGGGTAGCCTCAGCAACAGCTGGCTCCTCAGTGGCAGCGGCAACAATTGGCGTCTCCGTGGTCTCCTCAACCTTGTCTTCCTTCTTGCCACCAAAGTTGATGCCACCGAAGATGGATGTACGCTTGCGGGATGCGCTACGGCTCTTGCGGGACTTCTCTTCTTTCTTCTCCTCTTTCTTCTCTTCCTTTATCTCCTTTTTCTCTTCCTTCTTCTCCTCCTTGGCTTCAGCCTTTTCTTCCTTGGCCTCCTTCTTGGGAGTTGTGGCAGCGACAACTGGCTTGGTCAAAGCGCTGTGGCTCTTCTTGTACTCCTCGCTGTCCTTGACAGTCTCGCCCAAGGCCTTGGCCTCCTCAATCTTTGTCTTCAACACGGAAACCCAGTTGTCTCTCTCAGCGAGAGTGGCAGCCTGGAAAGTGTGCTTGTGGCCACCGGATGTGAAGTGAAAGTCGGTGGTTCCCTCCTCGGTGAGATCGGTGACATCGGACTGCGAACATGTTAGCAGATGTATATAAGGTATAGATCATTACACTTACCAAGTTGAAAAGACCAGCAGGGGCTGCCTTGTCGGTGACCTTCTTGCTGAAGAACAAGAGACCCTTTCCGGTGTGCGAGGCCCAGGCAGCATTGTGGTTTGCAGCCGCAGCCTCCTTCTCTCCGCGCAGGTAGCTGGAAAGGCTCTTGGTCTCAACAGGCTCGGAGCCGAACCAGAAGAACTTCTTTTGGAAAATAAGACCCCTGGAAAGAATTTGTGGTCAGTTGCCGATCTTTGAAAATTCAATGCGAAATAATATTATGCGCAACAAGTTTTGCCGCTATCGCGAAAGTGTTGTCATGTAAACAAAGCTTCGTTTGTAGACAGAAACATTGTGCTTTAGAACAAAGTTCATGCTGTTGACTGGCGACTGAATAATTTCGACAACCCAGACTTTCGCGAACAAATGTGTGTTAAGACTTACTTGAGTAAACCGGGTCCCTTGTAGCCAAGAGTTCCCTCCTCGACAGGTTTCACTTCCTCCTTGACAGCTGCCTCCTCCGCTGCTGGCTCAGTGACTGGCTCAGTGACAGCCTCAGTCTCAGTAGTAGGCTCAACGGTCTCTGCGACAGGCTCAACAATAGGCGCTTCTGTTGCGGTGGTTTCAGTTGTGGGAGCAACGACCGGCTCCTCGACCTTGGTGACTTCAGACATGTTGAGAGATGTGAAGGGGGATTATTAACAACGGGTATCGTAAAGGGTATCAAATGGAATGGGTATCAAAAGAAGAAGATGGCGATGAAGTTGAGAAAGAGCAAGCAAAGAACTCGATGTGGATGGAAAAAAAGAGAAGAGGTTCAGGTTCAGCGAGAGGGCGAGTTTTATTTGGCAGCGAGCAAGGAGGCAGGGGTGCAGGCCACAAGCGAGATGAAGGGCAGGCGCGAATCAACGGCAGTCAAAGCGTTAAATACCACTTCCCTTTCCGTAACAAGCAGGGAGGCTACTTCATCTACGGGAATATAACGATAATAATGATCACAATCATCATAATAACAACAGTCTATTTGGGCAACCGTACGAGGTACGAAGTAGCTGTTTTGTCTAGTACAAGTAGATCATAGATCTCCTTGAACACCCAGAATAGTAGATCAATATGGAGGGCAGCTTGCATAACTCCCACGGCGACTCTACTAGTCTAGTCTACGGCATCGCATGAATGCTGAGGAGGTGTCTCCTTCTCCCCTCTACCGGTACAGTACTCTACAGTAGAGTACTCGTATATTGTTTGCCAGATACCCTTTAGACGCAGGGTCGACACTTGCAACACGCCATCTGGACTTGCAAGATCGACATAAATGATCATGCGAGCACTTTGGTCTGAAATGCAAGCCTCTTTTGATTGGAGAAACACTAAATGCAGCCAAGGGTGTACTCCGTATTGTATGCTAAACTCCACTTTTCCATCCCCCTTCACTTACGCACTATGTCTACTGTATGGCATAATGTTCACATGGCCATACGCCAGGGAAACGCCTCACAGGCTTTCACAGGCTTTCTCAAGATCTCATAGGTAAGTCAATCATAAAGATACCGAGCTACTCGGCCTTGTAAGTAAAAGCCTTCCCAACTCTTTTGAGTCCATACCGTATTATTTTCCCAGCGTCTGTCACTAGAACCCTGCCTAGCCAACCACCGCCCGGTCCAGGTAGATAGATCATCCAGCCTCCTGAAGGACCTGAACACCCGATACCTAAAGAAGGCTATCAGGAAATTTGATGCCTCCAAAATCTCCGAATGAAGGCCAGAGCTTGGCCCATGTGTCACTTAAACATCCTTCCGTCTTCCGCGACTCGTGACTCTGGACGCTGTGTACGATGGTCCATGAGTACAGTCCTGTATATATAATACGGTGGTTGGCTGCTGCTATGCAACACAGAAGTTGTGGAGCCAGACAGCAGAGTCAAGGGGTCGTAGCACCGAGTACCGTACAGAGTTTCAATAGCATGGCATGTTATCCCGCCCGGCCTATGAACCCACACCATCACGGTCACTAGTCGCCGCTGACTTTGTACATCGCTATCTCGGTGGTAAGTCATCAGCTGTTTGGTTTCATAGAGCCCTGAGTCAGAGCCCCTGATTTGCCCCGAAGCACTGCCTCAGCCTGAATCTTGACTGTCTCGTGCCCTTTTCCCTTTCGAAAATACAAAGTCAAATTCCACATTATTCAACAAATTCCCATAAAATCCAGACGGCACTTCTTTAAATTGTCCTCTGGAGCTCAATTTCCCTGCAGCGCACTACTATCGCTCTAAGTTTCGGCAGACGCTGGCCTAGCGTGCAGCGCAGCCTCTAGTACTTCTTGGGATCAACCCTGATTTGACCTCCAGTCAGTCATCTCCAAAGCAGCCCAGAAAATGTACGTACGAACGGTATGGAAAAGTCGGTTTTTCGTGCAACACCTCATAATTCGCAACCCCTCCGCCCAGACCTTAATCCGACTTCTCGACCTCCCAGAGAATCTTTTTTTCAAAAGGGGCAGTTACAAACAGACTGCAGACTGCAATGCAATGCAATGCAACTTTGAAAGAGACTCGAGAGGGGCAGAAGGGCAGCTTTCAGGAGATTCAGAAACATAAGTAACCCAAGCTTTGCCACCCATCGCGAGGTCAGATACTCCCCAGCAAGCACACATGTCATGGCTCATTGGAAAAAAGACAAAGTCTGTAACCTTTAGCAGGGTGCGATGTCTTTTCAACGGCCAACGACTGCATGTAGTCGGTACAGGCTATATTCTATTGACATTGAGAGCAGTGTATTGTATTACGGGGCGACGAACCTGATGGTCTCGCCTCTTGGATGATTCAGGCCGCGCACGCCGCTCAGATAAGGTAGGAAATTCTCATTGACGGAAATGATAAGCCAGACTCCCAGAATCATGGGACGATCACGACGTTTAGATGGAATGTATTGTCTCTCCTTTAGTCCCTTCGCTTATGGCGGATGAGAAAGTCAAAAGCCAAGCCAAGCCATGCCATGCCATGACCCCGCCTTCACTTGTACCCCTCTTAGTTTGATATATGTGTACTTGTAGTCTGCTACGCTTGCGTTTGCTTTCACTACTTGCTGCTCCTTTCTCTTGCGTTTGTTCAGTATTGTGAGAACCTGCCTTGCACTGTATACCACGTGACATCTGGACTTCCTGAAGAGTTGTTAGGTCGAGAACGAGCTCGCAAGGCTGTTTATATCGCTTTTTCGTAGTAGTAGGCACTTGATCCAAATGGGCAATGCTACCTCTGTATTGCGGTGGGGCTTTTGCTAAAGAAAAGCATATTTCAATAAAGTTTTGGAATTAGTCTTTGGCGCCCCAAAGAGCCTTTGCACTGCCTTGCTCCTGTTTGACTGCCGTCGGATATTTCGGGGGTATGGAAGCACATTTGGGACCGTTGGATTTCGCAGCAAAAGCCATTACATTCACTCGGAATGCCTGGAACATCAAGACTCTAGGTCCTCTGTGACCCGTTGACATTCGTTGCTGTGACTTGCTGATGTCTTCTACAGTACTATCGTGTGTCTTTCAGCTCACTCAACTTGTTTGATATGTCTATTATCTCTAGAATTACTATAATAAGACGACAGCTTTGATTGTTCTTTCAACTTGCAATAAATTCACTCAAAATGTCGGGTCTAATGATCTTTCACTTCGATTCAGCTCCACTTTTATCATTCATTCATTCACTCCTTCAGTGACAAGATTAGAATAAGACTTCTATATTTCTCACTCCCATCTTCAATTCAGTACCGTTAACACTCGACATCCTACACTGCCAATACAGATAATCACTTTCCTTGCTTTGAATTTCATCAAGCAATAGGTTCAGCTCAGCATTGCTCTTGAAGAGCCTCGTAAAGACTTGTGGAATCCTTGTGACAACCTTCTCAATCTTCTTCTCCTACCAAAGGACATATATCTCCGACTTCCGGGAATTGGAAATACCAATACGCTTGCCTCTTTTTATGGGACTGCTACTTTTGGTTAGTCCAATCCTCGCATTCGTCAACCACCATCTTCAACATTATCAACCTCAAGCAAGCATTGCACAGCACTTGAGAAAAGCCTGGCACCTTTGAGACGTTTTTGCTTGACATTCCCAGGTATGTCTTCTCCACTGTCTCTCTTTCTAATATGTACCTGATGAGGTTCGGACTTCAACTTAGCCTCTCCCAATTTGCGTTACACATTACACCAACACTTCTGGACTTGCCATCTCACCAGAAAATCTGTCCATTCATTACCTCTTCTCCACTTTTTTTCACTCTTCATTTCCTCTTCAAGCATTTCATTCCCACAACTGTTCTCCACGAGCACAAAACCACACTCCACTCAATACTCAAACCGCCACGTTCGATCCCTTCTTACATTTCTGCTTCACTTTTCAAAATGGAGGACACATTCCAACAACTCCACTCGTCCATCCTTTTCGGAGACCTCTTTCCGCAAAATCACCCAACTATGGCACTACATGTTTTAGTGGGTACAACTAGCTAATCCTTAGCTCTTCTAGAGGCTCACACTCCTCATATTTCCAACAGTGGAAGCCAAAAAATACTACCACATGCTACTTTTGTTTATCTTCAGAAGTAATCTACAAAAACCCGATATCAACTACAAAGTTTTCTGGATTGTTTTTACTTGCACAACAGGAGCGGAGTTGAGTTTCGCAAGCTTTGCTGGATCTCACTCAAAACCTTCCGTTATTCATTCCAACTCCCTCATCTTTAATAGTTACCCTTAAGCAATTTCTCTCAGTAAGATCCCGCTCTCTCCCTCCGTTCCTCAACTTCACTCAAAAAAAAAAATATATAACTACATCACTTATCCCACTCTTTCTCGGCTCCACCTAGCCATCACTCCATCCCCAGCAGATGCCATCCTCTTCTTTCATATGCTTCTATGATATTCAAAATCTTCAAAAACCAACCATATCATTTATCTAGGTCAGAACCTCCTACCATCGAAATGCTTTCTACCCAGAACCATTCCGGGGAGAATCCCTATGGATACAATCCCAAGAGCTACAGGAAATTCCGAAGAAATCTCGATGAACAGCACGCCAATCCCGTCCCGCAAGCTAAGGAGTACTGGAAGTCGTATTGGGCCGAAGAAATGGCCAAAGATGATTGGACTGCTGCGCCTGCTCCGAAGAGTAAGGAACAGTTGTTGAAGGAGGAGATTGAGAAGAACTTGGAAGATTGGCCATGGAAGGGCGTGCCTCAAAAACTGCTCACTGTGGTATGTACTTCTCCAGGTCGAACTGGGTTTGGGAACTCGGACTGACAGAACTACAGAGCCCATATGCCTATAATTATTACAACGAAGAACCCCCGCACAACATGGTTCAGGCTCCTTTCAAACTGGAAGAGGTAGTCCAAACCAGTAAGCTGTTTACTGAGCTTTTCAGGGCCCGGCCAGTCTTGGAAATCATTGCCAAGAACCTCTTTCAATACCATAGCATGTCATGGCAGTTCTTCGCAACTTGTCAAGAGGCAGGAAGAACTATGGCTCAAATTTTGGTGAGTTATAACCTTGGAGCTCTGATGTTATTTTGGAAGAATCGCTACTAAGTTAAATAGGGCTTTTGGGATGTCAATGGTAACTTCTTCGGTCACTGCGAGGAACCACCCACCGCTAAAGGTCCGCACCATGACGCTAGGGTATCATTGATCACGATCGTAGCCCCAGTGCGTAGACCAGAGGGCCCGGGATCTTATGTTGAACAAATAGAGAATATACACTCCTTATGTAAGCTTCTATTCGGAACGCGAAGCTTCAGACACTAACTCCAATCCAGGTCACTCTGTTTACAACTTTGGAGAGAACATCCGCAACATCCAATTCCATAGAGTACCTTTTCTATCAACCCGGCTCCTCGCACTACTAATTCCCAAGATGCGGAAACTTGAGAATCTCGGCATCTACAAGTGCCAACTTATCCATGTTGGCGAGACCATGCGGCTCTTGGAGATCATCCGGACCGATAGAATGCGGGGAAAAGAGGACCAGGTCTCCCTAGACTTTTTCCCCAACTACCACTTTGGCACAAAAGAGAGCCTTGGGAAGCATTGCGTTGGCACCTACGGTGCATCGTGGGATAACTGGGGTGGAGATACTGATATTGCCATCTGGGCAATGGTCACTAGAATTATCCCGCAAGCACGCAAGCAAGGTATTGATTTCGAAAGCCCACATACCGCATTCCGACAATGGTTAGAGAAATCTCCATGTTGGCGTGTAGATGAAATGCTTGAAGCGATTTCGCTATTCACAACAGACCATGAATACGACCCGGCAACGTTTGCGGCCCTGGTGGATTGCCGCAACCCAGATCACTTTGGGAATGTGACGAAGTACACAGGCAAGATTGTGCACCGTCCCCAGGGATGGAAATGGTAAGTTTCCATCGGTTTCTCTAGACTATCGGATACTAACTACGCAGGTCAACCCAACGTATCCCTTGCGACTACTGCCACACCAGCCCCCTCGGAATCTTCTTCCACTACATCAACGTCCGGCCAATCGTCGATGCCAACGGCGACGTCCGACCCAATCTAACCCTCCGCTGCCTAGGCTGCAAATTCCACATCGTCCTCAACAAGGAAAAAGACCATTTCAAGCAGCGGAAACGCAACACCATCCGCGAGTGGCTCCGCGTAGACGACGGCGAGTGGAACGATGCGGACCTGCTCAAGGCCATCACGGACATTGAAAGCAGAGGCATAATCCTACGGACCACGCAAATGGATGACCAGCGCCAGGAGTTGAAAATGGCGGGTTGGGATCCAGAGGAGGCGGTCCAGACGCCGATTACGGAGAGGGAGAAGAATCAGAAGTTCAGCTCTTTTCATAGGAGTCCGACGGTGGATGATAAGAGGAATGATCCGAAGTTTATGACGGAGGAGGAGAAGCGGTGGAAGCTGATTGCGAGGCCGGAGAGGAGGCATGAGCATGGGTATTGAGTTCTGTCCTGCCTCATCTCCATCATAACCGCAACCGCAACTTCCCTATAACCCCTCCCCACATTCTTCAGCCCCCCAAAACCAGCAAGCCGAGCTATCCTATCCCCACCCAGCACCTCTGCATCATCTGTCCTCACAACCAGGAAGGCCAGCTAGCAAGACCCAACCTCCAACCTCTTGCTCAGCTACACTTCCTTCTGTCTTCAGCCTTCAGCCTTCAACCTCCCGCCCTCATCAAACAACACAGACAGTACACAACCCAACGCCTCATGCGCGAGAAATAACTCCAGCTACCTAAGGTAGCTCAGCTATATTTCTTGGGTAGGGTCACGCACGCGCTCAGCGCAACATATCATTCCCCCAAAAGTACTCATTCTTGTTTACATTTCCATTTCTATTCCCCCTTTCTTTTTTCGCTAAACACTCACAGCACAGCACACTTGTATTTTTTTACCAACAGTATTATACCCCACAACATAGCATAGCACGTTTTTATTTTATTCCCTCGCAAAATATGGGGGGTTTTTTTTATTTGGGCTGGTGGGTCGCGTATTCATAGTATGGGATGGAGCGGGGGTTTGTTTTGCTTTTCGGGGGGAAAAGAGGGAAGGGGAGGGGAGGGGAGGGGAGAGTATGAGTGAGGGATAGTTAGTCAATTGATGCGTTTACTTCCTGGGTTGATTGGTGTGGATGTGCTATTGAGATGAGATGTGAAGGATCGTGTGAGAGTGAGTGAGTAAGTTATGATCGGTGTGAGTGAGACGAAGAAGCATGAACGAGTGAGTGTTCGGGGAAAGGTAGGAGTTGAATCATGGCATGTCATGTGGGAAGAAGACTCCTACTGTGAGATCAAGATAGTTTCATACCGCCGGTCCTCATAAGCATTACTTACCTAGGTACCTATGCGTTTCAGAACTAGTTCATCACACTACTAGCATAACAATGGATTAGGCGCATAATATAGTGATTACTGTTCACCCAAGAGAGTGTTTTCTTGTTCATTTCTGTTTGAGATGCTGAGATATTATATATACACAGAGACCCGTTCCTCCGGGGCCCAGATCAATCAAGGAAAATTAAGAGCACTATATATTGATATCAGACAAGCCTCCTTCCATAACTCCCACACCCTATGCCCCCTCATCATGAAAGTGCTACCTACGTGAACCGCGCTCCGTGGCTTTCCGCCCTCAGCGGCAATTGCCTGTCAAGGGTGTTGAAAGCCATTGTTCGTGGTGTGTAGGGCGTCAAGGTGGGTTTTGGGTGGCTCTTCATCTCCCACTTCTGCTCGCCCGAGTTGTCCGAGGTGGGGGAGTCGTAGGCGCCTTTTCCTTTGCTGCTTTGCATGTCGTCGATTTCGATCTTGGCATTGGCGCGCTCTGCGGCGCTGGGGATCATAGACCAGATTCCTTGGACTGTGTTGGCGAGGAAGATTACCCTGGAGGTTTGTTAGGACTAGAGGAAATGCGGATGATGAGGGGAGAACTTACATCATGAATACTGTTACTGCAAAGGTGCCTTTCGCCATCTCGCAGTAGTGCTCGTACCCAGCTGGTTTTGCGTAAGAGCAGCTCTTGCTGATGTACCACGCGATGCTGGATGGATGCTTTGGATCCGAGTGGTCCGGTCCTGCTTGCCCGTAGACGCTCACTATCCATAAAGCGGTAATGATGATATTGGTAACGGTTGCCAGGAGCGGGTACCAGATGTGCAGGGCAAACATGACCCATTTTACAATCATAATAAACGTACACAGCACCGAGATAGCTACGTTGAACTCGGTGATTCTGCCAACTATTAGCTCGAGATCACCCAAATCTTGGACATATACATACGTATGTGACCAGACGAAAGGAATCGAAGGGATTTTCCGATAGTTCGCATATGCGTATAAGATGGTCTTGGGACTCGAGTTGAATCCATTATCTGCACCAATCTGCCACAGCTTCGTCCGGTACAAGTTTGGTTCTGCAATACCGAATAGTGCTAATGCTGCTATAGCGCCTGCGAGCTCAAGTACCATCAAGGCAATGAGGAATTTGGGCCATCTCCATTTGTTGCTGATGAGGGGAAGTTTAAACATCTTGCTTACGGCGCGGCGGCTGAACTCGATCAACGAGTCCTTATCGTCGCTGGAGCTGTATACTGTATAAATGCCGAGGAGAGTGGTGGTGTTGGCGAGAGAAAAGAAGGTCGAATGGGTGCAGTCGCAATGGCAGTCGCCGGGTTATCGACGTCGTCGTCGTGCTGAAGCTTCACATTGGAGAAGGAAATGGCTTCTTGGAGGGCCGACGTCCATTATATTGAGCAGGCTCATCTTGTCAGCGTATTGTAGGAGTGTGAGAGCAGCGATCCAATGAGGTGTGATGGCAAGCGCTTGCATGCAGGACTGCAGTCGTGGTGGCATCAAAAACCACCAATGAGGGGCGCGAGTGAGGTTGCGGGCGCAAAGGCGATGCTTGCAAGTGCTTGGACCATGCGGGTCTTTCCACAGTGTGCACCTCCTTCTTCCTTCTCTGTGGTCAGTCACATTTCAACCTCAGAAATCTTGACTTTAACGCTGAGCTGATAGCCCGATAGTGATACCTCCCTCCATTGCCGGCCATAAGGGCGCCTGCTCCTTCACAAACTCACGCTTTTGCCACCGTTGCGTGTTGAAAAGTCCGGAAAGAGACCTAGATGGAGCATTGAAACTGATTTCCAACTGCATCTATATGTCTATGCACAGATTCCAGCAATCGTCCCAGCGGTACGCAGTGGTACGCAGCTGTGAAGTCCTTTAAGCTTCTGGATGAAGGTGTGGTGATCCAAGAATACTCGTGTGAGCTTAGCTCCAGCTTTCATATCCAGCTTTCCATGTATGTCAGCTTCGCTTGGAAAAAGTCTCGGGGCTTGATACCAGGCTGACTACTTTGAGGTGAGATTCTGGATATGCAGAGCATTTGATAGCGGGCCCTCCCTCGTCGTTAGAGGGCTTCGTTGGATCCATTGTGATGGTAGCGAGGGGTAAACCCACATTGGTCGATTCTAGTGTCTTTTTATAACTTTGGAGGGTTGCATTTCCTCTGTCTCGTTTCCAATTCGCCCTTCTTTTTTCTCAAGCGGATGGTTTCGGCTCTAGAGCCTTTCTAGAAGTTCTTGAAGGTTTGCTCTGCATCTTGCTTCTGTGGAGCCAGAAATAACATATGCTTACGAAGACGTTATTCTGAGTTCTACTGGAAGTATACTTCTACTTCCAAGCGATTCCGGGCCTGAGGATAGTAAAATATTCGGAGAATACTGCAACCCTAGAGTCAAATAAAGCTTTTATAGCTTTTGGACCCTCCCATAGCACTTCTGCGCTTACTTCCGGCTGCTCAGTCTTTCTCATAGGCAAGCCTAGCTATTGGAAATCATGCCGCGGCACAAGCTGAGGCTTGCGTACAATGCAAAACCGTAGTCTTGAATTATAAGATGGTTTAAGATTTGATTTCATTGATCGCTGTAACTCTGTGGTCTCCTTGCTCCTAGGAGGTGGATGTAGACTATATTACTTTTATCTAGCCAAGTCGCCACCATTCGATACCAATTTGAGCAATTGAAACTGTTGAAATGCCTCGCTGGGGAACCGGCAATACCTTATTTGCCAGCTTGTAACTCCTGGATGAACCTGTTTAATAACATCGTGATGTCTTATATGAAATTTGTCGCAACAGAGGTGATTGTCCCCTATAAGCCTTATGGTAATTGAGAGTTACATGGCAAATGAGACCCAAGGAGCTTCCACCAGTTCCATGAAGTCCATAACATTTCCGATCTGTAAATGGCATCTAACGAAACACATGTCTGCGGTTTTGAATATTCAGTCGTACCATTTATAACCCCTTGAACCGCTGCACTGGCTAAGAACAGAAGACGTCAAGTTGAATATATACCTGCTATGGAAGAAAACTCGGGACTGTCCACATTCTTAGTACGATGCCTTGTGGATTATATTCGAGATAGAAACAGGAGATATAGAGCTTGAAGGGAACTTGTGCGGTACGATTCATTGCTGTTGCTGTTACACGAGGACGCCATTGACGAATGGAAACTGATGGGAAGAACGATTCAGCTGTAGTCAACCGTTCCCGTTGTAGTTCTATATTTTTAGAAAGAGAGAATGGAGAACCAAAATAGTCTGTATATTGCATGCTAACAGAAAGCCTCGTGCTTGTTGTGCAACTTTCTGCCATCTACAGATGAATCCCAAGCGCAGTTAGCCTATCGATATCGTATATATTCGTAAATATTCTCCTAAAGTACTCGTACTGAAGAAACTTCCTTTTGCATCACCTTGGCATTTTGTTGAAACTGAAACTGATCCAAAATAAGGTTCTCATCCCGTCTTTCCCACCCGCATGCACCCCATCTATCTGCAAGCAGTTTGTAATATTGACCTTGAATCGGTGTGGACTTATGTCTCCGTTCTCCCCAAAGCTTCACATGCACCACGCCCCAAGAACGTCGCAGATTACCCACCCAAATCCCACCCAAAGGCTGTTTGAAGGTTGTCCCTGCAGATACATTGCGTCGTGACAGGCCATATCCGACCCCTACTGTACGAAGCGCGGCGCGTTCCTGGATCCTTGCGTGCGCTCCCCCCACAGTACGGAGTACTGTTCTACTCCCAAAAGTCGACAGTAATTTTCTCTTTGCCTCCGCTGCCCATATTATCTTCTCTGCTTCTGCTGGAACTACAAAGGGAAGCAGGGCAAGGGGAATAGAATATTATCGCGGTTTGGATCCATATCGCAAACCTCTACGACCCCAGCTATCAGCCTCTTCCGCTCTACTGGGCTTGTGAAACGAGCCTGGCCCTGACGTAGGTGAGGAGTTGAAGCTGTACCACACCCTACAGTCCAATCAACAGTCTTGGGAGCAAGTCTGCGGCCCAATTGTGTATAGTTAGGAAGGAGGAAAACGCACAAGGACAAAACGTTACCAAGCCTTCCACCTTCATGAAGCCTGAACCAAAGTCTATTTTCACATCCCAGAAAGACTTTAGTGCACAATCAACCCGAGAGCGGACACCCCCTCCGGAAAACCCATCAACTCCCTCCTCGAACCCCCCTCCGTCTCCCAACACTACTCTCGAAGCCGGCATAGAAAGGGAGGCGGGTCTGCCCACAAGGCTGCAACATACAGAGACCTCTACACAAGAGAACTCCTCTCGGAATACCCCACAACAGTTCGGTGATTCAGAGTCACTGTTTTCAAAGCGAGATACAATTCCCTCGACTCCCAATACATCGAATGCCTCAAAGCATCCACGATCCGATAGCCTGTCTCGGGCGGTCTCAACTTCTGCCTCGGAGCGGCCATCGAAGAGGAATCGCCCAAGGCTCAAGTCTCGTCATACTCTTAGTTGGGAGAGCTTCCAGACGGCGAAGTTAGCAACCCCTATTCTCCCGCTTCCACCGTCACCTTTGTTCTTCTCACATACGCCGAGACAACGGCCATTACTGCCACCAACCTCCTTTACTTCCGACTTGGCAGCAACAATGTTGAATAAAGCGCGGGATGAGATTGGAGGAGTAACGACACTGAAACTTGCTCGGGGTAGTGTATCCAACGCTACAAGTCCCCCACGCTCGACAAGCAATTTCTCTGGCAGCTGGGCGTCAAGCAGTACTCCAAGAACTCCAGATACTAGAAGCAAATCACCAGGAATGCAAATACTAGGATCGGTTGGAATTGTTGAGCTTCTAGAACAAGATGAAAGGCCAACTTTCATCATAGATGTTGCCAATCCTGTAAACTTCAAGGCTGGTGGGCTTCTGCAAATCGTCTTTGCAAACGCATCTCTCCGTGCCCATGAATCAACATTTGACCTAATCACAGGGCAAGAATCACGAGAAAATCCTGGTATTGTGAATGATTTCCCTGAATTCAAAACATGGGCCTTGAGTTTTGTCAAGAACAACGAGTCATTGGATATCTGCTTGCCCTCATTCTCGTACGGTGGTCTAATTTGGACGTGCAGCACTCTGAGGAAGCGCCTTCGTATTATCAGCGGAAGTGGTAATAACATCGCAACTGGTGCGGGTTCCTCGAGTGGAGGACAAAGTAATTCATCCGCCCTAAGTGAACGGACACGGGGGCATCTTCTACTAGGCACGACACGCTCTCCCCTCGCACAAACTTCAGAGCCTGCAGAAGACTACTTCGGAGATACAGCACCTGATGCGGTCTTCAATAATGCGCCTCTGCAACATCTGCCGAGTCCAATGACTATAGATGATTTGGTTCCTTCTAAGCAAACGATCACAACTTCACAGAGCGGGCCATTAAGTGGTGAGATGATTGCGGCGAATTATTCCGCCACTTCGTCGTTTGACTGGACTAGACTCCCATTGTCAGCAGCTCTTCCCAAGCACATACAGTTTGCTCGGAGTGTAGATTGGGCGAGTACTGCTCTTGGTCCTATTGAGGATTGGTCCTTTGACCTAAGAGCAATGTGCAATCTCATAATGGGCTCACCTCACCCAGCTGCCCTGTATTGGGGTGACGATTATACTATTATATACAACGAAGCGTATATTATGCTGGCTGGACAGAAGCATCCAGATCTAATGGTAAGTGCCTGGAGCTGAAGATTTTCCCTGCATCTTCTGTGTGACTGAAATGCTCTGTTCACATCGAACGGGTTCGCTTTGGAGCAATGAGACCGCGTAGATAAAGACACTAGTCTTCCCAATTCGCGGATCAGCGTCTTGAGGGAACGTCGTCGTCGTCAAGTGCAGACTCTTAGAGATCTTTTTATGGATGGATGGTGTCTTTTCATACATTTATATGTATATTTCAGTGCCAATAGGGGCTAATATAATTCTAGGGCAAAAGCTATAGGATAGCCTGGGCAGAGATATGGCCTGAAATTGAGGATGTATTTGCTGGTGCAATGGAAAGTGGTCAGTCCACGATGAAGGATGATGATTGCCTCTTCATCAAACGAAACGGTTACCTTGAAGAAAGCTACTTCTCTTGGTCTATCGTTCCCCTCGTTGGTGAGGACGGATCCGTAGTGGGTCTCTATAACCCAGCTTTCGAAAAGACTCGACGCAAAATTGCAGAGCGAAGGATGCTTACACTTAGAGAAATTGGCGACAGAACTGCTGTAGCACGAGAATTAAATGGGTTCTGGGGTCAAGTTATTAAGGGTCTCGAGTATAATGGTACGGGAACTCTTCACAACACTTGACTTGGCCTGAGGCGCTGACAAACTGCAGAGTACGATATCCCCTTTGCATTTCTATATTCTGTGACAGATGATTTCGAGAGTGATCAGAGTTCTATGCAGAGTGGTTCACTGGCAGCTGCCCCTTCTTGTGTCCTCGAGGCGACCATTGGAGTTCCTGGAGGCCATAAAGCATCTGTAAGCCCATTAGATCTCAAGACAAGTGAAGAAGGCTTTGCTCCGTACCTACGAGAGTCCATGAAGACAGATAGACCTGTGCTTCTCACTACCGAAGAAGGGACTTTGTCATCTGAGTTGATAGAGGGCTTGGAATGGCGTGGCTTTGGCGGTAAGACATCTCATTCATTTTCCCTTCGAGCACCAGTGACCCTTGCTCCAAGGATCTGGCGCTTCTGGGTCCTTGTTGCACTCGTAAACCTTTCTTAGTATAAAGCTGATTCCTCGTTCTTCCCAGATCCATGTCGCGCTGCAGTCGTGTGTCCCATACATCCAACGACAGGGGAATCCATACTCGGTTTCCTTGTGATGGGCGTCAATCCTCGACGACCCTACGATGATGATTACAGCCTTTTCGTGCAACTGCTCAGTCGCCAGCTGGCTACGTCTATGGCTTCTGTCGTTCTTTTTGAAGAGGAAATAAGGCGGGGTCAACGTGCGGCACGTCTGGCTGCCTTGGATCGACAGGAACTATCGAAACAACTTGACTTGAGAACCCAAGAAAAGGTGGAGAGCGAAACTAAGTTTACTCGAATGGCCGAGTTTGCTCCCGTTGGCATGTTCATTGCAAACTCAACGGGCCAAATTACGTACAGCAATGACACCTGGTGGGAGATTTCTCGGCATCCTAGATCTTCTAGAAGTGCCGATATGTGGATGGATAGTATCAAGCCAGAAGATCGGACAGAGGTCGAAAATATATGGAAGACACTGGTTGACAGCAAGACTGCGGTAACCCATGAGTTCCGATTCAAAACTCCATGGGAAGACCGCAATGGAAATATGGGCGATACTTGGGTTTTGATGAGTGCTTACCCCGAGAAAGATGGCAACGGACAGCTCAAGAGTGTATTTGGAAGCATCACGAATATCTCTTCTCAAAAGTCAGCTGAAGACTTCCAAAAACGACGGACGGATGAAGCCATCGAACTGAAGAGACAGCAAGAGAACTTCATCGACATGACCTCCCACGAAATGAGGAATCCACTCTCAGCCATATTGCAATGTAGTGACGAGATCTCTACCTCGTTAATCGAATACAAATCGGATAACGATGCCATATTGGACCAGAGACTTGGGAAAATATTAGATGGCAGCGTTGATGCGGCCCAGACAATTGCCCTCTGTGCACAACACCAGAAACGAATTGTTGATGACATTCTGACGCTTTCCAAACTCGATTCTGCGCTTCTAGTTGTCACCCCTGTCGATGTGCAACCCGTTGCAGTTGTTCAACGGGCACTCAAGATGTTTGCAGGGGAGCTAGACACCAACGATATTGCTATGGAATTTCGCATGGAAAAGTCCTACTTGGATCTTGGCGTAGATCATGTCAAACTAGATCCCTCGCGACTCCTCCAAGTCCTCATCAATCTCACAACGAACGCCATCAAATTTACCCACGCTCAGGAAAAACGGACTATTATAGTCAGCGTTGCAGCAAGTACGGAGCGTCCAGATGGTAGTGAATGCGGTGTGACCTATTTTCCCAGCCGCTCAAATAGGAAGGATTTGCTTACAGAGGATTCCGAGTGGGGAACTGGAGAAGCTATCTACCTTCAGTTTTCAGTTCAAGATACCGGTAGAGGACTGGATGAAAAAGAGAAAACTCTTCTGTTCCAAAGATTCCGGCAAGCTTCACCAAGAACTCATGTACAGTACGGCGGGAGCGGCTTGGGTTTGTTCATTTCCCGAGAACTTACGGAACTACAAGGAGGCGAGATTGGCGTGTCCTCCGAACGGGGCGTCGGTAGCACTTTTGCATTTTATGTAAAGGCGCGAAGGGTCGACCGTGTTCCAGATGCCGCAGCAAATTCCCTGCGGAGACCCTCATCACATTCCGCTATCGTTATTGAAAGCAGAAGAAACTCTTCTGGGAAAGCTATACAACGTTCAAGTACTAACAGTCGGAAACTTTCTTCACCGGTCATCCCAACCTCGTCGCCTAGATTATCTCCATCATTCCTCGATTTCTCCAAAATACAGGTCCTGATTGTCGAGGATAACCTTGTCAATCAGCGAGTCCTCCAAAAGCAATTGAATAATATCGGCTTTATGACGGTGGTTGCGAACCATGGTGGCGAGGCCCTAGATGTCCTTAAAACCTCTCGTTTCTGGACAGGTCGTGAGAAAGATGGAGTTGATCTAGCTCTCATCCTTATGGATTTAGAGATGCCGGTTATGGATGGTCTCACATGTGCCAAGGCAATCAGGGATTACGAAGCCAATGGGACCATTGTTGGGCATGTCCCAATCATTGCCGTCACGGCCAACGCTCGGTTAGAGCAGATCGAGACGGCAATAGCTGCTGGAATGGTGAGTTTATTGAAGTTGTTGTAAGCCACGCATACTAACGAATGACAGGATGATGTTGTTTCGAAGCCTTTCAGGATACCGGAGTTGATACCCAAGATCGAAGAACTAGTAACGAAAAGTAATGCGACAAGAAGACCGGGATAACAGAGTCCAGATGGATTTTACCCCTTTCATGATTATATATTTGGATTCTTCATGTCAATACTACTAGAAATACAAGACAGACAGACAGACAGACAGACAAGGCCAAGATGGCCGTGGTAAAGGCACTAGGTTATGACATGGTATATACTACTAACAGCACATTTGGTGCATTGTATGCATGTAAAGAGGTATGGGATTGCGATACCCAGGACAATGTTCTAGGTATCAGGCTATTAATGACTTATGAATGAATAATTGATTTATTCTCATCATTTCACTGCACTCTGCAGTGTTGTCTCAATCACGATTATTTCATTTGTGCAGGTGAATATGTGAAGCTAAGGTGGGGTAGACGACGAGAGTTGGTCTGCAACAGGGCATTATTGGTAAAAGTCTCTTCGTCCAAGGGCATCTAGCATATCTTGAGTCCATCCATCCATCCACTCCTTAATGTTATCCAAATCAAGTGTAGACATGCATGACTTCTGGATAGGGAGATGGAATCTTTTCCCCATATTCAATGACACATTTTATCTCCAATTCATCTCCCGAATACAGTAGGACTTCCTCAGGTCCCTCCCTGTACCCAAGATTCTACCAATCTCAATTCTTTGAATCCGCAGGTGGATTCCCATCTCGTCTTACCCAAGACACGGCTGTCAAACAGCTCTGGGTATCTCCCTGCGCACTCTCGATTTTCCTTGCGGAAGGGATTCTATTCTAGAAAGCGTGCAGGACTTGTTGTTTACATTCATTCGCTCTCTTCAGTCTTCAACCCAACATCCAAAGAGCTGCGGCTGGCACAAGAACAGCCAGCACGGCATTCACGTATAGCTGTCCTCCAGCTTCTGTGGCTATACTTCCGGCAGCCATGCTCTTAGCGCTGCTTGTGGGAGATGTGGAGGCTGCGGTTGGTTAGCGGGTTTGAGGGAATGCAATGGAAGCGTCCCAGGGGGAGTGCTCTGCGATCAGCTATACGGCACACTCGTAACGGTATTTGGAGAAGATCTGGGTAGATGTATCCGAAGAAACACCACTTGGAGATACCATGGTAGAGCATTTGCTCTCAGAACCACAATTGAGGAGCTTTACTTGAAGAAATGATGGACGTACTATCTGTACTTGAGGCAGCTGCACTCGGGGAAACTGTACTACTACTACTTCCAGAAGTCGAGACGGCACCGGCGCATGCTGGGACTTTAGATTGAGGTTGCACGAAACCCGTTTTCCCCTCTGCATTCGGAGCCGACAGAAGCTTGGCTGCGTTACGTAAAGATTTATACCACACGTTGGCCATCTTTTGGTAACCGTCGTCGTTGGGATGTGTTCCGTCGACTGGGTTTATATCACTTGTTGGAACGGCGCTGTGCATGTCAGCGTAGAGGACCTTGACGCCGCTGTTTGCTAGTGTTGCCATTTCCGTCTTGAATCCACTGTTCACTGATAGGATGCAGGTTTCGACATCTGCCACCAAATTGGGAATGAGACTCGAGACGATGACTACTACATCCGGGATTGCAGCGGTGAGGTTTTGGACCAGATTAACCATTCTGGTTGGCGCATTGTCCGTGTCGAAATGTAAATTACAGTCATTTGTGCCCAAATGAATTATAACAACGTTGGGTTGGTAATCGTAAGATCCAGAGCTGTTGGACTTAGCCTGGACCTCGCTGATTAGGTATCCAGGATATGCTTCGACGGCATTATCGGCCATGTGTCCATTGTTGCGAGTACCAGTAAAAGCAACATTATTGCCGCCAGCCAATATCAATTTCTCCAATGGTCCGCGATAGCCATTGCCCGTAGTCGAGTGCGTACCCCAAGTGACCGAGGCTCCGAGAGCCATGATCTTGAAGTCGACGCATTTATCAATTGAGCGGTCTTGCAGTATTGGAGAGGACTCATCCTGAGCCGGATACGTCAGAGATGCCAAAGCGTTTCCTAGGCCTGGGACAATTGAGTTAAATCCTCGAGAAGTGGACAGAATACTCACAGCAGAGGAGCGGGAGATAATTGAGAGGAGACATATTAGAGAATTATTTTGTGAAGGAAGGGAAGACAGAAACAAAGGAGACAGCGAAAGTTCCAAAAGCCAGCAAGCAACGTCAGACAGGAACGAAACAGAAGTCCGTGATGCGGTGCGTACGGGGGTATAAGAATGTTTCTTGGCAGGTACTAAACACCTGCCGATTTGAGTTGTCGGCACCTGCAGGTTTCACTAGTAAGGATAACGCTCCGTCCGAGCTCCATATGCCTTTTGGGCACAATAGCCGAAGATATGAGATCTACGAGCTAGGACCAAACAGGTAAATGTGTTATCCTAATACAGGCAGGCAGGTGTTCCGGGATGGACTACGGAGTAGCTAAATGGTCGAATAGCCCGAGGCTATGTCAGCCGCAGTGCCACCATCTGGCTCTTGCGGTTAGGATAACAAGGCGAAGCTTTTTGATCGCCCTTGATCCTACTGTATGTAGCATTCATTGGCCGAGAACTACCTGGGCGTCTATTTAAAGTTGGAAGCTGACTAGTCAAGAACCCCCCAATCGATATTACGACTTACTTTCGTATTCTTTGCTTTTTTCACGCCGAACATAGAAGTGAGCAAGTTGCTCAACGATATCCTGATGCTTGTTTGGTCTAGAGAACTGAGGCAGTAGCAAGTACCCCACGATTCCTTCCCCTGTAGAACTCACAAATGCCGCGGTACCTTGCCCCGCATGTTCGTCCAGACTTCTGTCTGAGACGTGGCAGGGTTCTCGTTGATGAGTTCGTTCTTCAATTCCTAGTACGATGCTCTAGTAAGCTGTTTTCGATTACTACTCTGAAAGGACCGTAAATTTTGAATTGTGTAACGCGACAAACAGGTCTTACTGCAAAAGACAATGATTGAAGCCCCTGACGCTTTGGGAAATCACCAGTCGCAAATGCCCTTCAGTGACATCTCATGGAGCACTGACTCCCAAATACGTACTGTCAACCCAACTTGAATACGTTGGTAGAATAGTTGCAATACCCTCCTCACTCGTCAAGGCTTTTGCCCACGATACTCTCGTTCCGGCAGCATTGGTGTTGTCAAACTCACCAAAAAGGATGTTGGACGTCGATTGTGAGGAATCCCAAGCTGGTTTCTGTCAGAAGAAATGGGGGAAAGAAGAGGCTGAATATGGCAAGACGTACCTTCCCAGCCAACAGCAGTAATCATATTCTCCAAATTGCTATTTTGAAAAATGACTCTTGCATAGTCACCCCAAGGCCTCCCCAAAAACACCGACCCCTTCGTCCCACTTGCAGCATTCGCCCCTAGCACAAGTTTCCTGTTGCACATCAGCTCAACATCTTACATGTCCTCACATAAACTCACGCCCGATCAAAAACAAAAAATCCATCAGTCGAAGAAGACGTTCGTCCCTGCGCCGTAATCGTCCCTGCACTCCTCACCAAACCAAGCGTATTCCCCTGAAACCTACCGGACCCCCATCCACGTTAGCAGAGTAGAACCACACCACATCATACTTTTGGGGGAAAAGAGGCTCACCAAGATTGCCCCGTAATCCCAAAAATGAAATCCACAGCCCCCTCGATATAACACCTCCCGAAAAACTGGCTCCCAGTATGCGCATACAGCGTATCCTGCCAACCCAACAACGCACTCGCATAAAAGCCGCCATAATCTCCTCGTGCAGACAGCGCGACGGCTTGGCCCGCTGTGCCGGCCGTGTTGCTGATGTTCATGTTATACATGATGAAGTTGTCGCCTGTGACGAGGAGAGTTGCTGGGAGGAGCGAGGCGTTAGTTTGTGTTAGGGGGAAGAGGGGACGGAACGGACCTGATGCGTCGTCGCTTCCGGCGTCTGAGGCGTAGGTGGAGTAAGTCATGAGGGCTTCATTTCCAGAGGGGCTTGTGCTGGGGTATGTCGAGCCTTTCAACGTGATGGAACTTTTGCTAATGGTGAGCTTTTCTTTGTAGGTGCCGGGGTAGACATAGATGGTATCGCCGGCTACTGCTGCATTGTACGCTGCTGTGATCTGGAAGAGGGGTTCGTGAGAGAGTGTTCAGTTTGTCAGAGGGACTTACTGACTGTGCTGTACGTTTCTCCAGAGCCCACATTTAGGGTTGCTGCCAATAGCAAGGCGGGCATGCAAGCCCAGATGTTCAGATTTGCTGCCTTCATGTTGTATTGAGAACTTGTAGATGTACTAACAAGACAGTTTAGCCATCTGGTTGGCAGGAATGTCCCCCGCTTTTATACATGGAGACCTTCTGATTGTGTGCTACATGTCTTGTTTTTCACTTTAATATATTATCATACGTGCGGCTTTGATTGATCCACCACTCGAAAATGAACTGATTCTCCTTCGCTACCTTCCTCGTAGTGAGCTCCTCCTTCCTCATACCTAACTGAGCGCATGACTTACTTGCACAGCTTCCCCGCTTTAGGCTATTATTACCCTATTCGGACGTCACGACACCTCTAAATCTGATGATTTTGTGATACTATGCTAGGGTGCATATTAGGTGCTAGGCGGCCGATATACTCATAAAAGAACAATCTCTACACCGTAACCCCAACTTCTTTAAATCCCTAAATTTGATAAAATTCCATACCTGGTGTACATTCTATCATTATTATTCAGACGGCACACTTTAATCCCCCAGCTTAAAAATCGCTTTAGAATTTCCGGTTCTGCCTTGGCCGAAAAGGCTAGGGTCAGTTGCTGGTGGTATTTGATAATTCCATCTCCTTGGTACTGGTATTTCCCCGGTTTCCCCCCGCACTATTTAGACCGGCGAAGAAAGAGATGAGATGATCAGGCTGAATAGATCACGAGATGCCTCCGTAGACAGACTAGACTCAACACTTGTTGATTTGGGGAATTAATGGAATCATGCCAAGGCGGGGCCTGGAGTAATAGCTTGACTCGGCACATCGTGTACCGCTATTTCTACCAATTGAAAATTAGCTTGGAGTTCCGTGTACTATAAGTGTAACTAATATTCTCCAGTCAACGGACACTTTAGCAGTATTGTTACAACGAACCCCAGCTGTAGACTTCAAGTCTCGAGGCAAAAGACGTGCAACAAGCCCCAGATCATCCCACAGCCACCTCAAAGTCTGCCTTTGACCATCTCTGCAGACAGTCAAGCAACGTTCTTCTCCAACCACTCTTCCCACTGCTGTCCAGTAAAGCTGCTGGAGATGCTATTATCAACAACCCCATCAAAGATTACCGTCGGTGTAACATGGATGCCAACCAAGCGGTTCATCTTCACCAACACCTTTAGATCATTTGTAACCGCATTACCAATGTTCAGGCTCCCATCCGAGGCCGGTTTATCATTGATCCACAGCAGCTTCAAAAACTCCTTCTCATCGAGTCCGACCTTTGCTGCGACCTTGGCGAGACGCGAATAAGTCTGGTTACGAGTTTCCTGGACGACGTTCACGTCGTAGAAGGACTGGGCATCATCGAAGAGTGCCTGTTCCCCCAGTATTAGCTCTCGTTCCATTGGCCTCAAATAAGAGTTGTGAGTTTGAGGGAATTGGCCTTACCTTGCTGAATTCCCAGAACTTTCCCGGCTCCAGCTTGAGAACCGCAACAGCAGCCTCATGAACAAGCGTGGAACTCGGATGCCATGGCTGGATTTGCTGTCTGAATAGAATTTGAACCTTGGACGGGTATTTCTGTTGGATCAAGGGGAGGACCGAGGAATAGATTGTGTTGAACATCTTGGCGGAGTAAGGGCAGACATAGTCGAGGTAAAGCTCTAGGGTATGCAGCGCAGGAGCATTGATTGCTGTGAATCTTTGGCCGGCGAATTTAGGTGCGAGCGCCATTGTGAAGACTGAAATATGTTGTGAAGAGGGTTGGATGAGGATTTGATTATTCAAACAATTGAAGGAACAAAGGGGTTTTATGTGAAAAGCTGATTACTCTAAGTCGAGCCCAGGCTCTTGGAGGGGTTACGAAATCACATAATCGGATGACGCGAATGGAGTCTCGGAGGACGATAAGGATCACTATCACCACGTGAGGATTATAAATCCTCCCCAGATCCCTTCCATTGGCAATTGTGATTGGATATCAATGTTTAGTCTAGAACATCACTTCTTGGTCAAAGCTTTGAGCTTTGACTTTTTATTGGCGCTGCTTACATTTTCTCTTATAGTAGGCCTTGAGAAGTACCGGCACGAATACGGTAGTTGTAAAATGTGGGTAAATCTGGTATAATACTGGGGCACATCCAATAGGATTAAAAGATATACTGGCAATGATGAGCAATGAGTATTAGGAAATTCAACGGGCAGACATTGAAATCCTAGGTTATAGTTCATGGGTGGAATTGCGAGAACTAAATGATAATCTCTACCCGTTCAAATAGTATAGAGAGAGGAGAAATCAACAGAACTTGCAGAAAATGTAGGTGGGGGTGGAGATTAAGATGATAGCATGGAGAGGGACGTATTGTAATAGGCAAAATATATGGGCAGTATTGAAATTCAGTGTAGAGTACAGGGGGAGTGTTGACAGAGTCAAAGGTATGAACAGCCATATTCGGAAGTACAAGAGCAGGATGCTAGGTATAAGAGCATATTGAGGTTGGTATAGGGTTAGAAAGACAGCAACGGTAGTTAGTAGAACACCCAAGTATGGGGCCAGAAAAAGAGTGATCAAACGACCAGGACAGTGTTACGGGGATAGGCTAAGCAATGAGACAAATGAAGTGGCAGGATGTGAGGTTTCCGTTAGGTTTATAGCCTTTAGGATGAAAAACGGGCGCAAAACGTCTATCTCAGAATAGAGGTGATAGCAAGCCTGCCTCTTTCCCTCGCTTGTGAGAAGATGGTAAGGGTCCGATTCCGCGACATAGCTTCTATCGAGGTCCACATAGAACAAACTGGAACGAGGAGATTTTTTGATTTCAGTTCGGGTATAACGCTTGTCATGATTACATATTCTTTCCTCCATCCAAGCAACTATGTTCCAGTATACTATCCACAATTCCACGGCTGGTATCCAACGCCCAATATACAAGTTCTTTGCAATATGTTTATGAAAATAAGAACTCTCTCAAGACCGGCGATCCAGAAAATTCGGGGTTCAATAGAATGCAACTACACGGTATTAGTAATGCACCCAGATTATAGCTTAGGGGCTTTTTTACTTGAGGAAGTATTGTAACCCAGTTCTTCGATTCTCCAGAAATTTGGGTCGAAACTTCGATATGACGCTCTTTCGTGGTAGCGATGGCATAGCAGCCTCGGAGTTTGGGAAGGTTTGGAGGAGTTTGTATCGCAGATCGTCGAATTCAGAGTATCGTTTTCGAATGCGTATTGTACCTCCCTGCTAGATGTCAGTAGCTGCAGCAAAATCGTGGACACAGCGCCTACCTGCAGAGTCTCCACATTGATATTCCAGACCACAAAGGCACCTATGCCGGTTCTGTTCCCATTGATAATTACATGGTCCTCGATGTATACACTCTTAGCCCAACAGGCTTTGTTCTTCACATCGTCCTCGTCGGTGTTGTCCTGCAACGTGATTCCGCCAGGCAAAGAGTCGACTGAAATGTTGGAGACGGATCTCTGATGGCCTTGAACCCAGTATGGAGGCGATACGGGTGAAGTTACTGGGGCATCGGCGTCGCTGCTAGTTTCTTGCTGTCCTGACGTAGTCGAATTGAAGCCATATGTACTGGTGCTAGCAGACTCGTCGTCTGTGCTACCATTGATAGGTCGTTTATTTGCGGCCTCCATCCATCTGCAGATGGGCTGCGCGAACGCAGGGAATGCTGAGTTCTGGTTTAGGATAGAGGGGTGATGTTGATGGAGGTTTCAGTTTGGAGCGGCTCCTTCGCCGTCTTGGCACTAATAATGCAGTAGGCTAGGGTATCTCAATCCCCAATCTCGTGGGATACAACTTCATATGTTATTAGCTCACGAACCTCGAATTAGCTGACGGCGATATTGGGCTAGGTCTAGAATCGAGTAGATGAACTTTTGTACGAGTATCCAATCATGATTGATGAGATATTGTTATAGTGGTATTAGTGGAATTATTATCTTCATGTCTGGCGTGTTGGTTCTTCTGGTGGTCGTGAAAGAGAATGGAAAGTTGCATCGGCATCTGCTCTCTCCTCTCACCCCTGTTTATGTCCGTGTGCAGATCGCCTCTTTGTCCTTTTGAGGCTCCTCAATTTCGGCTGACTCTCACCAGTGATTTCGATATTGTTGGGTTCATTCTTCTTTCCATCACATCACATGCCTCGCTTTCCGAGTGGCAGAAAGTGGGATGCATACATATATTCTGTAGATCTAGATGCTGTCACTGCAGCTTGCTTCACGGATACGAAGCACATGTGTTCTAAAGATGGATATTCTGCCGGAACTCGAGGTGGTGGTTGTGAGACTTCTGCACTATTGTGAACGCTATACAAGGATGTCACATCCTCAACTGTCCGGTTGGTTGAAAGTACCCCGAGCTTTCTGTATACAGTTTAGCCTTATATTACTGGTGGCTTGTTCATGCATTGGCGATATCTTGAATCTAGGCTCCGTTTGGTGCTTGGGGGTGATCGGGGGAAGGGTTGAGGTCGTCTTCCATAAGTTGGAACCTTCTCTCTTTCTCTCTCTTCTTTCCGGTATCCTCTGCTTGATCTTGAAATCATTTGGTTATTATACACATTCGCTTTGGTTATTTATGGACTTCTAATAACTTCATTGAGATACTCGCTCGCTCCATCTCAGCCATCTCGTGCCATTACTTGTAAAGGTATAACCACCTCGGAAAATGCTCATTGGATTACCCCATCCCATCACGCAGCTTGTTTCCTTGCCCTCAAAATAAAGTATAGATAACTGACATATTCATACTCAGTAGATATTCGACACCCCTAACCATCGATCCAATATATACCTTCGATATGCCTTCGTTCAAGATGACTGCTGCCGCGGTAGCAACGGCACTTTATACGCTGGGTGCTCAAGCACAAACATACACGATCGATCCTAGTTCTGTGCCAATTGCTACTCGTGGTATGTTGTTCAAGCAAGCTATTGCAGACCCTTGTCTAACTTACAATAGATGGATGGTGCACTACACAAAAACAATCATGCCCGCTTCTATGCACACAAATTTCATCATCTTCGACCACTTCTTCAAACGATTGCTACCCCGTAAGCAGACAGTACCCATACATATGAGCATTGGAGTGACTTTGGATAGGACTCCCTTACATATTCTTGCGTCTGTGGGAATGGAATGTCCCCCAACGTTACCGAGTTTTCCCAAACCCTCCCATACTTCATATGCACAGAATATGGCAATCAGTGTGTGACTGCCTGCAATGGAGATACTAATTGCCAATCGAACTGTCGAAGCCAACACCCATGTGGAGCTCAGAACCCTGTGAGGGTCAACACCTCAACTAGCAGCGTGATGCCATCAACAACATCGGGTGGTGCGAGTAATACGCAAGTTTACAATGGTCTAGGGGGTGCCGCTACGACTACGGCTGCTTCTGGAAAGAAGAGCGATGCTCAATCTGCGTTGGATATCGGACGCAGTTACGGCCTCGCAGTTGTGTTTGCTGGCCTATTTTCCGGATTTGCCTTGGTCATGTAACTGAAAATTGTTACACTGATGATGTCTCGGCAACACCTTGCATCTGAGGAGGGTTTGATTTGATTTCTGATTTGATTTGATTTAGCGACGGATTGAAATTGTTCAGTGCTCAGCGATTCAGCGTTTTTTGCATAGCCCTTGAAAGCAGACGGACAGAAAGGGACTGCACCTATATCTTAATACCATAATGAAGTTGAAGGGTGGCACTATCCTTAAAAGATTGAGGCATTGGCAGGCCAGGAAACAGAATGAAGCAACCTGTACAAGATTGATTCATACTATGACTTCTTGTGAGACGTGACAACTCGACTCATGTGATTGATTCTGGCCGAGGCTGTATGTAGCCCCTGAATATTTGATGAATGTGAATATGGCCCTTGTGATCCGCCATAAAAGCAGCATTTGTAGGATATCAGAAGCAAACTCGTTGCTAGATGTTGACGAGTTTTAAAGAGAGTTTAGTAGACCCGTTTCACAGTTGGCAGTGCAGTTGTGATCTAGACTCTTCTTCACGTGCTTAAATGCTAGCAATGACGATTCTCAACTGAACCTTGTCGCGGCTGACTTGAAATCTCGTAGCCAAATTTGACGGCCGCGCAAGACGGCTTTTACCCGCACCTCCACTCCTGTAAAGCCAGCCTAAACAACAGCCAGCCAGAAAATATGGCTAGGTGAATACTCAACTCGATCCGCTGCATATAGAATTTCCTAAAAGAGCGCGAAGTCGGAGCGTATCCCGACTCACTTTTTCAAAGATCCGTCTCTTCAATTTACTTGCGGTCAACACCGAACCGCAAGAATTACCCCTTCCCGTCCAGTCCCCCATGGCACCCTCAAAAAGTACGTTCCCGTTACCATAGATTTACTTCACGGCTGCCTGCTGACGAGTGGGAAATACAGAGGAAGCCGCACACGAGTGCGTGTCTGAAGAAGCGCTTATCCATCTCAAGTCCTACAAGTATTCCAGCGTCGACAAGTCCCTGATCTCGAATTATATTCTCAAGCACTACGTACGTTGCTCGCTCCCCAAAACCTCCGGATAAATTGCTGAGTAGGACATAGTGGAACGCCTTTGTGGAATTGCTGCCATTATGGCTGGCGCCGAACATGGTGACCCTGCTAGGGTTCTTCTTCATCCTTTCGAACGTTATATGTCTTGAGATTTTCATGCCAGATTTGGTGGGACCGGTATGTTTTGCTCCAAAAAATCACAAACTCGTCAGGTTGAGATACTAATTCAACCAACAGGGGCCGTCATGGTTATACTACAGCTTTGCGTTTGGTCTCTGGATGTATTCGACTATGGACAACGTGGACGGCAAACAGGCACGACGAACAGGAACCTCGAGTGGGCTAGGAGAACTTTTCGACCACGGAATCGATTCTCTGAACTGCACCCTGGCAAGTCTCTGTGAGACGGCAGCAATGGGATTAGGTACCTCCAGAGCGGGAGTGTTCACTGCGTTACTACCCTGTCTGCCGATGTTCTTCTCGACTTGGGAGACATACCACACACATACCCTCTACCTTGGTGTCTTCAACGGACCTACAGAAGGTCTCATAATCGCCTGTGCAATCATGTGTCTTTCCGGATACTACGGACCCCAGATCTGGACTCACCGTATTACAGATCTCGTTGGACATCACTATTTCCTCGGATACCATGAGCTTTTTGGAGAATACTCGGTCCGGGACCTATGGGTACCTATCCTAGTAGTATCGCTGCTCGGAGTCCATGTACCATTTTGTGTCTTGAATGTTATAAAGGCTCGAAGAAGCGCCAAACTCCCAGTCTTGCCCGTGTTTTTGGAGTGGACTCCAATGGCCGTATATACCCTTTCAATTGGCGCTTGGCTATACTCTCCGTATTCAACTCTGATGCCTGAGAACCGACTTGTTCTCTTCTGCCTTACCATGTCGTTTGTCTTTGGAAGAATGACAACAAAGATTATTCTAGCACATCTTACCCGCCAGCCATTTCCCTATTGGACTGTCATGCTTACTCCACTTGTTGGAGGAGCAATACTGGGCAACCTTCCACGAATCGGCCTCCCAGCCGTCAGCGCCGCTGTCGAGCTATGGTACTTGCGAGGATACTTTGCCTTTGCGCTCATCGCTTACTTCAGATGGGCGTTCCTGGTCATCAACAGTATCTGTGACTACTTGGGTATCAATTGCCTGACGATCCCATCAGAGAAGCAAGCTGCCAACAAGGAAAAGTCTAAAGGCTCAAACGGCACAGCCAACGGCCACTTTGGTACCGAGAAGAGAGTAGATTAAGAGATGGCTATTGGAGGACGGAGAACAGGACTCCGGCAGGGGTCTTTCCTCCTACGTACGATACGACGTTGATGATTCTCGGCGGCTACTTTATATTTTGAAAAAGAAAGAGATTACCCATTTGCATATAGCGTTAATACAGGGAATCAAGGCCAAGTGTAGAAGGTTCAAAAGTTGCAAGCATTGATTCACATCGGCAGGGCGTTGTTGAGAGAAAGGCATTTTGAGATATATTTGATTGAGAACTTTATACAGCTAATAAGAAATATCCATCCTCGGATTAGACACACATTATGAGTTTACTTTCCTTTCTATCATCCGCTGAGAATGCTCCAACCTATGAAACGTACCTCTCCTCTTGAAACGGTCAAAATAAGCTTGACCCTAGCATTTAGTTTCACATCCAGCCCATTAATCCACTTGTTTTTCTTACACCTCAGCCACAGCAACACACGCACCGATCGACCAGCCAAAACGTCATCCTCACCAAAGCTGGGTGAGGCTAAGATGCAACAAGGCACAGATTCAGCCTTCCTTGGCCTATCTTGGAGGGGTATTCGAGTATTTGTTATACAATACCAGCCGGACATCTCACAACGCCGATGTATATGAGGACGTGTACATATTCTTACAGCGCCTCCAAACCCGCGAAATCCGTACATTTGCAATTATCTGCTTTGCTTTGCTTTGCTTTCCCTTGCTTTCACTCATTTATTTACTGCACAAATTCCCTTCGAGTTGAGCGTGTGCGCCACAAATTGTTATCAACAGCTCGCCAGCCAGCCAGTGCCAAGAACTCACCCCTCCCCCTCCTTGCTGAAACGGAACGGACGGGACTCAGAAAATAATGTCGCCTTCCGTGACGACGAACTCTCTTACTGCTTCTCACTCACACCACGCTAAAAGCGACTCGAAGTTCTCTATCTCATCGGCGAAAAGTCATCAGGAGTATATCGATAGTCTAAGGACGCCGACGCACGACATGGTGGAGCATATCAGCGAGGTGCAGCAGAAGAAGGAAGAGGAGGTCATGCAGAAGAATCTTAGGGAGAATAATCCGGGGCTGACTGATGAGGAGAGGGCGAAGGCTGCGGGCTTGATTCAGAGGAACTATAGGGGGCATAGGGAACGACGGATGTTGGCGGGGTTCAGTCTGGATCCGACTGCGAGATGGGTGGAGGCTGTCAAGGAAGCGCAGTATAGGAATTTGACGGCGCCGAGACCGAGGGATAGTGTGAATGCGAAGAGTAGGAGTGGGGATGGTGCTGGAATTGGGCTGGGGCTGGATGGAGAGAGGAATATGAGTGCTGCGCGGCAGCAGTGGAAGAAGGTTGGGCTGATTACGAGGAGGGCAGGGGGAGACGAAGACTCGGATTCGGATCAGAGCCGGGATGATGAGCATACACCAGAAGAGGAACGAGAGGCACGCCGGAAACGTCGGGTGGAAGAGAAGCTGGAGCGCCAAAAAGCAGCCAAGATAATGGACCTACAATATTTCTTGGAAATGGTTGATCTAAAGCATCGATACGGAAGCAACTTGAGGACATACCACGAAGAATGGAAGACGTCAGACACGAAAGAGAATTTTTTTTACTGGTTAGATTACGGGGAGGGTCGATTCATCGACTGCTCGGGCTGTCCAAGAGAACGTCTTGATCGCGAGCAAGTAAGGTACCTGTCAAAAGAAGAGAGGATGGACTACCTGGTCAAGATCGACAAAGATGGCAGGTTATGTTGGGCCAAGAATGGAGTGCGAATCGATACCACCGAGAAGTACAAGGACAGTATACACGGAATCGTGCCGGTAGATGATGATACGCCAGCTTTCACACCAGCTGCAGCTGAAGCTTCACATGAGGACAGCCATTCCTCAAGTAGTAGCTCATCGAACGGCAGTGATAATGAGTCGGTAAGAGCAGGCAAGTATGCTACCCCACAACTTGATAAAGCGAAGGGTGTCAAGAAAGTCAAGCATGTGTCAGCAGCGACTATATTCAATAAGCTGCTTAGAGGGTCTGTAAAGAAGAATACCTGGATTTTCGTTGCGGATACAAGTTTCCGCTTATATGTTGGGATCAAGCAGTCTGGCGCTTTTCAACACTCATCGTTTCTCCATGGCTCTCGTATCTCAGCTGCCGGCTTGATCAAAGTCAAAAACGGGAGGCTAAAGAAATTGAGTCCTCTTAGTGGTCATTATAGACCTCCTGGTAAGTACAAAGTGTACTTTTCGAGAGAATCTGTACTAACATTATCTAGTCTCAAATTTCAGAGCATTCGTTCATTCATTAAAGGAAGCCGGAGTCGATATGAGCCAAGTATCAATATCTCGCTCTTATGCCGTGTTGGTGGGACTAGAAGCCTACGTCAGAACCCGTAAGAAGGGAAAGAAATTCCTTCAAAGTTTACTCCACCACAAGGATAAGATCCTTGATCCGGTAGAAGTTGCTAGACGCGAGGAAGACGAGCGTGACAAGAGTGAAAGCGCAGCAATAGAGCAGAGGGTCCTCGAGAAGAGACAGAAGGCCGAGGAAGAAGAGAGAGATGAGAAAAGAGCGGATTTGAAGCTTTTGAACAAGCTTCGGATTAGGCCGAAGACTGCCTTACATGCAGAAGGCCCCACTGAGATGGCAGCAGACAATAAGGAAGTTAAAGATGCAGAGATTCAGGCTCCTGGAACTGGTCCTGAGAATGCTATTGCACCGGAGGGAACGAGAAAGGATTAGGATTAATGGAAGTAGTATGGTTGATACAATGATACCCCGAGATATGGCTCTTAGCGTTAGATGACAATAGACTTGATGAACAGCAATAAGCTATGAGCTTGAAGACATTCAATGTATATCATGGATTGTTGTGATCTATAGCCATTGCGAATCATCTTAGACTAATTATATCTCCGTTCTAGGTGTATCAAAGTTAGTGTGTCACTCCGACTTGCTCGTAAACGGACAATTAGTACAGTATTAGGTGGAAACTGCTAGATATTGCTGTTTTGGAAATTTTGGACACTTAGAGGACATGGAAACATTAATCCAACAATTCTCTAATTAATGAAATTCCCATCCTGCAAGTGATCGGAATACCTATATTAATTGATACAATGTTGTCCTCTGCTGACATGAGAATGGAGCTGATGCGATGTCGCATGAAGTCATGCTTTCAACTCCTCCAAAAAAGGTGTGTAACTCAGTTTCAATTTATCAATACGCCCTTTGCTTGCACAAGGGAAATGCGTGCATCGAAAGAAAGCGTTTTGCAAAGGTGCATGAATAGATAACGAACCTCAAGAAGTTTGTCAGGAATTGAATAGACAAGCCGCCCCCGTGCCTCCCCTTGTAATGAAGGGAAGGCCCTCCCTCCCCTCCAGCGTCTTTAGCGACTATGTGTGAAGCTACAAGGCAGAAAAGCGACGGCCAGAAAAACCCATCCCTTTCGACTCGCAGAAACATGAATGATATTTACACCAGTGCCAATGGCGTCTTCTCCTTTTACCCGGTCCTCCAGAAAATCTGAAGGGCTCACGACCAGGTCCTCTACTCGAAGTAACGGCGTCGCGATCCCATCTCACCACAACAATGCGCAGAATAGGCAGAGACAGCAACCGTCCAATATCGGCCGCAAGAAGCGTCCGCGAGACTCTCTCGACCACGATGAACACCCCATCGAGGCGAAGAAGGCGAGAATCACGGTCGAAATCACCTCCAAGCCCAGGCTTCAGCCCAAGACCCGGTCTCTCGTCATCAAAACAAACGCGGATTCACTACCACCACCACCAGCTTCTCCTCAGCGATCCGCCTCGCCACCACCGAAACACGTCGAGAGCGCTACACAAACCCCAGCACCACCGCCCCCACAATCACAATCACAACTACAATCACAGCAACAACCTACCGCTACCATTCATCACCAGAAAGTCGTCAATGGCATCAAACACGAGCTCGATCGCCTGCAGCCTAAAGCCGCAGATCTCAACAAGGACGAGAAGCGCAAGCTACGTTCACAAGAAGGCACACGGTTCAAGAGCGAATTGTCACAATACTTTCCCGAATATGATGAGGTCATTGGAAATGATCCAAAGGAAGACCGTAAGCATCATTGTTAGATATTCTTTACTGCATCGAATTCCAGGCTGATTTGTTTTAGATATATTGAATCTCGACACCCCGATGATCATCGTTGATAGCGCCAAGACATCCAAGCAGCCTTCGTCCCCCAAAAAGCCGAATGGCGAATCCCATGCATACCCCCTCAAAGAATTTCCCGACTCCCTTTTCGACGACATATATAATGCGGAGAGGCGAGATTATACTTTTTTAATAAACAATCACCTGGAGGAAGGTGGTGAGGACCCATTGTCGGATGCCTATTTCGAATCAATCCATCGAAAGCCCGAGCGACAGGAGAAGCAAATCCGGAACGGCGATAGAGGTCGGGCCCAGCATGAGAAGGATCAGGTCATAAGGCTCTTGGAAGGTCTGCAGGGTCATGATTGGCTAAAATTGATGGGTGTAAGTGGCATAACGGACAGTAGGAAAAAAGAGTACGAGCCGGCGCGCGAGCACTTCATCAAGGGCTGTGAGAACATACTGGAGAAGTTCCGCACATGGAGAGAAGAGGAAAAACGGCGGAAGCTTGAAAAAGAGCAGGCTTTGGCCCAAGCGGAGGCAGCAGAGGAAGAGGAGGTAGTGGAAGGGGTAGATGAAGTCGATGAGGATGATGCTAGGAGTGATGGCGATCCACCCGACTACAGTGACGTAGATGCGTCTGCAGCTAGACAGTTGCACGACGAAGCAATTGCTCGCTCAGCTCCTCTTGCCAAGAAACATGCGGAAAGGAGGGCAAAGGTAGAGATGATACCTCAATCGACAATCGAGTACGAAAAGGAGTTCAAGTCATTCTTCCCCAAGCCACATCTTCGGCAGACAGCCCTTGGAAGACACCGGCGGAGTGGTAGAAGTGTATCTGCTTGGGGCCATCCTGTTCCCGAGGTTCCTGTCGAAGACTTCGAGTTGCCCGAAGAGTACAGAGACGAGGAGACCTTGAAAATACATGCTCGAAGGAAGAGGAGAGATAGGAGAATTAGCAAGCCCTGAGGTTTTTGAGGCCAAGCTGCAAGCTGGGAAAAACGAGAGACATGTGGGCAGAATAAAATAGGCCGATCGAAAGTGCTTCGTTGGCTGGCTTTGCTTGTATAATTTGGGATTGGCCACGGGTTGTTGGAGTAAGGGACGGCTCACGAGTATGTGTGGATTGAATTGGTTTGGTTGTATCATAAGGCTCGGAGCGGTGCGTGGATTTAGCTCTGAATATACCCTCGACTTTCAAATTTGAACGACGTGTTCTATGAAAGAAAGATTATGTGTCTTTGACTTTCAAAAACTGAATAGCAGGATACCCTTTATTCTGTCATGAATATCGCCAAAACTGCACACGTGATCTTCAGCCTCGCGATTTCTTTTCCTTGGCAACGGTTTGTCAACTTCAACCGCAAACCTGCGATACTTGAGCGCGTATCTTTGAGCGCCTTCCTGTGCAGCAGAGGAATCGATATTCAGAGATAAATCGTAAAAGGAAAAGAATGATAATTTGCCTTTTTGTGCAAACCTTAAGCTGTTCTGGTCGATTAATAGCGCGAATTTTGGTACAGTTCTGACTGACGCCGCAATCAACCTGGATTTGATATCCACGCGCACCTACAAGTATAAATCAAACCAGACCCCAACCCTCTTCTCATTATCAAATTACGATATTGCGAGCCATCGAACTCCACATACTGCGCACCTGTCACGATACGTAGAAGAATCGCTACCGAATCGACGATACGATACCCTTCCGCATTTGCGCCAGTTCTCCACCCCGCAAAGTCGACGAACAGAACACATACCCTCCACCCTTCGAGCGACGCGCGCATATAGTAGCACAGAAACAGAAAGCCTGGGAGGCAGGTGAGAGCTTCATGAGCGTCTCCTGCTAGAGTTGGGACTTCCACCGCCACGACTTCGGTCGAGGCTCTTTGCAGAGCATACGGAGGCATACATCTCACACCTCACCTTCCATAGGACAATATGCCTGGCCTGTTAGTCGACAATATGGAATTGCCGGTGCAGGCTGCCCCAGCAGATCCAAAGATCCCGGAATATGGCTTCGCAGTGTCGCATGAGAAGGTCGATCTGGACATTGACTTTGCTACTCAGAGCTTGACTGGGCGCGTCGAGATGACGATCTTGCCACAAACTAGGGACCTTCGGACAATAAGAATCGATGCGCGCCAGTGCTCGATAGCGAGAGGTTCGGTGCTGGTTAACGGTTTCGTGGCGGACTTTGAGTACGAGGACCCATTGAAGGCACTGGAAATCCCCTCCTACTTGGTATGGGGCGCGGAACAGTATGAGCAGCAGCGAGACAGGCTGAAGGATGTAATCGGAGATCAGAGAGCGAATGGAAACCTGGTCATTACGATCCCGAGAGCTGTTCGAGTAGAGGATATCGATCCCTTCTCTGAAAATGCTGCTACGAGAGCCCTGGTCAATGGCAACGGCCCCATTTCTGCTACACCAACCCCCAAGACAGCTACGGAGCAAACTGGTCGCTTCCAGCCTTTGGAGGTTACAATCCAGTTTTCAACGAAGTACTTCCGGGATGGATTGCACTTTGTGGGCCTGAATGAGAGCGATGCTCGATTTCCATATGTCTACACTAGGCATTCTACGGAGCCGGGAACTGCGTCTTCTATATTTCCTTGCATTGATGATCCTGCTATGAGATGCACATGGGACATCACCATCAAGTGTTCACGTATGCTGGGAGATGCTCTCAAGCGAAAGCCAAGGGAGAGAACGGGACGTTTTATCAATGCCCGCCTTAATGGAGTCAAATATGTTGCCGCTACCAATAACGCCAAAGCGGTCGACGAATTCGAAATTACACTTAGCGAGGACGAAAAACTCTTGGAGATGGTAGTCATCTGTTCTGGCGAGATGATGAATGAGACAGTCGATCGTGAAGATAGCTCTAAGAAAGTCATCTCCTTCCAATGCGGAACCGTTGTCGCCCCGCATCACATCGGATTCAGCATTGGTCCTTTCGAGCAAGTTGATTTAGCCGCTGAGTTTCGTGAAGACGAAGACGGCGAGAAGTTGGGACAGGAACAAGCATTAGCAATCTCTGGCTACTGTTTACCCGGACGCTCCAACGAGGTTCGAAATACTTGCGCCCCTGTGGTTCAAGCTCTCGATTGGTTCTCTCTGCAGTACGGGGCTTTTCCCTTCTCACAGTATTCTTTGGTATTTGTCGATGATCAACCCCGAGACACAGAGCACGTCGCTTCTATTTCCTTGTGCAGTGCCAGACTTTTGGTTAGCGAAGAATTCATTGATCCCGAGGTTGAGAGCGTTAGAGCAATTATTCAAGCCCTTGCTACTCAGTGGTTCGGTGTCGGTATCGTGCCGGCTGATAAATGCGATAGCTGGATCACCGTTGGCCTTTCGCACTTCATGGCTGGATTGTTCATGAAGATGCTGTGTGGGAAGAACGATTATTTATTCCGCCAAAAGATCCTCTCGGATCGCCTGGTAGAGCTGGATCTTGATAGGCCCTCTTTATACACCCTTGGCGAGACTCTTCATCTCGGTGATTTTGAATACGAATTTATGGCATTGAAGGCCCCTCTGGTACTGTTTATACTCGATCAACGTATCTTGAAAGCATCTGGGGGTGGCACAGCTGGTCTGACTCGAGTCATCTCCAAGCTTGTTATTGGGGCCAACACTGGGGGAGCTGTGGATAGTGTCCTGGAAACACAATCTTTCCGCAGAGCCGTCGATAAGATCACAAAGTACAGAGGCTTAGAGGCTTTCTGGAATCAGTGGGTCCTCGGCGCTGGCTGCCCCAGATTTACAATTACACAGAAATTCAACAAGAAGCGAGCCTTTGTGGAAATGACAATTACCCAAAAGCAGGATACACTGCCTACCCAGCGCAAGTTGAAGAAAGACAGCTTTATGAGAGAGCTAAAGGAGGAGATTCATGGGATTTACGCGGCTGAGGTCCAGTCACTCTTCACAGGTCCCATGACTATTCGAATTCACGAGGCAGATGGCACGCCTTATGAACATATCGTGGAGATTCTTGAGGGTACAGCAAAGATTGAGATCCCATACAACACAAAGTACAAGCGTCTCAAGCGTAACCGTCATCAAAAGGAGCGAATGAACGCCAAAGCCGATTTTCAAGGTGGGAACGATGCCCTGTACTACTGTCTAGGAGACGTGCTGCAAACCCCTCAGGAAGTGTTGGAATGGGGCTTATTTGATTGGGATGAGGATCTCCAAAAAGATATGGATGCGGAGCATTACGAGTGGATTCGAGTCGACGCAGATTTTGAATGGCTCTGCGAAAAGAATATCAATCTGCCGGCATACATGTATGTGTCTCAGCTCCAGCAAGACCAGAGTGTCGTCGCACAGCAAGACTCGCTGCTTTTTCTGAAGAACCATCCTTCACATTCTCTCGTTGCGACATTTTTAATCAGAACCTTAATGGATACACGATACTACCACGGTATCCGAGTACTAGCTGCGGAATTATTGAAAAATCACGGAGGCCCTGATAATTGGATTGGGATGAAGCACCTTCAGAAGGCATATGAGGAGTTTTCATGCTACCCTGGCACCAAGATGCCTCGATACAACGACTTTGAAGACAAGCAATCGTACTGGGTTGAGTGTGCTATCCCTAGAGCCTTGTCACAAGTTCGAGGACCTAATGGGAAGTGTCCGAAGGAAGCCAGACAGTCTATTCTGGACATGCTTCGCTTCAACGATAATGCGCAGAACGATTTTTCTGATTACCACAAGATTGCCAACTTGTTGTCTTGTCTTGCCGACTCATTGATTCCTCCACAGAATTCTGATGCCCAAAACGAACTGAACTTTGGAGACGATGAAGATGAAGATGACGAGGCTACCCAATTCAAAAAACAGGTGCTCGAGGAGTTGGAGCGTCATCGCCGAATGGATGAATGGTTACAATCTTACCACAATATCCTTACCACCACCGTCTTGGATTGCAAGCGAAAGCTCATGAAGGCTAAGGTCATTCCTGTGGCGCCATTGGACTTTGCACAATATCTCCATGACGGCTCGCTAGACTTGGTGCGAATCAAAGCCTTTGAAGCTCTAGTTGACCTTGGCTTCCTCGCCAACAATTCGGTTGCCAGTTTACTCCTGAACGCCTCCAGCACAGACTTATCGCCGTACGTGCGCGATCATCTCTGGGAGGTATTTAATCTTGGTTTGGCTACCATTGCCTTTGGAGAGGACAAGCCCGTGAAACCTGCCCCGCCTGTAGCCGATGGAGACGGAGGTATGCATATCGACGGTGAACCCGACATGCTTATTGTCCAAGACGCGTCGACGGATTTACGAAAAGCTCATATTGCACGTACTACAAGCATTGAAGGAGCATTGGCTGCTCTCAAAGAGGAGTTGAATGATAATGAATCTCTTCAGAAGGCTTTGTGGAAGGCTGTTACTTCTACGGTAATTGGTGTGTCTGAGCAGCGAGACTTACTTGATATTTGCGGTGTCCTTTACGATGCTGTGGAGTCCATGATTGTGAAGCTGAGAATGCCGCATTATTGGGAGGTTGAGAATCACGGCAAGGCAAGTTTGAAATAATCGATCCTGTTATACATGTGCTAACTAAAGTAGGGCAAATTGGTTTTTAAGGAAATCCAAAAGATCCGAACGAAGCCTAGAATCATCCTCAATGTTAAGGGACCTAAGCCCGTGGTACTGGGAGCACCAGCAGCACAACCACCACTTAAACTGAGCTTCACAGCCAGCGGAGCTAGACCTTCTAATGTTGCTGTTGTTCCAATCATGCCACCGCCGCCACCACCCAAACGTCCGGCCCCAGAGAGAACGCCAAATTCAGACCCCCCAGCCAAAAAGATCAAGTCTGGACCCGCCGAAGGCACAGCAAAGCTGAAGAAGATCGTCAAACTTAAGGTCTCTCCTCAGCGACTTGGTGCCATTCTAAGAAAACCCCCATTTCCGAAACTTTGTTCCGCTGCACAAAGTTCTCCAGCACCCAGACCCTCACCCGCACCCAGTCCCGCGCCGTCATCCACCATATCCGTTTCACCTGCAACATCCACTTCGGCAGGCAAAGCGCCTGCCAAAGTCCGTCATCCTCTTCCAGACTCGACTGCTTCTAGTCGCAAACCTCTCCCTGCGTCAGCCAGTGGTGGTCGAAAACCTCTTCCCGATACAGCCTCAGCTTCTGGTGGTCGCAAGCCCCTACCCGACTCTTTACCGAAAGCCAGCAGCACTCCTCCACCTCTGGCACGGGCACCAAGCGCGCCCCTCAAACTGAAGCTCAACTTTAAGAAGCACTCGGCCCCACCCTCATAATAATTCAACATTTCTCTTTTCTTCTTCACATATGTAATTTTTGGCATTAGCGAAAACGGCGCAACACGGAAAATACCACAGCATAGCGAGCGATGGACAGAATGATATTTCTGGCGTTGGTGGTTTCATTGGTTTTGGTTGTAGATAGATTGTACAGAGTAGGGTGGACTGATGGCGTTGGGGTTGACGATCCTCTCCCTGGAAAAAGCTCGCGGGAAATATATTTCGGAATCGGTACACAAGGGTTCTCTGGTTCATGTCTTACATGGATGAGATCGCAAGCTAACAGTCTCGTGTCTAGACGGCGTGGTCGTAGTGAGCCGTTGGTAGAGGGCATAGACCATAATCGATGGATCTTCATGGAACTCCTGACTGAATTTATTGTGGTGCGATGAAGTGATATGGTGCTCGTCCATTCGTGATCGCGCGGTTATCCCTCTCCAACCCAAGTCGCAATTTGTTTGCATGCTCCCTTTATCCCCTAGAATTCCCTCCCCCACCAACTAATCCCAATCTTTCCTCTCGACTTTTCACCTGCTGCTTCGCCCTATCCCCCGGCAACGACCTCAACTCATCACCTGGATCGCGTAGATTTTGGTTCTGTCTTTGTGCGTGCGCTTGTGCCTGAGCCTGAGCCTGCGCCTGTTGTTCACGCAAAAGTGCTTCGCGGGCGCGCGCGTCTTCATAGATTGCTACGTCTTCGGTGGTGAGGGTTATAGCTGTGGGTTTTCGGCGGAGCATTTTCGTAGATGAGTGAATCAGATAGTTTGTATGTGAGTTTCTGTTGGAGGAGTATTGGATTGACGTGGCGGATATAGTATGTGGAGGTATTTGGTTTTGGAATTGGGTTTGGGAAAAGTAAATAAGAGGGGGAGGTGGTGGAGGGTTACCTTAGGTACCTAGGTACCTTACCTAGGGTGTCGATCATTGATTCCTGGATAGCGAGGCACACATAATTTCTCGACCTCCTGTACCTAGGTAAATTTTGAAGAACAGAGCTTCCGTTTCTAAGCTTCAAGCGTCATCAACACAGGACAAAATGTACAAATGGCATGTTCATTCGGCCATTGGTCGTGGGAGACCTGTTGCCAATGATATTTCACGGGTTGCGGACGGGATTGCTGCGTCTTTGAGACAATTTTCAATCTCGTTGTCGAGGAGTGCTGAGGATGGAAATGGTTCGTTCCCTTGTACTCTGCGTGGCCAGCTGGCTTGCTATATTATCATCATGATTACAAGCTGACATTATCTATAGCCAACAATAGACCCGCACCATCACGCTCCCAACGGTCAACAGAAGCTTTCAACGAAGCCCGTTCCCTGGCCCCAAAACCATCCCGCGGCATCGACGCACGGTCTCTGGCCGCCAAACCACCACAAAGCTTCACCATCCATCGTGTAGATCCTCATACCTCATCACCTGGATACCAGGGCCGGGGTGGCAGTGGTGGTTCTCGTGGGTTTCCTGGGCGCGGAGGACGCGGCGGAGCACTGGGCGGACGCGGTGGGAGAGGAGGGAGAGGACGAGGGCGTGTATCGAGGGGAAGGGGCAGGGGAGGCGCTGTTAAGAAACCGCGGGATCGGGCAGGTCAGGATATCCTGACCGTGCCATTGAACGATGAGGAGAAGGCGTATCTCTACAACTCCGAGTGTGGATTCCGTGCTCCCTATAACCCTACAACGACATCAGAGTCTCTAGACAGACAAGGAGCTGCTGTTATTGCGAGTCCAAAGGGTGTCAATGAGACGTTGATGTATAAGATGCAAGTTGCTACGCGTGTTGGGCCAGCTTTTGAACATGCTGGGAAGCATTTGCATAATATGACTGCTGGGAATGGAGTTGCTATGTTTGAAAATCCGGAACAGAAGGCTATTGCGAAGAAGTGGAAAGGTAGTAAAAGCCAAATTGGGTCGCTGCCGGAGCAGGATAAGACCAAGATCTTGAATACGTGGGTTGGGGGACAATATCAAGCGCCTGTAGCTCAGAAAGCTGGCGTATTGGGGCAGGTTGAGACATTTTTGAGGAGGAACGCGACGTATCTCCCTGAAGATGCGAGGAAGTTGGAGGCAAAGTTGAGCACACTGCTACCGACAGCTGCGCCAGTACGACCTCAAGCAGGCAAAGCAAAGACAGCTGCGTGATGAAGGAGAGCTGTATTATATGGAACTTTTGGGTGTGGATATAATTGTACAAAAATGTCATATCAATAAATACAAGAACTCATGACTGGGCCATAGTCTTTCTTGCCGTATCAACAGTCTTCTTGATATCCGCCGTGGCCTTCTCTACAATCTTCTCCATCTCCTTTTGAGCTTTCTTTAGATCATCTGGCCTGGCTGCCTTCTTTAACTCCATACCCCTCAGCCGTTTATGCTGTACACTTCTGGCAGTCTGTACACCGGCCTTAGCAGTCTCTCCAGTCTTACTAGCATCTGCTAATGCCTGATCTCTCGACTCTTTTGTAGGAGGAGGAATACGGATATTCAGCTGTGTAGACGAGTTCTGCGGATCAATCTGTGGTTGGAGATTGATATTCTTTGCGGCCTGGATCGCAGACATAACGGGATGAAGATGCTATACCTCATCAGTAATCGCTCTCCATTTGTTAATCTTAACCAAGATTCGAAAGGGAGAAACAGAACTCACTTCCTTCTCTCCAACTAGCACCATAAGCATCCTCCCCCCATTCGGCAGCACGTTTGCCAAATCCCCCAACCTCTCCGTCTTCTTACTCTCCTTGCTCAAGCTCACCCTCAGATTATCAAGCACCTCAGGATTAAACCTGCCCCCAGTCCTTAGCTTGGATAAATCTGCCTCGAGCTTCTTTAAAGCCTTCTCAATCCCGGAGTTCAACTCGCTGAAGTCGAAGGGGTCTTCGATGACCTGGTTCACGGACGCGGCTTCTTCGAGCTCGCGGTCGGCTTTGCTTTTCTTCTTAGCCAAAAGTAAGTGAGACTGGGAGAAGGTGCGTGTGCCATTGAGTGCTGGCTTTGAAGTTCGGAGGAAAGGTTGGCGGATGGTGGTGGTTGTTCGGAGGCTAGAAGAGTATTAATTGGAGCTCAATGGCTGGATTTTCGAGTACATACATAATCGGAGCTTCCGATTTGATAGCTGTTTTAGAAATGAGTTGTTTGAGCGCATTGGCTCGTATAGAAAATGGAGGAGGCATGATCGATTGATCTGTTTGTATGCTCGAAGCTCTCTTCCACAAAACATGAAGCTACGCACCACCAATTTTGACGAGGCTACCTCAGCCTTTCCACTCGTCGCCACTTCACAAACAGCACCGCGCCCATTTCCAAACATTGTACCTACTTTTTATACAAATAATCTACATATCCATGTCTCAACAAACCCCATTCCCCTTCCTCGCCCTACCCCCCGAACTCCGCACCAAAATCCTTCTTCACACCCTGAACCACCCCATGCCTATTCCCCTCTCTTCCCCCTCCGCCACCTACCCACACGCCCTCCTCCTGGTGTCCTCCCAAATACACACCGAAGCCCTATCCCTCTATTTCACCAGCAACACATTTACCCTAACGCTGCACCGACACAATGACGATGCCCTATCGCCATTCCTGTGCTCACCGCATAGGTTTCTTGTTCGGAGCTTGCGGGTTGTAATACAGAGATGGGGCGCAAACGATTATTTTGTCAAGACGTTTGGCCCGGTGCTTGAGGATATGATACTTAGAGGGGGTTTAAGGAGGCTGTTGGTTGGGATTAGGGAGATGGATGCTAGGGCGCTCGAGAGGGTTGGGCTGGGAATAGAGAGGGAGAATTGGAATGTGCTTAGGACGTTACTGAGGGATCCGGATTTGGATGATGGGAAGTTGATGAGTATGGGCAGGGGAGAGGGAGGGTTTAATAATTGTGATTGGTGGTGGAAGGATGTTAGTTGGCTAATTAGGGAGTGAAGGGCGTGAAGGAGATAACCGCGGTTGCGGATGAAGGTATTCTAGTATCAAAATAATGTCCCAGACGGGGTGGGAGATTTTAAAGAGGTTTAGCGGATTAGGCCTACACCTTCGCAGTGACATAATAAAGAGCGGCAGTTTATTATCATTGCCTTTTAATGTCCCACGCCACCTGGCACATTATTTGAACGGGTGCTGTTTTTCTGTCAAGCATCTCGAGCAGGAGATAAGGAGCATTTTGAAAGATTCAGAAGCACAAGCATCACGAGACAAATATGATTTTTTAATTTTGGTTCAATTTGATTAACATTCCCTCTTCCTATTCTACAAGCGCGCTTCATGCCCGTAAAAAAAGGAAGGAATATCATCCTAAATAGGAGTAGCCATATCAGGAAAACAATCGCAAATGACTTTTATCATGAACCCAGAGTGTGAAAAGAGCAGATGGGCCAATCCATGCCTTGAAAAAAACACGCATTTATATCCCCTTTGCTCCGTGTGCTGCTTCGGTGTGGTAGATTGTAGGTTGGGTAGTTCAACGAGTGGACATACTACGGAAGGTTAGAATTTGTAATTCAGACACGACACAACGGGGAATCTCGGGGAATCTTACGCTTTTGTCACGACGCGCTTTAATGCAAGCTCCTTCTTCTTCAGGTCATCTGAGGTCGAATCCTCAATCTCGAGTTGACCCATGGCATCACTGAGTGCGGACTCAATCTTGTCCTTAGTTCCACGCTTGAGTTTGAGGGACATGGTGGGGTCGGAAACGATCTCCTCAACTCTTGAGATGTAGGCCTCAAGCTGTTGTCTAGACTCAAACTTCTTGCTGAAAGCCTCATCGCTGTTCTTGAACTTCTCCGCATCGTTGATCATGCTCTCGATCTCGCCGGAAGAGAGCTTACCGACAGAGTTGGAGATGGTAATGTTGGCACTGCGTCCTGAGGTCTTCTCAGTAGCAGTGACCTTAAGGATACCGTTGACATCAACCTCGAAAACAACCTCGAGCACCGCATCTCCGGCGCGCATTGGTGGTATAGGTGCAAGAGTGAACTCTCCGAGAGAGGTGTTGTCCTCGCAGTTCACGCGCTCACCCTGGAAAACGGGGAACTGAACAGTCTGCTGGTTGTCGGCTGGTTAGGTATAGTGTTAGCATGTTGAAAAGTACTTTTGGGGGAGTTGGGGAGTCAAGATATCATACCAACGGTGGTGAAAGTTCTGATGATGATGTTAGCTGATGTTCGATACTGATGATGCTCATAAGAATCATGGTGACAGTAGTAAAATGACAACAATAGCAAAATAATGAACAGAAACAGAAATAGCAAGTTGAGTTGATCGGTAGTACTGAGGGGGAGGAGGGGGACTGGTTCGTCCTCACTGAGGAAGGAACGACAGGCATCATCAACGTCATGAGGGTCGACTTGACCTCAATGTAAGAGGAAAGAGCGACCTCAGCATTGGAAGTCGAAAGTACTTTTCAACAACAATCAAAACATCAAAACACCAAGAACAAAAAGACAAAACACAAATCAAAAGTATCACGTGCCTTTTCTTGATAGTAGGCACAGTATTTCCTCCTGTAGCACGGAGAAGTCAGTTATTTTCTTGTAAGAGAAAGATGGAAATGAGAGACCCAGGCTAACTTACGGGGAACGACAGGCGCGAAGATATTACCCTCCATGGCAACACCGAGGGAAAGAGGAACGACATCCAAAAGCAGGAGATCAGCGGTATCGGCAGAGGTAGCCTTTCCTGAGAGGATACCGGCTTGAACAGCAGCACCATATGCAACAGCCTCATCAGGGTTGATGCTCTTCTCAAGCTTCTTGCCATCAAAGAAATCACTCAGAAGCTTTTGTATCCGTGGGATACGGGTAGATCCACCAACAAGAACAATCTCATCAACCTTGCTCTTGTCAATGTTGGCATCCTTCAAAACCTGAGCAACCGGGTCCAATGTGCCGTTGAAAGCCTTGGAGTTAAGATCCTCAAATCTAGCACGGGTAATTTGGGCATTGAAATCCTCTCCATCGAAGAGGGAGTCGATCTCAACAGTGGTTTGAGCACCGTTGGAGAGAGTTCTCTTCGCACGCTCGCAAGCAGTTCGAAGACGTCTAAGCGCACGTGGGTCGCCAGACAGATCCTTCTTGGTCTTGCGCTGGAACTCCTTCTTGAAGTGATCAAGAAGGTTGGTATCGAAATCTTGACCTCCCAAATGGGTGTCACCAGCAGTAGCCTTGACGGTGAAGACACCACCCTGAATGTTCAAAAGAGACACATCGAAAGTTCCACCACCGAGATCATAGATCAAGACGTTACGCTCCTTGTTGGACTTTCCGGCACCGAGACCATAGGCGATAGCGGCGGCGGTAGGCTCGTTGATGATACGGAGGACATTGAGACCGGAGATGGCACCAGCATCCTTAGTAGCTTGACGCTGGTTGTCGTTGAAGTAGGCAGGGACAGTGATAACGGCCTTCGAGACCTTCTTGCCCAACTTGACTTCGGCGATCTCCTTCATCTAAAAGTGCTCAAGAGTCAGCGGTATGGTCTATCTAGGTTATGCAGGGCTGTGTACCTTGTTCAAAACCATAGCAGACACCTCTTGAGGCGAGAAGACCTTGGCCTCACCAAGGTAATCGACCTCTACCATGGGGCTTCCTTCTTGGTCAATGACCTTGAATGGCCACGACTCGATGTCCTTCTTGACTGTGGGGTCGTCGAATCTTCGGCCGATCAATCGCCTGCAGCCTTGAATTAGTAGCTATACCTGGAGGTCATAGAATGGAGATGAAGAGTCAGAAACGTACTTGATATCGAAGATGGTGTTCTTTGGGTTCATAGCAGCCTGGTTCTTGGCCGATTCACCGATCAAACGCTCCTTGTCGGTGAAGGAAACGAAGGAGGGAGTGGTGAAGCTACCCTGCTCATTGGCAATGATTTCCACATTGGTTCCCTCATAATTGGCAACTGTTTAGATCAGTACTTGTCTACGGTGTTGTGGAGAGCTTTCCATAGGCATTGGGCGATAAACGTACCGCAGGAGTAGGTGGTGCCTAGGATCAAGCAGAAAAGTTAGCAACGCAACTCCATCTCAGGCCTCGCAATGGTGGATGGAAAAGTCACATACCAAGATCAATACCGATCGCACCGTCGTAAACCTCGTCTGCCATATTGTACAGGTTTTGGGATTGTCTGTTTTGATTGAAGGAGAGGAGGAGCAGGAGGAGGGATGTCAAGTTTCGCGGGGGGAAGACCGAGCAGTTGATTTTCTATCAGTCGTGTGAATTTTTTCTGGGCCTAAAAAGCACTAAATTTTTAAGAACTTTATTCCGCCCGCCATAATTAGCGACCACGTGATAGTTGATAGGAAGAGCGAAAAGCGGCACCAGACTTCAACTAATGCTACGTGGATTATAATATGAAATAGCCACCGGTACGCTAAGCTAGGACATTCTCTTGTCAGCGAATAAGAAGCTAGTAAGGCTGTCTATAAAGCTGTAAAGGTAGTAGAAATTCATACGTATCTACACAAAGAAGCCTATCGGTGGATAGGTAGGAAAATCGGCATCAATTTATAATGTATCAGGCAGCGTGGGACATTAGAAGTTATATGGGCAAGGCCGTAAGACACTATGGTAGTTAATGAATGGCGCTCTCGATTGCAAACTACTACTTTCTCACTACGACCAAAATTGTCTGGTCATTTACGATACCAATCTATCTACCAACTCACTTGCCAGCGCTCCACTATGCTATGCCCAGCCCGGCCAATGATGCCGTGTAGTATACAGTACAACGCCTCGTCCAATCGCTGGCGAACAGCAGACTCCATCCCAATGACTACCATCTTTATGCACAAATGCGCCTTAACTCCATTGCCCTCCCCCCAAAAATCGAAATACAAGTACAATCACACTCTCATTGCTTCAGCAGGTTAGCAAATATCGTGATCTTCTCCTTCACCATTTCCGTTCCATTTGCCGGCTTGGGCGAATTCCTCGGTAGGTTCGCAATGATTTCAATTTCGATTCGATTGACTCCGGGAAGAAGACGAGCATCGAATAGCGGGTGTCTCTGGTCAATTGGATGGTTTGGTATGATTGGGAGCGCAAACAATCGTTGTGTACCTGCAGTAACAAAAATCCTATGCTGTCGATCGGGTTGGACAAGGAAATCTGCGATCGTTGGCTTGATCTGGAGGTAATAGTGGGTGGGTGGTAGGTTGATGGTGATAGACTGCTGAGCCAACACGTCTGAAGGGGTTACTTCCATGCGAAAATGACGAGCGATGTTGAGGCCTGGGTGGGTTGAGATGAGCAGATTTGTGATCATAGCATCATCGGCAGCTTTTATTCATCAGCAACAAACTTTATATAATATATGGAAGGTCTTACTTTGTCCTTCCGGTCTCCATTTGTTGTCGACAGCGGGGTTGGGGGCTTGGAACATAGTTGGGTGCTGAAACGACTGCGCATAGCCACCAGAGTTGAATAAGTTCGGTGTAGGAATCCCAGGTGTCGACGGTGGCAGCATTCCATTTCCTAGTGGACCAGGCGTTGAGACAGGTTGGCTGAGTGGGCGATAATTGTTATAGTTCGCAGTTTGTATGGCTGGTGACTTATGAGCCACTTCTTCGCTTTTGACAGCAGCAGAGTTTGACGGGGTAGGAGATGCTGCGGAATCGGACATGCTCTTCGCGCGCTCTAGTGGATCTAGATTTGGCAATGGTGTTGCTCCCGACACAGATCCAACAAATGGATTCTTTCGGGGAGCGCCGTTGAGAGTAGCGCCATTTGACCCATTCGTTTGAGGAGCAGGAGAATCGGCAGGACTTGGTCTGCCTCCAAGTTTGAGAGTGATCTTGGGCGCGGGTTCTGGCATCTTCAACCTGATCTTGTTTGCTGGTTCTTGTACATGTATGGATTTTTTGGCTTCCTGAAGCAATTTCTGGAAGGCAGTCTGAAGATGTTTAGTCAATGGAAGTGTGGGAGGAAGTCATTCTAACGTACCTGGAGTTCGGTGGCGAGCGTTGAAATTTCGCTGCCATCTTCATTGAACTGCCAAGCATTGTTCCAGAGATAATTCATCTCATGTTCAAAAGCCCCCCACGACTTGAATTCGGAGATCGTTGGCGCATCTTTATCCCCAGAAGATCTTTTAATTTTCGATTGGACAGATTTGAGGCTGACGACGTTCTTGATGAGCTTGTAATAGTCTGGATACAACTTTTTGTCTGGCTTATCAAAGAATACTTCAAATGAGGCAATTTCATCACTTTTGTAACATTAGTACTCAGCAATACACAGTGTAAAAACGATATAACGTACTCTGGATTATCTTTTCTGGTTATCAAATCTTCCAGGATCTTCTCCTGGGCTTGCTGAAAGCTGAGTGCCTCGAATCCAACTCCTGAATAACGATATTCCGATGGAGTTGCGCTCTTTGCTTGTAGTGCTCTGGGATCCTTAGGAGGCCGGCCTCTTCCTCTTTTGATAGGGGTTTGGTCCTCATCATCCAGCTCGCCCTCGGCATCTTCATCTACTATCGGAGGAGGAGGTGCGGAAACTTTGAGAGTGACCTTAGGCGCAGGCTTAGGTGTAGGCTTTGAGACGCTCTTAGAACCGCTCTTTGAATCGCTAGGCAAAGGGGTAGGGTATGCAGAATAACCAGGGTTTTGGTATGCTGGATTTATCTTGACCATCACATTACTCAACGCCTTCCTTAGTCGCTCGGAGTCATCATAAACCTCCGATCCTCTCTGATTATAGTCTTTTGCATTCGCAATCATTCGCTTGAAGTAGCTCTCCAGTTGCTCAAGAGTATCAAACTCATGGCGCCGCAGCCTTTCTTCAATTGTATCCAGTGCAATCGGCATCTCAGTGACATCGTAGTAATCTGGGAGTAGTTTCCTATCGGGGAGGGTCAAAAAGCTCGTAGCTATGCGTCGTCCACTGTATGTGAGGTTAGTCGAAAAGCGTACTAGAAGGGAAAATGTAGTCTAATGCACATGTCGCAAGGTACATATCAGGAGGGTGTTTGAGGGGACAGATAGCGTGCATTATATCGAAATCCCTATCCGTAGACGAGGCTGACGGGTGGTCGTGGTGCAGTTGCGCAAATGATGAATATCATAGGAGAAGGAACTTGCTTGCCTTTTGTCTTCCGTCCTCCTAAGCGTATCTACAAGCTTCAGCCCATGCTCGGTGGTTAATTCGGCAGATTCGCCTTTAGAAAGATCGATGTGGTCCTGAATATTGTCAGCCTTGCGCCGCGTTGCTGTCGGTGGCTCGAAGCAAGAACCCTCGTTCGTCGGTCGGTGCGTTCGTCCTGGATAGATCCAGGGTCCATCGCCCAAACATCGCAACAGGTCCACGGCGCATCGCATCTACCAACAGCCAACCCGTCCGCGTGCTCGCGCGAATAATAAAGGAAGGGGCAAACATCACTTACACTCAAAACCTTTCTTCTCTTCAGTGCTCGCTCCACCTCGTCTTGCATAGCGGCGGCGGCATTGATTTTGCGCTTAGATTCCATCCTCTTCTCCGCTGGTTGGCGCAACCCCGAGTCGCGGGTGCAAAATTAATTCCGCTGCGGTGATGCGCGCCTCTGCTGAATGGCGTTGACGGTACAATGGAACACGGTCGAGGTGTTGATGCCGATGCGCGTCCAGGTGAAGGCCAAAGTGAGTTTTACCAGGATCTTCTTTCTGGCCCGGATGCAAGACAGAACGCGATTCTCAGGTGATTTTGCTGTAACCCGTAAATGGATATGTGCAAGCAAATAATCACGCCTATTCAAGCGGAAAGATTCACCTATTGCTTCGAGTATAAGTGCATCGGTGCATATGGCCGTGGTTTCTTAGAGGCAGGTTCGTCTCAAGTTGCACCTGTTAGTATCACGTGTACAGGCTCTCGTAAAATGGTCCCTGCTTTTTGGGGGCGGATCTTGCGGCTACATCAGGCTTTGTTTACACCACCCACCATTGCTCCTCCCGATATCTTGGGGTACTGCTTCAACAGCCATTTTTCCCCGCCCGCAAATACACTTCTTCGTTGATGTTCTTGCACAGCTAGCCCATTCTTTCGTCCACTACACAACTACTAGTCTCTTACTTGGGATTGCTCTGCCCAAACCGCAGAAGCAGCATATCTTGAATAGCGACGAGGACTTGGAAAAACTCGCACCCAGAATTACAAGTTTTACGCGGAACGCAGAGACCAATTGCCTTGTGGAGCCTGCGGATTGGCCACTATACTGGACATTGTAGCCGCCTTTTTAATCATCCACGTCCTGTGGGGAATTTAAAACCCAACCCGTCGCGTGCCCCGCGATTCAACAGACCAGGTCCCTAGAGCAAAAGAAAGACGACAAGATGGCAGACAGTGACTACAACCGACGAAATAAACATCCCAGGCCACTCACTGATAATGAGAAGATCCGCCTGGAGGAGTTTATTGATTCAATCCATTATTCCGCAAGGTAAGTCTCTGCGCTGTTTCTACTCCAAAGTCTAACACATCCTAGATACTCGGATGATGAATACGAATACCGTCATGTACAACTTCCGAAGAACATGCTGAAGGCGATCCCGAAAGATTATCATGATCCCTCGAAAGGCACACTGAAACTATTATGGGAGGAAGAATGGAGAGCTTTGGGCATCACTCAGGTACGAAGCGATTATTTTCCATCGAGTTGAAAATGCAAGCTAATTGCTCATTCTGCAGAGTCTTGGCTGGGAGCACTATGAAGTTCACGAGCCAGAGCCGCACATCCTTCTATTCAAGTAAGCAGCAATGATTCGGGGATTCCTGGTGTATTCCGACTAACAGTTTGTGTAGGAGACCGATCAACTACGTTCCCCCGACTCAATAGTGGTTTTGCGATACCTTGGCTCATGCGATACGATCTGGCGGTTCTCTAATGCAGCGTAAGACCTTTACAAGCAATGGCGTTTGCTTTGACGATGTTACGTTTCTCATGTCTCTGATACACCCACTTTAAGCCCTCCAACGGCAGCTTCTATATACTAGATTAGGGTTAATGGATATCCGCTCCTCCAATGGCAAATTCATCTTTGTTTGGCATCCCTGGTGGTGAGCACGAATTGTACAATAAGTCGAATCCGAGAGATTTGGTGGAAAAGAAGAATGCCAGGAGTTTTGCGGTTTGGGGCTGGTCCTGAATGGTTGTGGAAGAATATACACACCTCTATCAGGTAGCTTGGGACTCTTCGACTCTGCACGCCTTTTGCAAAGGACAGCACAACCCTGTTGTGCGTGCCAGTAGGCAGGACTTTAGATAGGAGAATAAACAATACCTTAGGCGAAACTTGAAAAGTGTAGCATTAACGTAGTCAAAATATGTTTGAAATTGATTCCGAACCAATGGGGTGAAGGCGCGAAACCAAAAGGATTTGCATCTAAATCTGTCAAGGGCTGGGCTGGGCCTGGGGAAGCGCAGGGCAGGCATAGAGGCGCAAGCTTTCTTTTGCCGCAAATTTGCCTGTACCGGTTGTACATCACTAATCGAACCACAAACTTTAGATATGGACAGATAACCCGTATCAAAACATCTCATGCTTGGAAATCACTCTCTTTACCGGCCCCCCCCCCACCCCCTCCCCTTCTGAGAAGTCTTCTATTTCTTCTACGCATTGTTCTTTGTGAGCGTTCAACAACATTACTTTCTACGGCCATTTTCTTTCGACAGGCGCATTCGACAATTCAAAGTCACAATAGAGGGTACAAGCTCTTTGAGCAACCTTGAACTTTCGTCAACCTCCAACCCCTCTTTACGATACTACTTTCGAGTGGCTTTGAAGCACTGATTAAACACATAAACACGTTGATTAAATAAAATCAAGGCCTGCCTTCCTAAGGTCCAACAACAGTCATGAAGGGTGCTGCCAAAGTCTTTTATCTGGCTGTCTTCGCCCTACTTGATACCTCTCATGCCGCAGACCCTAAGAGCCCCTCAAGATCCAAACCATCCGGTCCTGATGTTTGCGCGGTACGCTATTCTTCTATACTATCAAGCATGCTTGTCTAATGCCTGTAATCAGATATCCCCAAAAGCAATTGTCTCCGATGCTTGTGCATCTTACTCTACCCTCGATGGTCTCAACCGGGATCTCCGACCCTCCCTCAACGAGATTACGCAGACAACCGACTTCTTCGCATACTACCGATTGAACTTATTTGGAAAAGAATGTCCCTTTTGGAGTGATGAGAATAGCATGTGTGGCAATATTGCCTGCGCTGTAAATACTTTAGACAACGAGGAGGACATCCCGAGGATATGGAGAGCAGAAGAGCTAGGAAAGTTAGAAGGGCCCAAAGCCGACCACCCATCGCGACGAGTGCAAAAGGAGAGAGGACCGAATAAGCCACTGCAAGGAATGCTAGGTGATAATGTTGGAGAGAGTTGCGTTGTAGAATACGACGATGAATGCGATGACCGAGATTATTGCGTCCCAGATGACGAGGGAGCTGGTGGCAAAGGAGACTATGTGAGCTTGGTGGATAACCCAGAGAGGTTCACGGGTTATGCAGGAGAAGGTGCTGGGCACGTTTGGGACGCAATATACCGAGAGAATTGCTTTTCTAAAGCATCATTTCCAAAATCAGCATACCTTGGAAGTTCTACCTTCCCAAAGAAAGGCCCCGCCGCCAATGAGCTACAATCTGTCATGCGGGAGCACGAAAGGCAGATTCTCAACACTCCTTCAGCGACTGGCTTGGAGGAGGAAGACGAGTGTTTGGAAAAGAGGGTGTTCTATCGCGTTGTTTCTGGCATGCATACTTCCATCAGCACACATCTTTGCTGGGAACATCTGAATCAGACTACCGGAGAATGGGGGCCAAATCTTCTGTGTTACAAACACAGACTCCATCAGTTCCCTGAAAGAGTATCCAATCTCTACTTTAACTACGCCCTTGTGTTGCGAGCAGTTACGAAATTGGGTCCGTTCTTGAAAGACTACACCTTCTGTTCCGGGGATCCAGTCCAGGATGCTGCGACCAAGGCCAAGGTTCAGGTATTGACTTCCAAAGCTGCGGCAGCACCTCAAATATTCGACGAGAGCCTAATGTTCGTCAACGGTGAGGGACCTAGCTTGAAAGAAGATTTCCGAAACCGATTCAGAAATGTCAGCCGGATTATGGACTGTGTTGGCTGCGACAAGTGCAGACTCTGGGGCAAGTTACAAACTGCTGGTTACGGAGCTGCCTTGAAAGTTCTGTTTGAGTTTGATAACGACTCCCAAGATGTTCCAGTGCTACACAGGACTGAGCTTGTTGCTCTCTTCAACACACTAGCACGTATCTCCAGTTCTCTCGAAGCGATCCATCATTTCAGGACCATGGTTGAGGCGGAGGAGACTGAAGCTGAGAGTGTTGGGCATCACCACGTAATGTCTGATCGAGTTACAAAGCCTCGTCATGTCGTACCTGGAAAAGAGTTTACAGGCTCAATCGACGACGATTTTGATGAACATGAAGATGAACCGAAAGCCCGTAAACATGAAGAAACAGTTGGCGAGATCTTTTATAAGGAGTTAGACTTGATCTGGCGAGTGACGAAATATGTCATCAGGGGTTGGATCCGATTCCCCAAGACTATGTAAGTTTGATATACTTTTTCTCTCTTGAATTCAGTCTAATGGCAATACAGATGGGAGATCGTTGTCCTTGAGGCAGCGAGAGCCTGGGAGTACTACATTGGGTTACCGGTTTCCCCAAGGAAATGGGAGATCAAGCGGCCGAAACTAGACGAGCTTTGAGCCGCCATGTCTGTAGATTATTGTTTGGAGTAATGAACATATGCATCAGCGTTAGGAGTTATGGATGATGTTAAGACTACTTTGCATTCTAAATTGTGTAATTGTGTTCAAACATTTTGGACGCTGTCATTTTCGTAAACAGCAACTCTCCTTTTTTGCTCTGATATTTTGTCTTCATCAGTGTGAATGATGTCGAGAATATGCTCCTTTCTGCTTGTATCTGTACTCGAGTGTTCTAGTCTCGCTCTTTACTTTCTCGTTCGAATGATAGCATTGGTATTTGCACGACGCAAGTTTTACTGGTTCATCAATGTTAGGATAAGGCAATTGGTTGAATTGGGAAGCTATGGGAGCGGAGGCAGAAACTCTATGCTCACTAGCGTCCCATGTGACATATACATCACGTGCTTGGCAGACAAGTCCTCCTCTTCCTTCCCAAGTGGACGTTGCTTCTAGTTCAGCATCATAACACTATGGTCTTCCAGTACACATACAATGGACAGGAGCTTGAAGCTAGGGCTAGGTTGAGAAATGAGAATATGCCGTCATTCCCCATCCACTGCTATGGTGGCAACTTTTCGAACATGCAATTTCACAACTCAATCTGTTAGCTCAACTTTACTAAAAAAGAGGCAAGAAGAAGCGGTAAATACTAGGTGTTCATTTGTAAGGCGCAGTGGGACGTGTAAATTTGATGACGAGTGCCGCTTGTCTAAGCCAGGCTGATATTATATCTCACCCCTTCAATTCACATACTCGCTAAATATTTCACACGAATATATGAATATATATACGAAGTATATATATACATAAATATATAGGTAGGTAGGTAGGTAGGCACATATCTCTCCGTTCCTCTTGACCTCCGTTCTACAATTGTTTCTATCTCTTCACTTCGCATCGCTGTTTTTGAATCCGACCTCCAAATTCATCCCAACATATAGAAACAACATGCTCTTCAACTGGGGGTTCCTTTTTGGCTTCCTCTCTTCGTTTCTCTTGAATGCCTCCAGTGCTGGCTCGGCTCATGGCGATTCAGCTCCTGTGAGAACTAAGCTTGGTATCATCCATGGACGTGCGGATCCTGCCGCTGGATTCACCGCTTTCTACGACATCCCCTATGCCCAAGCTCCTGTTGGCAAGCTTCGCTTACAGGCCCCTCAACCCAGGACGACGCCCATTGAACACTTCAACTCCGGCGACCCAAGCAGCAATCGATGCTACGGTATTGGACTGATGACAAATAGTCTCGTTACGGGATCAGAGGACTGTCTGTATCTCGACATCATTCAACCCACGGTCATTCCAAATAAGTTGATGAGTGTTTACGTTTTCATCCATGGGTAAGTGTATCAAGACTTTATTCGAGGGAAAATGCAGCTGATGTCAATAGGGGTGACTTCAACGACGGCTCTAAATCCGACAACGATGGAAGGAACTTGGTAATCTCCAGCATCCGCAACGCAAGTCCCATCATCTATGTTTCCATCAACTATCGACTTGCTTTTCTAGGCTACCCCGGCGGTGCAGAAGCTGGCAATCATAATGCTTACAATCTTGGTCTGCTTGATCAGCGTATGTAAGCAACCTTTGCACGCATTGCATATCCCAATTTAGCCAAATCCGGGAGTTGCAAGAGTCCAAATACTTTTGAAATCCAATATTACCCAGGCAATGCTAACTGGGAGAACTTACAGGGCTCTATTGTGGGTGAAGGATAACATTAGAAGTTTCGGCGGTGATCCAAATTCGGTAGAAGCAATCTTTTACTCTGCTGTTTTGATCAATTTGCTAAAACAACCGGCAGATTACCGTTGGAGGGCAAGGTACCGGTGCAGACTCGGTTGCATATCAGATGATGGCAGGCGGGGGGGTCAATCGTAATCTCTTCCAGAAGGTGATCCTCGAGAGCGGTGCTGCTACTGGCTTGACTCCAATCCCGAAAAGCGATTATGCTCCACGGCAACAGCAGTACAACAGTATTGTACAAAAGTCCGGGTATGTGTCGCTACTGGTGTACCTTCTATATCATCAAGCTAACTCTCAAGATGTTCCGATGCTCCAGACACTTTTGTCTGCCTCCAGGGGGTATCAATTGATACGCTATCCCAAGCATTCTTTACGACGTACACCGAGTCTCATTCGATCCCTCATCATAGGTAAGTTCACCAATGTTTGTTTCAAATATTCATTATCTGACTTCTCTAGTTACGCGCCGATCGTCGAAGGCAACGTAAGGACAACGGATTCTTTCATATGACATTTTCCCTTCCCATCATGTTTTATCCATGTACTCCAACTTCTCACACACTCCTTAAAACGGGAACCTGTTCTTCCTGGCTCTCAAATACTCTTGACTAGGACATAACTGACTTCCCCTTCATCTAGTGGTTCCAAGACTACCCTTCCATTCTCATGAAGCAAGGAAAGTTTGTCGCTGTACCAACCGTCATAGGACATACAAGCAGTGAACTCAGTCTTCGTATCCCTACCTTTGCGAACTTCGTAGATGATGAGAGCATACTGGGATTTACTGGAGCCTTCCTATCCTACACTCCTCTGTCAACCTTGCAAGCTTTGCTCAGCCAATTCTCACCTTCCGACTACAAAGACATCGGTCCGCCAGGTTCTGGGGCTCAGTGGAGTCGTGTTGCAGACGTTGATAACTATCTGCAATCATTCTGTCCGGTTTTTACTGCCGCCAATCAGATTGCAAACAAAGGCGTTCCAGTTTGGAAGTGTAAGTGATGTCCACTCCCTTTGCAAACACTTGCTAACGATACCTATAGATCAGTGGGATGCACTCCATTCAGGCTCAACCATCCCAGCGTTTTATGGTGGTAAGTAACAATCGACCCCCAATCCCACATCGGCTTCAAGATTTCCAATCTAACATCTCGCAGTGAGCCAAGGCGCCGATCTCCCATTCCTTTATTCGCCCCAGTAAGCCTTCCATACATCACACTTGTGTCGTATATTGTGCACAGAGCTAATAGCCTAGAAAGACCACTCCAAGGTAATTTGGTCGATGTCAACCTAGGATATGCATTCCAAAGTTACCTTATCTCATTCGTCAACCACGGAAACCCCAATTTCGACAAGATTCAAGGTGGTCCCCCTGTGTGGGAATGGACCCAATATTCGGTAAATGACGCCCAACAGGTGGTGTTTTCCGAGCGCGAAGTGGGTTCGAACCAGCCCATGATCTTCATGGAGGCTGATCCTACAGATCATGCCAAGTGCGATTATGTGGAGGCGCATAATGTGGACTTCCTTCGCTAAACATGTTTTTTGATTTCTGCATTGGAAAAGTTTAGAATGGCGGTAATTTGTTTTATTTGCAGCGAATGTTTTACTGTTCCTTGGTGGGCATTGTGTGGTGTATGTAGTGGGCGTGGATACGCAACGTAATGGCAAGCAATGGTATATATTGTATAGTTAAGCAATTTTTCAGCAGGTGATTTGAACGTGCATGTGGGTTATTAAGAAATGAAAGGCAAGGCAGACCAGAGGCAAGAAAGGAAAAGGAAAAGTCTCCAGATAAAGAGAAGTACTCCCTAAATCCTTTAAGTTCTCGGCTGATGATTATGTTTACCAGGAACCTTTACCCCCCTACACAATCTCTATCCTCAAAATAGTTCGATTCTTATGACCCGCGGATTTCGACGGTCGGCGACAGTCAGTATTCTGTGATGGACCTTGCATATTCTGACCGCCGGTTTCGATGAGCTTCCAAGCAAATTTTGGAGTTAACTTCAACTTATCATCAATACCACTATCTGCGATATTGGCCATTTCAGCTTTCGGCTCATCTTGGAGATTCCCACGGCCACATGAGGCAATTATCGTTGTCACATTATACAATACAGGCTTATGGGCTACTCGAACCCTCCGACGCTTCCCATGAGCCTCCACGTGCACAATTCAACCTTGACGAAAACCAGGACTATTGCTACGGGAAGAGCAAAAGGGGGCAGATGGAAAGTATTTGGGGATAACTAATAAGATTTGGGGAAGGAATGAGGGGTTACGATGTTCGTGAGGGTAGCAAGTCGAAAATATTAATAGAACGTCTGGTTGCGTTAGAATATACCTCGTGGGGAGAACTCAGAAGTAGGTCAGGGGACATGGTTTTCACTGAAGCTGCATGCTGCTCATTCCATTTCCTTGTTGGAGGTTGTAAACGGGGGAAAGGCCTAAATTCCCTTCCTTCTACTCTCCTTACCAGCCTCTAGTAGCTGGTTAGAACTCATAGCTGACGCGACTCATCAGCTTGGCGGAATATTCGCTGCAGGACGCGCGGGCATGAAACCTAGAAATATTAATGCTTGTTATACTACCCAACCTGCAGAAGGCATCAAGGGAGGATCGGGAGGTGGTGGGATATTTGTCTGTTGCCGGTCGGCAAACGGGGAGCGGGAGGTGCAGGTGATCCGGGGGACGATTGACGATGGCCGTGTTTTATTGTGAATCAGGGGTCTTCTGGTGGGTGCAACATTCCATCATCGTGCATCTGATGTGCATCGCATTCTTCTTGTCCCTTCCTAATCCAGCGTGTAGCCTCAAAAGACCCCTCTAACCTACAGGTAGGTACTCGTGCGCTACACTTGCCTGGAAATTGGATATCAGATGTACCCAGGGCCCAGGCACAGACGGAAAATGAAGGAATAAATGGCCAGCAGAAGAATAGACGGACGAAATGGGAATTGCAGAGAGGAAAGCCGAAAGTTGGTGTGTTTGATCAGGCATTATTACGAGGCATACAGCAATATATTACCAGGTAATTATGCGATAGTACAAAGCAAGTTTGAGGGATGATGTTTGTTGTCACCTTTCGCCTCGTCCGTCCGCCCAAGTCCCAACCGGACTAGAAGGAGGACAAATGCCTTGATACATAGCTCACATCGTTTTGGTGTGGGAAGGAGGTCCGTATGTACACATGCATCAACATCCCATGGCTACCAACGGCGTCCTATCGGAAATTAAAGCGTGAAGAGGCGCAGGCAGCCACAGCCATCCTCACTCCACTAAACAACCATTCAAGCACTACCACCACCACCACCCGGCCTTCCAATCGCAACCACCAAACCACCAAACCACCACAACCAGCACCACCACCACCCCGCCTTCCAATCGCAACTCGCCCTCATCGAAAAACCTACTAATCGAAAACCTACTAATAGAAAACCTACTAATAGAAAGCCTACTAATAGAAAACCTACTAATTGCAACCGGCGCCGCTACCGCCTCTCGACCCCGACCCGATCCCGGCATCCAGGCGTCGATCTTTCCCTGCACGTCGACTAACACCAAGTCTCTAATCACTTCTTCTAGTTACCAATCAATCATTCATGGCGCAACCACCACTGCTTCCTTGCAACCTCTGCAGCTAGCTATGCTTCGCAGCCACCGGTCATCTCGAGAAGCCATGGACTGTTGTATATAAAGGATCGTTTTGTTCTCCTCCCACATATTCACACTCGTGAATTCAGTACGCCATCAAAGAACATCTATCTCAGAACATCCAAAACTCAAGATCTGAATTCCTGCATCGCAAGCAAGTTATCACAGTAGACTAAATACAATGGGTAAACATTCCCTCGCCGAAGCAAGCATCTCAGCCTTGCTGACCTAAACCCATAGCTCCATCCATCATACCTCGCACTCTATCAACAAGCAACACAATCACCCTAGTCGTCGGCGTCCTCAGTATAGCCGTCGGGATCCTAAGCACAATACTAGCATGGGCTATGTGGCGTCTAACAAGTGATGGCCGACGGCGACTGCGCTCGCGAAGTAATTCCCTCTCTCCTCTTACTCCGTACACATCCAACCTTAATCCCTACACAAATGCTGACTTGAAGCCAGGTCCCTCACCCTCACCCTCACCCTCACCCTCACCCTCACTAGGACCATCGCTAGGACCATCGAGTCCAATTGCCCTCATGCCTACTCAGGCTTCGATGGCGAATAGGAACGGGTATGAGGTAGCGTTTCGGATAGGGAGGAGTACTTGACATGACCCCGTACGTTGCTAAAAGAAAGCCTAAGACCACTGCTTTTAAAATAGCACGGAGCGGAGTAGAAAAATTGATTATAGTATAGAATGATAATGATTTATGGCATTCAATTGCCTCGCTGTGTCATCACAAAAGGGAGACTTGTTTGCGGTCTTCGGGTGTCATGGGCTATACGCTCTATCGAAGAGACGACAAACCCCTGCACCTTAATAGGGCCTCAGCAGCATTTCTTTCCTATCGGATCTCCCAACTAGCAGAGGGGTTTCAGCTTTAAATATGGCCTTGAACTAGTATGGCTAGCTTTCTTTGAGACTGGGTTTTGTAGGTTTGGAGGGCCCTGCCCTTCTCCCTCTGCGTTAAACACCACTAAACTAAGCGAGGAGTTCGCGAGGGGTACGAAGAAAAGGTGCAAAGGAAACAATGCACTTGCTTAGGTACGATGAAGATACCCATTTTGTACTTTAATTTCATTAACCATATTATACATTGCCATGCCAATACCCATTCCCCAAGTCTAATTATAATACATGTCGTTTGTTGTCGTTTAAGCTGATTTCATTTCCGTGTGCAAGGCTACCCCATGTCATACTTCAAGCATCCGCTTGGTGCTTTTTGTGAAGCCTCAAGCTGCCGAATCGTTTCCTCAACCCGTCGCCGACCTTTCGGCCCGTGCTATGGCTCCTCTGCATATTGTTCTCAAAATTCACAGAAGCCATCGCTGGCTTGCCGGGACCTCCAAGATCGGCGCCGCTGCCACTAGCGCTGCGCTGGCGGGAAGTAGGTTGCATTTCGAAGGCATTGCCGCCCTCGGATACGAACCGGCGATGGGAATGTGCTTTGTCGTGGTCTTTGATAGCCCTTTCGATGGAGAAGGAGGGTTCGCCTTTGCCTTTATAGTCTTCGGGAAGGTATTTCTGTAGGGAATTAAGATTTTTGAAATGAAAGTTGTTCCAGAGGACTTACCACATCCGGCCATCGTTTGTAGGCTCCACCCGCAGCATCCGGCTCCCTCATCAGATCGGCACCTTCATTGTAATTCATCACTTTGCCGTCCAAACCGGCCATTCCGGGTGGAATGACAGCTGTGCCTTGCAATGGAACATGTTTGTCTAGAGAATCTTTAATGTTCTCCCTTGGTGTAGCTCTCAAGGCTTCTGCATTCGAGGCGGCTACAGCGGCAACGGGAGAGCTGTTATAGCTTGTATTTCTGGACAGCAGAGTAGCATCGTAGGGGCCCTCGTGATGGTATGTTCCGCCAGTTCTATCCAATCCATCAATTGTGTCTGTTCCAGGGATATGCTTTTTTCTCAAATGTGGCGAGCGATGTGCGGCTTTCGTCTCCTTACGCAGCTGGTCGAGAGGTCGGTGAGACATATCGCCTGGAAAACGTTCACCAAGGGAACTTCCTCGTCGGCGTCCTTTGCCGTTACCAAGGGGTTCGTCTGAGCTTCTCCGGCTTGATCCGGCTTGAGCGTAGTCTCCGAATGCGGTTTGCCGGTGGGATGGAGAGTACGGGTTTGATGGGTGGAAAGAGGATCTGGTGGGACTTGCTGATGCTGGAGGCGTGGGGTAGCTCGTTGATGTTGGAGCTTTGGAGTCTCTGGATGATGCTGAGACGGTTGGGCCTTTGGTTTCTTGGGGTCTGCTGAAGTGTGTTCCGGGACCAGTTTCTTCACTGGGCTCTGGTTCGTTCAAAGGGTCGAGGAGATATTTGGTGGCCTGTAAATAAGGGCAGTCAGTTTAATACTCAACTTTGAAGAGCGGCTTTTGTGCTGCGCCGGGAGGGGATCAAGTCTAAAACCTGGTCTTTTGGCGATCTGGCGATCGAGGTACATACCCAATTTTTATCCTCTGAAGCGGAATCCATATCTGATCAAATTGGCGGGGTAGCCGAGTATATTTGAGAATCGGGGATTTGGTGGCGATGATTTAAACTATTTGACCTGGAGGAAGATTTGGATGGGAGGGCAGAGCAGCTTGAGGCAGCTTTGAAATGAAAAAGGAGAACGAGTGAGTTATACGGTCGTGGCCGGGTGGCCGCTGTTCTTCAAGGACATGGATTACGATTAGAGTGTGAGAACAACGTCATTGGTGCAGGAACAAAATCAGACGAAACTCGGGATTCGCGGAGTAAATATTTCTGGTGCAGCCAGCCACTCAGAAGCCAGAGAAAAGAGGGGTAGAAGAAGCAGAAGCGTCCAGATTCTGTGCAGCTAACTCATAATGCCGCGACGAACTTGCCGTTTAAGAATGGCGTGCCCCATAGCTGACGTTGAATTTTGGCGGAGCATAAAAGTAGAAGCTTGGCCTACGTTAGCGAGCTTAGCTTGAACGGTACACCTACCTCTACCTCGACCTTACGGTAAAACGGAACCAATGGTCGAGCCGAGACAAGCTAAGCTTTGGACCAACACGCGGCTCCACAAGCGAACAAACGATACCGTCCCATGAAGTGACCTCCCCTCCCTCCCCCTCCATCAGTGTGATCCGTCATCATCGAGCCGCAGCAGCCTTGTATCGTACCACCATCTCACTAGACACTCGACTAAACTATTATCGACATGGCTCTCGTTGACTATCCCTCGTCAGATGAGGACGAACAGAATGGAAATGACCAAGCGACCACGAGTGAAGCAGCCACGGGAAACTTGAAGCGCAAACGTGGAAGAGAAAGAGAAACAGAAACAGAAACAGAAACAGAAAACGAAAATGAGAACCCCAATGGCCTTCCTCCACTGCCCTCAAAATTCCACGATTTATACGCGTCAACTAGTCGCGTCAGTACCAGAGATGATCCTAGCCTACATGGTGGGAGGAAGAGAGTAACTCCTCATATTGAGGGCAACTGGCCGACTCATCTGTACATCGAGTGTAAGTCCTCAAGCCGTTTCCATACCAAACCCCCATGAACTTTGCTGACCCGATTGAGGGTATCCTGCAACTGCAGAATATAAATTATTATCCAAAATCATCTCAAAACTGAAAGGACTTCCACTGGAGGAGCCATCCGAACTACATTCCTTTCTGACCAGTGACCTCGGCGCACCTCTACCACTCCACATCAGCCTTTCCCGACCCATTGGATTTGGTACAGAACAGAAGGAGGACTTTGTCACTTCGTTAAAAAGTGCCATGGAGTCCTCTGGCATTCGACCGTAAGTCTTCAGTCCATATTCATATCACGTGACTAACATACCAGCTTTGAATTTGCATTCTCGGGCCTTGATTGGGTCGCAAATTTCGAAAACACTCGCTGGTTCCTAGTTTTGCGAATTCAGAAACCGAAATTTGATAGTCTGAATAAACTACTTCATGTCTGCAATACAGCTGTGCAAGACTACGGCCAACCACCTCTTTACGCTAAGGCCACGACCAGGAATACAGCTAAGAGTATAAAATGGCACAAGCAAGAGACCAGCAAGAATCGATCCAGCGCTGAAAGTTCCAAGGCCTACTGGAGCAACCTGCAAGACGTTTCCGGGGCATTTCACATCAGTATTGCCTGGACTCTCGGATCTCCAAGTGAAGGCCTCCTTGCTCTAACTAAGTCTGTTGCCATAGATGATTTCCAAGATGTCGCTCATACCCGTGTCAATATCCAGGAGATCAAGGCAAAGGTGGGCAATGCTGTTACAAATATGCCTCTACACGCGAATATACAAGAAGCAACGGGTCTATTTAGCTTTTAACAACATATGGATATTAGGAGCACCTGAAAGTGGCATCTATTTGCTCAATGCTCCACAGAGGAGCAAACCTCCAAGACTGTCAACTCCACTTGCCCAGTTTGATAAATCATCCCTGATATCAGCGTCCCTGCAACGAATTGATCAGCATTACTCTGAAAATTTTGCAGGACCGCGGCAGTGTCTCGGCGGCCGCGACTTGGGGTAATGCTCCAGGCTCATAGAGCTCCAGAACAGGAAACGGACGAAATGCTGGTTATCTTACATGCTATCGACGTCCAAATTGTTCGATTCCCGCAAATCCTTAATTGTCAACATCTTTCCACAGTGTCGACTTGACAAATACTGCTTATACTCTTTTTCCCACGCATCTTCCGTCTCAGCTTCCCAGATGGCCTTGCTGCAAGGCAGTGGAATATCATCCATCGCGGAACAATCGGGTGAGCTTGGTTCTATGCCAATATTCAGATCCCTGATCATATCAACAAGGTGCATGACGAGCAGTGTCCTATCGAGGAGTTAGCGACGAGAAATAAATTCATGGGATATGCTTGCCTTCGTTGGCTCTCTGCTTGTATCCAGCCTTTCCAAGTTGGAAACCCGCCTTGGCGTTCGCTTTTGCAGACCCAACCGTTCCGGTTCATTTTGGCTCCAAGTTCCTACAATGCACAGTTCATTACATATTATATACATAGCCAGGGTTGATATATGTGACTTACACCTGATGTTAACCTCACGACAACGCTGGTGACTTCACATCGATTTTCGTCGTCTGCTACGATAATTGTGTAGATGCTCAGGGCTTGAAGGTTATGTAGTAAGATTTGATCGTCGCAAGCGCTAGACTATATGGGTTAAGTTGTTGTTACTCGAGCGAAGAGATGAGAATAGGATAGAGACTCCGAACCTGTTCGTATATTCTCTGTATTTCTTGCAACAAAGTCTTCACAACAAGATTCGTGCAAGCTGGCGTTCTCTGCCTGTACATGGAAATTATACTACGGCAATTTGCCAACGATTCTGCAGCGTTGCCACTTTGACAAATTTCGGGACAAGATTGCCGATGTATAAAAAATGGAAGAGTTCTATTCTCAAACTCGATGACTTGAGTGTTTATCGTGGACCACAAAAAGTTTCTTGTGAACAACAATCCTGCTTTCTTTACCGGCTTGCGGTTCAGAAGATTAGTGAGTTTCTTTGACTCGATGCCTAGTTCTTGCCATCCTGGAACATCAAAGGACCGAGAAGGTAAAGTCTGCAACATTGAGAGGACGAATTCATTGAAGTAGCGGGACCCTTCTTCTGCTGTGATTCGGACAGACTGGCGGGGAGCGGGACTTCTGGCGGTCGATGAAGCGTTTGCTGGAAATTCGAACCAGCATACGTTTTGGGCTTCCTTGTCGGATGGAACCTCTTGTCTCTCTTCTCTCTGTGTTAGAGCCTCCGTAGTCGGTATCACTCGCTCATTGTCCCATCCCATATCATACATTCTGTCAACATCCGCATCTAGGGGAATTTCAAAGTCGAGCAATTCCGATATGCGGACGTTGTCCGTAACCTCGTCAAACGCTGCATCCGCTGGAGGTTGAGTTGCTTGGTCAGCCCTAGGGGCCGGAAATGTGTCTTTTGCTCCAAGCACCCACATATTGTACGGATTCACATCGTTTGAAGGACCCGCATTGTGCCTTGTAGTTTGGCGTTCATATTTGCATGGGAGATTCCTCCTCTCGCATCGCTCACAATGAGGAATTGCCAGATTACAGCGGGTTTTGGCGTTTCTGCATTGCTTACAAGATCTCCTCCTTTGATATTCCATAGTAATGTTGATATTTTATTTAGATGTCGCTCGGCATTGATTCTTTACTACCGTAATGCTGACAATGACATCGACTCCGGAGTTCTGACAAATGCAGACAGGGATCTCTGGGCGGACAGGTGCGCCCCATAATACGGAAGTATGCCATTTTGAGTAATTTTCCGTAGGCTTACTCCAGCGATTGGTTGGCTAACCTCTCGCGAGAAGCAAGGCTATTCAAAATCGTCGAATGCCTCAACTTTAGCATTACAAAGTCCGACACTTGTAGAAAGTCTCATTCCTCCTCGGATTGGAATATGATGTATAAAGGTAGGTTTCTCTTTCATTGTCTCATTCATTCTCAGTTCCTTAGCTTCTCTCGTACCAGTCATAGTAGAACAGCCTCGCTTTGAAACCTACACCCAGGCTCCCCCCTAAACTTTCCTCTACTCAACCTTCGCAACATATTTCAGACTCCGATTCTTCACAATGCCATCAAAGGCTTCACCCATCCGAGTAGGCATTATTGGCCTAGGGGTTTCAGAGTCCAAACTTGCTCCTGGTATTTGGGCAGCCAAATCACACCTCCCCTACCTCCAAGCCTCTCCAGCCTTTCGCATCACTGCCGTGGCCAATTCCTCTGCCAAATCAGCCCAAATATCAATTGATAAGTATAACCTTGGATCTGATGTCAAAGCCTACGGTAGTCCCTCCGACATAGCAGCTGACCCCAATGTGGACTTCATCGTTGTCTCTGTGAGGGTCGGAACACATTACGCTCTCACAAAGCCAGCCCTACTAGCGGGGAAAGACGTATTTGTCGAGTGGCCCCTCGCAGCTACCTTATCTCAAGCAGAGGAAGTAACTGCACTCGCCAAGGATAAGGGTGTCAAGACCATCGTAGGCGTCCAAGCCCGCGCCAGCCCTCTCGTCATCAAGCTCCGCTCCATCCTGAAGAACAACGAAATAGGCACCATTCTCTCTTCCACTGTCAATGCCACATTCTCTGGTCTTCCACACGACATGTTTCCCAATGCAGAGTACTACTTGGTCCGTACACTTTCCACCCTCTGCCCCCTCCCTCCCTCCATACTAATTCAAATATCATAGGACCTCAATTCCGGCGGCAACTCGTTTTACATCAACTTCGGGCACTTCTTCGACTCTTTCACGCACGTCCTCGGCCCCTTCTCCTCCCCTCTAAACGCGCTCTTCGACCTCAAGTACCCGCGCACGAAATTAATGGATTTCGACACCATGACCCAGCACGCCGAGCTCGACCGCACGTCTCCAGACCACGTGTTCGTGCAGGGCAAACTGGCCTCTGGTGCACTAGCTAGCATCGCATTTCGCACTCTTCCAGCACCTAACAAGGAAGTCGAGGACCACTTTCTGAAATGGACGATCACGGGAACCGAGGGCGAGATTGTGGTGGTTCAGAAGGAAGGACATTGGCAGATGCTTGACAGTGATGGATTTGTGGTTCAGATTAGGAAGGGTAAGGGAGAAGTAGAGACTGTGGATTTGCGGGCGGGGGTGCAGGATAGTGAGGCTGTGTTGGCGGTTGGAGCGGAGGAGAGGAATGTAGGCAGGGTTTACGAGGCGTTTTTGAAGGGGGAGACTGGGGATTTCGCAACTTTTGAACAGGCGTTGGAGAGCCAGAAGCTTTTGGCGAGGACTAGGGAGGCTGCTGGTAAATAGATGTTGTTGTTGATGGGGTGGGGTAAGCGATAAGTGTCTGAATCCATCTTTGAGAAATTGCGAATATAATATAAATGTGGCCTTGGGAGATAGATGTGTTGAGAGTTGCTACCCTGAGTGTGTCGCTGCATAGGTATAAGATCAAGATCTTGCTAAATTGGACGGAACTTCGTGGCAGTACGTAGGATAGGCTTTCATATCTCCTCCGCTCTCTCCTTTCTCATGCATCATTTCCCCCACCGGAATCTAAAGCTGGGCGGCACCGCATCCAGATGTCAAGTTAACATGCTGTCCTGTTCAGATCAAATAGAAAACTGGTTCAATATCCTGCATGCAGACTTAAACAGTGAGACAGCCAACTACAGTATGAAAACGGGCACTCGGCAAAATGTCGATTTTGGAAAATTTGCAATAGAAACCCTCGCTTGTAAATTTTCCTCCCTAGATAATCTGTACACGAAATCCCATCCTGGAGCCTATGTTCCCCAACTCCCGCCACAAAGATACCAAGAGGAGAGAAACGCCAAAGTAGATGAAGTACAATCCAACCTAGAAACCAGCCTTGTAATTTTAACCACACTTGAATGCCCTACTCATCATCACCATCATGATCATCACCACGAACACCACGTCCTGCAGCTCCATAAGTTGACTTCTTCGCCTTGCCACGAATATCTTGCCACGTCGCACCAAACCTCCTGCTGGTGCTCGCAAGCAAGCCCTCTTCCTCATCCACCTCAGCATCCTCATCAAGTTGGCTGATGTCCAATTTAGGAGTACGGAATAGCGCGGTAAGGAAGACAATCAAGAAGACAGCCAAAAAGGCGAATTGTGCCCAGAAGGCCAATGCACCGAAGAATGGAAAGTTGACGGTGACCCGGTTGAGGAAGGTCGACACCACACTGGGAGTGCAGACGTTCTTAGAAGCGTATTCTGATGAAAGCTCAGAGCAGGGTTTGATAAGCTCTTTGTGGTTTGAGCAATCAGGCTGGTCGTCGGGATGTCTTGTTGGGTTGCTGCAGAATGTTTGAGCTCCATAGATGGCGTACTGTGGTGCGACAATCATGGCAAGCGCATAGTTGATGGCAAGCATGATTAAAGTCAACATGACGGTAGCGATCAGGAGAGCTTGGGGAGAGGTGTGCCCTTTGCGGATCTCAAATAATTTAATCCAGAGGAACCGGATCCCAATAGTGGCAATTCCTACTACTGAACTGCTAAAGAGGAACAGAACCAGAAGTGCCATCAAGACATAGTCGATAGGGAATACTCTAGAGGATTGAACGAAGATCCAGTTGATGGGTTGGAAGACGTTGATACTAGATCTTGTTAGCAATGATGTAGGATTGGATAGGCCCACACACCTTCCCAGGATATAACCACAATGTTGCTTGCAGATAGAATTTTTAGCTTTGTCGATACCGGTAATAAGCATGGAAACCCAGATGACAACAGCCAAGATAAGAAGGAGGATTCCCCCAATAAGCTTCAGAGGTCTGAAAACTGCACAAACTTTCGTCCAGGATTTAACAATGAAGCTCTTGCCTTCACCTTGAGCCTCGGCAGCGAGACGTTCACGGCGGACAAGAGTTCGTTCCTCACGAACCAAAGATTCTAGTTCCCGTTGGTCCTTAGCCGGCAATCCCCCATCACGGCCAGTATTGCGGCCCTCAAGTTGACGTTGTCTTTCTCGGTTCTGCTCCAGGGCACTTGCAGTAGTTTCGGACAGTTGAGGTGCGCTAATAGAGGGTGCAGATTTGATGAAAGAAATCGGCAATAGAGCAAGGCCAGCAGCCGTGTACAGAATATAGAGAAGTGTACCGAGACATATCAATAATCCGAGAGCAAATGTCAGAGCTCTGACGCCATGATTTTCTGCTAGGAGTCGTTTAAAATAGTCGAGATCCATATGGGCATCCTTGCGATCCCTAGCCACTGGTACAAAAAAGCCAACAAGGAATAGAATCACCACGAGGGCAACAAATACCAATGTATATTTGAACGCCCCCCAGAACTTTTGGCCAAATGTCTGATTGCCTTCCTCGGCATCAACCTCGTCGTATTCTTCATAGAAGAAGTAGGTGAATGGTACGACCAAGAGGCATAGTACAGCATCAAAACTGTAGAGCGTGTAGTACACAATCCTGAGCGTCAACAGTATATTATGTACTGCCTCGGGCGTTGCCCATTCCTTCTTTGCTCCTAGTTTCGTCGAATTTGTAGAGCTAACAAGTGCAATATCGACAGGCAGAAGCAATACCGTCGCAAGTAGGGAGGTCAACGTGATTATCGTTACGGTGGAGACCAAGGCGGATCGATCGCGAGGAGTTTGATATGTGTATGTGAAGATAGCTGAAATGAGCGCCACGAGTCCTACGGCGACTGCATATGCAACCCATATAAAGGCTGTCTGTATCAGCGCCATGTTGTCGAGCAATTCGACGAACGCTGGGTTCGAGATTTCGAAGGATGCGAACTGGCTAGGAATGCGTGGATTATTAGCTGCGCTCTATCGACAAGACGTTTGGGAGACTAATGTCTGTTGAAGATACTGACTGGATGAACTCTCGCTCGAATTATATATGAAGGTATTCAGTCAACCTTGTATGTTGGCTGGAGGGGGTTTCTGTAGGTTGTAAATTTACTTGTGACGTAGAGCTACGAGTGAGAAACAAGGCCAAGGTTCCGTTCCGATGGAGCTTGGAGGCGAGAGCTCCAGCACACTACTCTACCCCTGTCCGATCCTACCATGCGGGCATGCCGTGCCCTGTCCAAAATTCACGGGTGCGCTACTGAGTACTCAACTCAACATCAACAACCTCAATACTTTCCACATCCAGCCCATCTTTGACGCGACAATCCACGAGAGGACAATGCTTGCCATCCTAAGGCCTTCATAATGCAGTGCTATACGGAGCTGACACCTCCTACAGCTGTCACACACTCATTAAGCCTCCCTTTCGTATCCGCAGAATCGAATAACCTCGTTGTCGCAAAGACCTCCTTGCTCCAGATTTTCACCACTAAGGTCATATCGATTGAGGTCGAGGAGAAACCCGAAGAAGAAAGACTCAAGAAACAAACCGGGTTCGACAGAAAGGCCAACGACGATGACGGACTGGAGTCTTCATTCCTCGGCGTCGATTCGATTTTGCGCCCATCAGAGAGAGCGAACAAGACGAAGCTCGTACTCGTCGCCGAATACGCACTTTCCGGGGCCATTACCTCGCTGGCACGAATTAAGACCTTGTCTTCAAAGTCGGGGGGTGAAGCCCTGTTGATAGGCTTCAAAGATGCAAAGCTGAGTTTGGTAGAATGGGACCCGACTCGCCCGGGCATTTCTACGATATCAATACATTATTACGAGCAGGATGGACTTCAGGGAAGCCCATGGGCTACCAACCTTAGTGACTGTATCAATTACTTGTCTGCGGACCCTGGGAGTAGATGTGCCGCACTTAAATTCGGAGCACGACGTTTGGCTATCCTACCATTTAAACAAGGAGATGAAGATATCAACATGGATGATTGGGATGAAGAGCTGGATGGGCCACGACCAGTCGCACAAGTTTCGAATGTCACAAATGGGGATAGTAGCGATAGCGGAACTCCGTATGGTTCATCGTTCGTTCTTCACTTGCCATCTTTAGATCCAAACTTGATCCATCCTCTCCACCTTGCATTCCTCTACGAATATCGCGAACCGACATTTGGGATTCTTTCATCGACCGCGTTACCTTGTTCTGGCCTTTTACACGAAAGAAAAGACCATTTAAACTATATGGTGTTTACTCTTGATCTCCACCAGAAGGCGTCTACGACAATTCTATCAGTGGAAGGGCTACCATACGATTTGTTTATGATTGTCCCATTACCGATCCCTATCGGAGGCGCGCTTTTAGTTGGGAGTAACGAATTGATCCACATTGATCAAGGAGGCAAGGCCAATGGAGTTGCTGTCAACATGTTTGCAAGAAAGTCAACTTCGTTCGGTCTATCAAACCAAGCAGAACTTGAAATGAGGTTAGAAGGGTGTACAATTGAGCAGCTATCTATCCAAAATGGCGAGATGCTCATAATTCTCCACACAGGCGAACTAGCCATTTTAAGCTTTAAAATGGATGGAAGATCAGTATCTGGGCTAAGTGTCAGAAGGGTGGCAACTGAGTCAGGAGGCTCTGTCATTCCAGCAGGAGCTACAACCATAAGTTCCCTGGGACCAAATTCGTTGTTTGTTGGTAGTGAATGTGCAGACTCAGTGGTCCTCGGATGGAGCCGGAAATCTGGGCAACTATCACGCCGGAAACCTCGCCTAGACGTACCAGATGGAATGGATGATACTTTTCTTGACGAAGAGGACTTGGAAGACGATGATGCCGATGATGATTTATACGGCAATGGCCCCTCGACCACCCAAGCTGCGGCTGCTCCAATAGACACAAGCACCACTAAGGCTGGTGATTATGTCTTCCAAATCCATGATTCCTTGGTAAGCATTGCTCCAATAATAGACACAACCCTTGGGGAACCTGCATATCCTCCAGATGGGGATGAGAAACGCAATTCCGACGGCGTAAGAAGTGACCTGGAATTGGTTACTGCAGTAGGGAAAGGTGGCGGTGGGGCTTTGGCAGTCATAAATAAAAATATCCAACCGAAGGTTATTGGCAGGTTCGAATTTCCAGAAGCCCGAGGGATATGGACCCTGTGCGCAAAACGACCCGCTATCAAGGGTCTTCAAGTCACGAAAGAGAAGACGGAAGAGAGCGGGGATTACAGCGATGATGCACAATACGATAGACTCATGATAGTTTCCAAAGCGCTCCCTGATGAGACAGAAGTCTCAGATGTCTATGCACTAACGTCAGCTGGATTTGAAGCGCTGACAGGAACCGAGTTTGAGCCCGCAGCAGGATCGACAGTTGAAGCCGGAACGCTAGGCAATGGGATGCGTGTTATTCAAGTCCTGAAATCCGAAGTTCGAAGCTATGATGGAGGTGAGTTTCGCGCTTTTCCTTTCCCTCAGTTATCAAGTACATCGTATTGGAATAAGACCAGAAGGAGATTTTGTCGCAAGATCTTGCGGGTTTGTTTTGTGGGGTGCATTTTTGCTTTCCGGGGCGCTATCTGGGAATATATAATATCCTATAGCATCAATGAAAGCCGTTTACCAACATGCACCTGTGCCATCTGCTCCGCGAAATGTCATTTCTGCGCAATGCCGTGTATAAAACGCTGATAAAATTATATATAGATCTTGGGCTAGCTCAAATCCTACCAATGTTTGACGACGATACCGGAGCCGAGCCAAAAATTGTCAGCGCGAGCTTCGCGGATCCATTTTTGCTATTAGTTAGAGACGATGCTAGCATATTCGTTGCTCAGTGCGATGACAGTAACGAATTGGAGGAGGTTGAGCGAGAGGACGACAGCTTGCTTACCACGAAATGGCTTACTGGATGTTTGTATACGGATACCACAAATGCATTTACTATTGTCCAATCCGATAGGGGCAGCAAGCATGGAGAAAATGCCATGATGTTTCTGCTCAGTGCTGGTGGAGCTCTTCACGTTAGTTAAAAGCTTTCCATATGTTGAATCTGATGCTGATATATTTAGATATATGCCCTTCCAGACCTCTCAAAACCAGTCTACGTTGCAGAAGGCCTCTGTTTTGTACCACCAGTCCTGTCTGCCGACTATGCCGCCAGGAGATCAGCTGCTCGTGAAACCCTGGCCGAGATCATTGTGGCTGACCTTGGGGATGGTGTCTCGAAATCACCTTACCTCATTGTAAGTGTCAAATTCCCAGATTTCTGATCAATCGCTGACGCTTTTACAGTTACGTCCTTCCAGTGACGATCTCACCATATACGAGCCATTTCAAATCAAATCACTATCATCTTCGAACACATTATCATCGACCCTCCACTTTCTCAAGATCCATAATCCACATTTAGCCAATAATCCGGATGTTTCTGCTGAAGAGTTAGCAGAGGATGACATTTTATCGCGAGACGAACCAATGCGCGCAATTTCAGACTTAGGCGGATACAGCACGGTGTTCCTACCAGGTGGCTCGCCCAGCTTCGTCATCAAGAGCTCTAAGAGCTCACCGAAAGTACTAAGTCTCCAAGGGGCCGGTGTCAGAGGAATGAGCAGTTTCCATACAGCAGGTTGTGACAGAGGCTTCATCTACGCAGACATTGATGGCATTGCTCGGGTATCACAATTTCCCGCAGAAACGAGTTTCGCGGAAATAGGTGTATCACTGCGAAAGGCCCCCCTTGGTCTTGACGTCCATGCCGTCACATATCATCCTCCGATGGAGTGCTACGTTGTTGGCGCAAGCAGTCGGGTTGAATTTGAATTACCGAAAGATGACGACTACCGCCGGAATTGGCAGTTAGAAGACATCTCATTCAAGCCGACGATGGAAAAAGGCTTCTTGAAATTGGTTAATCCTATCAATTGGTCTGTGATTGACACAATTGAGATGGAGGCCTCTGAGATAATCATGTGCGTCAAGGTGCTGAATCTTGAAGTCTCCGAAGTCACCAACGAGAGAAGGCAGATGGTGACTGTTGGTACGGCGATTTCTAAGGGTGAAGACCTTGCTATCAAAGGGAGGCTCTACGTCTACGACATTGTCCATGTCATTCCAGAACCTGACAGACCAGAGACGAATAAGAGATTGAAGCTGGTTGCAAGGGAAGATATCCCTCGAGGAGCCATCACTGGCGTTTCTGAAATAGGAACGCAGGGTTTCATGCTCGTAGCGCAGGGGCAAAAGTGTATGGTTCGTGGTCTCAAGGAAGATGGGACTTTGCTTCCCGTGGCATTCATGGATATGAACTGCTATGTCACTGCTGTCAAGGAACTCCGTGGTACGGGGTTATGCGTTCTCGCTGATGCCGTCAAAGGCGTATGGTTTGTCGGCTACACCGAGGAGCCTTATAGGATGATGCTTTTTGGAAAGTCCCCAACTAACATGGAGATCATGACCGCTGACCTTCTTCCGGACGACAAAGATCTCTACATCGTGGCAGCGGACGCGGATTGCAATCTCCATATCATGCAATTCGATCCTGAGCGTAAGATTTCTGTTCTCACCCAATACTTACCTTGCTAATTCTTTCCTAGATCCCAAATCCCTCCATGGACACCTATTGCTACACCGCACAACCTTCTCCCTAGGTGGACACCTCCCAACAACCATGACTCTCCTTCCTCGTACCACCGCCGCAACCATGCTCCCACCATCACCCGACGCAATGGACATTGCCGCCGAAGCCACTATTCCATCTCAGCAACTCCTAATCACGTCCCACAGTGGACAAATCTCCCTCCTCTCCTCTCTCTCAGAAAATCAATATCGCCGCTTATCAACACTAGCAAGCCATCTCACCAATACGCTGTATCATGCATGCGGTCTTAACCCGAGGGCATATAGAGTTGACAAGGATGCCGCTGAAGGCATGGTGGGTGGCCGAACGGTCATCGATGGCGGTATGCTGCTCAGATGGATGGAATTAGGAAGCCAGAGACGAGCGGAGGTTGCGGGGAGAGTTGGCGTCGATGTGGAGGAGGTGAGGGAGGATCTGGTGGCGCTGACGGGTGGACTGGGGTATTTGTGATTGGTTTTGCTTGCGACGGAGTTCAGAACTTGTAAGATGATGGGTATTGGGAATATGACAAGCTTCAATCACGCCACCTTAGCAGTTTTCGAAATTCCCACTGTGAAAATATGACGTCGAAATAGAATCTTTAATCAACAAGATGGCAATGAGGGTCCTCAAGTGGGATATTTGCCTTGCAGCGTTTGTTTCAACAATCACCACAAGTAGTCAGCTCTCTCAATACCCTTATTTCCATATCATTGCTTCTTCCAAAGCTACCCTGCGTAAAGTTCATTGTTCGCGCAGCGCTTTGCGAGCCCAAAAAAAAAGAGGAAGAATGAGCGAGACTTGAATCCGAGGGGGGGGGTTTATACATACGCTAGTGCCGGTGGTTCCTTCCCCTTTTACGAGAAACGAGAGCGAGTTGCGAATATATGATGCAAGTGCTCATAAGCAGATAGGACTAGGAAGGTGCAATGCAAAGAAAAGTACGCGCACTTGCTCAAGTGCAGATCCTTTAGGTCGAGTTGATGACAGCTTATTCCTCAGTGGTGAGGCACGCATTTTTACATCGCTTCGTCCCTGTCGCAGCCGGCACAGAGGTTGAGGGAGGTGCGAAAGACGTGTTCTTCCGCAAGACTAGGTATACAATTATTTGTATATTGAGGCAGGCTTTAGAAGTGGTTTTTAATATCAGATTTTCGTATGATTAAGTTGAATCTTCATGTTTTCAAGCGCTAAATAAGGAGGACTGGTGTTACTGATCATAGTACTTGTATTACAATTCCCTGGCCCTGGTTCTCAACCCCCTCTGCCATGATGCAACAACGATGCCGCAACCTGTTAAGAAAAAAACAAATCTATCCATGTATACTCTCGTAGATCCTTTCATACCGACTAGTATCCGACAGAACCCTCCTCCCTAATCTTCGGTCAAGTCTATGACATTTGTACCATTCTCTTTGATGATGCGGTGTGGGTGATTGGAAGGGGAAAGGCCCGGAGGCTTCCTCATGCGAGGGATATTGGAAGTAAGTCTCTCGCGGGGGACGTAGCCCGGCTTCTTCACTCCAGTCCTCTTCGCAGTCGGAGATACGGATGGAGAGACTGGTTTGCGTCCGATTTTCTAAGAGGGTTAGTAAGTATTTCGAAGAGGGGCCGGGAACCACGCACTAACTTGTCCTTAAGGTCCTTAAGTAACTTCATCTGCTGCAGAGGAGACATGGAGTCTATATCAATCGATGTACGTTGCGGACTTGGTATTCCAAACATCGAGCGTCCCTCTTCGTCAACTTCTACAGGTTCCGGCTTGATCTCTTCCTGGACTTTTTCTGGTGTAGGGCTCGACATGGCTCGAATGAGTCGAAGACGCTCTTCTGCAAATTATTAGTACTGTACTAGTATGAAGCCCCGGTGCATTCTCCCATCTCATGGTCAGAGAATGCCAGGGAAATGCACCACAAATTCCGCAAGCAGACAAAAAAACCTTACCAGATGAGTAGAGAAATTTAAAGATCATGACGGGATATATGCCGATCTTCCGTAGGGTAACTACTGGAACAGGTCGGGCCTTCTCGACTTGTCCGTATCTGTTTAGTAGCGTGAGTCTACGAACTTATTATATGGCAGTGAGAGATCTTACCCGACAGTATGGATCGAATCCTGGCCTTTGACAAGTACCTCGTTGACAACTTTATCCTTGATATCATCACGAAAGTATTCGTTCACAACTTCTTCGCTGGGATTTGTTGGAATCGTTGCCTTAAAAACCCGTATAACGATCCCCGACTTTTCTAGATCCTCTTTGTTAAGACTTTGTATGCCATCGACCTCATCGGCTGCTTCATTCATTAGTCCGACAAGACTTAAGATTTAACCGATCTATGGAGTAGGTTGGCTTACTTGTAATAAGATTTGTAAATCGGAACGGCCTCATAACCGCTTCCTCTCCTCTGCCCATCTCTACCCCTCTTACAGTGCTCTCTAGATTCCTGCCCTTCTCCTCAAAGACTGATTTCCGGAAGAAGCGTCCTTGGATCGGCATTCCATCAATACTAATATCAATGAAGATGCCCTCAGTTCTCATTTCGAATTCAGGCTTAAGTGAGAGCTTTATCGAGAAGTCCTGGCCTACTTCGCTGATAATGTATGTGGCAGCCACAGTGCTCCGGGACTCCTCGATGGTCGGTCTGTACCTCGCATTGTCGTGCTCCTGAATGGCCTCTCCGTCATTTCTACAGATGGTTACTGCAAAGCCCGGAAGCGCATTATGGGCGACCATTGTCAATTATGGTTCTTCTGCCCTTAAGTTAGTTGTGTTGGCAAAGATGTATTAAATAGTTCGCAGAAGAATAATCAATGAGATATTAGCTTCAAGGCAAGGCAAGGCGAAGTGAATTGCCAGATGTCAGGGGCACGCATTTGAGGAGAGGAAGAAATAGCGGCTGAGGCAATCTGCACCTAATAGCGAGAATGGAATAAACTTACAAGAAATGGAGACTTATGGAGTTGAGGGGTTGCAAAGTTGCGGAGTTGGGACAAGCAAGCGTTGCAAGATGCGAGTTAGCGATGTTCACAAGGCGCGCGTCAGAGAATAAAAAAGAATTGCAAAGTCCAAAGAAGCTCTACCGTAATAAGAAACGGATTAGTTAAAGATCCAACTCAGGTGACTGGAGTAAGATAAATCTCCTAGGTAAATGTGAATAGAACTATACCAAGGAGTGAATGATGCCTAGGCGTTACAACCAAAACCAAATGATTATACCTTAGAGGGAAGGAGATCGAATACAAAAGATTTGAATTGTTTGGTATATATGCAGTTTATATCTGAAATATCTAATGTAGCAATAGTAAGCACGGCTTCTTTAAGAGCTAGCTAGCTAGCTAAGTCGACTACTTCTACCTAGACATTAATGCTGATGTGAATTGTAATGGGAAATGGGTCTTTGCTCCCTACACTTGAGCACTTAAGCACTTGAGTAGGAGAAGTTCCTTAATATCATGCACCATTTCTGACTGCTTAGAACCAGTCACCAGTGTCTTATCTCGAGCGAAAGGAGGCACTAGAAGCAAATTTAAACAATAGACAAGAAACCTGCAAATAATGCATCTGTGACTTGATCACACCCTGATTGTGCCAATAAGTGGTATCTCTTTCACGCTTGAATCCCCCGAAGCAAAAGTTTTTGCCTATTTCCCTGATATTATAGTACTGCCATAATGATACAAGCCATAACTCCAAATCAGATCATTTCCGCTCTAATGCTGCATTGAATCAATAAAATGGACGATCCCCTATGCTTATTGTCTAGTCATCCCTAGGACTCTAATCGTCTGTCAGGTCAATGAAGATCTTTTGTCCCGATCTCTTCTTTTTGCGCAAGCTCTCGCCATCTGCGCTGCCATCTCGTTCCCTCTTGATTGTTTGGTTTGAAGCATTAGAACCCTATTTAAGAATGTGATCAATTACGAGGAACCGCTTGTTGAGGCTGGCACATACAGTTAGGTCTTGAATAAAGCGTTCCAACTTCTTCTTCTGCTCAACGTTCAGGCTTTCGACAACATCTAGAGGATTTGCCGAGGCGCGGTCGGGCTCGGGCTCTGGAGAGGGCGTTCTTGGAAGAATGAGGAGAGACTTTAACGCAGTTCTACGAAGGGTTAAGTTTCAGCAGCATTGAATCCTTCTGGGACACCTACCGATCTCTGTAGATAAAGCGCCAGATTCCGATGGGGTTATTCCTACCATCCAACCATTTCAAAGATACGGTCTGTGATTCCTTGATGGCGGTTGATGGCCCCAAGCTAATTATCTATTAGCTGTCCATGTTTCCGGAAAGATAATGGTAGTTTTATATGCCTTACAGAGTGGTGTGAGATTTGGCATGGCCCTTCAATGCTTTCTCATGAACACTTGCCGCTTTCTGGGCTAGCAAGTTTTTACCTTTAGAGAAGCTCTCAGCCTTTGTCGCAGCTCCACCTCGGAAAATCTCGATCTGGATCTCTCCCGCGCTGCTAATACTTTGCGTATCATGTTTGATGTCCTTGACTTTGGCTTCATCGGTTGCTTGTATTTATTAGCGTGAAGGCATGCAGTCATTTGACAGGGAAGTTTTTATCACTTGTTTCGATTTTCGAGAACTTGTACTTTCTCGTATAGGCCTGGGTGTTTCTACCCGGTAGAGGTATGGTGACCCCTATGGATGCAATGGTTGCGGTCTTGAGCAAACGATTGGCAGCTCGAGGGAAGTTTTGTCTTGTCATCACAGGGCAGTCCATAAATTCTCCATCAATAGATATCCTCATAATCAGACATTCCGAGTCGAAGATGTAGGACGGCTTGACCTGCATTTTAATTGAATAACACTTCTCGGAGGCGGATTCAATGTACTTCGAGACGGTCTTCGCAGCTCTGCTCTCTCCAACATCACCGGGTCCAGGGATTTCCTGCTTCTCCTCCTCTTCATCGTCATCATATTCCTGGAGTTTCTCTGGCTCGTCTTCTATTTGGACAAAAACTTCAATGCCGGGAATACTGTCGAGGACGGCCATTGTATTGATGGTACGCTTGATCGCATTTATTGCGCAAGAGTTTGGGATCCGGCGGAAAGGTTTTAAGGGAATGACGGTCGTTGGTATGGTACGAATGTCACTTGAATTGAGACGTCAGAACAATACGATGAGAATTCGAGCGGCACTCGTGAGGTTCTACTGTACTTACCTGAGGAAAGAACGTCGAGGCGTGGTGGGCTGTTTTCATCTGGCTCTCGTTGGTGGACAGAAGCGCTTCAGCATCAAGTGCACTCGCACGTTTCAAGCAGTAAAACGTCTGCGTTAATTGCGCAATCAAAGCGCAGACTTTGAGTTTGTGATAAACTCAAATGCAAGCTGGTCGCGCCTGCCCTCGTATGTTCTTGACGCCAGATCACATAACACCATTCAATTCCTCCAAAACACTACCGGTATCAGTTGTCTCAGTTTCAGCTGGAGCACTTTTTTAAAAACTTCGACACAATACCGCGGCGCAAAGCCAAATATCAGTTTAATTTTGACGAGGCTATCGTAGGCAAGTCTGCTCAAGAGTTTCATAGACCGAAGGGGCGGTGATTGCATCAATTGCAGAAGAATGACTACAAGGAGTAATGAGGTGTATGATATCGAGGCTACAAGTGCTAATGGTCTGATTTGAATTTCATTGGGGCATCATGACACGTCGCTGCTTTGGTTTCTGTATTTCCGTTTACTTGGGAACATGTATGTTTCTAGTTTGCCTGCTGCTGGGGCACGAAAAGATCACTCAGACAAAGAGATGTAGTACACAAGAGATCAAGAGATGTTATTCTTTTGACGAGCTCGCACATTCAGAATGCACCTCTCCAGCGCATTTGGCACTATTTCGTGGAGGATATCCACATCCTCCACGCTCCCAATCTATCCATTTATCCCACCGACCCTGCCTAATCCCTTACCACTACATTCAATACAATACCCATTTCCACTTTTGATATCTCTCACTTCGTATTTATATTTTCTACACGCCTCAGCTTGCGTGATAGTCTCGATCCTGGTTTTGCAGGTAAAGCAGTTGAGCCGCCATCTCTTGCAGCCGCAGACACGATAACGGTATTGGACCATTTGACACATGCTCTAAGAATAGGTTTGGATGTAAGTGCTGGAGTTGGTTGAAGATTAATGAGCAAGATTGGAAAATTGAGGTGGTGGTATAGATAGCACTTGCTGGATATGATTCACAACGCTGAAACCACCGCTTCATCAAAGGCGCACGATAAAGAAAACAGCAAATTAGTGAACTAACTGGAAATATAGTGTAAATTGTGGACATCATATTTATCATACTAAATTCAGACGTGCCGCAGACATCCTTAACGCCAACTGCTCATGGGTATCAAACAAATTGCCGCCACTCCAAACGAACCCCGAAAACCAACGAGGAATTCACGAAGCCCTAAACCATACTAATGGAACGCCTTGATGCATCCCTTGTGCGCAGAATACCTCCTCCCGTGCGTGAAGAGACACCAGAACGCAGGCTCAACATGTGACCGTGGAAGCGTCTCCCCAATTCCAGCTCTTGATCATTCATACAGAGATACTGACATTCTTCCGGCTCTCCGCTTCATTTACATGGAAACCAAAGACGAGCTTGAACAGGTCTTTCAAAAAGGAATAACGTCCACTGCTGGTCATCCAAACCACGCTTTTAGCCACATCGACCGCGCTTGCCTTCTTCCCAATCGGTGGCAGCGACTTGGAATTCCGAAATGTGGAATCACTCAATACTAAATTCCGGTACGAATTCAGTAAAGCTGCATGAGCTGGGAGGGACCCAAAAGATCCTGTTGGCAACGATTTGATAAAGCTTTGGAGATCCGGCTGATTTGGCCTAGCCGTCGATGTAGTTCGCGAGTATCCGACATTCATTGCCTGTTCAAGGAGTTAGAGTGGGCTGCTTCTCAATGTTTTTGGGAGCAGAAAGTCGGCCGAGCTCTTGAGACAGGCCAAGAGCTCGCATTTATGTTCAATCCTTGGCTTACCATTTTTAGAACTAGCACTTTCAAACGAGTGAGATTCACGTCTTCTGTGCGGCCGGTAGTGACGGTGCTAGAAGATTGGTTGCTGTCTTGCGAATAGCTCGATAGCGAGGATGTTGCGCTCGACCATCGCGCATTTGCAGCCCTGTTCCCTTCCGTTCCAAGAACCAATATATTTGGGATGTTTGGAGAGTTCTCCTCTGGTGAGATAGGTGTGTCTTCGAATTCAGTGGTAGGTGTTTCCGGATTATATCGTGTTTGCGCATGTTCCGGGTGTTCAGGATTTTCGGGGAGGCTTGGTAGACTATTTGTTTTATGATGTGAAGAGCGACTCATTTGGTCCGAGGCTTGGGTGAATGTTGTTTGCGAGGGCCGTGGTGTCCCTCGTTCTGGCCGAACCTGAGTCCAACCTTCCCGAAACAGATCGCAAAGCTCCCAACACGCCTGAACGGCGGATCCAAGCAATTCTTCGTCCGCCGCTTTCTCTTCTCTCTTATTTTGACGCAGGCTGAAAAGCATTTCTGCTAATGACCAGCATGCTCGAAGAAGGGCATCCGTCTCTTCTGCAAGTTCGTTTCGCTGCTTCATCAGTCGATGGCACAGCGTAATGTAGAAGTCTAGAGTTCGTTCTCGGAAAGCTTCCGGAAGGGTACGATCATGCGTGTTATAGAGATGATTATTCAATTCAAAACTGACCCGTAGTACGGAATCAGCTACTTCGTCTTTCCGCTGCCTGACATCGAATAACGCTTGACAGAAGTCACGACAGAGATCAAGTGTTGGCCTGACATGAGTTTCATGGTCCTCATCACGACTGTCGTAAAGTTTCTGACATAACTTCCAGCAACATTTCCAGGCTTTTTCATGTGCGTCTCCAGTTCCAGAGTAACTGAAAATTCTCTCACGGTGTATAGAGCTCAGGCTTGCCAGGGTATTGCACAAAGTCCAGCATTCATGGAGAGCCGTCTTCAAGGCACTGACCTCCTCGTCGGTATTATGGACAGTCCGAGCATCAAATTCATCTTCTTCAATTTCCCGGTGATCCTCAGGAATCCCTGCAAACCATGAGTAATGGGAATCATCTGTGAGGTAAGGTGACACACCTTCAAGGCTATGTGCACTAGTCGACCGAGATTCTCCTTTTTTTTCAATGAATGCTTCCACTTCCTGGCGGGTCTGAGCACGAGGAGTTGCATTTTCCAGAGCAAATTGGCTGCGAGAGACATCCGTGGATATTGGGGGTGGTGAGATGGGAATTGATTGTGTGGTCTAATTTATTTAGCGTTATTTATTCCACGAAAAGGATAGCCTACCTTATCATTTGGTACAGACAAATCTACCCGGAGTATGGCTGGGATAGCTTCGTCTTCCTCATATGGTATGGGAGTTGACCTGTCGGCTGTTCTGGGTGGTTGAACGGGAACGGTTTCTTTGGTTGTAGCCTTGCGCAGCGCAGTCAGTCATCTATCATGATACTGAGCTCAGACCCAACTCACAAAGTCCCTAAAGCCTTCCGGCGCATGTATAACAGAGATGGATTCATCATCGATCGAGCTTCTAAAACGTTCTGGGATATTTGTACTGAGCCTCTTCAACTGTATGTCATCAGCGGTGTATGCTTATCTCGGCTGCGTAAATTACCGTAGCTTGTGAGTCCGCAGACCCAGGCATATTAGGTGGTGTAGGCCTTCCCTCCATCACGTCTTCTGCCACCTCATCTTCAATCTCAGTTGTCTCTGTGCCATTCGAAGTTACTGGCGACGGTCCCACCATATCGCTGGGACTAGTCATCAGTGCACTGCTGGGAGAAAGTCCGACGTCAATGGGCTTGGGGTGAAGGCTTGCGGATTCTACCGAGCTCCGCGCAGACCTAATACCAAAGTATTAGCTTGTGTAATATCCACCCTAGAGCTCGTAATATACATACAAGGACTGGAAACGCGGGGAGTTTGTTTGTGCGGGCGAGTTTGGAGACATTGAGAAGTCTGTATAGGGAGAGAAGGGGGACATGATATTTCCAGATGAGTGCACAAGAGGACTCTCCAATGCCATTGTTGAAGTAAGGCTCATATGCGGCAGTTCTCAAATGAACATGAGGAGCTTGCGAGATGTTTAAGAAGACAAAAGATGACAGCGATTTCCTGGCCAAGTGGCGGGCAGGGCTCTAAATGTTGGTGTGGCTCAGAACCGTCAAGGCTGAATGTAGCTTTCGGAATCAGCACTGGAAGCTCTCTAGCTAGCCGGTAGCTGTAGCAGGCCAGTAGAAGAATGGGAGAGCCTTGAAAATTACGTTTATCACCTGGCAATTCTGCCTACGTATACAATTGAGGGAAACACCGCGAGTATTTTGTTCTAAGAATCCGAGGTGCATTGCGCGGGAATGGTTGTTGTAGTTAATACAGGCCCGCATCTGCAGGAGCTGTGCCGTAGTCGCACATGCCCCTAGGAGAGAATAATCGACGTTTGTAGGCTGAGATAATGCCGGTGGGGCAGTGGTCTGGGTGTCTGGAGCTTGGCTTGGTAAACTGGAGGGAGTGGGAGTGGGCTTGGAGACGGACGTGCTCTGATAGTGGAGTGAAGCAATCGAATGGCAGACGCGGTAGAGGACTTTGGCCTCAAGCTGGCATGGGCCTAGAGAAAGGCAGTTGGGGGGTGGTCATGCAGCAGGATTTAAAGTCAACCAACCAGGGCCGCAGATGCGCGTCTTAAGATCGCAGGAGGGTGCATAAGTGCAGGTATGCTGGCGCTTAACTTAGCACGGGCTCGCACCGCGATACTCCACGACCTTCATCGTCGATACTGTATCTTCATCCCACCCGAAAGGTTGAAACAAAACACGGCTCGGAGTTCCTAAGACGGAAATGATGGTTGAACTGGCTGAACATTCTGACTTACACGAGCCAGTAGACATAATCAGCCAGCAAAAACAATCATACCTACGAGTATATTCCAACACTTTCACCGCGGGATGGGCCGTTTTGGTACCTTGCCAGTGAGACCCAAAGTTTCTTTGATTTTTCGGGAACGAGGGGAAGCCTCAAAGGAACGAATTAAGCACTAGCCGACCCGACCATCCGGCCCCATTGCGTTGGGTCTGCTTCGGGGATCAACAGAAGAGATCTACGTCTTGACGTCTACGGAGGTCCCTCATATGGCCGCCCGCATCGTTGTTCCAGTTCTAAGGTACTCTTATTTAGGATGAAGCTGCAGTAAGCAGTGCCACGATGCTCTATTCAAGTGGAATGATGAATACAACACTCGGTGAAGAAGTTGACACATAGCACATTAAAACTCAGTAGCCCCCAACATTTAGTTCCAACATTTAGCTCAAAGTAAGCATGTCTGATTCGTAGACGCGAAACCGAGGCATTGGTTTCAAGCATACCGCATTTATTGATTTGCATCCCTCAAACTTTTCCTTCTGGGTGGACGTCTATCAAGAAGATCATGATAATGAGCTATGGAGAATTCTCCTGTAGCTATTGATCCAAGTTTCTTACACATGTTCAGATAGTTCTGTCCCCCTTGAATAGAAGTTCAAAGTCCAAGTCAAGAAGAGTACTTTCCAAAAGCTAAGATATACACAAGGGACGCAGCTTTCTGTGCGAAACTCCATGCAGTGAAAACGCTGTGCCGCTACTAAGTTAGTAGCCTTTTACAAACCCCTCTCCGCGCTTGCATAGGCGCTGGGGTGGAGAGTTTGGGTATGAGACTTAGAAGCAAACGAATTGGCTCCGATGTTGATGCAAATTCCACTTTCCTAAATCAACCTCACCGAAAGTTTCAAGCCCAATGGCTTGCTCAAATTAGTGGATGCAACCAACATATGCGTTGGCAATGCGAGTGAACGGCACAGATAGGAGGAAAGTCTATGTATGGGAAGATTAGAACGGTGGAGATTCGCGCGTTTCCAGCGGTTTGGGTCAGCCCTATACCGCGTGTCAGTTGCAAGATACCAATTGCAGTCGGTGTGTAAAGTGGCTGGCACACGTGGGAAAAGTGGAAAGAGGAAAGAAGAATGCGTAATGACAGCAGTGGAAGTTGTCTTTCTACATCCATTCCGCGCCTGTATTCCTTGGATATCCCACAAGCATCCGCAAGAGCTGCCAACACATATTCTAACCTGTGGTGCAGTATTGGCAATCACATAAAATCGGCTTGATATTGGAAATCTAGTGGTTTTATGACCAAGCCTCCCCAATCCTTTAACGCCTTCATTTACGCCAGTCATGCAACCGCTGATATTTTCCATTTTTCCATTCAACGCCTGAGCATCATCCTTAGACCCTTCTATTAACCCATGGCCGCCTTCTTTGCATCTCGTTCTGCTGGGTTGTACCTTCAAAACGGTCAGCCCAATGTCCAATAAATGTATAGTCAAGGCGAGAAAAAGATGGATGATGTGTAGTAAAAGGACTAACTTGAGGAGTTTCTCGATCAAGTCAACGTGTGTCATGATCATGCGGCGGCAGCAGTATCGTTTGCAGCCAAGTTGGTCCATGGCATCTCTGCGAGGATATCAGCACCATTATATACTTGACAGAAGCTGAAATTGAACTGACCCATCTGTAATCCCCTCGTCGATGAGTTTCAAGTACCGTTCCCATAGGTCACCAATAACCTGAGATCATATCAGTAAAGCTCAGAAGCTTTGCGCCCAGGGGAGGGGCAATACCTTTCCGCAGGAGAAACAGCGCACAGGAATAATCATTGTGAGATTCTTGCGGTTGAAGGCGTATTACAATTCGCAGATAGACGCTGAGAGACGCTGAGCGGGAAAAATGTGCAGGGCTGTCAAAATGTTGTAAAGGTTGTCGCATGTGGTTGCTTTTAAGGTTGAAGTTCGTCGAAGAAAATCGGCGCTAAAAATTTAAATTCACTTTTTTTTCCCAGCCTTGTTCACCGATAGCAAACAATCTACAGGTTCTCCACGTCGAACCTCACAGACCTCTGACAACACAATGGCTTCTGTTTTGAAGCGCAAGAGAGGTCCAGTGCAGGTCCTGGATACCCCCAAACGATCAAAATCTGTGAAAAGCGAGACGCCCCAATCTCTGCAAAATTTCAACTCACAGAATGTGGGCTGGGAAGCGGCATTCGGTGCCCCGCCGAAAATAAAAGATTTGGTTAAAAAGAACGGAATCAATGGGGATATGAGTGATTCGGAAGAAGAATCGGCTGCATCAGAAGCTTTGGATTTCGACGCTCTACATGAGGAGGACTTTTTGGCGAATGGCCTCGATACAACGACTAGGAAGCGTGCATTGAAAGGGCAAGATCACTTGAAGACATGGAAATTGTCTGAATCGATAGGGGGGCGTATGATCAATGCCGATCCAGCTTTTACAGCCGACGAAAAGTACACATAATACCCACCATCTTATCTCTGGAATGTTACTAAATCTCACAGACATATTATCGTTGCAAGCCGTACCACCGTCCACATCTATTCAACCTCAACCTCTCTCCTCGCCCGCTCAATAAAACTTAAGATCGAAGATAACAGGCCTAATGCCCGGATCTCCACTTACTGCTTGTCGCCTACCCAGCCGGAAATCGTTTGGGTGGCTTGCTCAGATGGCCATATTTATAGCGTCAACTGGACTTCAGGGGCTGGCGCGACACAATGGTGGGCGACATCCTCTACAGGATGCGATTATATGACGGTAGCATCCATGGAATCTGCAGGGCGAAGAAGAGATGTCGTCTTCACAACCGAAAAGCGGAAAGATGAAGGTTGGCGGGTCACAGCACATGAATTGGCACCCCCGGACGGGGAAATCAAGATAGCTGCTAGGACCATATACACCTCTAACGATCAAATTACCTTTCTTACAACAGCTAAGGAAGGTACTGTTGTGGTTGGCGCTGCCGGGAAGAAGCTCCTTCTCGGCCGCCTGAGATCTACAGAGTACGACACTGTGGACAAGATTAAATTCGAGTTTCGAGTTTTTGAGACTACCGATAGGATATCGTCCCTAGATGTAAGAACCTCTGAAAGGACTGGCACGGAAGCTCTCAAGAAATCGATCCTAAAGAAAATACCTATTGTGGATCTGGTCATTGGAGATGTTAGGGGCGCTATCTTCGTGCACAACGACTTATTGGCGAATCTCATTCGAGCGCAGGACGGAACACTTCCAAAGGGGATTAGTCTGACACCCAGAAAACTGCATTGGCACCGGCAAGAAGTGCAGACTGTCAAGTGGTCTTTAGATGGTAAGGTTTTCGTGGTCCCTCCAAACTAAAACGTGGCTGATAGAATTGTAGGCAATTATGTTATCTCTGGTGGCACCGAGACGGTTCTTGTGCTTTGGCAACTTGATACTGGAAAGCAGCAGTTTCTTCCTCACATGTCAGCCACCATTCAGAACGTTGTGGTTGCACCTTCAGGGTCATCTTATGGTATCCAGCTTGCCGATAATTCAGCCTTGATTTTGTCTACCGCAGAACTACAACCAACGACAAATATTGCAGGAATACAAGCGAGTGTCCTTGGGACTCCCGAAGATTCCAAAGTTTGGAGGCTTCAAGACGAGACTTGGAAACCCCCTCTAATTCAACGCACTCCTGCTGTCATCAACCCTCGTTCGCCTTCTCAATTACTCCTTGCAGTAGGACAGATGCACGAGGTAAATCCTCGAGAACCTCTTGTAATGAGCTCTCCTTTCTTGCAAACTTTTGACCTTGGATCTGGTCACAATCTATACCGCCAAGCTTTGACAAGAACGAATATCACCAACGTCAATGCTGCCCCGAGTGCTCATCGACTGTCGGAACCGAGAGTTACCCACATGAAAATATCTTATGACGGTACCTGGCTTGCAACTGTTGACGAATGGACTCCCCCGGAGCATGATCTAGCTTTTCTAGGCCACCAAGAGAAAGACCTTGAAGTTGAAAGAAGAGCTCGGCGCGAAGTCTTCCTCAAATTCTGGCAGTGGAGCTCTGAAAACAAGGCATGGGAGCTAGTATCCCGAATCGATACCCCTCATACTCTCGGTCAGAGCTCCTCTTTTGCTGGCAGAATCTTAGACATCACTGCGGACCCCACGTCATTACGATTCTCTACGGTTGGTGAGGATGGGGTCGTCTGTGTCTGGTCGACAAAAACCAGAAAACGAGACAATGTTCTCGTCCGAGACAAGGATGGCAAAGCGTTTCGCAATTGGCACTGCCAGAAAGCTATTTCTCTTGGGAAATCCGAGCTTTTGGATGAGCCCGGTAGTTTAGATTCACCTTTGACAAGTGGCGGCGTTGCGTTCTCTGAAGATGGTTCGGTTTTGGCTGCAGCGTGTACCAGCCGTAATGGGGTACTGCATCTCGTGGATCCGGAGTCTGGAATTATTCGGATGTCTCAGAGTGGCTTATTCGAGGGAAACATTGTCAAACTTGATTTCCTCGGTCAAGACCTCATCACTCTGTCAGACAAGCTTCTCATATACGACTTGGTCTCGAATGAGACAAGGTTCGGCATCACTCTGCGCCGCGAACTTACCGAGCTGTCCATGGAACAAAAGCAACAAATGATGCACTTGGCAGTGGACCAAAGGAGTCGGACTTTTTCAATTGCATTGCCTATCAAGGCGTGGAGCAATGAGAAAGCAAATTCTCTCCAACATCGGCATTCTGAACTATTTGTTTTCCATCAAGACAAGGCGCGGCCGCAGTTGAAGGATATCTTTCCATCAATTGTTACGGCTCTTTTGCCTGCTATCGATTCGGAGGGATATATTGTCCTCGATGCCACTGCCGAAATCCGAACAGTCCATAAAAAGGGAAGCCAAGTGCTCACCACATTGGCCCAATCAACTTCAGCTCTTAACTTAGATAATGAGCCACAAGAATCTGAAGGACTCTTGCGCCTTGTTAACGATGTGGAAGAGGCCGAAGAGATGGATGAAGACCAATTACCGCCGCCGGCAGCAACCCAAGATGGGAATGAGGACGACGATGGGGATGAAACCCCCGTGGTGACACAACAACAACTCTCAGAAGTCTTCGACATTGGGCCGTCCTTTGCCTTGCCGCCATTGGAGGAAATGTTTTACCAAGTTGCTGGTCTGTTCTCAAGCAAGCCGCTTGTGAATGTTCTTGGGGGTGTCTAATGGCTTGCATGGCGGTCGGATTTTGTAGCATTTGCAGCGTATAGGGGCTTTGTACAGGATGTACAAAGCATCAAAAAGCTATTACCGTATTTATACCACCATACCTGGCTTTATATTCGACGTGTCAATCACGTGAAATGCCTGTAGTCGTGAAGTGGGGTAGCGGGGAAGCTCGCTATGGCGCAATATTTCTTTCTTCTTCAAAGCTCAAGTTCTACGTTATTCTGATACCTCCCATTCCAGCACTTCAAGATGTCTTTCGACTCCATACCCATATTAGATCTCTCCTTAGCCAAGGACCCAGCCACAAAGCCCGAGTTCCTAAATCAGCTCCGACACGCTCTCCTCGAAGTGGGCTTCTTGTACCTCAAAAATGTAGGAATATCAGAAGAGCTCACACAAGCTGTCATCAAGGAGGGAGTTTCCTTCTTCGATTTACCCATGGAAGAAAAGTGCATCAATTCTATCCCCATGCCAAAACCCAAGGGCTAACATCCCAGACTCAAAGTCGAAATGAAGAACGCGCCATCATTCCTGGGCTACTCACGTCTCGATGCAGAAATAACGGCACATACAATCGACCATAGAGAGCAAATTGATCTCTCGACCGATCATGCAGTTCGTACCCCTTCTCAGCCACTGTACAGAAATCTCTTTGCACCTACACAATGGCCATCCGCTTCATACATGCCGAATTTCAAGCCTGTCTTCAGCGAATACATAACGCAGATGGGAGCAATATCTATCTTCTTCACGTCCCTGATTGCTGAAGCTATCGGGCTGAAGCCAAACGCGTTCAACAAGTATTTCGATGCGGACCAGCAGCATAAGTTGAAGATTGTGAAGTATCCCGATTTGAAGGAGTTGGGGCTGGAAGGTGTGCAGGGGCAAGGAGTTGGACCTCATAAAGATAGCATGTTTACGTCTTACCTGCTGCAGGTCACGAAGCATAGGGGTCTACAGGTGCAGAATTTGAGTGGTGAGTGGATTGATTGTCCGCCGATTGATGGTACGCTTGTGGTTGCTGTTGGACAGGGAATGGAGGCTCTAACGCAAGGCGTGTGCATGAGTACTACTCATAGAGTGTTGTCTCCCGCTCGGGGGTCAGGGGCTAGGTTCAGCGTTCCTTTTTTTCAGGGCGTTAGTTTGGATGCGGAGTTTGAGGAGCTGAATGATCTTGATGGGGGGAGGGGGGTGTTGGGAGGGTGCCGGAGGAGGTCAGGGAGATGAGGAGGAGGGTTGTGGCGAGGAATGGGGGACGGCTGGATGATGTTGAGTTTACGTTTAGTGGTGGAAGGGGAGCGAGAACGCTGGGCGAGGCAACGTTAAAGAATCGTATTAAGAGCCATCCGGATGTTGGAGAAAGGTGGTATCCGGACATCCTAGCTGAGATTAGAGCGCAACAGGAGAGGGAGAAAGAGGATGCGGAAAAAAAGGTAGCCTTTGTGACAAGCCCTGCTCACAGTGGTACACCAGTTTCAGGAGAATTAGGAAAGGCTGTAGAAGCGCACTGAATTCTATGACAATGTATCAGAGACACATTATGCTCGTGTCTATGATGCGAAATCCCAATACGCCATTCGCTACTAAAAGAACAGCATCTAGATCATCGCTCGTATTATCATGACTTCTCACCTTGAAAGAAACATCAACTCTCAATCCTTTGTACAGACCTTTGTCTTCTCCCCGTCACCAGTGTACAGAAAACCCAACTCCAACTTGACCCCGTGTGCAGCGTTCATTTCGCAGGTACGACGAAAGTTGGGAAGCAATCAGCGAGAGTCTTGCTGTGCTTGTTCGTAGCATGTTCGGTGAGGCTGTCGCATTGTCAGCATGAGCGTTTGTAAAAAAAATTGTGGAGGAACTTACGCCGGGGCACGGGTGGTCTTCAAGAACGTGGACTTGCAGGTGACGCACTGGATATCCATAGCCTGCTCGTTGGCCTTGAGTTGCGACTTTGCGACTTTGGTGTCCTTGTCCTTGCGATCACGCTTGGAGGCTGCCTTGGCTCCCTGTTGCGCCGTGGTTAGCAGTGTGTTTGTAGTTTGCAAAGATGATACAAATTTCTTACGTTTCCCATCTTTGCGGTATTTTCTGTGGATTTGCGGAAGATGTGCAGATGTATACGATCTACTGTATTTGCTGGCTGGGTAGGCTTGCTGGTGAGGGATTTTGAAGTGGATGGAAATTGTTTCCGGTGTAAAACTTTTGGGCCGTGCCAAAAATCCAGACCCCATCCCACTAAATTAGCGTGAAACCCCTGCTTATATTCCCTTTATCTTTCCGTATATACCTAGTTAGCGCCGCTGATTTAGCAACATTTACCCAGGCCAGGTGATTTTATAATACGCGTATCCTCGTCTTTCCAACCTTCATGATTGTTACAAAAGCCAACATCTTTCAGAAGCGCATCTAACGCGTTTCAAAAACTTACAAATGCTCCGAACAATTTTTGGAAAGAAAGACCCGGAAGACGCGCAAACCGAGTCGACCACAATGGCCTCTTCCATCACCATCTCTGATTTCAAGGACGCGTTGAGCAGGTATCCGGTGGTGCTCAAGGCACGAAATGCAAACGGTATGATATCGAATCTTCAAGCTAAAGTCTGCGATCTAGAATCTGACGCGTTTATAGCTAGACCAGATGCAATTCCCATCGAGGAGCTCGACAGGTACCGCTATGTCGAAGCCCCGGCTCGGTTTTCCAAGAATACTGGCGCAACCATGAAATTGGAAGACGTTCAGAAGCTTCTCCAGTGGAAGCTGTAAGTGGCGCCCAAAACTATATCTCCCTTCGTCGTTCCTTGAATTACAACAATTTTTGGCGCATACGAATTTGCTGGCGATCCGAGGGATCGGTCGTTGATTGAGTAATCTGTTTTCATCACGCCTCTCTTTTACTCAGAAGTTGAGACATTGAAAAACGTTATATACTAAAACATCCATAGACGTCATGGTACCTTCCGACCCTCTCTTACTCAGCAAGTTGCTTCCAACTCCGATGAGAAGGTAGAGGAAGCTACCAAAGATGCATTTTCCCACTATGCTAGCAATCCCGACGACATCAAGAGTGTCATTGAGAAATTGAACGCGCCTCTCAAGGGAATCGGTCCTGCTACGGCATCTTTGCTCCTTGCAGTCCATGATCCCGACAATGTGGTTTTCTTCAGCGACGAGCTCTATAGGTGGCTTGTTGCTGATGGCAAGAGCGTTCAACCAAAGTATAAAATTGCCGAATTCGAGGAGCTCTTCTCTAAGGCCAAAGCTCTGAAAACCAGGCTCAATGTCAGCCCCATTGACATTGAGAAGGCCGCCTTTGTCCTCATCAAGGAGAATGAACCTGTTGCAGAAAAGAAGGTACCTAGCGGTAGGGGAAGGGGCCGACCAAAGCTGCCTGAGGATCAAAAGAAGCCGAAGAAGGAGGTCGTTCCTGGCCGTGGCCGTGGCAGACCTCCTAAGGACGGTGTGGCCGCAAAGCCTAAAGTTGTTACTTCTGGAGGCAAGAGGGGACGACCTGCTAAAGCTGCCAAGACTGAGGAGGTGGACGCCGAAGAGGGAGCCAGGACTCCTGCTTCAGATAAGAAGCGTAAGGCGAATGATGATGGAAATGATAGCACTCCCAAGAAGCGCGGAAGGAAGCCGAAGGCTTGAATGATGATCCACTAAATGGCGTATTATGGTTCGGGAAGGTTATGGCTCAATTGACAGCGTTTTGCGATTTCGGTTTGGCTTGTATTGTGCTTTGGGTGCTTTGGGTGCTTTGGAAAAGGGGTGGTTGTATATGTATGTGTATTACTGAATGGCAAAGGATGAATTACAAACTAGCACCTGCAACTGACTGGGAACTTCGATGTCTGACTTGTAAGGCAGCACTAGGAAGGGTGACTAGCTACCTACCTATATCCTATACCAGTTAACGCAAAGTTCGGCTCCTGAGTTTCTGAGAGTTGTGACTTCCAAATGAGGTAAGAATCGGAATGGAATGGCTAAATCGGGGGAAGACTCAGGAGACTCCAAGCCTTGACGCTAAACTGACCGTGGGGAAATATTTCGGGGGTAAGTATTGCGAATTGTGGAGATGCGGAGGGAAACTCTGCCGAAAATCAGCTACTTACCAAATTATCGAGCTCTTTCTCCGAGAAGCTTCAGCTCTCCTTCGAAACTTAGCGGGGGATTGGACGAGACCGAAGTTTATAAGAATGCCTCAGTTCTCTTTTCTTCTTGCCACTTTTCTCTACTCACTACACTTCCGCTTCAATTCAGTATCAGAGCCGCCATGATACTTTCCATCCTTCGTGCTGGTGGTGCCCAACGCGGGGTAAATCCCCTTAAATTCTCACGAACCATCACAACAGCAACACAGACACAGACACAGACATCCGCTTCACGAGGCCGAGGCCCTCGAAAAGAAGGCGATATCTCCTCCGTCTTCGCATCCCTTTCCGGCACCGAAGCCATTCCCTTACCCGCTCGTTTCGCATCCATAAAACAATCCCTCCTGCTCCCCCACGCCCCCGCCATCGTCGCCTCATGGTCTCGTCTCCTCTCCTCCCTGCGCTTGGAAATCAACGAAATAGCAACAGCGGGCTCAGATATAATTCCTTCCATTGACTTCGAAGAAATCCACAATCACTCCCGTGTCCAACCCTTTGCCAATTCCCTATGTAAGCGTGGCGTAGCTATCTTAAGAGGGGTTGTGCAAGAGGAACAGGCGCTGGGATGGAAGAGCGAGATTAAAGATTACTTGATCGCGAATCCGCAGACAAAAGCATTTCCCAAAGATAACGCGGCTGTTTTTGAACTTTATTGGAGTCCGGGCCAAATCAAGGCACGGGCGAATGCCAATGTGATTGAGACGCAGAGGTTTCTCATGAGTTTTTGGCACTCATCTGATCCTAATGCGGCGGTTTGGACAGACAAGCCAGTCTCTTATGCGGATCGGTTGAGGATTCGACAGCCTGGTGATGCTGGCTTTGCGCTTGGAGCGCATGTTGATGGAGGGAGTGTAGAGAGATGGGAGGCGGATGGATACGGGAAGGGACATGTGTATGACAAGGTGTTTGAGGGGAGGTGGGAGGAGTTTGATCCGTGGGAGAGTAGTGGGCGGCTTCAGGCGGAGAGCGATCTGTATAACGGTGCTGGGGCATGCTCGATGTTCCGAATGTTCCAGGGCTGGTTGAGTATGAGCAATACTAGGCCTGGGGAGGGGACTTTGCTTGTGAACCCGTTGTTCAAACTTGCTACCGCTTACTATCTCTTGCGTCCATTCTTCTCGCCAAAAAATGCAAATAGGGAGGCGAGTGGATTTTTGGATGAGAAGAATTGGGAGCTAGATATTGAGCAGAGCTCAGTGCTACAAGGCGCTAGTTTGGGATGCACATTGGAATTGAATGATGCTCTACATCCTCACCTTGAGCTCAGCAAATCTATGATACACGTTCCCGAGGTTAGGCCAGGAGATTATGTAGCCTGGCATTGCGACTCACTCCACGCTGTGGATAAGATGCATGCCGGAAAGGGAGATAGCAGTGTTCTCTATATCCCCGCTTGTCCTTTGACCGAGACCAATGCTGAATACCTGGTCAGACAGAGGGAAGCGTTCTTGAATGGAACTCCGGGTCCAGATTTTCCTGGCGGGATTGGTGAGAGCGAGCACACTGGGCGAATGACGAGAAAAGACGTTGAGATTGCCGGAGGAAAGCAGGCATTGATTGCTATGGGACTTGGACCTTGGGAGACGGGATCGAAAAAGGAAGAGGAACTGATGAAAATGGTAACATCTAAGTGATTTGATTTATAAATGCCTGCCACGCAATACCCAATTCAGAGTCATTGAAACCGTACATACGGATCTGGGTCTGAGGTCTAGTTCTGACTCGCCCATTTTCAAATGCGGATGAAAGTTAAGATATTCTAGCATTGTCACTCTATTCGCAACGCCTGTCTTTGAGGGATGTTATGTATAATATCGCAGCCGCCCTTTGAACGCCATAACATATACATCCTAACGGTATAGTATCTCCACATCCCCCTTTTGAAATTGCCTCAGCTGTTCCATAATCTTCGCATCCCCCATATTTTGTTCCACAGTAATCTGATCAAAGCAATGCCGTCCATCTATATACTTCTGCAACACATCTCCCCTGTCAATCTTTGCAGATTGCCCGGTGACAAGTGAAGCAAGATACTGCGACGATACGGCATACTTGTTGACCCGATATATCAAGCCTTTAATGACGCCGAACTGAATGAGACGACGAACATCTACATAGTTCAATACCGGGAAGTTCTGGTCCAAGTGTAGCTTAATCCACTCCTTGAGAGTACGAGACGTACACAGACTGGTGAAGAGTCTGCAGAGGTAGAAGTTAGATAGTCTAGGCCCGTTGATGTAGACGTAGTTAGCACATTCGTCTTGCATGCCGTCTTTGTCGGAAACAAAATCGTTGATGCTGGGTGTTGGAGCGTAGATGTTGCCGAAGAGGAAGAGATCGATCATGAGGATGGAATCGTAGTACAAGAGATGCTGCAGGGCGATTTTGGTGAGATCGAGAGCGACATCAGCGTCGTGGGCGATACGACGCACATCTTTGATGCCATCGATTTCTTTGATCACTTTCTTCATGGTGAGATCCCAGGTGTCGTCTATGATTTCCGCGAATTTCATCTTGGCGATGGGGACGTGCCATGACTTGACGGGTGGTGGGTGTTTGTAGATGGGGAAGAGCTTCATGTTGATGGTGGTAGCGTCATCTGGCGGCGTCAGGGGTGTCATGTGAAATGGTTTCTGGAAGACTTACCAACTGGGATCATGCACTCGTTGTAATTATTCAAGTCCTCCTTGATAATCTCAAGTAGCGCCGCAATAGACCTTCGATCTTGAGACTTCGATCCACCCTCCAGGCTCAAGTACTGATTCTGAATCTCCATCTCCGTGAACGTACTCGCCAAGCGTCTGACAACCGCCTCGTACGGTATCTTGTCCACCCCAACGCCAATAACAATGCAGAAGTTAAACATGAACTCATTTCGTTCGTACTTCTCGTCCTGGATACAGACCGGATGTCCAAGGATGCGGTATCTGTCATCGGGGTCACAGATGGTGACATAGCGATTGCAGAATGCTTGTCTTGGAATGATGTACTCGGCCATAGTCTCAAAATCAAAGAGACGAGGCTTGTCTACACCAGGTTCCGAGACAATGCATCCTGGCGGGCTTTGGTGGACCACCCTGGTACCTGCAGAAATGTCAGGTGCGTCCTTACTATGAATTGGAAGGATTAAGAAGAGTGGCCAGAAAGGGCTTTTGATAGATCTTTCGGTCTTGAGCATCTGGAATCTTTTTATAGAAGAATAGGGGTATAGATCTGATAGATGAAGAATATACATACCCTGCTGCGGAAGAAAGCGCGCAAAGAAGATGCCTTGGATCATTGTTTTGAAACCTCGGGAACGTGAAGTATATAAACCTCTCTCGAACTCATCACCGGGCTCCTTTCCCAAACATCCCTAAATCATGTTAATAATATATTTTGTGGTTAAATAATAATCCAAAAAGCTTGAGAAGACATGGATGTGGAGGATGTGGATGTGGATATGACTTGCGCGATGCAACGCAACAGAAGAAACCGGGGGTGGGGAAAGATCTGCTCGTTTGATTGGCTCAACTTACCGAATGTCCATCGAAAATCTTTCTCCTGGCATTTGACGACATCTTTCTCACCTACCTCCAAACCGTCGTTTTTTTTTTTGTAAATTCTGGGGTGTCTGGGGAAGCTTCAAGGACGTGCCTGGCCCAGCTGGTTGCCATGGACTGACTCGTAAACGATATCAAGGGCGGACTGCCATTGCAATTGCTTCATTCTCCGTGTATGTCATGTGACTCATAATGCCATCTTTATTTGAGCTTCACCAGTGACTAATATACTTGCAGTTGTAGTCTTTGTATTTATTGCCTATAATCAGCAGAAGAACCAATAGGTAGTGGCCATATGTCGCAATCGACGTAAATTGTCACCATCTCTTGCAGTCAATTTGAGCCCACACAAGCTACCCTAAACAATTTTCATATCTCGCTACTCAGGACCATAAAACCTTCACTATGGGCTCTCAAAGTATTAACGGTCATTGTCTATCCCCAAAGCATTTATATTTTGTCTAACGTTCTATAGCCCTCGACTTCCCTCGTCTTCGCGATGAGCCGTCATTCGATGAAATGCTGGGGCTTCTCTCTGCTCTTGAGCTCAAACCTTCCTCTTGGAATGACCAGTCTTCGACGACGTTGGAAGATACACCTGGACTTTCAGGCTACTTGACCTCGATACTGAAGAACTCGTTTGGTTGGTTGGATGACTCTGTCGATCCGGACGGCGAGAAGAAGGAGATGCTATGGGACTTGGCGAGTAAACGCATATCTGAGCGTTGCGGAAGAACAGGTACGCAGGTTTATCCACATGCGTTACGTTTTGAGAAACTCGGCTAAGAGAACTCTATAGCAATGGGAGAAATATCTCGCACATGGGATCTTCTAGCATCTACGGCCCACCCAGCCCTCAGTATTCAAATTCGAGAACCGCCACTGGTAGGTTGATCTTTCTGGAGAATCATCTGATGCCATTAAAAGCTGACTAGAAAGGTCGGTGACTCTCTCGGATTCAAAACCTGGGGTACAGCATGGGCAATTGCGCAGAAGCTAGACGAGTTCGGTCAGACGCACTTCCAACACCTTCTTGGAAACAGCAACATATTTACCACGGCATCTGGTGAAATCATCCAACATATGCAGACACGGGTACTGGAGTTGGGCGCCGGCACAGGGTTGCTGGGTCTAGCTGCCGCTGCTCTTTGGAGAACAAACGTCGTCATGACAGATCTACCTCTGTTCCAAGACAACCTATCTCACAATATTCACAAGAACTCCCATGTTTTGAACGAACGAGGCGCCGATGTATCCTGTGATGTACTAGATTGGACAGACGGCGAGAACGGGTTGATGAAATGCTGGAATAAGGAGTTTGAGGTAAGCTCTTAACCCACAACGGAGGTTCACATGCTAACATATTCCATAGCTTGTCATAGCTTCCGATCCACTCTACGATGAGAGTCATCCTAAAATGGTTGCTACAATGATAAAACGATATTTGAAGAACGATGTATCTTCCAGAGCTATGGTCGCTGTTCCTTTGCGAGACGAGAAAACAAAAGGTTTTGCAACAAACCTGAGAGATATTATGGATGGATATGGGTTTAGTCTTCTATCAGAAGGGACTGTGGTCTGCCGAGATGATTGGGCAAACAATGATGAAGAAGTGAGAAGTTGGTTTGGGATTTGGGGCTTTGCTCCTGCCTAGAATGTCTGACCTCGCGAGAAAGAAAAGTCAAGAAACCATCGCGTTTAGGTAGTTAACCTAGATTTCCCAGCCATTAGTGAACCGATTATAAATCTATACTGAGAAGGTACAGTCCATAGACGTTTTTACATAGGGTCTCTAGGAAGGAGCGAGAGAACTGAACATAGCACTTACTAATGCTGAGTCCCCAAAATAGAAGCTAGTCCTCGTTGTATATTTTAGGGGCTCTCTATAAGCGCTAAGGAGCTACTGGGGGAATCGTTCCTTCTTCTTAGTAATAGCTTTGTTGCCGTCTGTGGAGTTGAGCGATGATATGTGGCCCAGGTCGATATTGAAGTGAGGCTATGACCCAACACTTCTCAGACCGAGGCACTGAATCCTGATCCTGCAAATAGTTTCACGTAATTCTGTAGATTGAATTTGAAAGTCGACTGGTTTTTTTAGGCATTACAAACCATACGATCAGCCAGCCTTAATAATCCATGTCCTTTATCGCCGAAAAATATTGCCTTGTTCGGTTAATAAGACAAGTGAGGGGTTTGTGATGAACGAGGGGTGCTTTGTCACGCAATATGATATGCAATGCCGTGTCTTGTCTTGTCCTGTCCGGACCGAGCCGAGGGATGATAGTCGTTCCTTCTTCGCGAAGCGACTGTTAGTAATAACTCTGCGAGAATCAAGAAAGCCCACGTCGCTACCTGTGCTATCAGACACGCTTCATACATCAAGGTTCAACAATTAAGAAGCAATTACTTCTAGAAGACCTTCTAGTTACTTGTGCTATTACTACTACTACCATCTTTCTCTCCTCGACTCCAAACAAGTCGAATCATCTACACAAACCTAAAATGCCTTCCAATACAGCAGCGTGGCTGACTGCAGCTAAGAGCAATCCGCTCGAGGTCAAAACCGCTGCCTATACTTCACCAGGAGACCATGAGATCGTCATCAAGAATGGAGCTCTGGCGGTCAATCCAATTGACTGGAAGATACAAGACTATGCTTTCTTCCCTCTGAAATACCCCACAATCCTTGGGCAGGACGTTGCAGGCACGGTCGTGGAAGTGGGCAGTGCTGTCTCTCGATTCAGTAAAGGCGATCGAGTGCTAGGTCATGCTCTTAGTTTGGCCAACCAGAAGCCCAGCGACGGCGGTTTCCAAGAATATACAATTGTTCTAGATAACCTGGCATCGCAAATTCCTAGCACCTTGCCCTTCGAGAACGCCACTGTCCTACCTTTGGGCCTATCAACTGCCGCTGCAGGCCTGTTCCCGAAAGAGTATCTAGCGCTCCAGCACCCTTCCTTGGACCCAAAGCCTACTGGGCAGACATTGCTTGTCTGGGGAGGAGCGTCATCTGTTGGAAGCAATGCAATTCAGCTTGCGGTTGCAGCCGGTTACGAGGTTGTGACTACGGCCTCGCCGAACAACTTCGATTACACCAAGAAGCTCGGAGCCAGCCAGGTGTTCGACTACCACAGTAAGAGCGTTGTCGCAGATCTAGTAGAAGCACTGAAGGGGAAAACAGTCGTCGGGGTTCTTGACGCTATTGGCGCCAACGGTGCAATTCAGAACTCCCTCGATATTCTGGCTCAAGTGGAGGGTAACAAAGTCGTGGCTACGGTCTTGCAACCACCGGAGAATATTCCAACAGGAACCAGCGCCAAATGGATCCAAGCCTTCGCCATCAAAGACAACGGGGTTGGCAAAGCTGTTTATGAGGACTTCCTCCCGCGCGCACTTGCTGGTGGGAATTATGTGGCTGCTCCTGAGCCGTACATCGTGGGGAAAGGGCTGGAGAATGTGCAAGCTGGAATAGAAACTCAGAAAAAGGGTGTGTCTGCTAAGAAAGTGGTCATAACTCTGTGAGTAGGCCTCGATGTGGAAGTGGAAATGATGGAAAACACGTGATTAAGTTGAAAACTTCCATATGCAATCAACAATGATGGATTCTTGTCGGGCATGATTGCTTGAATGGGAAGGTTATTGCAGGAACTGAAACAAATATACATTTTACAGAACATCAACACGTGACTATGAGTTGAAAAGAAGCTGTTCCCAGGCATTCTTATTAGAGTCACGAGAGAGAATATCGTGAGCTCACTTATTAGGTGGATATTCCCTAAGTTGACTTACCTCTGGCACTTCAAGCTCAAGTCAACGCTGGCCTTATCTGCCCTGCAGTATGAGCCGCAGATGTCTGAAGTGTTGAGCCTGAGTATACGTGTCCTTGATAGACAGACTCTATATCTGTAACCTAGTATCGTTCTTGATAATCACTTGACGTTCTCTTGATTGAAGTAAGATCGGACAGGAATAATGAAATTCAAGTTGTTAATTGGAATTGTGTTAAGAGCCGTTTCCTAAAGTGTTCTAGCCTATGCCTCACGTGAACCTCACGACGACGACCATTCACACTCGCCTTCACTGGCTGCTACCCTCACTGCAGGTCTCATCAAGGTAATAGGAGCTCACGGTGTCAATTACAACCTCATACACACACTGTATATTTCCTTCTATACAGTCTATACCGTCTCCCGGAACTCCCTTTGTCCCGCCTCAATAATTCCACTATTCTCCATACTTCTTTCAACATCCAACATGCAACATTAACTCCTCATGTGGAACAAGCTGTTCTTTGTTGAATCAAATACAATTTCATTCACTTGTCTCATCAACAGGTGGAAAACTGCAAATCATACAGCCCTTCGGCATGATCAGCTTGGAGTGCCACTTTCTATTCCCAATAAGGGCTTCTGCGACCTCTATCATTCAGCCATGCAGATACAATCATCTACAAGCCGGACTCAAATACACTACATCCAGAGACTTACTTCTGCTTTACTTGTACATCTCAACTTCCATTTCAAATACAGCTCGGCTCTTTGTTGACTGAAGCAACGGCTCGGTATCTCTTGTGTTTATTATTTGCATCCAACGCTTGTAAAACCATCATTTAACTGTCATATTCCAGAGCTAGTCTTTCGCACCAAGTTTGATGTGAAGGTTGACCGCAACTCGGCCCACTCGGTCTCGACTACTCAAAAAGACAGTGCTAGTAGGCCTTGCAAGAATGAACTTCATCCCGCAGATCATTATTCCTTTTATTGTCCTTTGTATCTTGCTCAGCATGGCGAGTACTGTCTTTGGTGGTATCACCCTCATGATCCGATATTTGGCTATCAAAACCACTAGCCCATTTTCTTTACCTAGCTCTTGGTTGGACAATGTTTTTCAAGCAACACACTAGCAAGTTACCTACCTTTGCAAACTACATATCAGCTATACCATTCTATAAGGGGCAATCTGGGTTTATGGTACACGACGGTGAGTATGGGAACAATAAGCCTGAGGAGAGAAGTGACAAAATCGTCATATGGTGGAAATGGAATTCACATTTGCTCAGTACTTGGAAGCGAATGATTTCCCACCAACATACATTCACCGACTCCTAAGAATTTAATTGTAAGGTATTTAAAGAACGAGGCCGTGCGATGTCAACCACACTGCGCCTCTCAACACTCACGCACAAATCTGCCTCCCCCTTCATCTCTCTTTGAGTTGCACCACTTGACTAAGACTCCTCGACTACAAGTCGACAGCAAGAACAACACCACGATACCTGGAATTCACAACAAAACGATCAGCTATTCTCTCCGAGTCATACTCGATTGCAAATCACATCATCCTCACCTTCTTCCCCCCAAGCGCCGGCAATCTACATCATCAGAGATCAAGGATTATCGACACGAAGATACTGCGTGTCCCACAACAGCGCGTCTCTAGCTACCTACCTACGTGAATATGGTCGGAACAGACAAGTACGAGGATTATCAAATCCACTTTGTCGTATCGCAGAAACTGGACGGTGTCAAGAATGAAGATGTCGTCTCGAACCATCATGAGAAATGGCCACGACCAAAGCGTGCGCTCCAGCTGAATGGGGTCAAGTACATCTATACAGAATGGAAAAAGTATGCCGCCCATTCTATTTCTTGTTCTTGTGTAGAGTCATCGCAGCTAAGCAATGTATCAGGAAGCTATTGCCATGGCCTCAGCCTGACGGTAGCTGGAGAAAAGTAACCTTCGAGCAGTTTAAGAAACTCCACCAGAATCAAAAGTCTGGTACCTCAAGCCCGCCTGCCAACAGCAGCCCCAAGAATCCGAATTCGAATCCGACCTCCTCCTCCATCTCCAACAGGAAGCTCCCACCCTCTGCAGGGACTCTCAATTCACCTAAACCGGCTGGCTCGTCACGTGTCACCCTTCCTGGACACCCGAATTACCAGCAGCAGCCCAGGTCGCCTCCAAGAGCCTACCCAGACTCTATGGCTTATTCACAGTCTCCTACTCCACGATTGAAACCGTCATTTTCTCCTTCACCTTCACCTAAGTCTATGCCGAAGACGAATAGGCTTCTGAATGGTGGTTTTGCACAGGCTAGGACATCACCTCAAACCCATCAAGGCAATTTCAAGCCTGCCCTACAACAACCTTCAGCAACACCTGGACTTGCGACACAGCTTTCGGGGTTTCCACGGGCTCCTTGGGACTCACCTGGAATTCCTCGACAGCTAACCAGTTACCCCAACGCTCCACCAGCTCCGAGAGCCTTGCAACACCCGGCTGGTCAATTCGGTCAGCATTTGGGTGTGAGTAGCAATGCGAACTATGAGGAATTATTAAAGAGACAGGGTACTCTACAGACTGGTAGCCCGAAAATGCAGAATGTTCCACCGCAGGGGAGAAGTCCACAACCCTCATATAATGCTCGAACGCAAGATGCTGCGATTCAGGCTATTCTAGCTAAGCAAAGATCCCGACAGAGCACTTCCACGAACAACACTCTGCCAGCTCAGCAAGGATACTCACATTACACTTCCACGAACCAAGCTACTCCTGCCCAGCCAAGATACCAGCAAAACTTTTATGCGGCACAGAATATTAGCCCACACCAGAACGCCTTACCAGCGCAAAATAATCCACAGATTCAGAGGAATTCATGGGCTCCAGAAAGTCATCAACCTCAGATGATTTCTCCTCACCAAGTCCCTCCAAACCAGCGACTTGTGCAAAGCGCCTTTTCCACTCAACGGCTGCAAAGTAGCTTCCAACCAATGCCGAGCTCTACGCCTGTCCAGCCCCCGCCGTCGTCACAGAATGTTGTCCCAGAGAACTGGAAACTTTCACCGAATTACCTCGCAACACAGTCAGCTCATGGGCACCCTGGACAGAACTTCGGCCGTAGTTCTCCAACGACCCAAGCTCCTCCGCAGCTACAGAGCCATGAGCAAATTCCGGATGCTCAACCACCCATGCAGCGGACCGTGTACCTAACGGAGCCAAAGTTTCATCAAGAACTAATAATTCCGTCTAAGTCTCGAGGATGGAAATTGTCATACGAAATACATGGAGTCGAGACAGACTATACTGTATCCAGTCCCAATGTCATTATGTATATGTACTCACCCGAATTTCACAAAGGATTCCGTTTCGAAGACGAAGAATGGATTGTGCCACCAACAGCGCAAGCACCAGCAGCTTCATCTTTCCGCAAGAGATCCGCCGAGGAAGATATACAGGAGGCTCCAACGAAGAAGCAGAAAGTGACAGAGGAGAATACTTCACCCCGCGTGGCAGATGTGGCTCCTGTCCCGACAGTCCCAGAACCAGCCCCGACTCTGAATGACAGTATATCACCCAGGGCAAGAGAATCAACACCCTTACCCCAACCGGCGGTCATACCAGAATCTCCAAGTCTGAATGCCCAGCCCGTTGTACAGAACCCGTTACCAACACCAGCATCTCCAAATATGAATACCAAACCAGTTGCACAGAACCCGCCACCAGTACCGGCACTTACACCCTCAGAATCCACTCCGGGCAATGTTCCGTCTCCGATAGCAAGTACGACTCCAGCAGCATCCGGATCCTCAGTAATCGCTGCCGCAGACTATAAATACAACTCTAACTACAATTACGACGGCCCTAGTCGTGGACCTGTCGATGTTTCATACGAACAAGTTCAACAGGTACAGACAGACGAAACTGTGATGGCCTGGGCCGAATTTTTACACAGTGGCGCTGTCCATAACGACGAACCCAATCTAGACGAGTCTTACATTTTTCCTGATTGGGCTGACCTGCCCGATACATTTTCGATGGATACAGAAGAAAAAGGTGAAGGGAATAATCAAGAGGAGGTTGAGAATGATAATGAGAAAGAGGCGAAGTGTTCGTTTTGGAACCCCTGTGGGCAATGTGAGAACTGCAACGAAGCGGAGCCGGAGGAAAATTGAGGTGGAGGAGGATTTGAGACTACAGGTGTTAGAATGTACTTAACAAGGAGCTAACCTAATATTAATACGGAATGGGATGGGTATTGGGAAACAGGGAAACAGGGAAATTCGGAAACAGGGAGTAATAGAATGCCAAAATGCAATTGATTTATTGGGAGACCCAAAGACAGTCGTTACCAAAGATCATTCACAGCCAGACATACTAAAAGGTTCATCGGCTCCGAGCCTTGGAAGGATGTTCACCAAGCCGGGGAGGAACAATGCGAGCGAGCATTTGTATTTAGTCAGTCAAATGTCAAGAACACAGTCTAGAAAAGCGATAAAATAGAAGTTCTTCCCCACTCTCTTTTTAATCTGTTCCCCGTCTCTGTTCTGCAAAAAAAGAAATAAATAAAAAAGAATAGAAAAGATATCCCGCTGTGTCGGCGTAAGATTCCAATCCCACAGTGTCTCAAATTTCTGCTTTGAGCCAGAAATGAAATCAAAGTTTCGCCTCGGTATACCCATCAATACGTCCCACATTCTGTCTCTACCCCCATGCTTGGCTAGAGCTGGCTCAGAAAATCAGATCTCAAGCTCCTCGAGATCAACGGATCCAACACGGGTGTGCGAGTCAACGGGTGTGACGGGAGGGAGATTTTGGATCTTAGTAAGGGTGTAGCAGGATGCATACATATTAACTCTGCATCTCCACCTATTAGTAACAAGATCTGCAGTACGAGAACAGAGAAGCGGGAGGCAAAACAAACCGGTCAATACACGTCCCCACGGTCCTAGCCCCAACCCTCTTAGCCGCAAACCCCAGCTCCTCAAATGTAGCGATATACCATGGCATAAGCGCCGCAGATCGCAGCATTACCCTCCCGCCGAGCTTGAGCGCGCGGTTCAGCTTTGCGATTTGGGTGCTCGCTTCTTCGGCGCCCGGGTTGAACCAATCCATGCTGTCCATTAATACAGCAACGGTTAGTGTGCCGAGTGCGAGACGGTTGACAACTTCGTTGATTTCGTCGGTGTGGATGCGCAGGCCGTCAAACGCACTCCTGCGCGAGAGCTTGCGGTGGGATTTTGGCGCCAGGTAATCGGGATGGCAGCGTGGGGAATAGGAGCCTTGGAGACAGACCAGATAGTACGGATTATCTTCGCCGATCAGGGAGGATTCGATGACTGGGTCCAGCGTTTGCACCATGTATTGCCAGACAGCTTGGCCGCGAGTGGAGTTAAGTTCTTCATCGGAATGACCTAGGGGAGAGGATGGCTTTGAGGAAGGTGTGGATTCAGAGGCTATGTGGAGGTGGTCGGCCTCAATCATTGCAAGCTGGTTGTGGGGAACTCCTAATGCAGCCCAGAGGAATTTTTCTTGCGAAACGAGAAGGTAGTTGAGCAGTCGTGACATGAGTATTGGGCGGATACTTTTGGTCCAGATCTCGCGCTGTTCATTTAGGGTTTTGGCTGAGAGGAGGGCTTTGATCTGAGTTCTGAACCCGAAGGTTCGGGCGAGCAGGCGAATGGTGCGGATTGCATGCCTAGAACCACCTGTCTCGTAAAGACCCTTTCCACGGCTAGACCTGAAGACATGGGTATTGTTGAGCCAATATTGGAACGCACGTGAAGACATGTGAGGCGACAGGCGCGATATCAGTAGCGAGCGGAAGTTTGAGTGTCTGCCTTCTCCGAAGAGTTTCCAAAAATCGGCGTATGGAAGTGCAGAGTAAGCTGCAACTTTGAGCTCCAGGAGGTGGTTTTGGTTGGGGTTTAAATCTACCGCATGGATGCGAGCTGGAGAAGAGAGCGCATAGGACAGAATGTTGTCGCCGGCGGAAGTGATGGCAAGAACGACATCATTTGAGCCAAGCTTGAGAAGGCGGTTGTCAACACGCGAGTCTTCCCAGGTGAAAGCGTAGATATACTCGTGCTTGAATTGAGTGTGCTTCTTCAACTGGTCGTCGTAGTGAATTCTCCAATGGTGATTTTGGTAGAAGAACGACGGAAGTGGTAGGTTGGCTGAAAGGTTGATAATGGCAGCATCGAAAGCCTTTGATCGAAGTTCCGGTGGGGTTGATCTTTCAACAGTACGAGAGAGGGTCTGGGTGTGGTTTACTGGTGATAAATAAGGGGATTCCGTGACTGCGGCGTCTAAGCGGTCCACAATTTCATGGGGATAGTTTGGTGTGTTGAGAGAAGAAGTTGGTTTCTTCGAGCAACCAAGCCAAATGTAGTATGGAATCGATCCAAAGAGACGATTGCGAGAGTCTGCGCCTAGGGTGGTACCGAATCGGTACTCAAGGTAGTCTCTACGGCCAGGCTCTAGGCCGACACGGTCAACATCAAACCACGCACGCCAGAAAAGTCGACCAAACCAGTTCACATGGCGGTTGATGGCTCCACCAGTATAATTTCTACAGCTCAAATCGACGATTGATTGTACATAGAAGTCAACGACACCAATTATGCCAGAAGATGCAAGTAGAGTGCTCAAGGAGTCAATGACAGAATAGAAGTCAGGCTATAATGATTAGCCAAAGTCTCAAGAGATAAATATGTCGCTTACAATCATCGATAAGCTGTAAGACAGCGTGATGAGGTCTGCACCACCGACATTTGGGCCATCTTCTGCATAATAATCCGAGGTCGAGGAGCGACGGAAGGTAACAGCGTTAAGAGTATTATCTTCATGATCCTCAAGATGGAAGGTTCTCGCATCCTGGCACACAACCTTGACATTCTTCCAACCCAAACGCGCAAAGCGTTTCCGAGCTACTTCGCAGAGGGAGGGAGAGAAGTCAACCAGGTAAACACTCGAGAAGAATTCTGGAACTGAGACAAATTCAGACATGGCTTCGATGTTCCAGCCAGTTCCGCCACCAATCTACAAAGCATTATTAGCTCCGAATTACAGTGGAATCCGGAGCACTTACATCAACCCAGATACGCTTTACATTATTTTTCCGCTCTGTGGCAGATTTATGCACGAGCTGAGCAGCTACTAGTCCAAGCATATCTTCTCGACCACGTAACAGGCGCTTTCTGGTCTTATCATACACCCCAGCCTGTGCTTTGTAGAAACTCTCCAAAGCATCCTGCTGACCATTTCCGGTGCCATCGCCACTGTGGGGCTTCAGGAACGATGCGTAGAAGAAACGTAGGAAAGACTCGAAGGCGCTTGGAATTTCTTTATTCTCTTTTGATGAGCGACGAAGACTTAGAGTGAGGATAATGCTAATGAGAATGAATAAGGTCGCTCCAACAAAATAGAACTCGGTGTGGAAATTCCTTGGTAAGGTGCTTGGGATAAGAGAAGCCATGATTGATACTCGCGATCAATTGAGATTTGATGGTTTAAGAAAAGAAAAGAAAAATATTGGGGGATGTGGAAAGAGGGATACCCCCGCTCGGTGCGACACTTTTCATGTTTCCTGATCGTCAACCCGACTCGAATTTAGTAAATATGTAGCATTTGCACCTATCATGGCTGCACATGTCTGTGTTCAGACAAAGGACCTGCAACCTGTACTGCGGCACTTGGGCCCACAGAGTCCTTTCCCAAGTTAGGCGGGTATTCCTGCTTAAAATGACGACCTAGACTGGCTCTACTGCAATTGAAAGGCCTGATTGGTTTCACGGAGAATGTATTCGACATGTGGGTGAAAATAGTCGCCTTGAGGTTGAAAGTAAGTCGTTGGGAAAGGGGCGAGAGGGGTTGAAGTGGGGTATTCGCTTACTGTACAGTAGCCAATGAACCTGGCCACGCTCGGATCGCTACATACTCATTGGCTCTTGGACCTCCCATGATACTGGGCATACTAGAGCTGAGGCTCTAACTCCTTCCATTAGTAAGGTGAGTTTACACTCGAACCTTATCAAGTTCTCTGCTATTGGTTGGCGAGTCTCGAGAGACAGCTGAGAAGAGCACCGAGTCACGTGAGAACATTGGCACCATGACTGGCGTGGTGGGCATTTGATGTGCATTCCGAGATTTGGAAGGTTGAGGAAGGAGCAGCACGAGTACTCATTTGAAAGAAAGATCTTCACTCGAGGAAAGTATGGCTTTCAACCAGATAACATTGCATTCATTTACGGCGTTCGAATAATGGACTTCGCTGTAACTTTTGATTGCCGTTTGATGGTATACATTTAGGAAGGCCGACCGTGAAGCGATCGAAATCGAACAGTCCGCATGATTCTGATACGCCATTAACTCCTCTCAAGAATACCTTTTACTCGTTGTCCTCTTCATCCTCGTCGGCTGAGTCGTCGTTTTCAGGATACTCCATATCCTCATCGCTATCACTACCCACAGCTTTCTCCTTCTCTCTGTCCAGCTTCCTCTTTCGGTCTTCTTCTCTCCTGCCTTCCTCGAGAAGCTTAGCTTTCTCATCTCGTTGCTTCCTCTGTCCAACAACAAAGGCACCAAGCGGTGTCTTCTCCCACTCGAATCCCTTCAAGAAGCCTTCGACACCTGCCCTGTTGTTGGGCGCAAAGTCAACCTTAGCTCTCTTCTCTTCAATCCATTTGCTATTAGCCTCCAACTTCTGAATCAGAAGCACGAAGCTTGAGTTCACCTTGCTGTTCTTATTGCCTGAAGTCTTGTTTGATACCTCCTTTAGCCATCTCTTCAACATAACGATTACGGGCAATGCTAATTCTGGAAATGCAATACTCGTTGACCACAAGACGAAGAACTCGGACAGCAGCTCTGCAACCTGCTCACCAACACCGTCTTGATATACTCTTGTTCTGAGATACGACTTCTGCGCTTTGTAGTTGGATGCGAAGTCGAGGCTCTTCAGCGTGCTGGGCTTTGGTGGCTTCTTCATCTCGGCTGAGTTGAGCACCTCGAGGAGCGCTGATGCCACAGGAATGTATGTGCCGGTAGCTCGAGAAAGGCGGAGTAGTGATCGCATTAATTGGAAGCGGAGGGGAAAGTAAGTTGCGGTTGGGATCAGTCGCATGGCTCCGAGGGTAACTTGTACAGTAGGGTAGATTAGCAGTCGTAATTGCGATTCTTTTCCATTCTCTGCTTCTTTGAGAGGACTGCAATGCTCTGCTAGAACACAAGACCAGAAATCTAAGGAGTGTACATATTGCCAGTTGTAGACAGTCTTGTAGCTCTCTTTCTGATTGTTCGTGATGCTGCTTCTTAAATGAATGGCTAATTGACGTATGAACGTGAAGCCGGTAGCGTAGCCAACTTCTTGGTCGATACCCCAAAGCTCAGCTGCAGAGTTCTTCATAAGGTTAATACCCTGGATAGTGTGGATTGACGTGGTTCGGCTGCCCTTGATCAGTCCTTGATAAACAGTCTTCAAAACAGCCTCTCTTAATCCAGGATCTCCGATTACTGCTAGTCTCCGAAGTATGAGGAAGGCTGTGATCCGTGTTGCCTCGCTGCTTGAAGCATCTGACCAAATATCCACAACAGTCTTGACAATGTTCTTCAGGACCTTCTTGAAAGATAACAGGTATGGCAGGAGTGGTGAGATTGAAGAAAGAGTAAGTTTTAAGGTGGATGCGTCTGAGAGTGTAGTGAGAAGATGTTGTACGGATGAGGTGTGCGACTTTAGTAGTGGTGTAAGGGTCTTAAACTTCTTCGAATCAGTTGACACTCGGACTTTGCCAGCGGCATTCTCCTTAACGGGAAGGTGGTGGTTGAGGACTTCCGGAACGTGTTTGAGGGTAGAAATGAGGAGTTCGTGATAGACCTCTGGATTCGAGATCGTGTACTTATATTCCTTCCCCTCGTCTTCGTTGACATGCGCCGCTGCTCTGAATGCAAGAACTACTTGGCGCATAGCACGTAGAGAGTGTTGTTCTTTCATGGCTTTCGTCCATTTCTTGACCATCTCTTTCGATACCTCTGCTGAATCCTCGACCTCCTCCTCCTCTTCCTCGGCGGAATCTTCCTCCTTGGCTTTGGCTTTCTTGGACTTCTTTTGCTTCTTCTTTTTCGGCTCCTCTTCTTCCTCGCCGCTCAACTCGTCAACTTCTGCTAGATCGGCATCTTCGTCAAATTCCAAAACCTCGGGGTCATTGTCCTTCAAGAATTTGTAGAACTCTGGATCCTTCTCCGCCAAAGCGGCCATAGCTCCTTTGCTCATGCCAGTCTCATCCTCGGCACCACTCTCAGCCTCGCTATCACTTAAGACCGGCGCCTCCTCAATCGAAGCTTCCGAGGAGTTATCATCATCTTCCTCGGCAGGCTCTGGTCGTTTCCTCTTGCCAAGTTTTTCTGGTACTGATTTCGGTTTCGACTTTTTGGCAGGCTTTTCCGGAATATCGAAACCACCTTGGAAAAAATCGTCCACATTCATCTTTCCAAATAGATCCTCCTTGGCAGATCCGTTCATTTTAGACTCCTCTTCACCTTCTCCGCCCACGAACTCTGCATCTTTCGCATTTCGTGCTTGTCGTTTGGCCTTGACTTGCTGGCGCTGCTTGATCTTCGCACCTGCCTTCCGTTTCTCGAGAACGTCCTTGAGATGATTTTTCTCGAATTTACGAGTCGATTTCTTCGTACTTTTTGCCATTGTGATGTTGTGTAAATTGTGCGATGGGTAAAACCTGCGATGATTATCGATGCGAGCCTGCACTTTTTTTTCGATAAGGAAATTTTGAGGAGCTATCCCCTTTGCGGAGAGATCTCTGGCGGTGTGTATATATTCTGCCACAGCTACTCCGCCAGCTGCTCGAAGCATCAAAGCAATACAATCAAGTCCAAGTACCTACCTAGGTAATACAGGACCAAGCATAATGTACCAAAATCGCCAGGCGTATGCGCCTACACCACATAGCTACATTCCAAATACCACACTCTCGGCAACCATAAATCTTAACGAAGTACCTAGCCTTTCCTATATATACCCCTCCAACAAGGCTGACATGAATGTTCTGCAGGAAGTCAAACTCTCAGAGACCCGAGCAGAACGAGATCTCCAGGATTCTCTTGCGGAAGTGTTCAGCATTATCATTACTCTAGACGAACTCGAAAAAGCGTTTCTCAAGGACGCCATTTCCGAATCAGATTACACGGAGATATGTGATAGACTGTTGAAGCAGTACAAGGCTATTTTGACGGATGAAGCTGTGGCCAGGGAGTTTGTCGATTTGGATACTTTCAAGAATGAATGGGATGTGTGTATCCCTATACCTTTATGAGAATAGGCAGCATGTCTGATGTTCACAGATGGAAGTACCGCGAGCGACAGAACGGATACGAACTGGGATGCCAAGCACAGTAACAGCACCCTCTCATAATGCTACGACAACGAGCAACAATGGAACGAACGGGACATTGATTCTCGAAGCTACGCAAGACTTTATTACCTTCCTCGATGCACTTAAACTTGGATTACTGGCGAAAGATCAATTGCATCCGCTGCTTTCAGATGTTATAACAAGTGTCAATAAGGTTACGGATAGGGATTTTGAAGCGAGGGCCAAGATTGTGCAGTGGTTAATAACTTTGAATCAGATGAAGGCGACGGAAGAAGTCAGTGAAGATCAGGCGAGGGAGTTGGAGCTTGATATGAATTCAGCATACCAGGGGTTTAAAGCGACGTTGAAGTGAGGAAATCGATGAAGCATATGCCATATTCATATTAAATTCGGAGCGTAGCGTGGGGAAGGGATTTCAAGTCCCCAGAAGAGAGCTATCGCTCCAAGATGCGTCAAAGCACATGATCTAGCACAGCTCTCACCGCTGCTACACTGCCTCACAGCCGGCCTCCTGTCTTAAGACCATACAGCGTAGATACGCCACGCCATGTTCGGCCAACAGCTGCTGAATAGTAAATGGCCTCATACCAAGAAGGTCCAGAAACTAGGGTATACGAATTCATCCTCAAAAATCCGTCTGACCTGTTCTAAGACGAATTTCTCAACCTTGCCCACGTTCTTCAGAACCTGCTTCCCATTTTCTCTCTGTCCGATTTCGCTTTCTACTTTAATCTCATGTAGAAGACCGCCCATTTTCATACCACTAGCAGGGGCTTGATCATCCTCATCTGTTCCGATAGCAGCATATGCGTCTTCAGGTGACAGGAAGCAAAAATGCGCTCGTTTTCGAATATGTGCCAAGACTGCTACGCCATCAAATGATACTCCAGTAATGTTCAGCTTTACAGGAATGCCTACAAAACTTGGCATAGGGTAATCTAGTAGAATCTCAGCTGTGAGCGACAGCCTCACATCACCTGCATATCGTACGCGAAAAACTGTCTGCAGATCCTCAACTCTTGGTTCTCGGAATCGTCGTGGAGGTGAGATCGGTTCTTCCTCAACAGTCTCTTCCATCAGACCTTCTCGAGTCTGAGGTCTAGTCGTAGAGGTTGACGGAGCCAATGTAGAAACACTGGCACGTTCACGTAACATCTGTTGATTTGAATCTGCGGTGGGCGGAGGAGAGAGCGAGCTTCCGCTGGGAGTCTGATGGTGCCCTCTTCTATTCAATGGTAGACTCGAGTAATCCGGCCAGCCATTTGGTAGATGAGCACCTGCGACAGCGGCAAGAGGCGTGTGGGCTCCTGAAAGCCCGGACGTAAGATGTGAATGAAAGTAACCCAAATTTGAGGTGCCGCCTGGTATCCCTGGTGTGCTAACACCGAGAAAGGGACTTCCCAAGTCCCCTATTGTATGTGTGGATCTTACTCCTGACAACCGTGTGTTGATGTAAGGTGGAACCTGTGTGGCTTGTCCGGTCCCATTCGTTCTCTCAGCTCGGTCCAACCTTCGCCTCTCTCGCAATGTCTCATGCTGTTCGCTCTTTACACTCCATCCCTCTTCATCATCTTCGTCCTCACCATCATTGCCGTGGTTGTCTTCGGTCTCCTCATAAAATTCTGGAAGAGGATCACATAGGTCCTTCAGCTCAATTTCTGGAGAAATACTCCCAAACTCGAAATTGTGAACATTCACACTTTTGATAAAACGTGGAAGTGTTATCGTCTGAAATTTCCCATCAATAAAATCTCGGATCTTCTCAGCCAATGCGATGCCATCGGGTCCCGAGGTCAGAGTCTCCCAGTTCAAATCGATGGACATTTTCTGCTACGACTTCTCCTTTGTTTCTCTTCATGTAATTAGCCTTGAATATAAGTCAATGGACGTGAATAGTCACCTGACGACTGTTCAAGTCTTCAGCATATCATCCGGAAATCTGGTGCTCATATCTGTTCATTCCAGGTTTCCGGTATGGACGAAAGATGATTACTCTTCTTTGGAGGGACTGTCCACGTGGTCGCAGAAGTTGTTAAGTCCTAGGTAGGTAGGTATGTGTAAAGTCGTGTGTTTGGGCATGCGAGTGCCGCCTTGACGCCAAATAGCAAGGCAAGCGCAAGTATCGGCATCGGCTAACAGCGTTTAAAGCGGCACGTGGAGGGATATCTCCTTACGCGGAGACCCGATCCGCTCCTCAACTTCAGACGCCCATGACCTCGGCCACCATGATCTGTCATCACATCGAGCGATGAAGGTGGAGTTTTTCAAGTATACTGCTTGAGACACCTCTTTCACTGCGGGACGAGTGTGTCCGCACATACAGCTTGCGACAATCATTCAGATCGGGAAACCATCGTCCGCAGAAGTACCTAACCTCTACTTTCCCCTTTCCTGGCCATCCAAATACCAACCGTTGATCAGTATCAAGTCATCTTTCTCAATCATTTGGCAAAATCGAGATCTGGGAGTTTCTGCTCGATCGACGGTTCAGAGACTGTCTTCTAAGGGGCGAATAATTCGTGGCCTATTACACAGAATAAGCGCCCGCGGCGTGAGGGGCGTCTGGCTTCAGCCCTATCATTTGTCTTTCCCTGGAGATGAGCGTGCATTTCGCCGCTTCTGCGCTTCTGCGCTTCTGCTGTCCCTCGTGCAGGGGATCGTGCAGCCGCGAACAGGCACTCCCATGTTTATGGCCAGGGGGTTCTAGCTGTTCAGTGGCCACCTGGGTTTGAATGCGGACCGATCCACTGTTCGGGGGTAGGCTGCAGCCGTGAATCAGCCGCCGTTCTTGAGTCTGTCTCGACGTCCTTTTCATTCCTCGGGAATATTTCGCATTTATCGCTATTGAGTTGGCTGTTGCCTTCACGTCGATCAATCAATGTTGTTTTCACGCACTACTAGCTCATCGTATCCCCTATTCTGCCTCACAATTTCCCCAGTATCTCGAGAGGGGAGTCGAGAGGGCAGTACGCGTACGAGTGTCTATTTTCCCCTGAAAGACTAATGCCGCCTAGGACATCGTTCTAGCCATGCAAAGCGTGCCCATGACATGACATCACTGTTGATGCTCTCGGCCCTTCCGTGGAGGGAACTCCATATACGAAGTTCGCGGACATGGAAACACAAGAAGGGAGGTATCTCCTTTTTCGACTTGACACTAGCCATCATCAAAACCAACAGAACCCCACCTACTATCACATGAGAGTTATGTATGCAGCAAGGATGGCAAACCCCGGCATTCTATCATGATAGCTACTCTTTGGGGCTGTTGTGTATCCTTATAGGAGAGCCCAGCAGGGGACGCTGTCGTTGGAATCACACTTTGATATTAGCATTATTAGCCGCGACTTGGTTGAGAGGCAATGCCGCGCTGTGCATCAGCGGCGGAGGCGACTGACGCGGGAGGAATATGCAAGGCATCGCTCTTTTCTACTTATCGATCAGTTGATCATAACGGATTTGCCTGACAATCCATGTCAGTTATCAAGAAACCTGTGAGGTGGAATTTTAGCACCGGACTGAGTGTGGTGCGAGAAGTCCGGACAAGTGTCCACAATGATCATGTAATTCCGTGGGAGGTAGCAATTGGGCTCGGTTTGTAAGTTTCGTCACGAACCAACTCGGAAGCTTTCGCCGTAACAAGTATTGACATTCTGACTGGTTCCAAGTACACATGCTAACCAGAGCATACCACCTTCACCATCACCTGCTTCGAAACTATCATTTGACCAATGAAACCACAAAAACGAGCTATAACCCCATCATACTTCAAGGCAAGGAAAAGATAAATGGTCCAACAGAGAAGCCGCCAACACATGCCGGTACGGGAAAGTTTTCACCAATTACAACTCCCCAAAAGCGCAAAAGACCACTTCGTGCAAGCTAGGTTACCCATCATGCCCGCAAGTATTGACAAATGATCCTCCCGAGACCATCAAGCTTCTAGTCATGGTTACTATCTTGCCACATACAGATTGACTTAGTGGACATACCAGTTTCGTGGGGGCACCATCCAATGATTGTCTGGACCACTGGGGGGTCGACCCTTTGGCATCGGTCAAGGTTCCGTCCTTTGGCCTTTGAGCAAACCACGAGTTGAGATACTACGTCATGGCCGCAATAAGTGTAGTGGTCGATGTATTCTTTACACATGGTGAATATGTTGCTTGGTCGTGTCTTGGATGGGACTATGGAGACGACATGTTATCAAGAAATCCCAGCTGAAAGTTTTAAACGCATCTCCTCTAGTATTAATCTTGACTTACTTGAGGCGGGTGATATGACAGGTCTAAAGATTCAAAATCTCAAAAGGCCAATCTGAAGTGTAGTTGTGAATGTTGTGGTGCTATGGAGACGATGAATGAAGCTTGAAGTTTCTTCCAAGATTCAGCAGCGACGGCAAGATGCTTTATACTCGTGTACAGTACCGAGTATACGGTTCGGCCCATTCAATCAAGTTGGTCACAGTTGTTTGCACCTGTGGAAGTGCCTGTGTTGGTCGTTTGCTATCTGAGCTGAAGTTGGATCTTATTGCAGCCATGGGAGTGAAAGGTCATGCTAGGCTAGGCTGTCTACCAACAGTCCCGCGCCCACTTGGCTCAAAATGAGGATAGTAGGAATGTTAGAGAAGGGACACAGGAAATTTATCAAGGCAAGCCTTGACAAGCTTTGCAAGGGTCCTACTGCGAAACTCATATGGACACTCTCAGATTGGCCTGCGAAGGAGGTCAACGAAATGATCCACTTTCCGAATTTCCATTTACGCAAGCACACGCTATGGCCCTGCGCTTGGGGTAGACTGTCCCCTTGAACATTAGCTTCTAGTCCCATCACAGGGTTCAGTGGATAGCTGCAAAAGCGTCGAAACCGAGCCAATGAACAGTGGCAGTCTGGCTCGAGCGCGGATGACAGCATAGATATTTACGGGGGTGCCATGTGCGCATCCTTACCCTCGAGAACATCACTTTAGGGCGACTTATTATTCTGTATCGTCTACGCTGCGCCAGTTTCACTGCGGCTTATCGAAGCCGCGAGGTCCACTGGAGGAATCATAATGGTGGCCGGATTTGATCTCGTAAATTCGCAGATCCCATAAGCTGCTGAGCCCTCTCGATCAGCGACGTTGAAAAAGGGCGTGCAGCAGCCGTGGGGCACAACGTCGACTGCCGGCCTTGTCGGCGGCCGTGAAGGCCTATCGCCAACTGCTTTTCCGCTTGTGCACTCTGCCTTACAGCTTTGAAGGAGCACTCGGTATCAGCAGCTGGCCGGACTTTAATCTGCGTGATCTGTTATTGTGCAATATCACTTTGATTGGACATTAGTGATGTTAGGATGTCTCAACTTCTATAACGGTACTTACAAAGTGTCCGTTATACTCCATTCTAGTAACTCTAATAGGGGTGTGCAGATTCATGCCCTTATAGACACATTTTAACTATTTCTCTACGGCAAGAGAAACTTCCCCCTTTCTTCCCCCTGTGAATTCTATGTTGGTAACACACATGCCGAGTACCTCCCCTGCTAATTGGCTATACCTCATAGTATTCTTGGATTCTGATATTCAAAAATCCCAAAGGACAGACCACAAAGGAATTTCAGATCAGGGAGGAGTTTATCCTTGCAGATTCAGAAAACTACGCATGGGCAATCCTATACGGCGCTGATTCAATGAAGCTTTGCCTCTCATCAACGAGTTAGAGACAGTGCCATTGTTCAATATATATCAAGCTGGTCAATAACCGTACGATAACAGCCTCAAAATTTACCGTACGTCTAAAAGGCCCATATAACATTCTTCGGGCCCTCTTAGGAATTTGTTCACGACCAAGTCGTCGAAGGAGGGTGGCCCGCTTTGCCGCCTCCCTACATTACATGCCATGTGTTTTCAGGGGGGTTCGGGCATCTTCTCTTGAAACTTGATATTTCACAAAAGCTCGAACAATTACAAAAAAGATCCCCCCTTCCTCAAGGAAGCACAAGACCTCCATCTGCAGGGCCCCGACGTCACCACGGGTGGCTGCAATACTGTCAGCTGCAGCATCTGGAGTGAGGAGATCCAAATGCAGTATGCCAACGCCAACACAAAATTGCGAAGTCCCCAATCAAGTTATAGAAGCTCGAGAAGGCCAAGGCCACTTATTTTTTTTTGATGCCGTCAAATGGGATCTCCTATCGATAAGAGTGCGATGGAAAAACCTTCAAGCCTCCCCAGCGGCCCAGACTAGTTTGTTCGCCCAATCGCGGCCTCGGATTAAGCGCCATCTTGCGATCTCCGGCAAGGCTTTTAGAGTAACGCAGAAACGTCTTCCTTGACTAACACGCGTCAAGGACGAACGCAGAGAATACCGTACGGCGAGAACGAGAGAGTCAAGGAATGCCGCCCAGACTGAAATATCATGATCGACCTTTCTCGAACACCCACCCGGTCAGGTCTCCTGTCCCGGACGCCGGATCTGACGGCCTAAGAGGTAGACCACCAGTGACCACCAGTTGAAAGACTGCATCAAGATCTCAAATACGCCGCCTCAAAAATTGGTGAATGCCATATTTCACGGCCTATGGCCTCGCAACACGAGAAAAGAACAACTTCGAACATACTGTCCCCAGTAGTTCCATACACACACCTCGCAAGCAAGCCCCTGGTGCGGCGCGCAATAAGCTGCATATTCCGCTTTTGACTGCACCGGACTTGATCAAATGCAGGTTATCGAGCATCGCGTTAACTACGCCTCTGCTTGCGAAATGATTAGCCACTTCCGAGACACCCGTACTCCTTTAGGATCCGAATACTCGTACAGGCGAGTCACAAATCGATGGGCCGTTCTAAGTCCGCTGACTGAGATCTCATGCAGGTCGTGCGCAATCTGATGCAATCAAACCATCCATACCAAAAGACCAACTTCTGGCACTCGGCCTCAGGTACGAGACTCTACCGCGCCTCAGCCGCAGAAGAAGTAGTCGATATAAGTCACGTGAGGGATTCTCATCATTTCTTAGAGACCACCTTTTTGAAGCTTTGAGAGCTGCTTAGCCCTCTTTGGGTTAAATTTTGCAATCGTTAAATCTCGGCCCAGTATACGCAGGCGGGTCTTCATTCGACAATACGTCTTTGGTTTTGAAGCTTGAATCACGCGGAACAGGTGATACTGATTACATTTTGGGTGTTATTATCTTTGCATATCTCAGCTTCTCGAAATGATATATCATCCCTTCTCACTTCCAATCCTGCCATACCATACTACGACAAGGATATAAAACTCCTCGCAACCAATTCAGACCAGAATCAAGAACCTCGGTATCGACGCTATCTAGATTTCTCCGGTTAGCGCCGTCGTGAGCGGCTCTCGGGAAGACTAGGAGATAGTGTTCTCCTCAATTACCCCACGAAGTAACATGCATACAGAACTACGAGCAACATAGTTGACGGTTGGCTTCGCGGTATACTGTACCGAGTTTGAGCATGACGGTCAATGCTCTAGTAGTTTCAGCTAGTGGACTGATCGACCTGGGGAAGGAAGTCTTCGGCATCGCCCGAGCCAGGCCGTTCGCAATGCTGCTGCTCCCCGCATAATATGATGAAACCATCGTGAATCGCAACACATGTTATACCGACATTTAACGGCCTGGGTCGTATGATTGATTCCAGGTTAATATTAGTAGTTGTTGAAGGTAGAAGATTGCTGTTTCGGCTAGAGGGGCAGCTGCGGCAGAGGTTGAAGTAAGCCACAGCGTAGGGCTTGGTGTAGGTTCACCATCTAATCTGCTTCCGACTTATATTCTTGTCGTAGGATTTACACCAATCAGGAGACGCCTGAGACTTCGCTCGGGCTCTGAGCTTCGCCTTTACCAAGGCTACAGTTATTCAAGTGTCGCTGTTCCATTTCCCCATTGGGAATCTAGCTTCAAGGTCGTCATTCTCCTCATTTTCACTGCTGATATATCAGTATCGTATGTTCATTCTGCTTGTTCCTTATTTCTTGTTCCTTCTGACATTCCCGATTGCGATTACGAATCCATTGCTTATGGACCATCGCCGCCCAACCAATACATCGCCCACGTTTGCATAATCTTAGGCGCTACCCCACGTACTGCTTGCTAGTTACAGCACAGAAATCCACCCGACCATCTCTCTCGTCCATTGATATCATAAAGGCTTGTCTGTTACTTGAAATCATTTTCATTTTCCATGTTCCACTTATTCCCAACAAGACAATCTAAGCCTCCTGCGACCGCTTCTGCGACCTTTAACTCTTCCATTGTCCCGTCCTCCCAGGCATATATACCAGCGCGAGTGCAACACCGAGTGCAACAGTAATCATCCAACAAGTTGCCAACAACGCTCGTACTTCCGCCTCGTCCTTCTATTTTCAGGCCTACCTCTCTAAATACTTCCTTTAAGCCCAAAATGGCATCCTCATCATCCACTCTAGCCCGCGAAAAGGTTTCAGCCGGCGCTTTTGGCGGCCCAGAGAGCTTATTACCCACGTCCAAGGTTGTTCTCCCTCAGCTCACCAACTTTCTATCCCTAGCTCCAACAACGAGCGCATCCTATCCTTCATCTCCCAAATCAAAGTTGCCACTGCCAGCTACGACTCTGCCCCCTGCACTGGCGCCTGAGAATGCAGGTGCAGAGGCTTCTCCGATCATCCCTGAAGTGTTGGACATGAAGATCAGACGCAGTTCTAGTTCGGGAAGTGATGAGAGTGTATCTGGAAGTCCCACTCAGCGACGTAGATTCTTGAAACTGGGCCCCGTTCATTTCGGCATGGATGGTGATGGCAAGGGAGACTGGAGCGAGGAAGTCATCGCCGAGTGATTTCTCGGTGACCTCGATGGATCATCAGCTGGGGAATTGGATGGATGATTGGATTTCAGTGTACTCGGTGCGGCGTCATCAAATTTCGTCTCAGGGGAGGGAACACATACGGGTTTGGTAGATGGACACGCTGGCGTCAAGTGACGGAAATGAAGATGGAATGGCCCCACGACATGGCTTTCTTTGTTTGCGCCTTTAATCATGAGCTGCGGACAGCTCAAGAGTTGTAACGATATTTCCACATATGTTCAAATGGCATGTACGCGCTCATCGCCGACTATAAAACTTACTTCCATACTTCATTGAAATAGTTATAATGCATTCGTTCAACCTGCCGTACCAAATACTTCTTTACCATTCCAACCTTATGTTGAAATTTTGCAGGTGCTTGTCCGGCAGGCGCTAGTCTCCGGACAAGTCTTGGATGATATCTTTCTAGAGATCCGGCGTCCAGACTCAACTTGTTCGCAAAGTCTCATTGCACGAATAGGTTTATACAACAGGCTGTCAGGAGACGACTCTGGTTTACAAGAAACATCTCGGTATGTTTCAATCATGTACTCACTTGTGAACCTTGACACACGTTACATCCTCTATCGCCATCACATTTATTGGCCATAATGGTTTGCTTCCGCCATTAACTCCTACCATACTATCAGTCTGTCAATCCACCCCCCTTATACAAAAATCAATATCATTTCTGTGTAGTTACTACTTTCTGTTTCACGTGTTTCAAAGATTTCTCCCCCCAACTGCGCAACTCAACATCCCCCATTCTTGCAATCCTGCATACCTCCCCTCCTTCCTCACCGCCTTTTCGACGCAGCTAGATCGTTGTTTTTCACCAAATAGCACACAACCCCATGGAATCCTATCTTTCGAGACGCACTTGTACTGCACAGCGAACTATTTTTCAACCCACCCTGCATGTCTACTTGCAGTCAACCCGCTACTTGCCACGGCCTGCCCGCTATGGTTCGTGACTTACCAGTGATGTTATGAATTTATGGCTTTTAGGCTTCTGTCTTTGATAATGGAATCCAAAAATATTTGATTTATACATCATGGTTGAATATGGTACTTTGTTCCTTTTGATCTGATGAGAACGTTCAGTGAACAGCGGCTAGGCATCTGACTTTTGCAAGGACGGATCGTGATCTCCACTTGTGAGGATTTGAGGGTGGGGTCTATTGCATGACTTATCTTCTAGCTACATCTTTCATGAGTCTCGTTGCATATACCATCTAGTAAACAAGCAGTCCCCTTATGTCAGCAATTACCTTGGGCCACAACGTCTTTCCAATCAAACATGGCTGTCAAAAAGGCAAGTCCTCAAATCCTAGGGATTTTAATCCACATTCTTGATCTCATCACTTAAATGGATCCCTTCTAGTAGCCGCACGAATCAACAAAACATGGCCCTCGGCTATGCTTGGATGTCCACACATGTAGCAAAAGCAATTATTCACCCCTTCCGATGGTCCGCCAACTATGAAAATTCCAATACCAAACCCCATATTCCCAAACTATCTCTAATGCCCACCCTCTTAGCACTTGACATCAGAGGTAAAAGTGGAGATGGAAATGAAATCCGGCAGCTTTTTGAAAAATGAAGCGCCGTGGAGGAAACTGGTGGCTGTCCTGATAAGCTGCTTTATGCCAAGCCTGAAATTGTTCAAGAAATGCATTGATGAACACAAGATACTTTCCAAGAAATGGTGTTTGAAGAATACTCTTCAGCTGGAAATTTTGCGAATAAGAACGGAGAACCAGGATATTTATTGTATAATCTGACGCTTAGCTTCTGCTAGGAGAAGAGAAGACGGATTCGTACCTTTATAGTAGAGTGGAAATGTGAGATACGATGTGGATGAGGCATTGTCAGCGATGCTTTGAATGATAATTGGAGATTCAAGTGGTAACGTGCAGGGAGGATTTTATGCAATACTAGTCGGCACGAGAGGTTCCGTATATGGAAGTGAATTGAATATGGACGGATTTATCTTTCCTTAATGGGTGGCAGCATCATATAATAATTGGGGGTGGGGATGAGGGCTATGGCCAGGGAATTGTAATAATATAATTGGCAACCAACTGAACTGAAGTCCCTTGCTTTTTAAAGTAGTGAATGATTGTTGTCATGGAGGCTATCTCAAGTAAGAGACGGCAATGCTACTGGCGACCCTCCCCTTCCTACTTTAACGAATAAGATACATGTGATATATATATGTGATAGTGAGTCTATCTATAACATCTCTATTTGTTAAGCATCTTTGATAATTGAAATCCTCTAGTATTCTTGAAGTGTTTGTCCGCGGTTGAAAGTCATATGACTTTAGACCTCCCATCTCATAAATTAAGTTAGCAGTCAACTCCAACTGCAACTTAACACATTCTTACTACAGATATATTCACTTGACATACACCCTTCTTAGCAGTAAATCCTGTTCTCGAAAAGATGCGCTCCCTCGTTTACTTTCTCAAAGCGTCTCTCACCTTGCAGAAGTTCTCTCCTTCACAACCTCAATCTTTATGAATCTCCTCACTTGATATTCTAGCTTTTGAGTTGTCCCGGCTCTCAGTCTCAGCTATCAGACCAGGAGCATCTTATCACTATTGCCGGAGCCAATATGATCCATCCGGAGCGTTTAGGCTTGGAAGTGACGGTCTGTGTTGACGGACAGGCTTTGACGGAATACGAGGCCGAAAATGACGAGATAGAACACGATGATCCATCTGTTGTTCTTCATCAGAACAAATGGACCATCACCAAGTACATCGAGGCTACTACCGGAAAGGCATTTACGATCAAACTCTCTGCCAAGGAACCATACAAGCTTGATGCCCCCAATCTTGCGTTCGAAGTGTTTGTTGATGGCAACGAGATCCAAACACCACTTATGAACGAAGCTGAATTTGCGAAGAAATCATGGAGCTACGAGGGTGAATGGGGTCATCACGTCCACAGGAAATGGTTCAACGGTCAAGCCAATGGTGTTTACCAAGATTCAGACGAGTAAGTGTCAATCAGGACTCGATATTTCTGTTCTGACTTTTAAAATAGCCTCCAAGAAGCTTCGAAAGTCCAGGATTGAAGAGCACAAAGAGATGATGTCCTCCATTGGGCAGATTGAAGTTTGCGTAACTCGAGATTCGGCTGGCAAGAATTCACGTATGCGGCGCGAGGAGGAATATAAAGAGACTGATTATTCCTTGAAGATTCATGAGAAAGTATTGATTAAAGATTCAAAGTCCCACGGCACCATGTTAGTTTTCTCTTGTGTCATTCTGCGATTTCATAATTGGTTAATGCTTTTGCTTGGAATAGACTTGGAAAGGAGGAACAGCTTGAAGACTTAGACGACCCTTGGGACACAGAAGCGCTTGATGGCGAATGCTTTCCAATACTCATCTTAGTCTTCAAGTACCGTGCTAGTAGGAAACACCTTTCTCCTTTAGCAAGCACCTACTGACATTTCTCCATATAGGGGAGGCACTCAAATCACTCCTTGTCCTTCCCCAAACATCAGAAGCAGAAGAGATCGTAGGACCAGCGTCAACTACTACACCAATCGTGAATCTCGAAAACCTTTCCCAAGCACAAAAGAGCCAGTTGGAGGTGTTTCTTCAAAGTCTCGTGGTATGTACTTCTACTTCTATCACTGAAAACCTCATGCGACCTGCAACTTGGGTTCTGATATGCAAATAAGATGTGCTAATTCAAATGTCTATTTAGGGAAGTCCAAACCCTTTGATGATTGAAGGCCCGGGAAAACCCAAACCTATAAAACGTGAGATAAATGACGAGAAGGAACCCGACACACCACGAAAGAAGCCCAAGAAGATGTTTGGCAAGATTACCATCGATCTGACGGAAAACGAGTCTGAAGCCATTGTCCTGGACTGAGGGGAACTCTTCACACTTTTTAAAAGCATCAGTTATTCTTATATGGCATGCGCTACCCGCTCGATTTGGCAGATTGGGAATTTAGTCGCGGGTTTCTCTCTATCATCAGAGAATGAATATGGCGGCACATTCATATAAAATGGTGCGGACCAACATTTAAGATTGTTTCTGGGAGACAAACATCCGGATTTCAATTTATGGGCATTCATTCGTTAACGGCAATCCATTAGGGAGGGTACATATTCCACATTAGCAATTAATACAATTCTAACTTGATAGAAAAGAGAAAACCCTCATGCACGTGTCCTTGCAATGAGACTTGACAAATATCAACTAATGGAAATAGCAAACTTCGCAAAACATGAATGAGAGACCGGTGTAACATTATCGACAAGTAAAGCAAAACGTTGCTCTTCCATGAACAGAGCACCGACTCAGGAAGACGTCAAGATGCTTCCGACAAAGACTGGTCCCTATAGTTGTTCCCTAATTCCAGCTTCCCCTGGATGATAACTTTGTCAATTAAAACTCGCTATTGCCTCCTGTTAAACTCCTCCCAAATTTTAATAAAGCAGTCATAAGTCATAGGTCATAAGTTGATCAGCCTCCTTCCAAGGAACTCCTTCCATCACAACGCGCCATTTTTAAACCATGTTTCAGCCACCCTGTCCACCGACCCACCAAGCACATCAGGACCCGAATTCTAGGTAACAAACATCTCATTCTCACTCTCATTCTCCGACTCAGAGTCACCAGTTAAATCAATATGAACCGATGCCTGCTTTCTCTTGGCTCTCTTTGCAGCCCTGTCACCACCGCCACTCGAGCCTCTCTTCCCAATAGGTTCTTTCTTGATCTTCTGAGCTTTTGCTTTGCGTTTCCCTCCACTGCCATGAACGGCCGGTGAATTGCTCTTATTCTGTTGGGCGAATTTGGCACGCAGAGCTTGGAACTCGCGTCGTTGGGCTCGACTAAACTCATTGACGCTGGCAATATCGTCGTCATCTTCATCATCATCAATATCTTCTTCGGAGGAGGAGGAGGAAGAGGAGCGCGAGGGCGTGCGAGGGATGACGTGCATTTGCTTTAGTGATTCCCTTGATCTGTAAACAAAGCGGAAGATTACCTCGGGCCAATCTTCGCCGTCTTTCTTCTTCGTACGCCAGACTTCACCCCTCTGTGTCTTCTGCGCGAGTCCTAAGCTGTGTTTAAGAATATCAGCATTGGTCTGTCTACTATCTTCTTGGATTTGGAGGATGGAATAACATACCTAGTGCCGTGGCTCTTTGCTTCGCCTTTTAAAGCTTTTTCGGGGATGACCTCGTTTTGTTTGTGGAATCCTCTCGTCGTGCCAGGTGTCTCGCCTCCTTTCTTGCCGTAATTCTCACGGTAGACTTTGATCTCAATAGTACCAACAGGCAAAAGGCGTTCAGCCAAACGCTTGACTTTGCTAAACTCCAGCGTACTGCTGTCTGTGGTTTAATTCCATTAGCTTGAGGGGAAAACGTGTAGAGACAGGTCTGAGCCTTAGAATATGGAGCTCGAGGTGGGGATTGGAGACCTACTGGTCTTTATCTCTGCAAACCGAAACTTCCTAATTGTGCAACCACGACCCTTTCCCTCCTTGACTCCCTCGACCTCCTCCTCCCAATGGCCATCATTCTTTTGAACTTTCGGTCGGGCAGCGGTGCCGATCCAAACCTCTTTTCCATCCACGCTAATGTAGAAACGGAGCTTGCTCTCCATGCGTTGGGAGTATAATGGACTAAGGGCGAGCTTAACAACGAATCTCTGGTCGGTAATCGACTCGATATACTTGGATATGGTTTGGGAGGCTAGGTGTTCCGCTACCTCAGGGTCATCATGCTTGACTTGGATCTCGTCGCGGTCTTCGTGCTCAACCGCGGCCTCGCCTCCGATTAGGATCTGGGCACTGATACCGCGGGGAAATTTAGATATGGCCATTGCTGCTAATGGTTTGCGTGGTGTGTTTTGATAGGTGTCGAATGGAATGATAATTTAAAGCTGATGACGAAGCAAGTGCTGTTTGGCACGGCGACAGGGCCCTGAGCTCCGGGTATTGGAGAATAATATGTTTTGATGGAGTGTACGCAGAGTAATTTGATTGAGCTAAGGAAGGACGAGAGAGATAATGGGGTGAAGTTGAAGACATAGAGATTTGATATGGAGACGTCGAGGTTGAGAGAGAAGGAAAACGGAGAGTGTGGAGAGTTTGAAACTCGAGTGAATTGAATATTGGGAATGTCCAGTGCATGATTGATCCCGAAAATGAATGAAACTTCAAAGCCCACTTCCCTTACGGTCCGCTTCCAACTTCCAAAATTGAATCCTCTGTATGTACGAGACACATTGTGGCTTGTATCACTTTCTTGATATTTCGACATTCTAAGAGTTTTTGATTTTCGAAAGCTGGGTGGCCTAGAAGCTCTATAATTGATCTTGGAAAGCAATCAGTAATGGGTAGTCCAGGATGAAAGAGCGCTACTTTTGCTCGAAAACAGGAAGAAGTGATATCGCCAACATTTGCCTTAATGCCATGCGAGAATTCTGGTCTCACGAGACGAGATAGGAAGAATCCAACCGGATGGTCGTCTGCTGTAGCCACGGACAAAAAGGCAGGAATAAATGGAACAGTGTATAACTTTCTCCGGATATGTGATTCAACTCTCCGGACCTAGCACTATAGCATACAGACAAGATGTCTCTTTACGGATTGCTTCCGATCAGTATGTAAATCACATTTGTGTGTAGACATCAACCGAACTACAGCTATGGCGTGAATCACTTTACAGCTTTAACTTTCAAGGCAATACTCTATCTCTATCGGTCGTTGACTAGGCATGAAGCCAGTCTGACGAAATAATATGAAATCAAACAAAATTAAATCGACTTTTCAGACCGTTTGGGTTTGGTACAGGGGGTGGTGGAGGAGCATTTTGAAAGATATCCAGCTGTCTACCCTGACTGGAAGAGGCCAATCTTGAAGATTGTCGGGAACGAGAATGAGGCGTGAGGAAAAGAAAAAGGACTAGCAAATTTGGACACTCATCCAAGATGTTGTATCGAAAACAAAGGAGACTGCCGGTGATGGAACTACCATATAGCAAGAGATTCAATATGGGATTGCAAAAGGCACTAACCCCCCCCTTGGTTGCTTCCTCAAAAGTGATAGTCGTAGCAGAAAAAAAGATGGCTCTTTGTTTTCCCCACTCGACAAGCGGGAATGCAGCAATACGTCGTACCTAGGTACCTTATTATGTAGCAAACAGTATCTACTCCGACGACAGGTCTGTCTTTCACATGCATCGACCATCCAAAACATAACGTGTCGAAGCCGAAGACACCAATCAGATGTGATGTTTACCACTCGGTGTGAAGATGCCCTAAAGGAGCTCTGCAGCCGGTATTACCGGAGGAAGTGAGATATATGTAAGCGTAAAGAGTGGACTTCATCGTACAGTACTGTACTGTACATGTATCATGTGAAGATATCGAGGTCCATATAAAACAGACACCTGCAGGACCCCAAAGGCGGCACTCGATAACATCGACTTCTATATGGTAATATTATTGTAGAATGGTGCCGCCTTTGCTGTGCACTGTGAACGGGCCTCTTTGGTGGCTTTTATGAAAATGCAACCCGTGAGTTCACGACGTCAGTGCCGATTGACAGGCAGGGATGAGGGGAGAGGGAGAGAAAGATAGACCGAGCTGTCCATTCTTCACTCCATATGTTCACTTCCACGTCGCATAATCCATCGTTTGCTTCTTTCCCCCAGCGCGACGTCTTTACTTTGTACCTATCCTAATACGAGTCTCATCAATGCATCAATAGAACGCTTTTGAGTGCTTACTCTACTTTGCGCCCCCTCCGGATTTACATAATAACTACCTACTGGTGGTACGAGCTTCTCAACCGACGACGACAATCTGACCCCAACAATATTACGTCGTACCCCTCCCATACCAACCATCTATGCATTCTTCTGTCCCTACCACCGTCTAATCCCATTTCCACTTCCACTATCGTTTACTTCCTCTCGAATTCAAAGTACTGCTATCCATCCCATCTTCCGACGCATCCTTGCATCCCTCTGTCATGCAGTACGTCCGAAGCATCAGCGGATCAGTCTCGAAAACATGGAATTCAATCAACCCAGCGACCCTCAGCGGAGCCATTGATGTGATAGTTGTTGAGCAGGAGGATGGCTCATTGGCATGCTCTCCCTTCCATGTCAGGTTCGGGAAATTCTCCCTCCTCCGCCCATACGAAAAGAAGGTTGAGTTCAAGGTTAATGGCGCGAAACAAGACTATGCTATGAAGTTGGGAGAGGGAGGAGAGGCATTCTTTGTTTTCGAGACCAGTGATAATATCCCTGAGGCTATGCAAACATCCCCCCTGGTCTCTCCAGCTTCCAGTCCGCCGTTACAAGCAGAAGGATCGAATGTCTCAAATCTATCAGAACCAGACTTCCTGGACCTGGATACTATCGGTAGAAAGCCCAGGTCTGCTAGTGTAGCAAGACCTGGCGTCGGGGCACTTTCAACATCTGTGCCCCGAAGAACCAGTAATCTGAGTAAGTCACTACGTCCGCAAATCACCCTATCTAATATTTTCAAGCCAATCTGACGCCCCTCTCATCATCTCCAGATGCCATCACAAGACCGCTATCTGGGGACTGGTCTGGAATCACATCTGGTCGACACCATACCGACGAACTCCTACCTTCCTCTGCACGATTGCATTCCAGCGACGATGCAGACCGAGAGCGACAAACGCGCTCCTTAACCCCCACATTAGCTATTCACGATGGGCCCTCGGATTCCTTCACAGAGCGATCACAAAGTCCCCCGCCTCCACCTACAAAAGAAGCCATTGAGCGTGCGGTAGCCTTGTCAAACAAACTTTCGGCATCCAACATACCGACCCAGGTCACGGATACGGGTGATTTGATGTTGGACATGACAGGATACAAGAGTAGCGATGAAGATGCTCTGCGAGCTGAGGTTATTGCCCGAAAGATTCTCTCTGAAGAATTGGAAGGCAATTACGATATTGGCGCCCTCATTGGAGCTGATGAGCATGGAAATCTATGGATATATAGCAGCGAAGAAGCAAAGGAGGCCGCAAGTCAAAGGGCAGCATTGGCAGGGATGAATATTCCCGCAGTTCTGAACGATTTAGCATCAGACCCAGGCTATGGGAGCGAGGCAGAAAGCGAGAGAACTGCACCTGTTCTGTCTGCTCATCGCCGTGCAGAATCCGACATCGGTGGTATGGGTTTAGAGACACCCCCCAAGACGCCACCGGAAGGTGCTGGGGATCCTAATAGGAACTATGCCAAGACTCTACGACTGACGAGCGACCAGTTGAAAGCTCTGGGCCTGAAAGCTGGACCGAATCCCATGAGCTTTACGGTCAATCGGGCAACTTGCCATGCTTACATGTATCTCTGGCGTTACGACGTACCTGTTGTGATTTCTGACATTGATGGTACAATCACAAAGTCCGATGCTTTGGGGCATGTGCTCAATATGATCGGCCGTGACTGGACCCATATTGGTGTTGCGAAGCTGTACACCGAGATTGTTGCAAACGGGTACAACATCATGTACTTGACGTCTCGCTCGGTAGGATTAGCAGATACAACACGAGCCTACATGAATGGCGTGGATCAAGAGAGCTATCGTCTACCCAAAGGTCCAACGTTATTGAGTCCAGATCGCACAATTGCAGCTCTAAGGAGAGAACTGTACATCCGTAAGCCGGAAGTCTTTAAGATGGCCTGTCTGCGCGATATTAAGAGCCTATTCGGTCCCACCCGTACACCGTTCCACGCAGGTTTTGGCAACAGGCTTACAGATGCATTATCTTATCGATCCGTCAGTATACCAAGCAAGCGCATCTTTACAATCAACAGCAACGCCGAGGTATCCCTCGATTTGCTAAGTCTTAACAAACTGCGGTACAGCTATGTAAATATGCGAGAAGTAGTAGATCATTACTTCCCACCCGTAAATACGCTGGTGAAAGGCGGCGGGGAAGAATACACGGATTTCACATACTGGCGCGACCCAGTCCTTGACCTGGATGATTTCAGCGCCTCGGAGAGTGGAGATGGTCCAGAAGATGAAGAAGAAGAAGACAATGTGAGCGAAGATGGAGATGCGAATGAAGACCTCGGAGATAGTTATATATCGCGGGACTCTATCGATGAAGGCGATGAAGGCGACGAAGGCGACGACGGAGAAGATTACAACGGGCTAGAAGAAAGTATGCTGTCCGGTTCAGCCGACGAGGATGACCTGGAACATATGACAAGCAGCATGATCGAGGCGGATTTCGAAGACGCAGACCACGGAGAACATGAACATGTGGAAGAAGAACCACAGGAAGACGGCACGCAGGCCATTGACCTCGAAGCGCTCCGGCAAGCAGGAGAGCCGAGGCGTGATGTAGATGCCGAGATAATTTTGGGACTCCAAGGGCTTGACTTGGAGAGAGAGGAGTCGGAGGATAGGAAAGTGTCAGTGAGAGTACCAAACTAGGTGGGTAGCTTGTATTTTGGCGTTAGGTGGGTACGGTACGGAATGGAATGGAATTGCAATGCAATGCAAGGGCGGCATATACCAGGAGCGGGTTGGTTCATTGGTTGATTGATTGCTTGATCAGAGGAATGGCTCTTTTGGTTGAGAAAACTTGTATACTATCGCATGGTGTGTCTGTCTGGCATAGAAGCTGCAGCAAGCAAGCAAGCATAGCGAGGCGTAAGTTTGTTTATTCGAACAGTTTTATAAGATCAAGAATACAGCGAGCGAGCTTTTTTGTTCATTCCATCTTCTATCTCATGCGAGTCACCTATTCCCAGTACTCGTACCTTGCACAATTAAACCCTAGATCTAGCGTAGGCACCTTACATCACATCTCACACGAACTCGGACGTAGTGTAACATGTGTTAGTTACGCAACCGGTATATACGGTGTGAATAGTGAGTACAGAGCAAACCAAACCAAATTAAATCACTTGCAAAGTGGGACATTGAAATCAAAATAAGTAAAGTAACAAATGCAGGTATGATATCTATTGTACAATCAAGAAGCAAAGAAAATCTCGGCTCATTGTAATCCTAATCCGGATCCATCCATCATCATCAAACTCCCCTCCGTAAAGCCATTTTCCATCTGCCATCTGCCATCCATGCCCCCAATTCAATTCGTGAATATGAGTGACCAGTGACCACCAAAAAGATAATGCAATATTAGTATAATGCATCGCAACGCACGCTATAGACACACCACACACAAATCTACTGAATCATTTCTACGTCGCCTGCGCTAGAAGCGCCAGGAGCCTCGGTACCAGGAAGAATGCCCTCATCGGTCCACTTTTTGAATTCCATGGAGACCTTTGAGACTTCATCATGGTCCAAGCCCTTCATCCAAGCATTGTTCATTTCGAATTTCTCCTTGAACTTCTGCGTCCTGACATCTTCGAATTTCTTTAGTCTTTCGCGAGCGGCACTAACACCTGTCTCGGAGTCGCGAGTGAGGGACTTGTCGGTGTAGATAAAGAATTCGGTGCCGCCCTCTTTATAGATAATCTTAAGGCTATTGGCACAGACTTGAAGTGTCAGATTCTCACTGAAGACGAGTGGCTTTGGCTCTTCGGCGTCGGTATCTGGCGATGGGACGTTGCGAGTCAAAAGACTTTTGCGCATTTTCCCACGGTTGACACCTTCTGTCGGCTCAATGCGAATATAAGAAGAGACGTAGTATTGCCAACGGGCCATACGTTCCATGTCATCTAGATCAAAGGTCGTCTCGTCTCGCTGGACCCATCGCACCGTTGCTTGGCCTTTAGCGGGGGTCTGACAGGTTCGTTAGTCAAGCATTCCAGTCAGAAAGAGAAAAACATACCCATTGGATTAAAAATAGTTCGCCATCCTTAATATATTTATCAGCTTGCTTGCGCATGTTGATTTCCGTATTATACGTGATCTCCTTCAGCTCTCTGTTGCGATAGTACTGGTCGAGAAGATCGGGAGTCTTTTCCTTTGCATCGACACTCGCGCAAACAGAACCTAACCTGGCAAGGGTCTTGAGTAGATCTGTGATGGTGTAGAGTTGCCAGCCCTTCTTCAGATAGAAGTGTCGGAGGAAGTCATGATACTTGCCCTCGTCAAGATCGTTATTGACGAAATCCTCAACCAACGCCAAGGTACGGGAATAGTACGTTTCACCATTGAGTGGTTGATGGAAGTCAGTCTTGCTGTTGTCCATCAAGCCAATTTTCTCAGCTGGTTTCACCTCAGTTGCACGAATACCTTCCGCTTTCGCTTCTGGTTCGCTTTCCTTGACCTCCTTCAATCGTCGGTAGAGAGTCTGGAAGACGGTGAAGAAGACATAGATAGTCTGGTTACAATAGAGGCTGAATACATCTTGCTTGAATGGTTGATCAGCTTTCAGCTTAAAGTCCTCGGCGGAGAGTTCTTTAGTTCCGTGAATCGCGACTGCGTTCGGTACAGCTGACCAGCGCTCATTGGTGACTTCCGTAACAGCACGATCATCAGCAGTTTCTCCGCCATCTTCATCGAGAGACTCCACGTCGGGAGTGGACTCTTTACTTCCAGTGGTACTATCTTCTTTGTGACCACGACCTCTAGTGCCGTTTCGATTTTTGTCGAGAACGCCTCTACGCAAATCGTTCTTTCTGCCATTCACAGGGCGTCTGCCACGACCTCCATTTGGAAGTTCGTGAGGAGCAGCATCATCAAAGTCATCATCTGGGGTCCCCCGATCGATATCTCTGGTGCACTCAGCAACTGTCTCATGAGGGAGACCAAAAAAGACTGGGATGAACTTTTCGAAAAATTCGGTAATACGGCGTCGCTCATGGCTGTTGTGTTGCGGAGCGTTGTTGGCATATATAATCATGAACCGGAGGACATTGGCGATGACTTCGGTGTCGGAGAAGTCGAATTCATATTGATACTTCAGGACATCTCCGCGTTGCATGGTTCGCTGGCGTCTCTGTTCCTCATGTTTGGTTTTGATGGCGTCAATAAGATGCTTTTGAGAAAATGTTCGCTTATCAGCTTGCTTGACAGAAAGGCCCATGTGGTCAAGACTCCTCAAGTACATGCTGACTGTCTGAGCATTCCAGACCTTCTCCCACTCGCGCTAAACAGTGTCAGCTGGAGCCAAACCGCAAAGGGGGGACGAGTTAGCTTACCTGCGTGAAACGCCACTCCTCATCCTTTTGCTTCAAGCGAGCTAGGACAATTGGAAGGACAGCACCTGGGTCCTTGAAAAGATCCGCAGCAACCTCTAGACCTCTGTCGCCATAAATCTTTTTCAACACACGCTTGTAAATCGATTGGCTTGCCCCACCTAGGCCAATTGGCATGCGGAACTCGGCTCGCTCTTCAGAGTTAAGACCGAGTAGATTCTGCCCAATGGGTTCGAGAAGCTGGATGACCTTTGCATTGGCTTCAATATTGAAATCATAGTCATGGCGTTCTTCTTCAATTCGGTGTAGACCTTCTTCGTAGACGTTCTTCCTATGAGCGACGAAACCAGAGTCTTCCGATGCCCAAGTGGGATGCGAAGCCCAGTCATCATTGAGAATCTCATTACACATGTCATCTCGCCCACTGCATGGCTTTAGGCGCTCCTGTAACTGGTCAGTACGGAAAAACTTATTGCAACAAGCGAGACTCAAATGGCTAGTAATAGGCATATATCTAACAACTATTTTGGAGAGGGAAAAGGTTAAACATTAACATACCCTTTTAGGGAGAAGTCGATAACTGGGCCCTAGTCCTCTGCAATTGCTCAACGAGACTCGTTCAGTAGGGGGCTTCGGTCGATTGTCGATAGGTTGCATCACTTCTTGCGTAGGGCCATCATAACCAACGAAGTCCTTGAACCAGGTCATCAAGTCACTGCTCGCACCGATGAAGGTACTCGCTTTGTGGACGAGGACATCGCGATCGATCATATCTTGTGAAAATAGATTGCACAACTTCAAGAATTCGTTCATTCTCTTCTTGTCGCCAATGTGCTTCTTAACACGGTCGAAGAAAGCTAACTCTTCCTGAGTAGCAGCAGTAGTCGTGCTAGGAGGAAGTGGTTCGGGAAGTACTGGTGTCAAGGTAGGAGAAACTGCTTGCGCATCTGGTACGGCAGACTTGTTGTGCGTCAACTTCGTTCTCTATGGAAAGCAGTAATCAGTAAATGGGAGAGCGAGCTCTCAAAGGAAGTCACGTACCTTGTTGTTCGGTCCACCTCCAATTCCTCTTGAACTGTCACCCATGACATTCATCTGAGATCCAGAGGTAGCATTGTTACTCGCGCGAGGACGTTTCTTGTTGTCTTTGCTGGCACTCGCAGGGACTGCAAAGTTACCAACTGGTGGCAGTTTTGATGATTCGCCGCGTGCGTAGGATGCCTGCGGTGTTTGGTTGGCGCCTGTCATATTCGCCGCTTCTTCTGCTGCTTTCTGCGCGGCCGCTTTTGCTTGGGCTGCAGATTCAGGCAAGAATTGTTTGAAATCCTCTAGCAGGTCTGGGGCGGTGTTGAAAAGTTGCGTGACCTGAGCATAAACGTCTTGAATTGGTTTGGATTCTCGTTGATAAGTTTGGAGGATCTCCAAGAATTGCTTGTAGATCTCCGGACGGTCTTGGAAGCGGTTCTATAACAGGAGAGATCATTAGCGCCAAACATTGCTATTGTCAATTGAATAGAATTCATCGCAACAAGGGAGTGATTCTGCCAGTGTTTGTCGCGGTTGGCATAAAATTCACCGGTTACTTGGGCTTACCTTGATCTTATTGACATAGCTGATAGCATGATTAAATTCAACTGGCCCTCGCTTTTCTAGTCCTTGCTGTCCTGTAGCGCCGTTCATACTAGCTGGACCACCTGGTGTTGGCGTTTGTGTGTTTCTTGGCGGATGACCTAATGTTGTTGCAACAGCATTTGTAAGTTGAGATACACCCCTTTGCTGCTGTTGGTGAGCTGCTGCGGCTTGTTGCGCTTCGTATGTAGAGTGTTGAGGTTGGTTTTGGCCGTAAGCAGGCCCGGCGCTCTGGTTCTGTGGACTGAAGACGCCTTCCGGACTCTCGATACTATGCTGAGGCTGTTGCTGCCAGTTACCGTGACGTTGTTGTGAACCGTAGTATCCACCGCTCGCACCACCTTGTCCCAAAGCCGCATCTGGCAAAGCACGGCCAGCTCCTGTAATTGACTGTACGGTAGTTCCCATGGGGGTTGTTACTCTGATTGTATTAGGGTCATTTCCGGCACCGCACTCGATGCGATATCCGGGAGGGAGGAAGGTATTGAATCCTTGGATGAGGTTCGGATGGCCAGCGAAGAGCTCTGACACACGGTTGATGACCCCAGGAGTATCAATACTGTTGAAAGTTAGTTTAGTGGAGACACGAAAGTTAAAAATATAAGGAAAGAGCTTACGCTTGACTCTTGAAATCTTTCATTATATCAAGGAATCGGTTATAAACATCGGGTTGGTCGGCAAATTGTACCTTGACTTGATCAAGGTAGCTAAGGGCATCCTTCAGTTCATTTGGGTAAGCAGTGGCTCCATTAATAGTAATTAAAGGATAGGAAACAAGATGGTGCCCAAGATGGGCGAAATGATTGTCTGTTATTTGAGGGGGAGTGGGGCATTCCATGCTTGGTGTGTAAGTTTGGGGGGAGAAAAAGAATTCCTGTTGAATATAAATCCCACAATGCAGTGAGGTTCTAGTCATTCAGAACTGGACTGAGAATCCAGGGTCGAAAAACGCGGGCGCTATGCTTTAGGGCTCGAAACCACAACAAAGTGGTAGAAATAGCCGGCCTGCGCTAAGTTGCTTCGGCTCTTGTGGACTATATAAAGGGCTTCGAACCCGCAAATCCACTCGACCAGAAATATAAACTTACATTCAAAATAGGTTGTTGCCCCGCTTGCCCAAGGGCAGCAGGAGCGCCGGATATTTGATGTCCCTGCGGAATCGGCCCTCCAAACGGCAGTTGCTGCAATCTAGACACCGCCTCTTGTTGCTGCTGCTGTTGTGTTTGTTGTTGTTGCTGTAAGGGGCCGCCAAATCCGACACCAGCGGTACTAGCAGAACCTATAGGGACGCTGGGAGGGGCATTGTTGTGGTGTAAGATGCTGGGTCCAAAGCCTTGTTGCTGCTGGAGCTGGCTTGTAGCATTTTGTGGGTTGTGCTGGATGGTGCGGTTGGCTTCACTATGCAAAGGGCCTCCAAAGGCATTCCCAGGTCCACTGGGAGCACCCAAAGGACCAGAAGGAGGAGCACCACCGTGGTTTGCAAGTAAGCCACCAGGACTGTGTATTGCGCCTGGTAGACGTGAAGCGACGGGTTGGTGGAGAGGGATCGACGCTGTGTCGTTCTGGTGCGGCGGGGCGGGCTGATAGTGCTCTCGATGCTGCCTTTCTCGCTCTTGACGCTCATTCTGCTCTCGTTCGCGTTGAACAAGCTCTGCCTGTTGCTGTAAAGCATGTGCTCGGCGCTGATCCTCTGCCTCCCTTTCCCTTTCGCGATCGTAGCCCGGTGGGCCGTGTGGAGGATTATTCATGGCTGAGTTGAAGCCAGTGTATTATGACATAGAAGTTGGTAGTCGTTCGAGATATATTCGACGTTATTTGGTTCTGGATATTGGTCGAAGGTTGGAAAGGAAAATCGAGGCGTCTCTCTGGGATGAAAATGACGCGGTTGAATGGACATTCGGGGAATCAACAACTGCTGTACAAATGTAGCAAATCAAACACACGCTCAAAGCTTCAACTTGGATATGTGAATATTGTCATAAATTATCGCAAACTGATCCGCCGAGGAGTGGTGGGAAACGTAAGGAGTTGACGAGGTGAAAGAGAAGGGGTGCTTCTTGCGACGGCACCATTACTATCCCCGTGGACTAGCCAGAACAGGGCCATTTAGCTGGCAGAATAGATTCACCGCCCCCACCATGGAGAAGTCATCTCAGCCTTGTTGGAAGGTTTTAGATAATTACCTCGCAGTTCGATTGTCTGGATGAATATTTACATCCGTCTTTGAAACTAAATGCATATGATTTTCTCGTAATATAGTATTTCCAATTGTTCCGTTATAGTGGGAGCGAGTGACCAAGAAGGTAAAGATACACCAATGTTACAGTTTTTTCAGCCTTCTACCTAAGTACCTTGATGAGCACGTGAGCCAAAGACACTGTGAAAATCTTGTCACGTTTGAAGTTTCTTGACTACCAGAATATATAATCATCACTCTAACTAGATTTACGCCGGCAAATTAAAGACAACCTTGATATCGAAATAGGGGATCAGAATCGTATAATCTACGTCACGTGTGACAGCTCAAACGCTTGGCATTCTCTTCCAGGCCTACTCGACCATCGTCATTGGCACGACTTTGTCCATCAAAACCCTCCACCGCCAAAATGCGATATACCTCCCTCATCTACCCAATCCTGACAATCTCCCTAGCCTCCACGGCCTACGCTCGCAACAAACAATATCCCATCAACTCCCCGCTCCTCACCCCCGCCATGCCACCCCCTCCCTCCTCAACATCTACCCCGGCAGACGACAGTACCGTAATCCTGTCCGACGTCCTCGGCAATGACCGCAGCATCAACATCTTTGCAGGCTTTACTCGGGACTTCGCGCCCATCTCCAAACGCTTCGAAGACTCCTCCCTCAACACTACGATCCTCGCGCCTATCAATTCGGCCATTATGGGCCTGCCGAGGAAACCCTGGGAAGACCCGGAGGATTATGATAAGTTAGGCGCGGAGGCATATGAGGGTGGTGGTGGGCAGGAGAGGGCACAGAGGAATCTGAGGAGATTCGTAGAGGCGCATGTTGTTCCTGCTAGCCCGTGGAAGGAGGGGGAGAAGTTGAAGACGCTCGCTGGAGGGGAGATTTGGTGGGAGAGTAAAGATGGGGGGAAGATGGTGAGTTATTCTTGCGCTTAAGAAATGGAGCGAGAAGTTCTAATGCCATTATAGATTCAACCAGGGAATATTGAGGTTAGTTCTATAGCGAGCAAGGTATATAATGGGGAGGTCTGGATTTTGAAGGGAGTGAGGAATTATGCTTCGCAGTGATACGGATATTTGATATGGATATGATTTGGGCTCAGGAATTTAGACATACGGACTGGCGTTTTGGTAACGGCTTCGGTTCAGAGTGCACTTCGATCAGCCGTTGACATAGGAGGATACGATTATAATGATAATGAAGTGTGTATACGGCAATGTTGAAATACATCACCTACAACCTGTAATACACAATGTAATACTCACAATGTTTTGAACCGTTGCTGAAGCTTTCCGCAATGAGACTTGACAAACCCACCATATAGGCCAGCATCCACTTCTGTGATAAGCATGACATGATTATTTAGTCTTCTTGAAAGTAATAATAGAAATAAAAAGTGTACTTAAGACTATTCTAATAGTTCTACACGGTAGCAATTAGAAGTTCCTTTTTTTATGCTACACGAGTTAAAGACTAGGCATGGAACACATTGGGTCCTTTTTGCCCAAGCTAAGAGCACCCGACTCAGACAATATGCCCTCTCTCCCATCTCACTATAATAATTAGATCACTAGCATAGAGCCCATAGATATCGATTCGGCGTAGTACTTGAGCGTTCTCTATGAAAGTGTCTGGGACGTTTTGAGTAATAAACAGCTTGAAGTGTCTAGATCGGGTAATAAAATCTTGTAGGTGTCTGGTTTAGGAAATTAAAGCCCAGACATAATGATCTAGCCAGAGTTGTAGACTGCGGGGATAATAAAAGATGTACTTCGTCTTGCATTTGTCCGAAAAGGCGAGGGGATCCTGCTTGGCTTCAAAATATGTTCCTTTGGTTCAAAACATTAAAATCGCAATATCACAATTGAAAAGCTCTTCTTCACATGTTAAAATGTCCTAAGAATAATGAGCTGAGATTCTGATCATATGATTCCTCCAAAAGTCTGGAGAAGGATCTGTGGGGCTTAGCGGCAATGCTCAAAGGGTCTCTTCACATGCTTTCTAATTCAGCTGCTGACTTTTGAATTACTCGTGACACAGCAACCAACAAACACATTACATGTGCCTTTGCTGAATCAATGGACCGAGATGATTCACTTGTATCTTTTGCTCCTGCCCCGAGATACAATAGGCAATTTGCTTGTACATCGCAAATGCCCTACTTAGAAGTTAGAAGTCGGTGAGAAGCAACACAAACCCCCGCGATCGAGATGGCCCGTGAACGTGACTCTGCTGACCTAACAACTACCTCCATTCGTCGAATCAGAAGCTTCCGACTTCTTTTTGGTCCGAGCTGATTGGAGGTACCGAGCAAGCCTCGGCTGGAAGTCAACCCCAGACTCTCTAGTTCCAGTCGCCCCAGCGCAGCAGTTCAAAAGCCGTCCCGGACCGGACCTTCACACTCTTCCTTTGTCCCCTTTCCCTATTGCCTTCCCCAAATCCTTTCCAGCCATCTATCTCTCCTCATCCTCTTCATAATACAGTATTCAAGATGACTCCAAAAGTCATTGTCGTTGGTGGTGGACGTATGTTGAATGCCGCTTCTACCCCACTCAATTACTCGCTGACCCTTCCCAGTATCTGGTTTGAGTGCCGCGCACACCATCTATTTGGCTGGTGGAAGCGTCGTTGTTCTAGATAAGCAAGGTACGCGCAGTCTCATAAGTATCCTATAATAATAGCTAACGATCAATCTAGGTTTCTTCGGAGGCAATTCCACCAAGGCAACGTCGGGAATCAATGGTGCCCTCACCCGGACACAAGTCGACTTGGGAATAAAAGACAGCGTCAAGCAATTTTACGATGATACCCTGAAGTCTGCGAGAGATAAGGCTAGGCCTGATCTCATCAAGGTTCTCACATACAAGTCTGCTGCTGCTGTTGAGTGGCTTCAAGATGTATTCAACCTCGATTTGACTCTTGTTTCACGGCTAGGGTATGCATAAACCAGTCCACCTCCACAATCACATGCTTATATATTTCCAGTGGCCACACCCATGAAAGAACACACAGAGGGCACGATGCCAAATTCCCCGGTATGGCCATTACATATGCGTTGATGCAGCGACTCGAGGAGCTCGCAGAGAGTGAGCCAGAGCGTGTGCAAATCATCAAGAAGGCTCGTGTTACCGGGGTCAACAAGGATGGAAACACGATTTTGGGTGTTCAATACGAGTTTGGCGGAGAGTCCACCGCTCTTGAAGGGCCAGTTGTTCTTGCGACTGGTGGATATGCTGCGGATTTCACAGAGACCTCTCTCTTGAAGAAGTGGAGACCAGATACCTTTGACCTCGCCTCTACCAACGGTGTACACGCCACGGGTGATGGACAGAAGATGGTTATGGCGATTGGTGGTAACGGAATTGACATGGACAAAGTTCAAGTCCACCCAACAGGTCTCGTTGACCCTAAGGACCCCGGCTCCAAGTGGAAATTCTTGGCAGCCGAAGCTCTCCGTGGTGAGGGTGGTCTTCTCTTGAATGGAGACGGTGACCGGTTCTGCGACGAACTCGGGCACAGAGATTACGTCTCCGGCGAGATGTGGAAGGAGAAGGACAAGGGAAAATTCCCCGTCCGCCTACTCCTCAACTCCAAAGCCTCTAAAGTCCTTGACTTCCACACCCGCCACTACTCCGGCCGTGGGCTCATGAAGAAAATAACAGGCAAACAGTTAGCCAAGGAGATCGGTTGCACAGAAGAACATCTTCAAGCCACCTTCACGGCCTACAACGAGATCGCAGACGGCAAGAAGAAGGACCCATACGGCAAGAAGTTCTTCACCAACGGCCCTGTAGACATCAACGATGACTTCCACGTCGCCGTTATGGAGCCCGTACTACATTTCACCATGGGCGGTATCGAAATCAATGACCAAGCTCAGATCCTCAACTCGGAAGGAAAGCCATTCGACGGCCTCTACGCATGTGGTGAGCTTGCCGGAGGTGTCCACGGCGCCAACCGTCTCGGTGGTTCCTCCTTGCTCGGTTGTGTAGTCTACGGTCGCGTGGCAGGAGACTCAGCCTCCAACTATCTTTTCCAAAAGGCGCTCAAGGGAACTGCCGGCGGAGCGAACCAACGTCTTGGACAAATATCGCTGCACATCGACCCTTCGCAACCTGGCAAAGTATCCGTAGAATGGGGCTCCGGCTCTGGATCCGGCGACAAACAAGCCCAGCAATCGCAAACCTCAGCTGGACCCGTATTGACACAATCAGGCGACTCGTCGGACCCAGGAAAAGTAAGCAAAGCCGGTGCGCCTGCCAAATTCAGCGTGCCAGAAAAGGAATTCAGCCTTGAAGAAGTGGCAAAACACAACACGAAAGAAGACCTCTGGGTCGTCGTCAAGGGCGTTGTGTTAGATCTCACAAATTGGCTGGATGAGCACCCTGGTGGGCCGCAAGCGATTATGAATTTCATGGGCAGGGACGCGACGGAAGAGTTTGAGATGTTGCACGATGATGAGGTTATTCCCAAGTACGCGCCTAGTCAGGTTATCGGGCGCGTGACGGGTCAGGAGGTTACGTTGGAGATCTAGATGAATAGATGCGTTGAGCGTGCGTGAACGAAATGAAATTTTGGTGACCGAGGGAAAAGGGGTACGGGTACGGGTACGGGATTTGTATTGATAGGTACATGAAGCACATGGACGAACTTCTTACATAACCATCTTCTTTTGAATTACTCCGTACAATCGGCCGTTTCGTTTCGTGTCGTTTGCATTACAGCAGCTACTGACTACTTGTACGCGCGCTTCCTTCGTACCTCGGATCCCCAATCCCGTGAGAGACAGACAAACCCCTGTGCAAATCATGACATGCACTTGCACAGTTCCCGGGTACACTGCACGCGTGTGTGACATGTGTGAGTGTGGTGTGTGTGCATGTGGATGCTTCTCCGCATTCTAGGGAAAGGGCCGACTCTGGTGGTTCTGGCCCGGCACGGAGCGGACTGGGGCTCGGGGTGCATTTTAATGGATTGCGGAGGTGTGGGGAAGGGGAAAGGAGGGGAGCGAACAAACGAACGCTATTTATATTTTAGGTTTGGGTTTGTGGATGTATGTCTATGTATGTACCTAGGTAGGTACTTTTGGGGGTTTCAGGATTTGATGATTAAGAAGGAAGGAAAGAAGGAAGGAAGGAAGGGTGGGTTCCTGAAAGGGGATATGCATGTGATGGGATTGGGAATACAATCGTGGGAATTCTTGTTGTTGTGTCTGATAGCAGTCCTTGTTAAGAGTATCTTCCAATGCAATTTGCCTCTGGTTTTCTCCTTCTTCTAGCTGTTGGATATTTGGATTTGATGCTTTGGCTAGCGCTTGGGCGTGTGGTTGGGGATGGGACTACTATAAGGCGAGATGGTAGGTCTGCCTGCTTTGTTTGCACCAGCGTCAAGGAAGAGGGTGGGGATTTTGGGCAGGTGAAAGAGAATTCGTGATGAGGGCTGTAAGTAAGTTGTGGATTGAAGGTTGATATGTATTGAAGTTGGAGGTTTGGGAAGTCAAAGTGCAGGTTGCTGGACCTTTAGTTCTCTATTTCTATTTTGACGTCCAGGATAGAGTAAAGTTTTATGTAAGAGATGGTGTGTGGAACGGACCTCGATCGATCTTAGGTTGTAAGACTCTTCACGCTTCTTCTGATAATACTACTATCTGCCAATAGCTATCTGCGTTTCGCAGCACCGACGGAATACAATGATATATGCATTGCAGAACACTGTTGTCTTTGTTGTAGACTAAAGAGGGGTTGATGTAGCACAGGCTAAGTATTCTTTTCTTGTCGGCTTTAGGTGACTTGTTTTGGTCGATACTTGGGGAACCATGTCGAACAGTTTAGCGCAGCGTCTGGTATCTTGAAGAAAGTGTTCTACGAACAGCGCTGTGTAAGGAGAAACGTAGGCATGTCCTAATCATATCTGCATATATCCGTGCCGATTTAAAAGAAGGTTGTGGCGCGCCGGCAGTCAACGTACCAGATCCGAAGTCTTGCAAAACATATTGGTTTGCTAGGTAGCTCTCCTGCTCCTATCTAGACGTGTACCGTGAGCACCTTGCTCACGTTGGATATCATGCAGGTGAGATGGCATTGCAGGCCAACGTCCGGTCGCTTGGAATATGCTATTCAGGTTCGGAGGGTAAGATAGGTACAGGTGGTACGACTTTTTCAGCTTTTGGCCAAGCGAAGCTGATGCCCAGTCTCAGTACAGGATCATCAACTAGTGGGGGCTTGCAAGAATAAGGTGAACAAGGCAAAGGGCAATACCGATCATGGAATATACTCGTACGATGTGGAGATTGGAAGCTATTGTGCTAACTGAAGTAGTTGCAGCTCAGGGGCAACCATTCGAAATAGCATACATGGCTTGCGCTGGAGTTTGTGCAACGACCCATCCAGTTGGGTGAAAGAAATAAAAGATCTTTGATCTTGATTCCATAGTACTAGATAATCGTGTATGTGTAGGCGGATAGCAAGGTACCTATCAGCACATGGTGCAGAGGAAACAAAAGCATTGCAACAGTCGACATGCTCGTTGCAAATTGTACGCATTGCATGAAGAGAAAAAAACATAAAACATTCCAGCGACTACTGGTCACCTGCAAGTCAAGCCACAGTAGTAACAAGTGCGGTATTTCGGTGAACAAACTCTACATATGCTCAGGTATTGTATGTACCGCAAACTGGCACTGCAGACAAGGGGCACAAGCACAAGAAGACGGAGGTACCTACGTGACAGTGCTAAAATACAGCACATTGGCGACGAGTGCTCGATTCTGAAGCGCAGTGCATTGCAGCTATATGTCGAGTCCTTATGTTGTGTGATGGACGTGGTTCAAAAATTGGAGACGGATGCTACTGGATGGAGTCGAAGCGCCTGTTTGAGGAGGATGGGGAGAGACGGGAGAGAGAAAGATAGGGGGGGCTAACCGGAAAGGATTTAGGCTTCACCCGCATCTTCCTTTACCACAACATGATTCATGCTCGCTCGCATTCCCCCGGTTCTGCAGGCGAAAGAAACAATAGAATTATGACAATGAGTATGATCGTGCTGGATCAGTCAATATCAAAGTATGGTCAATTAAACCTCGATGCCTCCTCTAATGCCTTGATGCCTTGATGCCTTGCTGCCCCCCTAAGCTGACCTTACCTTACCTGACCTGACCTGACCTAACCTTAATCCGGGGATGTTTTTTCGCAGTCGCCGTTGACAGCGCCGCACTGGCGCATATTCCTCCTCCTCCTCTCCCCCTCCATCTCCATCTTCATCTGCTGCCTCTCGCTCAATCCGTGTGCAAGTACCGTAGCTAGTAGCCAAAGTCATGCCTATCAAAGTAATGCGCGAATGTGACAGTTGTCTGGACTTTTATCAAGCCTCTGGCCTTTGATTGGAACCAATTTAAGCCTACCGGCCGCCACTTTCTCTCAGCTGCTCCCCAAGGGTCCAAGACTTCCAGGTTGCTCTTCAGGGCCCCATCCCCCATCACGGACCCCCGTCAGGCCATGCGATGCCATGCCATGCGATGCCCGGCCACCCAAATAATCCGTAATAATGCAATGCAATCCCCCTCCCAGCGCCCAGGCTACTATGAAGTACGGAGTATTCTTCGCTTCACGACTCCCCTCCCCCTCCCGTCCCCGTTGTGATTGATTGATTGATTGATTGATTGATTGATCGATTGCCTGCCGAGCCTGCCCTTCCCTTCCCTTCCCCCATCACTCACTCTGCGCTCGTCCTCGCCCGCCCGCCTGCTTGCTTCCCCACACCTACAATAGCGACCCTAACGACTATCTACCCTACCCTACCTACTCCGTACCTACCTACTCTCTCCCACCTTCCTTTCTCCACTCTCGAGATCCATTCGATCTACTGTCTGCCTGTGTGTGTCTCTGCCGTGTTGTTTAAACCATCCAGTCAGGAACCATCTTGGGTCCTGCTATCCAACTGCCCTCTCGTTGCGACGACCAACGTCCCTCCCCGACCTCGAACATCCACGTGAGGCTCGACTCGACAATTGAGAAGGATTAGCACTGTCACCGAGGACTGCGCTATGAGTGGTCTTGACTGCCAATAGAGGATGCATATACGGACGCTGAAAGCTCTGGCCAATATCAACAAATCCTATTACGAGTCCCGTCGAACCATTCCTCGACGACATCAAGCTTCTACTTGCGCCGACCTGACCCTCAACTCCTTTCCACCATGGCAATAGCCATGGCCTGGCAGAAGCCCGACAATGTAGCTGGCTCTTCAGCACCGGCCATTATGGTCGGCCTATTCGTCGCATGTGGAGGCATCTTGTTCGGATACGATACCGGGTGAGTTGAGATAGAACCAGGCGCTGGTCGTGACGGGCACTGACAATGTGTAGCACAATCAACGGGATCCTGGCCATGAGGGCCTTTCGCAATCAATTCAGTACTGGGTATATCGATCCGACAGATCAAAAACTTAACGTGTCACCGTCACAGTCCTCCCACATAGTAGCGATATTGAGCGCAGGAACATTTTTCGGGGCGCTTCTGGCTGCACCTATAGGAGATAAACTTGGTCGAAGGATATCACTCATCATAGCTGTTGGAATATTCGCATTTGGTGTATTGCTTCAGACCGTCGCAATGGCTATCCCCCTTCTGATCGCTGGGAGGTATATCAGTCGCCGAGATGTCTGTCTGTTACAAGAGCTGACACTATCTAGATTCTTCGCTGGACTTGGTGTTGGGGTTATATCGGTTCTTGTTCCTCTCTATCAATCTGAAATGGCACCTAAATGGATTCGAGGAACTTTGGTTTGCGCATACCAAGGCGCCATAACTGTTGGCCTCTTCCTCGCCGCGGTAGTCAACATCTTCACCGAAGGCATCACAGACACGGACGCATTTCGGATTCCTCTTGCGCTCCAGTTTGTGTGGGCTGGTATTCTCTTCCTCGGTCTTATGCTCCTACCTGAAACCCCTCGCTACCTCATTAAGCGTGGTCTCCATCCCGCCGCTGCTTCTTCACTAAGTCGTCTACGACGTCTTGATATCACCCATCCAGCTTTGATGGAAGAGCTTGCTGAGATCGAAGCAAACCATGAATACGAGCTCAGCCTTGGACCCGCAACGTATAAAGATGTCTTTTCCGGCAGTCCGCATCTCGGACGTCGACTCCTGACCGGTTGTGTTCTGCAGATGCTTCAACAACTCTCAGGATGCAATTTCATATTTTACTATGGCACGACATTTTTCACTAACGCGGGCATCAAATCACCGTATGTCATCGCTCTCATCACCAACATCGTCAACGTAGTATCTACTGTCCCTGGAATGGTCTTGGTCGAATCCCTAGGACGTCGTCGCCTTCTCATGGTCGGCGCTGGAGGTATGGCTATATCACAGCTCGCCGTCGCTATTGTCGGAACCACAGTACATTCAACACATGCAAATGCAGCAAATATTATTATTATTATTCTAGTCTGCTTTGATATATTCTTCTTCGCAGCATCTTGGGGCCCCGTCGTCTGGGTCGTTACATCAGAAATATACCCTCTCAAAGTTCGCGCTAAATCCATGTCAATATCCATAGCCTCAAATTGGGTTCTCAACTTCGCCATTGCTTACGGAACGCCATACCTAGTGAACGGCGGTCACGGCTACGCGAATTTACAAGCACGAGTCTTCTACATTTGGGGCGCATTCTGCGTCTTCGCCTTCTTCTTCGTCTGGTGCATGGTCTACGAAACCAGCAAAATCAGTCTTGAACAAATCGACGAGTTGTACGAGCGGGTTGACCGTGCTTGGAACAGCAAAAACTTCCAGCCCAGCTGGAGTTTCCAAGAAATGCGTGACGAAGGCACCTCTGCCTCTGGTATCCCACTAGAGAACATTGAAACAGACATGACTCGTCAACCAACAGCCACGAGCTCAACCGGCACTGAGAGTGGCGCCTCGATGAGCGAAGCGGACAAAATCATCGCGCAACTAGGCAATGTTGATTTAAGCTATTAATTGTTCTGATTATTTTTTGCTTGCTACTGTGTTTTTATGTACTTCAGCGTGGAGTTTCCGTATTGGAGTTACAAGGCTAGGCTACGGCTATTCATCTGGGATGGGATGAGATGGGGTGGGATTGGGTTTTATTGAGTCGAGTCTTGACTACTACTTATTAACCTGGATGGTCAAGGTACTTAAACGGCACCTGATTAAATACACGGTTGTCGGGCGGGTAATAAATATACCATTTAACAATCGTCTAGGTAGACGAGTTATCAAAAGGTGAAACGGAATGATACACCTACTTTATCGTCATCTGATTCTGATTCTGATGCTGATGAGAAAGAATTGACCTTACGCTATGCCGGCACATACCGAGCAGAGTGAGATCTTAGGTCGTGGCCGTTATGTTGTGTTGTGTTATGTTGCGTCGTGCTACCCTGCCGTGCCGTGGCATTTGCAGCCAGCATCCATCAACTGGCGGTGAGCATCAGCATGAGCATGAGCATAAATGCGCTTGCAAAGTTGCACTGCATGTTTAAGACGAGGGAGGGTAGGAATGAGGCTTTACCGTATTTTCGTTTCGTTTCGTTTCGTTGCATTTTATTTTCTTTTCTTTCTTTGGCGGGGAGGGAGCGGGAGCGGGCACGAGACGAGGCTCTGTATTGTATTGTAAGCACGACTTGCCTGTCTGTCTAGTGGCTAGGCTAGCTAGCTGGCTATTTCTCCGATCTAGTTTACATTTATCCTACCTCTTTACATGTTCTAGAGATGGATGGATGGATGGATATTGGATGATTAGTTTGTTTGTGTTGATTTTAATATGGGAGCTTTGGTAAGCAGTCCCTCGGGGATTTCTTGGGCTAGTGAATGGTCTAGGGAGATAGATGGATTGAGTGGTTCGAGGGCTGCTCTTTCGCGATTTTCTGTTAGTGTATGGTGTATTTTGAGGGGGTTCTAATGGGGGATGATGAGTTGGGAGAGAGGGAGAACCCAAGTGGGAATGTCTGAAAGAGGAGCCTTTTCAAGTTGTTAAGCTAGCGTTGTACTATGACTTTGCTGTCAAGCTCGTGTCTTGGTCCTGTGTATATCAACCTAGTTGATTGATGTAGAGAGCAGAATTGGTTCATTGCTATGGTTTATGCTTTTGACAGGAAAGAGGACGGCGGCGCGGCGCCTTTTCTGGTGCATATATAACATTGCTTGAAATCGATTTATCCGGCTTTTCTGGGTGCAGACGTAGCTCTATATTTGTGATTGGAAAACCTTCGTTTAGAGCCAATGGAAAGTTGGAGAGCATGATATGATTGCAGGAGCAAGGGCCAGTCCGGACATCTCATCTCGTTGAGTTTGATCCTGTAGAGCAAAGTCCAACTCTTTCACCATAGATAGAATCGATCTCCCTTGGCTGGCGCTTCTTATATCGAGAAGTCCAGTTCCAGATGATCGCAACTGATTTCGTTTCATCGGGACGCGGGGTTCTGATATATTTGGAAAAGGTCCACAGGATTCTGATATCCTTTCCTCATATGTGTCACGAGAGACAGCACTGCAAACACGCAAGAAGGAAGCTGCTAATAATCCATCCATCTATGATCATCTATGATGGAATAAGGGGCATTTTAGTGAACAGGACAGCCATTTCCTCAACTCTGATAGCATCGGTGAAGCTGATGATCGCCGCTAACGAGTTGGGTCCCACCACATAGCTTAAAAGAGTTGAAGAAGCTCGGCACGTGGAAGAATGGAGCATGAAACATGACAGGAACGCCTTGAGATGAAGACCCTCCGATTCCCTATACAGGACGCATGCAAGGCGCTCGTGTATCGTAACAGAATGAAATCACCGCTTGGTGTTTGAGTGCTCGCTGCCTTGAAAATCCAGGGAACGAAAGTCGTATATGAGGTGGCTTTCCCCCATCTTAGCCTAGCCGTTAAAAACTATATTCCTTTAGCATATAGCATAAAAAGAATTTGATGAGGTTGCAAGAGACAAGTGATGATGTTGAAAGACCCATTAATATTCACGTGACTAGTATCCACCCTATATCAACGTCGACATCCTTCGTTCCTCGTTCTTCTCGAGACTAACGATCAACATTGAGACGCATCTCTTCGATTGGTACTGCATCGAGTGCTCGGCACTTTGGTTATTTAATGCTTCCAGAACAGAGCTGAGCTATCCCATAGTCCTAAGCGGCAGATTTCAAAGATTCCCAACTTGCCGTTTAGCCTTTATACTGTCAACCGAGTCAACGTGGTCCTAGTTTTGTCTCGAAAACCCGCTGCACAATCTATTTGGTACGGTTCGCGGCCCGGATCTATGGTGTATGTGAGAATCCAAGTGGTTTGCGGGTAGAATGGCTTGGTGCTACTCGATGTGATCCAATCGCCTTCATTTCTTTCCATTTCAGGCGTTTTTCACCCTTTTCAGGACGGGTTGGCGAGGATGCTCAACCTCCATGAGACCTATTACATGTCAGATTGAGTGAGTGGTTGATATTTCAGACTTTTATTTACCCCGGATTTCAATCTATGGTACTTGGCATGGCATGGAGTACATTGATTCCCATAAAGTCATAAGGATCAGCCATTGCCCACAAGTTCGCTCCTAGCGAATGTTCAGAATACCTTCCCACTACTGTCCCAATATCCCAGCTTCATCATGAAGACCTTTCCCCTTCTATCCTCCATTATCCTGGCTGCCAGACTAGCCTCCAGCCATGGCATGTGGCAGCGTCTCAAAGTAAACGGCACAGACCAAGGACAACTCGTCGGCATCAACCCGCCGGCAGTCAACAACCCCGTGCAAATCGTGACGGGCTCCTCCATTGCCTGCAACACGGGTCTCGTCTCTCCGCTCTCGAACACCGTCATCACCATCCCAGCAGGCGCTACAGTCGAAGCCTGGTTCGAGCATGTTCTTGGTGGTGCGCAGAGTTCGACTGATGCCGATAATCCTATTGCGTCCTCGCACAAGGGTCCGATTATTGTCTATCTTGCAAAGGTGGTTTACCGTTAGAAATCTACTATACTATCGTATAAAGAATGAATCGAAGTGGACTTTCTGCTGATCAATGGTCGTTCTTGAAGGTCGATGATGCTGCGACAGCAAGAGACTACAACAGCTATTCGTGGTTCAAGATCGCGGAACAGGGGTTGGATAACTCGTCTGGGAAATGGGCTGTTGATACCATGATTGCAGGAACCAGTTCCGGGGTGGGATGGTGGGATTTCACCGTCCCTTCATGTGGTAAGTGAGCTCGGCTCTCTCAGCCCCCTAGGGGGAAGTCCGTACAATACAGTACTTTGGATGTCATGTCAGATCTCAGGAGCAATCTTTTTCTCTTATTCCGTACCACACACGCACGAGAGATACAGTATCTCTTCCGGAATCCCAAGCTCCCAGTGGGCGGTCATTTATTCAAGCAAAGCTGACTCCAAGATCGTGTCCCCAGTTGCCGCAGGCCAATATCTAATGCGCATCGAGCTCATCGCACTGCACTCCGCCTATGCCTCAGGGCAGGCCCAGTTCTACATGTCGTAAGTACTAGTACCACCAATACCATACCTCCCGCGACCAATGCAACATTCAACAATTTCTAACTCACTCAATCCATCTATCCAGTTGTGCAAATGTCCAGATCACCGGCTCCGGAACAGAGACCGGTACTACCGTTACATTCCCCGGTGCTTATACGGCTACTGACCCGTATGTTTATGATTTCCTCCACCTCCCTTTCCACCTCCCTTTTCCACCCCCCCGAAAAAACTGAGAAGCGTCTCCGGAAGCTAACAAATTTCACACACATAGCGGAATCCTAATAAACATCTACGACAGCAGTACTCCCAGTCTCCCCAACAATTCCGGCAAGCCGTACACGATACCCGGTCCCGCCAAGTTGGCTTGCTAAGCCGCTCTACCCTGTCCTGTTATGGTATACGTACGTATTGATCATGAGTTATGATCTGGAGAGAGGCTACGCTAGCTGTAGTTCCGGAGGTGGTAATCTTGCAGTATATGCATTTTCCAATCTAGAACTCTCGGAAGTATTGATCTATCTATAATTCTTAGTCTAGTTTAGAAATTGCAGGGAGGATCCGTTCCGATTTCATAACAGTGTTATTGGTATTTGGTGATTTTTCTTTTCTCGTGGCTCCTTTGTGTGAATCGAGTCAAGAGACTCGGGATATATACAAATTCCAACGCATCCCGCGCATTCATCACCGAAAATGCACATGGAGAAGCAAGAGTGCTGACTGGCATTATCTTCAGATTTGCATGTCTGATTCCAAATTATACACACCCATTCTCCCTCCTTATCCTGGACTTTTGTCTATTCCCCTATACCATAACTCCGCTCCACCGCCGCCGGTAAGGATATATGTACAAATACGCAAAAGTACTAAAGGCCCATCAAGTACCGCTCTTGTCATGAAAAAATGCACGCGTTGTATTCCCAAATGCCATACTGTAACATCAAGGTCATAATCCTGCCACTTTCACTCTCCCTTGACTGTCCTATCACTATTCCTTACCCTCTCAATCCTTGGGCGTTCTACAGAGCTCTCCCCATCCCCCGTCCCCCGGTCTGTGCCCATCTCCGCTCCAGCGCTATCACCCGTCGGGCTCTTGTGTCGTTTCTTGAATTCAGATCCCGGCGTTCTACTACTGACTTGTCTATCCAGCTTCCCCATGTTCTCCACTGTAAGCTGCTGGGTGCTGGTCCGTTGCTCTCCTACATGCGAATGGGGTACATCGCCAGCACCCGCTGCATGGACGAGTTTCTCATCTCTAAGCGCCGTAGCTTTCTCCTCTGCCTCTTCCCTGCGTCCCGAGCGGTCGCCTTCAGAGTCTATGCCAGGAAGTGTGAGGGTATGTGAGTTCTGACGCTCGGTCAAGGTTGGCCTGGAGTTTTTTAGCACCGGTTCTCCCTGCTCCTTCACAGGAACGTTGTTCTGTTTCTTTGTTCCTTGACCGAACATAGGAATTGCTGCTGTACCGCAATTGTGCTCGCTTGGCTCTGAACAATCAGACTCGTCAAATTCGTGGACATCTGGCGTGATAGGAAGACGTCGGTTTATTGCCCAGCGAACAAGCATTCTGTCCAGCATCTTGCCCTTGACGGGTTTGGCGAGGTAGTCATCCATCCCTGCTTTCTTGCACTTCTCGTGGTCGCCTTGAATGGCCGAGGCGGTCATGGCGACGATAGGAATGTTTCGAGACGAGACGTTGTAGGGTGCGTGGTGGCGGATGAGATGTGTTGCTTTGTAGCCATCAATTATTGGCATCTGAACATCCATGAGGATTATGTCCGGTTTAGGATGAGGTGGATTAGGTGAGTCAGCTGCCACAAGATAGTCAAGAGCTTCTTTGCCATTCCATACTGCTGATACCAGGAAACCAAGCTTCTTGACAGTTTTGAGGGCAATTTGCTGGTTGATTGCACTGCATCACGTCAATTCTCAACATCAGACTGAGGAACAACTGTACTTACTTATCCTCAACAACAAGAACATGGATCTTTGCTCTCTCGGCTGCTGGTAACTCGGGCTCGGTTGGCATTGGAGGAGTCGTACTTGTTGGCCTGCCTTTAGAGTTTCTTTTGCGCATCTCAATCGAACTCTGCATTGGAGGGGTCCCCATACCGTGATCATATTCCGAGCTGTTGCAAGAGACACTCATCTCGGATTGAAGGCGATCTGGCAGACTTTCGATATCAACCAACGCTGTAGAGCCGTTGTGATATTGTGGTTTATTGAAAGGAATCCAAAAAATTGCTGTGGTTCCGCAGCCTAAAGTCGATTCCAGACTGATTTGCCCATGCATTAGATCGACAAGATTCTTGCTGATAGTAAGACCAAGCCCCGTCCCACCAAACCGCCGCGCGGTAGAGGAATCTGCCTGGCTGAAAGGCTTGAATAGACGCTTCCGGACTTCCTCTTCAATTCCGATACCAGTGTCTTCGACAACAAATTTGACTTCGAAGGTTTCAGCTGTTTCTCTTGCCTTGAAGACTGAGAACTTTACCCGGCCTTCGCTCGTGAATTTGATACTGTTTGTAAGGAGATTTGTGATGATTTGTCGTACTCTCCCAGGATCGCCCATCACAATAAGATCCGAATCCAGGCCAACTCTAATGTCTGATTCAAATCTGAGGTTCTTTCGCTCCGCAGCAAATCCTAGCATCTTGCTAACGTCTCTGACGACAACGGAAAGTGAGAATTGGACCTCTTCAATATCCAAGCGGCCTGATTCCACCTTAGAGAAGTCCAAAATGTCGTTGATAACGGTCAAAAGACCATTTGCCGAACGCTGAATGTTCTCAGCGCATTCTCGTTGTTCTTCATCAAGCTCCGTATCCGCCAGGAGCTCTGCCATGCCAATTACACCAGCAATTGGGGTACGGATCTCGTGAGACATGTTCGCAAGGAACTGACTCTTTAGTCTGCTAGCTTCTTTAGCTGCTGCCTCGTTGGCTAAGAGTCTTGTGTTCTCTTTCTCCTGCATTTGCAAATCGACCTCGCGATCCTTGATTTCCGTGATATCCATACTAACTCCGATTACTCCGTCAATAAATTGATTTCCGTTGTCTTTCTTTCCAAGGAATGGGACAAATTTTGTTCTGTACCATCGACCATCTCTGCAATTCTCGTGCACGTCTTCCATCGTCTTCCCAGTGAGAATATCTTCTACGGGTTTAATCCTCTCCGCGTTTCTATCACCTTTGCAGAAAACGTCGTAAACGTTTTTGCCAATATAATCGTCTCCCTTGGCGAATTTACTGCTACTGCCACTTTCGTCCCCAGATGCTATTTCAGAATCTATGTCCCATATGTACGCGCCTTCTATTAAGGTAATATTGAGACTTCGATCGACAGAAAAGAGGGTGACTTTAGCGTGTGCTATAACAGATAATAGTTGTTGGCGCTGGAGAAGAAGAATTAGTTATTATGATAGTATCGAGAAGTGAGGTTGTCCTTACCGTTCGTCTTGCCGCAACCCTCAATTCAACGGAATCGTGAATATCAGTACACGTTCCATACCACTTTTCGATTTCCCCAGTTTGTTTGTTCCTCATAGGCAAGGCTCTCCCCAACATCCATTTCCACTCGCCGTCTTTATTTTGGCAGCGATATTCTGTTGAGAATGGGTCACCCGTTGCTACAGAGTGTGCCCACTTCTTGATTGTGGCTTCCATATCGTCTGGGTGAAATGGCATTCTCCAGCCATTTCCCACTGATTCTTCTTTCGTCAATCCCGTGTAGTCGTACCTAGCCAATGTTAGCTATGACAAATATTGCAAGGTCAGACCTACCATCTTTGGCTGAACCAGTCAGACATGCCATCCGGTGATGTTGTCCAAATCATCTGAGGCATGGAATCGCAAATGAGTTGAAATCGCTGATCGTCCTTCTCCTTGATTTCATTGATCTGTTCATTCATGTTCTCGGTCAATTCTGTGATATCTCGACATGTGACTATGCCTGCTAGGAAATCTCCGGTTTCTTCATCCCGTATGGCTTCTCCCAGACAATCGAAGACGAGTTTGCGACCGTTCTCAGGGTTAATAAGACCAAATCTACGGCTCGAAAACGGTGTTTGTGTTCGAACGAGGACCAAAATTGGATACTCTGAAGGGTCGAGTTGAGTACTAAAAGTTGCGTCCCAAAGATGCCATTTCGAAACAAGGTCATATCCATCTTTAATGTTGTGGAGATCCGCCTGTGGATGGAAAAGCCGTCGTGCAGCTTTGTTCGGAATAGTCAGGCTCTCATCCCTCCACATGGCTAGAATGGGCAACCGCGTATTGTCCAGCAGAGCATCTTTCATCACGATTGCCTTCTGCAAAGCAGACGTCATGCTTGCTGTAGAATCCTTTGAAGGCGGCCCAAGGGGTGGGAATGGGCTGGTAGACATCGTGGTATTCGTTGGGCTAGTGATAACTGATGAGCTGCTACTTCCCCCTTGGCTTTTCCCAGAAGCAACAGATGACGGGCTTGATCCGGAGCCAGAGCCAGTAGATCCAAGCGAATGATATTTTGAAGCTCGGAGCACTTGTCTAGATTGTCCTCGAGCGCTTGCCTGAGTTTGAGTTGAATGGGTGCTCGTAAAGGTCAAGGTGAAGAATTTGTCATCGTCAATCTCCCAAATTGTCATGATCATTTTCGCAAAGGTGTGCTTCTCAGCTGATAGCTTGACCTTGTCGGGGCGAGCTAGAGAGGATGCAATTGATCCTGCTTGGGTTATGATTACCTCCACAACTGCATCGTGAACCATCGACTTTGAGCGGGCGTGGTTCGATTCTGTCCGTTCTGCCGTGGGCGTCACATCACCCTCTCCAGATTTGGAAGCATGCTGATGAACTGCGTCCTCGGGGTACGAGACGAGCTCTTCTGCTAGGCTGTCGAGAAATGTATCCCAAGCCACCCAAACTGGTCTGCCATCTTGCACCATATCTATTCCCAGCTGGCTGAGATTCTGTCCCTTGAGTTTCTCCAATTCTGATATTCCATCATTGCTCAGATTATCCCCATCTTCCTCGATGCCCAGTAGTCTTCCCATGGCCTCGTTGGCCACTACCAAAGTCTTCAGCCCATTCAACACCATCAAAGGATATGGAAGGTATTGCATGGCAGATAGGGCAATGTCGGCGGAAGAGGGGCCTCTGGGAAGATTTAGTTGATGCAGGTTGTTTGTTGAAGAGCTCCTTCTACGAGGAGATCGAAATCTTTGCTGCAGGTGACCATTCGATTTGAGCGCATCAAGGCCATCGATTTGGCCGGGAGGCATGTGTAGTGGGGATAGCGGCGGGGCATATTGATCATTTTCCGCCTGGCTAGGAAATGTGGGGGAAGTATCGCGGCGGTGATTGAGAAGGATGGATTGGTCCATTCCATTGGAATTTGGAAGGGATTCGTGTGAAGCCATTCTCGTCGTCGCCTTGAACGTTTCGGCGATATATTTGGATTTTGACATCTCAGCAGCCTATTGCGTCATGATGATGGAAACAACTGCTAAGATCCCAACACCTCTGCTCGGGAAGTCGACGAACTCGGCAAACAGTTTCGTTTGCATCGAACACCAATGTAGTGTCCAACAATCGTCTGATAATGTTGCGATCGTGAGAGAGGCGTGTGAAAGGAGTGAGACTTTACTTTGTTGTTGTTTTCTGGCTTCAGCTAACGGCGTCGACTAAAAGTGTTAGAGGTTGATAGTGAGCAGTCTAGAACCGAAGCTGCAGTTACAATCCGGCGCGGTATAGTACCAAATCCAGCTACGCTAACCAGCGAGCAGCAGAATTTCCAATTAACAGGGGGAAATAGATGACGAGGAAGACGAAGATGAAGACGAAGATGAATACGAAGATGAAGACGAAGATGAAGATACTCGGCTGTGAATAGATGTAGAATTGATATTAGTGGTAGGTCTGAGTTATTGTGGGGTATCCTGGGTGGAATGACGATGACCCTCTCAAGATGGCCCAGGGATGAGGGGCGGTGGGGTGGGAGAAGGAAGAATTAGCCGCAATTAGTTAGTCACTGGACTATCCCTATGCTAGTGTCGTACAAGTAGATACCTACCCTACTTGCAGTACACTTGTATCTAGGTACCAATTGAATCCCACGTACTAGGTATGGAACAGACAGACAAATACGATTCCAGTCACGAGATAGATGACATATGAGAGCCACAGCCAAAGCAAGTGAGGTAGGTGGTACTTTCCAAATTCCGAGTCTGCATTCTGGATGGAAGAGGGAGGATGAGGTGAGAATTGGATTATTCGAGAAAACGGAATGACGATGGTGGCGTTCTTAAGCGGCTCTCCACAGTAACCTTATCTTACCTAAGATAGGTACTTGTCTTGCTTGTACTTTGTACTTGTATTCAACGGTGTCCGGAGTACCGAGAAGACCTAGGCCTAGGTATCTATCTACCTTGCCTTGGCATTGCCTTGGCATTACCTTGTGCCCGTAAACATTCTCTTCACCTCTCGAGAGAAGAACTACTTGTCCTGTCATGTTTCGTACCTGGGTACTAGTACTAGTACTCACCTACAAAGTATTACTGTACAGTACTCGGAGTATTCCACTCTCCTACTCCGACCCTTTTTCGCCTGCCGAGATTTAGATCTCGCAGATCGCAAGAAACAGACCGGACCAGGCCCTCTTTCCCCTTTCCATGAGTCCCATGGTCCTTACCATCAGCCTATGGTCTTTCCACTTACATCCCGGCACTCTGCACTGTTGTGGGTGGCAATGTCGATCGTGCGTCACTAGCAGGCATCCCTTGTCTGTTTGTGACACTCTCGCTTACAGACGAAGTACATCAGAGCTGGCAATAGGGGCAGGGGGTTTCTCTTTGTTACTCGTAACAAGAGCTTTATTGTTCTTCTTTTGTTCGCTATGATTGCTGTTATCAGAAACAATTTAGCTACATCTACCAAGGCCATTATGGTCAGCCCTATATTACACCATCTTCCTATTGTTCCATCCTTTGTCTTTTTCTTTTTCTTTTTCTTCTTCTTCAAAACCTACAACCTTACAGAAAATGTCATTCAACCTGGGCCCCAAAGACCTGCCCCTGACCGGCATTGCGCATCAAGATCGTGATCGGTTGACTTTTGCTATCGAATTCGAATTCGCCATTGCTACGCTCGCTACTGGCGAAGAGGATCCTTCTCCAGAGGATGGCCGCACTGTGTTCGGCATTCTCGACGACGAAATTGACAAGAATTCCAAAGATAGAGAAGCTAAGATAGCTAACTCTGTGATTATCCACGTTGCGAAGACAATGACTGATGCTGGCATCAAGTCTGTTGAAGAATTGAAAACAGATTCGGTCTGTGGGCATGACGCGACAGCCTGGCTTGTGAAGAACGACTCGATAATACATGGTCCAGAGGAAGAGACCCCATACGCATGGTATAGCGTCGAGGTCATGACACCGGCCTTCTATACAAGTTCGGTGGCTATTGACACCGTCAAGTCTGCATGCGAGATTTTGACCAACACTTATCGAATAAGTTGCCGTCGGTCTGCTCGGATGCGTGTTCATGTTGGTCGAGGGGAGAAGTCTCATGTGTTTGAAACATTGCGCAACCTCTATGCAACAATATGGACTTTCGAGCCCCAGATCAAGCAAATCCACCCATACTATCGCCATGAAACCGATTACATTTCCCCCAACCTCCGAAACGACAGCAGTATGTTCGGGGACTTGGAAATCGAAGGGGAGCTCAGTGTAGCTGCAGCTATTCATGGTCTTGACAGCATCCTCAACGCCATGGACACTGTGGACCTCGGATCTTGTGTAGTCGGCGGCACAAGGAATGCTTACAACATGAGGGGCATAATCATGAATCTGACGCCAGGAAAACATGATAAGAAAGAGAAAGGCACGGTGGAGTTCAGACAACATGAGTCGACACTGAACCCTATCCGAGTCGAAAACTGGGCACGGCTCTGCATTGGACTCTATGAGTTTGCTGACACAGTTCAACTTGATATCCTAGCCCCATTTCTGCGAAGACACATATACAAGTCCCCAAAGGACTTCACGATTGGACAGATACTCACTTCAATTGAATTACCTTATTTGGCTGACTTTTTCGAGAAGCAAGTAGCTGACCAGAAATCAAAAGATGTGGAAATGAGGGAAGCGAAGAAGCTAGAGGTGAAAGATGCGGCGGACCTCGATAAAGATCATGAGACAGCCGTGGCTAGACAGCTGAAGAGGCAGAATTTCGAGAAATACGAACGCCCCCCTGACTATTCTGAGTATGGAAATTCGGACTTCGGATCTGAAAATGACGAAACACTGGAATATAATCCAGAGTTCGGGTGGTCGAATGACTGGCGATTCATGCAAGGACCCTGACAAAAACCTGGATGTTTAAGCGGGGAATCCCTACTCTCACCAAGTCTAGTCAGGTACTAGGCTAGGTAAGTGAGCTTTCCTTCCCTTTACTAAACTTCTTTCTTCAGAAAACAATAATAGAACAAAAATTTGGAATGAAATCAAGGTGAATCTCCGAAAATAATTGCACAATGCACTGATAAGACTCGACAAGCATCTTTCTCACACACCTAACTCCAACTTTGTCGAGATATGTATGCATTTGTATAGACACATGATCCTAGCGCTGATGACTAAGCGATAGAGGTATAATCTCTTCGCTTCCTCATCCACACTTAGACTTAGACATCACAAATACACCACATAGAATCAGAGTCTCCTTAAGCCACTAGCTAGTGAGAAGTGATCACCCTCTGTGATACCAACACCTATAGTGTTTTACGGCCTTCCCCACAGGACCACTGTCAATTATAAACCCTCAGGCTCTTTATATGCTTCCCTATCCTGGACACAAGAAGTGGCACTTACTTACTCTCACTAACTTTTGATAATGTCCCACGCTACCCGGCATATTATAATTGTGTGCCGCTTTTTTTCCTGTCCAGACTCCACTGGGAGGCTTCTTCTTTATGGAGATGGCTGTAAAACACTATAGGAGCCAAGGTAGGTTCTTATTAGGATATAACACTTCTTTCATACAAACAGAATATAAAGGTAACAAGGCAACAAGGCAACAAGGTATAGACGACGCCGATTTAACGGTGAAGTTCGACTTATCTCAACATTAGCGTGCGGAAACCACAGCAATTGAGCGCTGTATTCATAGGGATGCAGCGCTATAATTTAGCGGCTATATACCTTAAAGTACCTAGAGTACTATAGGCAGGCGAGTGCCATCTAATTACGAGATCCCCCCATTCTCAAAAGCTGTCGGGGTCGAATTTTCCATTACTTGCAGTTGCGAGCCCTGCCGTTAGAACCTTATTAGAGGAAGAGAGACCGAGGATGAAATATTTCTATACGAGTAGTACTCCTAGCTTAGGAACTGATCGACATCCCCAGACGTTACCCCGCGGATGATGCGGGGTTTGGCTCTAGTATGGCAGGGGTCCTTCAATGGTGGGAGGAACATTTTATATTTGCTGCCTGTGTTGTTAAATACATGTAGACTTTTTGAGAATATACTGTTTTTGATTACTGTAAAGTGGGATGTTTCGGTAGCTCATGCACCGAAACTAAGTCTTTTACGGTTTTACTTCTGGTTTAAATGTTCAAGTAAAGCCTTCCCAGTTTCCATGAGTTCTTGTCTACCATCCTTCATTTCCGATCTTGATTCGGGTGTCCAAAACCAGTTCTGGACGAAGATGCTTTCCCCAAGCACAGCGCTATTAGTGGCAGTCTTTCTATCTTTCTTCACTCTTGTCGAGTCCGCGGGCAGCACAGCAGAGTATAGAAGAGTCTGCACGGTACGTCCATGCAGAGATGGCTCGGACGATGCACCCGCAGTACTGCGGGCCTTTGAAGAGTGTGGCAATCATGGTAGAGTGGAGTTCTTGAATGAAACATATCATATCGAGTCCATTATGAACATCAGCGGTCTCAACGACGTGGAGATTGATTTGAAAGGGACTTTATTAGTTAGCCCATCTCCACCTCGTCACTTTCTCGCAGCTGATTATTGAAATAGTGGGGAACGAATATTACCTACTGGTTGAATAACTCCATGCCAATGGGCTACCAGAACCAATCTACAGCTTGGATTCTTGGCGGTGATAGGATATCCTTCCAAGGGCACGGCTATGGGACTATCAATGGAAATGGACAGGTCTGGTATGACTTCATCAAGGGAGCGAGTAATTACCCCAGGAGACCGCATGCCATTACGGTATACGGCACGACGAACTCGGTTTTTGAAGGCTTGAGATTCGTGCAGAGTCAGATGTGGTATGTTCCGCCAATTGCAAGCTCTGCTCTAATACACGTGCTAATCGAAAACAGGACCATGACAGTAATCCACAGCAGCAACGTCCTTCTCCAGGATATCTATGTCTCCAGTATATCCAATTCCTCGACGTCAACCGTTAACACCGACGGTTGCGACACCATCTATGCCAACAACATCACCTTCCACCGCTGGGAAGTCCACAACGGCGACGATGGCATCTCGCCCAAAGCAAACTCGACCAACATCCTCGTCACAAACTCAACGTTCATCGGCGGTGCCGGTTTGGCACTCGGCAGCATCGGACAGTACAAGGGCGTGTTTGAGACCATTGAGAACTTCACAGCTAGGGATTGCGTGTTCATAAACACAACACATGCCGCGTACCTGAAGACGTGGACCGGTGAGCAGGTTGGCTATCCTCCAAACGGAGGTGGTGGAGGAATTGGATGTTCGTACCCCCCCACCCCATCTCCCTTTCGCTAAAGGAATGAAGGAATGATCAAAAAGAAAACCCCCCATTAATCTCAAACCAGATATCAAAAACGTCCTCCTATCCGCCTTCACCCTCTCCAAGGTCCGTCAATTCCCAATGAGCATCACGCAATGCATAAACTTCGCCGGCGCCGCCGGGAACTGCTCCTCGTCCCTCTTCGCCATCTCCAACTTCTCGTTCCTAGACATCAAAGGCACCGTGCAACAAGAGCCCATCGTGAGTCTGCAATGCAGCGCTGTGGCGCCCTGCGTAAACACGACGGTAGAGGATGTATCGGGGTTGGAGCTGGTGAACGGGACGCGTATGAGGCAATATGATTGTGATAATGCGCTGGGGACGGTGGGGTTTAATTGTACGGGACATACGTGTGGGATGGCTAGCGGGGATGGGACTTGTTGATTTCTGGAGCTGTGGCTTGAGTTGAGGAGCTGTTGCCCTCAAGTACAGTTGCTGGCACATTATAAATTGTTGCCGCTTTTCTATATTGCATCCTCAGTCACTCTTCCTCTGTGGTATTGCTATTGGCCTGAATTAGGCTTAGCGCTCATCTTGTGCTGCAGCTTATAACAAAATCACACAATCCGGCGAGGTCATAATGGCCCAAGACTCCTCCATCAAACACAATATTAACCGCAACGGTTATTGCACAACCAAACCGACCATCACTTGAACCCAACTTATTTCATATTCCATGTCACTGCAACACCTGACTTGTAGTCTTAGAATATCCTGGACATACTTTGGTTGACAGACAGTTATTGTAATCTCCCTTTAGTAAGGCTCTTGGGGATAGCTTCCAGTCAGCTGTTACCCAGAAAGCTATAATAAGGGTTAGGCAGGGAAAGCGAATCCTAGCATTTTCATAATTTAAATATGCTGTCTGGTATCCTCGGTTAGGCCCCTTTTCCTCTATTGGGTCCAAAAGGACCGCTAGTTATAGACCTTTGAAGTCTTTATTATATTTCTGCGATTGGGGTAGATATAAAAGTAGTATCCTGAGGTTATTATTGTAGATTTTGTATGTGCTACGCTCCCTGGTATATTATAAAGTGGCGCTACTTTTTGTCTACTGCGCGGCTGCTTTCTTTTGTGGAGACGGCTGTAAAACACTATAGGATATAAAGGGAATAGGTGCATGCAGAGAGGAAAATAGTGTTGGGCAGGGTTAGGGTAGCTATTTTAGGGCAGCAGAGGTTTCATGAGAGAAGCCTGGACTCCTGGAGTATAAACAGTGTTTTCTGGATTAAATGAGCAATTGCCAATGCATCTCTATGGGAAGGCGAGGGAGTTGGAGGAAGGAATGGGCTACAGGTATCCAAAGGATGATGGAGAGATGTTAGAGGAGGAAATGAATGCAGAATGGCTTGGTGAGTCGGAAACGCTCTGATGGTCGCCAAGCTCCGGTTATATTGACCAACAACCGGTTCCTGGCAATGAGAATGTCTCAGAATGCGTGAGAAGGTCAATTCCTGATAAGAATCAACGTGCGTTTGAAATCTTAAGACTTAACCACGCTTGCCAGTTGCCATCTATGTTCGACCTACCGCTGGGACGAAGCAGCAAACAAACTTTATGACCCTTATACATATCAATCCTAATGGTCCAATAACTTCTTAGATTAGCCATATTAATGCCAGAGGGCAGATGAATTAATTGCACAATGGAGCGGGGAGTGACTTTGAAAGGCACCTCATATTGCGGTGGACAGGAAAAGCAGTACCGACTTATAATGTCCTAGACGGAGTGGGACATTAAAAGTCAATGACAATACGTGCCGCCTCTTCTTTCCAACGCAATCGAGCCCATGAACCTGATCTTAGGAGCCACCATAATACGAACAGAATCCGACGTATTAACAAATTATTTATCATTAGTGCGTGTTCTACATACAACACGGGAAAACGCTAGACATATATCAAAGTCTTAAATTATATCGATCAATCGATCGCTTCCCCAAAACTGCCATAAAGTCCCGGATAAGGCATGAGGAGTATCTTCTCAAGATAAGTGATTCAAATCGTAAAACCCCAAGCGCTTCCTTCTCGCACACGCCATGGTGCTTTTATAAACCCCCTGCTAAATGAAATAATGATTGCAAACCAAAGAACAAAAAGCCCTCCATCAAAGAGGAAACCATACCGCTCATGTCTCAAACCTAAAAAAGGGAGAGGACCAACCTTAATCGGCCGCGATTGACAGGGCTTCTGACGGCAGCGAGCAAGAAGAAACACGAATAGGCAGTTCTATATCCTTTTTCAAATCGTGGTCGTCCCGAGTAATTTCCGAGGCAAGAGATATCTTCCTGTTCGGGTCACTATCATCCCCATCCAGAAGGCTATCGGGAAACGTCGACGAGGCTTGAGTGCTTTGTGAGGGTTCTAACCCCATACCAACAACATCGATTGAGTCCTCGGCAGATTTGAACTCGGGCAGAGATTTCACAGTGTTGTTGATAGGATTGATTATCGATGGTTCCGAGTTTTGTTCAGCCTTTAGAGTACAATTCTTTATGCCAGCCTGCGGAGTTGGTCGAGATTTATCAACATTCGGTTGGTCTTTGGCGGAAAGTTGTTTCGGAGGGGGATCGTTCTTGGCGACATTTCTTTCCTCTGCTGGTTTCGAAGGACGCCAAAAGCCTTCCATGTCGCTCTGACTGCTGAGGAGTTGACATCGCCGAGAATGTTCTTTCGAGGAAGGCCCTGAAGATGGCCCAGAGGGGCTCCTTGCTCCAAATTGATATGGATCGCTACATCGGGCACAATCTGTAGTTCGTCGTTCCCGCGTATCTGTCTGAAGAAAGTCGTCTGGATTGTAGATGTTTTTAGCGACCTGTATGTTGGGTAGAGGTGGATGAGTTGGACGTTCTATCTCGAGGAGTTCGAAAGCTATTGGGAATTTCGGAATCTCCCTATCGACCTCTTTGCCTTTTCTGAGCTTCTTTTCTTTGGACGCGAGTTTTTGGGCGGGTCTCTTTATGTCGAGGGGAACCTCACCCGATATCGGCGAGGGCGGGCATTGCATCTTGAGCAAACGTTGCATCTCCGCTACGTTGCTGCTGTTGAACATGGTTACATTCGCTACCGTAGGGGCTGACGGTAGGCCTTGAGCGTAGAGTGCCTCCTCGTGAGCCACAGCTGCGTTTGCTTGGGAAACAAAGTACTCCATGTAGTTGGGACTCGGTAAATTCTCAGTGCACAGCGCCTCCTCGTCGAAGTCTTCGAAATCGGACATATCTTCCCCCTCCATGAGATTGCATCTAACGGATGTCTCTTCCTTTTTGGCCTCCGCTTGGGATCGAGTGTTAAATACGTTGCGGCCGTAATTTTTGATAAGATACTTCAAAAAGCCGAACTCTCTTTTCGGGTCCTTGTCTCTCTGCGATTTCCAGGCGTCTTTCCTCTTATTCCTTCTGAGTTCTCTATTTTCTGCTGCCCTCAAGGCCCCATCACCATGCAGAATAAGAGGCTCCAGTGTACCGTAAGCACCACCGGGACTAGGCCTTATCACTGGAGAAAAAGAATATCCTTGGCAGACAATGTTCGCAAGGTATATATTATTCGGGACTTTGATTCTTTTGTGGATTTCCTGCTTCGTCAGCTGACGATACATTGTCCTAGCAATTTCTAGATCTCCCGTGACCTTGTAATCCACCCCCGGGACGCCATCTACAAGCCGTGTGATCCAAATCCATCTTCTGTGGCGAATATGATTCCTCGTAATATCTACCATGCCGGCTTTGTTCAGTACTGGCCTGACTCCCGGTGCAATTGCCCATTCCGCAAGATTATTTCCCCATATGTTGGCGCGCAGGAAGGGATGGTCATCAGGAAGCCACAAGACAGACTCCGTATTCAGCTTCGAAGCAGCTTGGCGCTTAATGATGAGTGACAGTTTCCCATAATTATTCCACTCCAGATCATGCACGTCAACGATGGCCTCCGGAAATTGGATCATTGGAGCCTCCGAAAGTGAGACCTCTGTTCCCGCAGAGGCCATTGAAGGTCGTTTGTAGGGTCTGTCTTTCAAATAAAACCGGCAGATCGCGGTTCTCAGCATCTCATTCTTGTCTCTTGACATTTGGTCCTCTGGAGATACAGTGCCTCGCAGTTTGGCCCTCCATCTCTCGTACAGACGACGTAAACGATTTTGTCTGCGGGTTGCGAATAAATATATCTCTTGAATTTCAGATAATATGATTTCATTCACTATCTCAATGTTTCCGTTTGGGTGTATGCTGATGTCGTCGCTCACGGAGAGCTTCATTTCCGGTAGGACAGCGATCAGATTTAAGTTGACCCTCATGAGCTTTTTGACTGACCCATGGCGGAGGTGGTAGGCGGATGTGATCATGTTAGGACGAGGTGGATATATTGTCCCGGGGTTGACACAGGCTGTATCTCTTGCTGGCAAAAAGTACGCAGGCTTGATTCGATCCATGGAGGACACGGATGCTGTTGGTGTTGTGATTTCTGAATATTTCTGGGCTTCGAGGCTCTTTCCTTTCCCGAGGCTCAGAGATGAGGTCACATCGGAAGAACTGGAGGGCTGGCCCGATGGTGAAGACATCGATTCTGGAATAGGAGCCGCCATAACGGGGCCCAGATTTCAGGGTGATGTGCTATTAACCTGGATATTCGAGGGCCAGTATGTTTTGAGTCGGAGGGGTGTTGATGATAGAAGTTCGTTACATGAGAGTAGTTCCCAAGCAGTTGTATTACAAAACGACATCGACTTGTTGAATCGAAGGTTGTATGATTGTACGCCAAGTTGATTCAACGGGCCCGGGTGAAGCATTAACAGCTCAGGATGACCTGGTGCCGTTGTGCCATTACATGTCCAGTAACGTGGCGCCAGACTTATGCAAACTGTGGTAAATTATCAGAACTAGATATAAGAAAAAGTTGTGAAATGAAGAAAATATCAAGAGAAAGGAAGGAAGAGATGCTTCGAAAAAGAGAAAAGAGTCAAATTCATCGAGCTAAAGGGTATCTCAAGTCTCCAAACGCCAATATAACCTAAAATAAATGTCGTATGCGGTGTTGCAAAACCCTAACCCAGTGCCAAACCGTGACAAGCTCGGAGCTACCAGAAACCTAGCCCTCCCATCTACCCATCTATCAAAGAACCATCTGATGATTGCCCACGTTCTAGTGTCTGTTTGAGGTTCTCGTTTTCAAGCTTGCGATAATTCATTCGCTGTTCTTCCAGTCGTTCGACTCCTCTTTGAATGTTCTCGATATGCACCGATAATGGAATATCTCTTCTGTCGCGCAACAGTTCCGGGCCACCTACGCGCTCTCTTAGGTCCTCGAGTCCAGCACCCATGGCTTGTAAACGAAGTATAGTCCCAGAGACATGTGCATACGCCGTCTTGCGATAGATGGCGACTTGTTGGAGGAGGGTAAGTTGGCGGTCCATCTTATTTAGCTTGCCCCGATGGCCGCCTAGCATCGCCCATAACGATGAAAGAATCTCCTCTTTCTGGGCTTTTGCGGAGACATCTTCCCGAGTCGCCACACCGTGAATGACCTCCAATCTATCTTCTAAATTGTTGAGAATCATGAGAAGTGCTTGTGCTTGGTCGATTAGCCGGTATATCTCTTCTTCAACACTGCGTGTATGTTGAATGTACTGGTCTAATAGAATCTGCTCCGTGAATTTTGTGGGCTGAAAGGGCGCTAGGAGTTTGTCATTGACGAATGAGTTTATAGATCCACGGGATCCATCTCGTTCTTCGATCCCATCAAGGACCCGGGCGGTCCATCTCGTCGTGGAGATAACATTATCAACTGCTCGACCAACATGACTATTGAATTTCTGTAGGTCATATGACGCAATACGTGCAGTTTCGATGAATCCATCAAACTCGAGCACAAGTTCGTCCCTAGTAAACTGTTAGTAACCATGGGTCTAACCCTGAGTTGCATGGGAAATATAGTTAAAATGACCAAAGGAAGATACTGTCAATGGAAGCACCGAGAATCTGCTCAATAGCTTACTTAGAATGCAGCTGACTATAGCGGACAAGTTGGCGCAAGTCTCGAATTGAAGCTTCTCCACGCTTCATGTCGACGGGTAGTGAAGCACCTCCGGCACTTTCTTCCAATACCTTTTCGAAGTTGGCCTGAACCGTCATCAAGCGATCAAACTCTACTGGAGGGGGAGGCCCGTTACTGTTGTCGGCAGAATGCACCGGGCAAAATGGTAGATTTAGTAGTGAAGTCCCAGGAATTCGGCAGATGGGTGACAAAGAAGCATATATCGAAGTAGTAACGAGGTTTCGTAGGACGAGACCGAAGCCAAACAGTAGCCATACTGCAAGTAAGTAAGATATGGGCGTCTTGAGGATTCTTAAAGCGCGTCCAAAAACATCGAGGACCCACGACATTATATTGAGAGTGTGGTCGACAGTAATATCCAAGATATTCTGGGCGCTGTTTGGGTCATCGCGTACAAGTTTAGACCGAGAGGATGTTGCGCCAGTCGATGTTTTATGGGCAGACAAAGGCTTTGTTCTGCTTCGTTTCTCAGGACTACCGTTGATAGGACCTTGACGGGACGTTCTTCTGCGGGATTCTTGTAGTCTAGATCTCTCTGCGGAAAGATTGCCAGATTGCCGCATACCCTTGCTTGTTGTATCCGCCCATGACCCATCCAGTGAATTCATATCCAACGATGGCATGACTAATTCTGGTTCGGGAGATCTATTTGCCCCTCGTGCTCGATGTCTTGGTGTGCTGCGTCGAGATCTGGGCTCACTCTCCTCATTCTCTGGCACGTAGTCGGGACTATGGTCCTCTTCCTCTTCCTCTTCTTCCTCCACGACCCATGATTCTCCAAGGGTGATATTTGCTCTCCTAGGTGGCATTTTGGCGTCTTGATGCAATGACAGTCAGTGAAGAGTACGAAGTAGCAAACAATGCGGCTGGCGTCTACTGTACTTGTTGATAGAGAATATATTTGTCACGGTTTGAAGTAGGCGCGATAATCAATTCACTTTACAAGAATAGACAACGGGTCAATCAATATATATGAACAACAGCGGGCCATGTTGTGCTTTTGTATAAGGTGAAGAAGGTATGTCGCTATATGTCACTGGACGTGCGTGTTGACATGACGTTGGTCCGATGACAGGGCAGCAGCAGCCCAGCCCCCCTTGTCTCCTCGTCTTGTTCGCCACATGTCGCCAAGATTTGCAAGGTTTACTCGTAAGTAGAATCGCGACGCGCCGTGACCAGCGCCTTGAGTCCTGTGACTAGTCCAGTCCACTTCAGGCAAAAAGCTCTTGCTCGACGTCCAGCTTGTTATGATCACCGTGATGCGCTCCTCGAGGGCCCTACGACTGTTACAGACCGGCACTAGGATATCTCACACTACTTCTCAGGCTCCGAGGAGAGTTGTAGCTATTCGCAATGGCTACTGTTCAGCCTGCGAACCAGCGCCGCCGCAGCCATCAGATGTGAAAAGGCGCTACGATCGGCCTAAATCACACAAGAAACCCAAGAACCCCAAGGAGCCCGAAGCAGCACCAGATCATCGACACCTAGGGATCGAGCAAGAGCTGTTCACCACCTCTATATACAGCCCAGGCTCACCTATATTTCTGCCAAATGGAACGAGAATATTCAATAAGCTGACGGACTTTCTACGAACTCAATACGAACACTTCGGATTCCAGGAAGTCATTACCCCTACAATCTACAAAAAGTCATTATGGGAGAAGTCGGGACACTGGGAGAACTATGCAGAAGACATGTATTCTGTTACGGGACGAGGGGCGTCCGGGGAAAAGGAGGGTCGGCAGATTGGGGAAGATGAAGAATATGGACTGAAGCCCATGAATTGTCCAGGACACTGCCTCATATTCGCTTCCAAGCAACGAAGTTATCGAGATCTACCTATACGATTTGCCGATTTCAGTCCTTTACATCGAAATGAAATCTCGGGAGCGCTCAGTGGATTAACAAGAGTTCGGAGATTTCATCAGGACGATGGCCATATATTCTGTCGCCCCTCCCAAATTCGAGAAGAGATCTCAAAGACCTTGGAGTTCGTAAAGTTGACATACGGAGTACTTGGTCTGGGGCCCTATAGATTAGCTCTTTCTACAAGACCAAAGGATACCTTTATTGGGACGGTAGAAGAATGGGACAACGCAGAAGCGGCGCTGAGAGAATCCCTCGTCGCAAGCGAGCAACCGTGGACACTCAATGAGGGAGATGGAGCATTCTACGGGCCAAAGATCGACATCATTTTGAAAGATTCGGATGGAAAAGAGCATCAAACCGCCACAATCCAGCTCGATTTTCAACTCCCCAAGCGCTTCGAATTGGAATATCAAGCACCAGCGCCGGAGATTGAACAGAAAGGTCTGACTACGGATGACGCGGAATTACTTTCGGTTCAAGGGCCTGTCACTCCTGTGCTCATACACAGAGCAGTTTTGGGTTCGGTTGAACGAATTATGGCACTTTTGATTGAGCACCATAATGGTCGATGGCCATTTTGGCTGAATCCACGCCAGGTGAAGATATTGACTGTCAATGATCAACAAGAAACTCTCGATTTTGTCAAGAAAGTAGTGCAGGACCTACAAGGCTACGACCCTCCATCAACAGATGGCGAGGGTCGAGGTCTTGGGGCTCTTGGAGCTGGTCTTGTCCGTGGGAATAGACTTTCCATTGACGTGGATGACTCTCCTCGCGGTCTAAACAAAAAACTCTCGGAAGCCAAGAACCAGCGATACGGTGTCATTATAGTTGTTGGCGCACGAAATGTTGAATCCAATCGCCTCACTGTTGATTTCTCCGCTATCCCTAATTACCGCTACGATATCCGAGAGAGTAAACTGCTGAACAACCTCCTCGTGGCACATAAGGAAGCCAAGCTGGAGAGAGACGCCAGGTATCCCAACTGGGGTACGCACTGGGCTCCTGCCGACGAAGAGTTTGCCTCGCAGGATGGGGATCCTGCACCTCGTAAGCTGAGTCACGAAGAATTGAAGGCTTTCGAAATAACCGCAAGGACCTTGAGGAAGGTTTTGAATGGCTTTCAAACTTCGTACGTGTGAGACCATGTCCGAGGTCTGTATATATGTAGATAATTGTACACTATTTGAGTCATCTGAGCTTACTCGACTCTTAACTGAGAAGATACCCTATAGCACTGTAGTATATTTTCAAGCTGAGGCATTACAATTTACGTTGATTCTTCATAATACAGGATTAGTAGAGATGATAATGTCCCAAATTTCAATCCATACTTCTTCCAGCCCAATTGTAGCTGCCTCTGCCTCTTGGAAAAGTAAAAGCCCAACTCCGAGTATCGACATTCTATTCCCCATTCTGCGCTCCGCCGTAACTCCATGATCCGCAAAATGCCCAATCATCCATTCTTTACTTGTATAAAACCATCATCGCTTCATACCGTCCTCCACCTGCCCGCCCAACTCCTCAATCCTACCAACCAGCTTCCTCCTCTCATCCAACTGTGCGCGCATATAATCGACAGTTTTTTTGAGAACCACACTCTCGCTCCTCCCTTGTCCTTCTAATCCAGGTACAAGCTCCGTGAGACGATCGAAGCCTTCGCGGATAGCTTGCCGGCGTTTTTGTTCTAAGAGTCGGGTTAGTAATGCTTTTAGGAATCGTACCGCCTCATTCGTATTGTAAATGTGGAAGGATATTGCTAGTGATAGGTAGAGAGAGAGGGCGAGCCTTACCAGAAGCAATATGATTCGCCTTCTTCTCATGTTCTGATAATCTAGGTTTCTCGTCCAGATTCCCATTCGAACTACCCGCGTTCGCAGAACCCTCGCGCGCAGGTGATGTAGACATGCTTCCTCTCCCAACTGTCGATATCACATCAGATGATGATTAGCAGTCATCGAACCCGTGAACAACACAGTAATGGCAAGATAAGGATTGAGTGCACGTTATCAAGATACAACCTGCACCGCGGGGTCGGGAATGAAACACATGCGCGGGCGGATCCACAAGGCTTCCAGAATTTCCCGAGCGCATTGCATTCATCAGCCTTGCGCCAAACCAACGTCACGGTCAACACTACATGTAGCACAATGACAGAAGCACCACCATCCTACGAAGCTGCGGCTGTTGAACATGGAGCTTTACCTGTACGAGATGGAGCGACAGCAGGCAAAAAGCCAGTCCCCCGCGGTCCCTTTCCCCTCGATATCCCGGTTCTGAACCAATTACGAGGAAAGCGTATTATCCTAGCATCGCAGAGTCCATCTAGGAAACAGATTCTCTCCAAGGTCAACTCACTCCCTGCTCCTTTTCTTACAATGCTAACTTTACTATCTGCATAATTAGATCTTCACAAACATGGAAATTATACCCTCCACACTACCCGAAGACCTGTCCAAAGAAGACCTAGGCCCCTTCGAATACGTCCTGCAGACCTGTGTGCAGAAGTGCATCTCAGTATACGAGCACACGCTCGCCAACTCCATGAACTCCATCCCCGACCCCTCCCTCGTCATCGCGGCCGACACCGTGGCGGTCACAGCCTCCGGGCGCATCTTGGAGAAACCGCGCAGCGAAAAAGAACATATTGCGATGCTGAAGATGCTGCGGGATCAGGTGGCGCATAAGAGCTATACGGCGGTAGCGGTGGTGGCGCCGCGCGAGGACGCGCGGTATCCGGGGTATAATATTGAGACGACAGTCGAGGAGACGAAGGTTGTGTTTGATGCGGCTGTGAGCGATGAGTTGATCGAGGCGTATGTTAGGACGCGGGAGGCGGTGGATAAGGCGGGGGGTTATGGGTTGCAGGGTATGGGGAGCTTGTTGATTGAGAGGATTGAGGGGAGTTGGGATAATGTGGTAGGCTTGCCGTTGAGGGCTACGCTGGCGTTGGTGGAGAAGGCGGTGTTAAACCAGGAGGATATTGAAGGGGAGGATGAGGAGGAGGAGTAAAGATCAGGAAATGATGCAGTCAGGTACATCATCTTGAGCAGTTCATGTTGAAACATTCAAAGTTCTAGGCGCCGCAGGTGGCTTCGTGAGCTAGGCTATCGTGAACTCAAAGGCATTTTTGGCAGCTCTCAACCAAAAGTCCATATGGGACTGTATCCCCCTCTATACGGATTAATATGAGAAGGCAATTTTAGAACTTACTTTCCATGCCGCATTTCCTATGAGGCTGAAAATGTAGCTAAAAAAACAGATCTGGTTTCCATGCGGATCTTCCGAAAGGCAAAGCATTTATGAATCTGAGCTTTCGACAGTCTCTTAACATATCAGATGTTTAGCCTAGGTTCACCAACCTATTGTCAAGCAACAGCCAATACAATACGCCTCATGAAAATAAGTCCTTAGGGGAGTTCCGCATCACTCAGAACACAAAAGTAACCCGATGCTACAAATTCCCACCTCAAGTAATGAGTCGGCTATAATCTCAAAGCACGTTATTTCGAGTTTTCTTCTTCTTCTAAAATCCCTATTCAAGTCAACTCAGAGCAATTTGGAACCTTTGCTATAGATAATTCCAGTTCATCCCAGATAGGCAGGTGCTGTTCAGTGGGAAGAAAGGGGCCTAACCGAGGACCTAAAATACCACGGCACAGCTACCTACCTTAACAACATGCCACGCATACCTTGGAATGGAATTTATATCATATTATATCATATCCTCATAATGACTATCCTAGTAATTCGCTCATGTTAGATTGTAATAAGAATAGCTGGGCTAGCACTCGGGGGATCGTGGAATGCTTTTTTTTACTGATTATCAGGCTAATAGAGTGGAGGAGAAGATCGAGTATTACCTACATAAGGTACTTGGAATCATTATCATGTTCATTATCAAGATTGAGCTTGATAGCATGAAGTGCACGGCAGATGCGCCGAGGAATCCCACGTCTGTAGAGGTGAGAGTACGTAAATTCTAACCGTCGAGTTGCTTGCTACAGTACAGTAAGAGGCTAGGCCCTGACTTTCAATGCAATATCTCAGTGTAAAAGCCAACAGCACTGAATCGATCCACAAACCACGCTGTGCTTCAGCACCCCGGCCTGGGCCCCGCGACTGACTTGCTGGCAGCTGAGAGTTGGTAATGGCTTTAGCAGCGTACAGTAAGTAGCCTTTGCGATCTTCGTTGGTATATTGATTCGGCGATTCATGGTATACGTATATGTAGATCTATCAGCTAGGTATATATAGTCCGAGAACCAAAAACCGAGTTTTGATTACCGTTTTATTTACTGCAGGTAGTCAGGAAAGGAGAAACAGAAACAGAAACCCACGTACATGCATGCAATGAGTAGCCGTAAGCCTGAAGAGCAGCAAATAGGACCGGGGATTATGTGGAATCGCGGGAATCTTTTCCAGGAAGTTATCGAAGAAGCGCGTTATGCATATGTTATGGCGGAATGAAGGGGAGAAACGGTCGAGTGGTATTGTATTTTGGTTGTGCAAAGAAAGAGGAATGGTGAGGACCTCGCAGATATACATATAGTAGCTTGGCCTGAGGGATAGGAAATCTTACATATAGGTAGATGAGGGAGGTAAACAGGGGACAGTTAGGCGTTATTGTAAGGTGAATTACCGTGGGAAGAGGTCGAGAACGATTTATGTTATATACATAAGAGGGGTTAAGGTAGGCAGAAGTGAGGAAACAGTAACAAGCTCATAGACCCAGAAAGTGTCAGGAACTCACAGACAGCGGAGGGTGTTTGACTGACGAGGCAGAGTTGGAATTTGAAGATAGTTGTGTGGTGAATTGAGCGGCTGGACGACCAAGATCTGCTGTTGCCCTGTCTCTGCTCTCCCCACATGTCATAAATCGGAGCAGTCCATAGGTAAGGTAGTCACCATAAACATAAGGACCGGTCGAACAGTTCAGCAATGAATATGAAATTTGCACGAGCTAGAATCTACTACTTGTACTCAGGCAATAAGAACACCCATGCAACCAGCCCAAAAGGGACCAATATAGCCCAGCCGACATCCCGCCCATCATACAGCCATAATAAGCATCCGAACCAAAATCAAAATATGAACCATGTTACGTATACCCGTTTGATTGCTGCCAAGGAAAAAGCACAGGAGACAGCAAGTCCTGATTCTGTCTCAAAAGACAAGAGCAAGAAGTAAAGACATAAAGTAAGACGCGGCGCAAAGATCTAGGAGTCAGCCTTCGTCTTCTTCTTTCTTGGCTTGGGGCCGCTCTTTGGTGTCTCCACCTGGAGCTCTTCTTTCTCAACAGCACCAACCGACTCATCTACAGTCTTCTTGCTACCTCGCTTGCGCTTCTTGTCGGGACTCTTTTCCTTTTCTGCTGGGGCGGCCTTGGGAGGGACAATGCTTGCGGCTGGGACAATTGGCTCGGGGGCAGATGATACTGGTGTAGCCTTGCTCTTTCGGGTTCCTTTGCCTTTTGGCGTCTTGATAGGAGGCGTGGGTTCCTTCTCTGGCTCGCCTTCAGCATCTGTGTCATGAAGAACAGTAGCATTGGCCTCTCCAACAAGTTGCGCGTTAGCTGAGGCGGCATCGGCACCGATGTTGTGCTCATCAGCATAGGCAGCTGCTTCTAGTTCGGTCATGTCTTTAGCATCCGGGTTGGTGCCACTTTTATATGAGTGCATTCTTGCGTTGTAGAGTCGCAAGTTGTCCTTGTAGGCATTGGTCCATAGCTACATGAATCAGTATATGTAAAAGCATGTAGGAAGAGGTCGACAAACCTGCTTGTCGTCATCGTCCATGATACCCCATCTTCTTGTGCCTTCAGTGCTGACAGCACCTTTGGCAGCTTCTGGTCCAAGATCTTGCGTGATGATGGGGCGCGCAGTCTGCATATACAGGAAGAAAGGTGTAAGAGGACGCTTTGGCGCATTGGGGTCATGCTGTCTCTTCTTGCGCTCCTTCTTCTCGGGTGCAGCATCTGCGGCGGCCGACCTGGCTGGACTCGGAGGATGTTGAAGATCTCCCAGTAGCAAAGGATTGTCACCAAGCCTGGCTAGAGACGAGTCGATTTCCTGGCTGGTGGAAAAATCACCAAGACATGCATTTGTATGCTTGATGTAGGCGCTCGAGAGGGTTTTGATGGCTTCTTGGAGGGTTGCGAGCCCGTTGACGACCTTCTCTCATGTTAGTGCTTGCTCAGTCATGTTCCAGGTGTAGGTAGAGCTTGAGCTTAGGTCAAGGTGGGATGTTCGGACGCGAATGTAAACAAACACTGGCGACGCGTGGTGCCGCGAGCCTCAATGATGAGATGACAATGGCAAACTCGCGCGGGTTAGGGTCGCGTAGATGTGGGAACGCGGGATTCGAGGTGTTTGATGTTATGAGAGCAGTGGTGGGTGGGATATAAGCAATGCGATCAATGGAGGTGGTGGCGCGGTACGTTCTTCAGCGACGAGCATATCGAAGACTTTCGATGCGCCGATGGAGGACGAAGAGGAATGAAAGAGGTGAAATCAGTCTCACCGAGTCTCTGGTGCGCACAAAGCTTTTCACGTCAAGGGTAATGGTCTCGACCTCCTTGGGCTTCTCTTCTGCTTTCTTTCCCTTGGCCATAGTGTTGAGGTTTATGGTGGGTGCAGGTGGGTGGGTGTTGTTGCTTCAGGGTCGATAGGATGGGGATGGGGATGTTGCAGCTGAAGAAGCCCGGAAGTTGGGGGGGACGAGGGATTTTCAGGAAAAATCAGAGGTTGGAGCCAGTCAAGATTCGCTGTAGCAGTAGCTAGGTGAGCGATATTACGGTAGTACGATACCTACCAACTAAGCAGGGCAGGGCAGGCAGGGCAGGCAGGACACCACACCTTACGAGTACCAATTGATTCTCTCTACTCCCACCAAGATAAAATCGAATTCTCATCTGGGCGTGCACTGGGTTTTATCGATGTCTACCTAGGCTAGGTACCACCTACCTACCTACCTCTTCACCTTTTCTGCATATATCCAATCACCTAGGTACCTATCCTATCCTATCCTATGTAGATTGTTCTGCTATCTGCAGCCATTTCTGCGTCCATCACTGTACAGTGCGCAGCGCAGCGCAGCTTCCGGGTTTTCTTCTCACAGCTGCAGCCCGTCCGTCAGTCAGCATCGAGCTAGGCGGCCAAAACTCTGTGAGTGTAGTGTGTTCTGTACCTACCTACCCTCGCTACCCTACCCCTACTGTGAGAGCTGCTCGGGCTTCTATGGCGAAGCACTGAAACCTAGAACGAAGCAACTGGTAAAGCCCGCGAGGCCCGTCGGCACCACAAAGCCTGTATCTGCCGGTCCAAAAATACAGAGTACTATACCCTAAGTACGAGTTCACGCCAGATTCGGAAGGGAGGGAGCTTGGCTCAGTGCACCTGATGAGCTTGATGCCGAACGATTGGCATTGAACGCCTGCTAGATTTACTTACACGGTAGGTATGGTAGGGTAGGGTCATCATCTGCAAGATCATTTGTTACACTGTGCTGAAAGCCTCACTACCTTACCGTATAAATGCGAGAAGACCTACGAGTACATACCTACAGATTGGATCGTAGACAACGACTGTACGAATATGTTTTTTGTATGGCGTGCTGTAAGGTTTGAATACGACGCAGCTTTTTCCTTTTCCGCTCCTCCTCGAGCCTGAAAGTGAAACACCCCGCACCCTCACCTCACACACATCAATTGCTCAGCTCTTGTCTGCCCCTGCCCCTGCCCCACTGATCAGAGCTGTTGTCCAGTGAGAACCACACCTACAAGTATGGAGCGGAGCCTAAGGTGCCCCGGTTTTATGTGATTTCGCATCGGCGCCAACGGCCGACAACCCCTCACTGTGAACTCCATCCAGCCTTCAAGCCTCAAGGACCGTTGGCAGCAAGCAAAGGGTGTGTGAATTGCTTCATGATACCGCCCGCTATCTTGCAGCAATCCCTCCCCATAATGTAGGTACCTTGAGAAGCATAAGTGTGCTCTTCACCCCTCCAAATCCAATTCCAGACCATTGATGGCTGTAGCGATTGCTTCTTCGCACTGTTGATCTGACTGGCTCTTGTCCTTCCTGACGGGACTTGGCATACATCCTTCTGCAGAACCACCCCACCAAAACAAACCCCCCCAAAGCCCCAAAACACTTGGCAGGCAAAGCTAACATCGCACCCCACTGACTTTTCATCCTCAAACAGCTTTGTTAGAAGCTTCATCACAGCCCATCCCCCTCTCCAGATCCGCTGCCCATTGCACCAACGCACGGAAACAACAATACTGTCACCATGCCGAGCATTAGCACAACCACGGCGGTGCTGACGCTCGCAGTTCTCCTGCTCCTGGCGAGACCTGCGAATGCCTTCGGAGCGGGGAACATTGCCAGCGTGGCTAAGATTGAAGGTCTTAATTGTAAGTATATACGTTTTTGAAGCTCTGCGAGCTCCGAACTTCTGCTGACCCGAACCAGGGCGCCATGGTGATATCGAAGACACCCTCCTTACGCTTGTTATGTCGAGAGCTGCTGGTGGAAAGAAGTTTGACAAGATGAACGTTGCTCGAGTTTACTTTGGCAACTGGCTGAGAGATTACTGTGAGTTGCGATCTATAAAGAGAGGGAACTCTTCTGGACACATGTTGACCTCTTTACCCCTCCAGCTCAAGCAATCGATGTCGGAACCGTCAAATATGTCAGTGCTGAAGCGATTCGAATTCTTCTCTGGGTCCTTGGTTTTATGACATTTGGATATGGCACGAAGGAGTTCGAAGTGACTTCTGAACGTCTGGGCTGCTACAGACCAGAAGACCATATCGGTACGTCTACTGAATCACATTTAAACTACTAACCTAACGTATAATCTTTATAGACAACCCCAAAGACTATGCGGATAACCTCGATGCGACACAATATGATCGTAGACTTCGTGGTCCTATCAACGAACGAGTTGAATTGGCGATTGACCCTAGAACTGGTCTGAAGAACTATATTGCCAATGAGCAAGCAGGTATCATGACCTCTGCTTTGCATGTACGCCAGCTCTTCGGTAAATGCATCCAACTGGGTCGATCGTACGCCCAAACCGGAAACAAGGCTGAGCTTCACGAGGCTCTTCGCCTGCTAGGTACCGGACTTCACTGTCTTGAGGGTAAGCTTTCCAAATGCAAGAGCAAGGTCACCCATCTAACAATATACAGATTATTCTGCTCACAGCAACTACACCGAACTAGCTCTTATTGAGATGGGCGAGCGCGATGTCTTCCCTCATGTTGGCCGTCAAACCGCTATCCGTCTCCAAGGAGCTCGTAGCGAAGTCTACCCTATCATTACTGGAACCTTCGGTGGTGTTGATTTCCTCCACTCGGTAATGGGCGAGTTCTCCGATAAGGCCACGCAAAGCGAAATCTCAGAGCTGGAGGGGACTATGCAAGGAGGCAGTAACGCTGATACCAGTGTCCTCAAGGATCTCCTCAGCTCCGTACCTTCTGGACTCTTTGGTGGCAAGGACGAGGCTGGCAAGGCAGATGAGCTTCAAGCAAATGCTACTGCTGCTCAAATGAACCAGATGCGCGTGTCTCCCCGCCAGCCAGAAGAGTTTACTCGCCAAATGCAGGACGTCGCCAAGCAAATCTACCCTGTCATCGAATGGCACGACGAGCTCATGCAGTCGATCACTGAAGCAATTGAGAAGATTCCAATTTTGCCAGATCTTATCGAGCAGATTGAGGAACAACTCAATATCTTTGTCTTCTCGCTCTTGGCGCCATTCGTTCTCCCAATCATCAGCCAGATCAAGACTGAGTTGAACACTGGCTCCTCTGAGATTATCCAGAGCAGTAAGGACAAGCAATTAATCGTCTTCAATGATGACCGTTCTTCTGATCCCACTCATTCTATGTTGTCCAAGGACCATTTCTCCAACGTGAGTAGCATCCATTCTAATTACACGGTTTTCAGCTAACCAGTCTCAGATTCTCAACGAGCCAGCTGGCAAGATTGCTTCTCAAGTCTTGAAATGGGTAGTTCCTCAGCTCATCGCCTGCTGGGACGATCCGCGTGTCGATGCAGACCGCACTATCAACCGCATCATCAACGGTGTCTTCCATCACCCCGCCCAACGTGAAATGGGTGATGACGGCGCAGTTGACGGCCGCCGTTTGATGTTCGGAGTTGTCGAGCAGTGGTGGAGAAATATGGACCAGCGCGAACAGCAAGAGTACCGCAGAAAGTTGAGCCGCGATGGTGTCATGAACGGAGAGAATCACAAGGAAGGTGTTGAGGATAGTGGTCACGGATGTGGCAAGCCCTTGGGAATGGCCAAGCAAGCTGGTGGGTCATCTGGCCCTGCCGCCGGTATTCTCGGTGATATTTCTTCCACCCTAGGCGGTGGTCTCTCATCAGGAGGCGGCCACGGCGGTTCCAGCGGAGGAAACTCGGGACTCAGCAAATTCGCCTCAGAAGCAGCAGGTGGTGGAGCTCTAGGTGGAATAGCAGGTGCTCTCGCTGGCGGGCTTGGCGGCTCTCTACTGAGCGGCGCCTTTGGTGGAGACGACGAGGAGAAAAAGACGAAGAAATACTCTTCCGAGGGCTACACTTCCGGTGGAGGTTACCAACAGAAGTACACTGAGGTCCAGCACAGTGGCAATCAATACAACCAAGCACAGTATTCAGAGACCCAATACTCAAGCGGAGCCCAGCAGACCGATTACCAACGCTATGAACAAAACAGCTCTGGAAATTACGGTGGTGGATTCGAGCAACGCACTGAGACTCGCCCTACCTACGGAGGTAACTATGAGCAAACTACCGAGCGCATCTATGAGCGTCCTGGTGGACAGGTGCAGGCAGAGGCTTGGCGTGAGGAGAAACAATATAAAAAGGATAGCGATGATGATAGTGATGGTTCATACAAGAAAAAGAAGCATCATAAGAAGCATCATAGCGATAGTGGTGATGAGCGCCCAAGCCAGGGTGGATATGGCGGACAGAGACAAGAGGGTTATGGACAACAGCAGCAACAGGAGAGCTATGGCGGCGGTGGTGGCTACGGACAACAACGACAAGAGGGCTATGGCGGTGGTGGTGGCTACGAACAACAACGACAAGAGGGCTATGGCGGTGGTGGTGGCTACGGACAGCAGCGACAAGAGGGCTACGGTGGTGGAGATTATGGCGAGGAGAGACGCGAGCGTTTTGAGGAACCTCCTCGTCAGGAATACGGCGGAGGAAATGAGGCTGGATATGGTGAGAGAGAACGACAAAACGAGTATCAAGAAGAATACCAAGAGGAGCGTCGAGAAGAATACCAAGAGGAGCGTCGAGAGGAGTACCAGGAAGAGAGACGCGAGGAGGGAGGCGGTGGCTGGTTCTCTTAGATATGTGGTTGCCAGGAGGCACAAGTGAGTGAAGCGGTGTTTGACTTTTTAGACCAACGTTTTCCAATCGACGCTTTTTCTAGAATCTCAAGTACTAATGTACCTATATATGTGACCTCAATATTTTCCTACATCTAGTCCAGGTTTTCACTAACCTCTGATCTCTCCCCTATAACCTACCTACGCTTTTCCCCTATCTAGCGCGCTGCCTCCTTCCCACACTCTTCGTTAGCTGTTCAATTTGTTCTTCCCAAGACAACTAGCACAATAAGTATCTCTGTTCCTAGCGCTTAGTGCTATTACTATAGCTAGTTAGACCATTCGCAAATTGGTCATGTGCCTGCATGGCAGGAAGTAAGTGCACATTTTCAAAAAAAAAAAGTATAAATGAAGTGATGTGTTATGTTGTGATGTGATGTATTTATTGATATTCATTTTTGAAATGCAGTTATTGTGCTCTGTAAAGTAGATATGGCGGATTCTCGTGTAGAAGCTATACATAAGGAAGGAAGGAAGAACTACACTTTCGAGATCCTAGGAATTCTTAAGTAGGTATATGCATGAGATCAATCAAGCGCTGTGGTCATTTCATTTCATTAGTATGGTGATTGTTAAGCACTATATATTTGCTCTGGCTATCTTCTCCCTCTTTACTATTTTATGCTAGCTATGGAAAAATCCCCGGCGCGATTACACGCACTAAGCCCCAGCCCTCTGGTATGCACTCTCGGAATATACCTATTAAGGCGCTGGTGTTATGTCTACAAAGCCGTACACCGCATATCAGCGGCCGTGTGGAATCCTCTCCTGTTTCAATCAAGGGTTCTTTTTCCAGGAGGGAACCGGAACCGGAATCGGAACTGCAAGCCGTTACTTCGATGCCTGTTGTGGGATCGGGACCTGGTTGGTGGCAAGTCTGAGCATCATCGTCGTGGAACTGGCAATACGCCCAGATGATCAGAGCAGAGGTACACAGCGCAATGTGGCATATTGGATCTAAGTTTCGCGTACTAATATCCGGACCGGACGACGAAACGAAGTTCTGGTATATGGCCAGGATATCGATTGCGCGGCATATAGCTGTTCGTGCTGCTGGTACGGAAGTCCAGTTTTGAACGGAGAGTCGACGGTGTTCTCGCGCGCGTTGAAAGGTTGCGGATCCTTGTTCCATCGCGCTTGGGGTTTGGTCTCGGGTTACTTGGACGAGGTTTGGGATGTCGAGGGAGAGGTGGAGGTCTAGGAGGAGGAGGAGCATTTGCGTGTCAAATAGGAGGTCGTTTACTCGGTTTATGACGGGTTCTTGCCAGCCTGCTTGCGTGTGGTCTTCCATGCCGTAGTAGTAGCGATAGGGAAGAAGCTTTTCATGGCCGAAACTGGGGGAGGATGGATGGGGGTTCTGGGCTAGGATCTCGTCGAGTCTAGATCTCAGTCTCTCCAGGTCCTTCCTCAGGGATTCTTTCTCGGCGCATGGAACAGCTCTGTTGGGTTTCTGGCTACTGTTGTTGCTCTGGACATGCTTCCATATTTTCGATTGCATTGCACAGAGGCAGAGATGGATGTCTTCGATTAGCAAAGGTTGACCTGTGAAACTAGAATCGTTTCCTGATATATTTTCCACGATCAAGTCGTTCATTGACTTGCAGGCTCGGTAAGAGGGCTCCTCAATCAGCCGTGGTTCCCAGATATGAAGGCCGTTGGTGTTGTATAAGGAGAAGGTAGACGGGAGTGAGAAGTGCAATTCTTCGGGACAAAGCGTCATTGGTAGATTTCGTAATATGCTGGTATATGAATCTAGCTTAAACAGAGCATATGCTAGTCTTGTGCTAATTCAGCATTGGTATTATAAGTAGAAGCTCTCATACCTTTGCCTTTCTCCCTCTTTGATCGTGCGCATCGGCACGAAATATCCTTTCTTTTCGTCGGCCCATGCTGTTGCTGGTCGGAAGAATACGACCTCTCGAAGAGCAGCAATAAGAATGTTCAATAAAATAATTGTGCGAGATAGTCCGCGGTTATGCTACATTGTGTGAGCACTTCTGAGGCGAACGCAAGGAATCAAGACCAACCCCGCGATAAAGTCCAAAAATGATGTTCAGGACAGCGGCATGGCACACCCAGGCAGGTAATGATTGCTGAAACCTGTCTTGTGAAGTGACTTGACACTGATAATTGGACTGTCAGCGATGGGAAAACAACGAGTAGAGCTTGCATACCAACCGAGTCATAAGCTGGTCCATCAGTTCATCATGCGTTTCAATGGCAAAGTCAACAGACTCGCTAGTACCATGTAGCCAGGCCCCGATCATCCGTATTGATAGTTCGCATAGATCAGTATCCTTTCCATCATACTCGCGTGACACCCGGTGCTCGATTGGCCAGCGGTGATGGAATTGCTTGAAGTATATTTCCCTATACTTTTGCGCAACTTCCTGAAGACTATTCACCTCTTTGGGAGTGGGAGCTAGCACGTGAGGATCAGGTTGGATTTCAACCAGTGTCCAATCTATAAGACCGCGGGGCTTGGTTGCTGAGGGCCTTGTATACGAATCTTTCAGAGATGTCTGCTGTGTCGTGGTATCATCTACCACGGTTAGAGAATAAGGTTTCGCCGTAGTTGCAGTTGTGAGGTTGTGGTTCAAGGACTGTGAGGTCCCTGGAGCAATTGATGAACTTGCATCTCTGCTCGGCCTATGGCTGTCTCCATCATGCTGGAATTTGCATTGTACGCCTTTTTTAATACATGAAAAACACGGATCATTCTTGTCACATTTCGACTTCGAGACTCGACAATTAAAACACGCTCGCTTTGCTCTGACTGATGGAATCTGTCTGAACGTAGCACCATGTTTGACAACATGACGTTGAAGACTATCACTATTGTGGATTTTAGTTTGCTTTTTGGAGCGGAGTGGCAGTAGGAAAGCGGACTTCCTATTGAAATGTCGTTTACATGCTGGACATTGGAGCAGGTTGGAAGGATCGTGGGATTTCTCGTGTCGGCCAAGGTGTTCTTTGCGGGCGAAACTTTTACCGCAGCCAGCATGTCTGCAAATGAACTGTCTACTTTCCATGCCAGTATGGTTTCAAGTCAATCACATTGTGATGCTATACTCAGGTTGTCTTGATGACGACTTGCTCGTACGGATTATCGTGGGACTATAATGGCCGCGATGTCGACAATTTCCACGCTCTATGTAGTTTCAACGCGAAGCATGCTGTCAGAGCTCGAGATGAAGCGAAGTCGGGCATCCCACAATATTTATAAGGAGATCTTCTGGACTCGGATCCTCCCACATAGAAAGGTTTTGCAGCCTGAATAATAAGGTTTCATGCGCTAATTTATTAATATGCTTAGGAGGGAGGAGGGGTAACCCGAAATCTTTTTTATATCTTTAGCTTTCTATGCGGCTATTTGATATTGCCTAAATTAAAGAAACAACTTTGGCAAGGATAATCTTGACAAATTTTGCTAATTCTAGGCTTTCATAGCCTCTTCTACTACGTATCCACAGTCAGACTTGTTTCTTTCATGTTTCCTCGTATCCTTCTGCTCCACCAATCTTGTGAGGCAGCAGCTACCCATGGGCGATATATATACACAGTCGACCCCCGTAAAACATCTCAAATACACCACGTGTAGCCTTTCATCTACGAACGGCAGGTCCATCAACGACGCCGAGTCCTATATTTCGCGCACCTACTCTTTTCAACCAGCCTCTTGTTGCATTGGTCCCAGGCTGCACCGATGCTCCAGCGAATTTCTGGGAGGCTAAGTCTTCATTATTTGATCCATTTAATGTGTTTTCCAGGTCGAGAATCCTCTGCATGCGTATATCCTCCGCATCCTCTGCCTTGTACTGATCCCGTTCCCTTCTGTCGGTTGCCTGAAGGGATATGACGAGGTTCAAAGAATGCTACCTAGGTACCGCCTTGGTAACAAAGTACTGCCCTGGGAGCAAACCTTTTTGCGAGGCCAGTCGACGTGGGGTTACAAAATTCGTTGGGAGAATGCCGAAGGGGCAGTGCGGACGGGGAGAGTAATTCATATCTGGCTGCAATGAGTCGGGCTTCAGGGAAAGCAGGAACGAGACACAGTCGAATGAGAATAGGAATATAATCTGTGCTGGACGCAGTGAATGGATATAGCACCTGGTGGCATATAGAAATGAGATAGAAAACTCATTTCCAAAGAAAACAGAAGAAGCTGCAGCTACACGCATCTCGCCAAACGCTTTCTACTTTGAATAATGTTGGTACGGAGGTGCAGCCCAAACTGTTGGCACTCGCTTACCAGCCAAGTCCCCCCCTTTCAGCGATGCCAAGAGTTACAGTGCGGTATGTATCTTGGTTCAAGCGCTTGAGTGCATTTACCCGCCTGCGCAAGTTTGGACTCCTTTTCAGCCCCGTCCCGACGTCGTGAGCCGCGGCTAGCGACTGGCTAAGGGGCCGTAACTCTATCTGTTGGAAATGCCCTCGATGTGCAACACCCAGATTACTAGCCTTCTTAATGCCCTTTTTGGTCAAATTTGTATAGAGAAGATTCAAAACAAACAAGAAACACCTGCAGTAGCATAGCATTATGAAAATGACTTTCTACTTGTTTTTCTATCAGTTGATGCTGTGTTTCTTGGAAGTTATGAAGGTGTTAAAATCGGCCGCTCAATTCCAACATATACAGGGCGGGTAGGTCTCTTTCCATCGCTGTCATTCGGCGGACTATTGCATAATGTCCACAGAAACGTTTATAATCATACAGCGCATTTGATTAGTATATTCGCATACAACAATGTTATTTCCAGCCGAAGTACTATCCATGAAAGGATATCGGCAGTGGCACGAGTAAGGCACCTTCTCTTCAGTATTGGAATCTCAATATTCAAATCTCTAGGTATGTTCCAACGTCCTCCAGGACGTCGAACATTAAGGGCATTGTTTCAAAGACATATCAATTAATTCGAGACGCTAATAGAACACACGGCAGAGCTATGCACAAACCCCCTATGCCAACGCGGAATTCAAAAACACCATACAAAATCCAGGTCAGAATGCTACCGCTGCTTTTGTAAAGCAAAGAAATACAGGAAGGGTCATTATCATGATGCACATACCATGTGCAAGGAGTTCTACCAGACCCCTAAAAATAGAATACCAACAATAATCGAATAATCGTACACAGGTCAGCTGGTCTTTAGCGCCAGCCTCCTTTGCCCATCACACCGACTACACTCTCCCTCGACTTAGGTGTGCCTCCAACTGTGCCATTGAGTCTGATTGCTGCGGCTGCCATTGTGCCACTGGCCTGTCGTGCCTCACCGATTGTTGTCCGGCGAGCGCTATTACTCTTCACGATAGGCTGGTGCCGAGGGCTTAGGATGCTGCTGTGGAAAGCGGACTCCTTTTCGCTCTTGACCATGCGTCTAGCATGGCTGGCTGTGAACATGTTTTCATTCGGAGGGGAGCCAGACATTGAAGCTGCCGTGGGACTTCTACGGCGATGAGTTCGCGAGACGGAATCATGGACGTTTGATGTCCGAGAAACAGAGCCAGCACGCTTTAGAGCTCGTCCAATTTTGGCACTCTCTGACCGGTCGACATTCCAGCTACTTTCACTCTCCGAAGACGAGTTATTTCCGCTGTCAGTAGGAGTTACGTCGCTACTCACGGGCCGCATGATGTTCAATGATGAACGGTTTGTAGCATTCGCGGGATCGATCGTCCTCAATGGGGATTGCTCTGTGTCAGACGATGATAATTTGGTGATCTTGGGCGGCGGCGGAGAGCCATCAGTCTTTTTTGCCAGGAAACCGGCTTGAAATCGGTTGGCCTTAGGCTTGATATCAATAGACGGTTGTGGCGCGGCAGGGATAGGAGATGAGCCGAGGGAATCATTGGAAAGGTCTGCGGCCAAATAAGATGGAAGCGAAGGTAAAACGATACTCTGTTCAACAGAGGATACTTCTGGCGTAGAAATAACTTTCTGGGGAGTCTTCTCGAAATCAGCGAGCGCCCCAGACTCGGTATCATCACGCCATCTGACGCTTCGCTGCTTCGAGGGTGACTTCTTCTTCGGTGTGAACGAGACCCCTTTCTTCCCCATTAAAGCCTTTCGTCTTCTTGGCGAAGACTTTATTGGTGAAGAAAAGACTTGTGGTGCTATAGCTGCGAGAGCTGGCATTACAGGAGGTCGTAGCTGACTGTCGTGGAGATTTGCCGGCTTCTTACGCTTCGGGGTTCCGCGTTTCGTTGGAGGAAATTTCTCAGTAATATTCAAGGATCCGTCTGGTTTGACGACCTGCGATACAGACGCGGAGCAGTTTTGCATCAAACGTCCGAGAACGCTCTTCGCATGTTCGACCGCGTCCTCTTGACTCATGCTGAGGATGTCATGGAGCGAAGAAATGATTTCAAATTGGGCCGAGAGCAGCACTTGCATAACGTCCGCATCGCCAACTTTCTCCTGGTCCAGGACTTCACGTAACGACTCTTTGGCAGCATTAGCTTTCAAAAGCTCAGCTTCCCTGGTCAAGCTAGCAACATCAAGTCCCTCCGCAGCTCCATCAACCTCTGTGATTTGGCGGATGCTATTTTGCAATGCTGAATCTATTGCACGCTCCCAATTTGCCTTGTCCAGTCGCTGGTGGTAGTGTTGCCGGCTATTCTCAAGCTCCAGAAGGATTCCCTGTGCAGTCTTTCGCATCGCCGTCAGACTTGGTGGCATGTCATCTTCTTCGCGAGAGTCGCAGATGGTGTCAAACGCTGCAACCCAGGCTGATAGAATGGCAATACGCCGTTCAATCTGTCGAAGCTTTTTCATATTTGTGACCTTCTCTTGGCGTTCGCTGGCCGAGTTTTCAAAGGCAGCCCGAATTCGCACGACGCCTTCACGAGCAATGCAGTCCCGCTTCTCACTTTGTTTCTTGAACTTGGCAAAGGAGACTGCCTCGGAGTCTTTTTGCTGGGCCTTAAGTTCATTGATCAACGCCATTTGCTCATCGATCTTGACCAAGAAATCCTTGACGTGTCGGTTGACATTATATACATTTCTCGTGACCTTTGTCTGGATGTTCTTGGCTCTGTTCGCGTAGCGGAGTGTATTCTGGGTTTCATCGAAATGTGCGCTGGACGGACTGACACAAACGATCATAACCGTCTTGCAATTCCCGCCGAGAGAGAATTTGAGAAGACGAGTAAGTTTCGAGTTCCGGTATGGGACGTGATTCTTCTTTCGAGGATCGCAGAGCGCGTTAATGCAACCACCCAATGCCAAAAGGGACTTGTTGATATTTGCACCCTCTAGCAGCCTCTCGCCTCTATTTTTCGTTGCGCTGGCACGCTCGCTTCCTGCTAGATCAATGATGCTCAAAGTGGCCATCGTATGCGGTTCGTCGACATCTGCATTCCGGTCTTTTTGAGCGACGTTGATTTGAAGAACGGCGTGAGATCGTGATGAAGTGGCATTTGCTGCAGTTGGTGAAATCGTTCGAAACTCGTTTCCCTTGACGATCATGTCCATAACTTCTTGTACATCATGAGGATGGTGACTTGAAAGTCCTGCCACTGACACAGTTTGGTTTGCATCCTCGCGCAGCATCAGTCCCTGTTTAGTGCCTCCAGGAACCAGCAAATCTCGAATCGTCTCGTTGTAAATCTCCAAATACGATAATGATACCTCGGTGTGCTTCTCATCACTCCGCTCAGCGATCTTCTCGAACAGTTCCTGCATGGTGAGGAAGATTATTCCAGGTTGCTGAGCGGTTCCGGTAATCGTGTGCGTTTTACCACAACCAGTGGCACCGTATGCAAATACCGTTGCATTGTACCCTTCCAGTACGCTATCCATGAGGCCCCTTGTTGTTGCTTCGTAGACATCGGCTTGTGTGGTGTTTTCGTCAAATACTCGGTCGAATGCGAATTGCTGATCCTTCACTCGTTTGCCCATATTCGAAACAACCGATCTAGAGAACTTTTGTACTGGATTGTCCTCTGGAGGATCAAATATTCTGCAAGCGTAAGTTTGTGATTAGATATCAAGTCAAGACACATACAAGCATTTGTCGTCCAGCACCTTGATGACAGGCCGAATGCCTTTCTGCCCAAGTCTGGGGGTGGGTACTCCAGCAAGAGAGCCATCCCCAAGAAACGTTGTACCCTCATCGTATTTTGTGCTATGGCAAGTCAGGATTTGCTTCTGCGACGAGGGGATAGAATAAAACCTACATCTGCGCTGCTTCGCGAATTGTGAATGGGCGAACCCGAACTGAGAATGTTAGTGACGTGTCCAAATACCGAACTCAGAGATGTAGTACCCGCCACCGAGATCGAAGACGCTCCTGGATCTACGCCCATGCTGATTGTGTGGGTGGTGTTGTATGTATTGTCTTTGGTCGTAAATCCACTGCCCAAAAATTGCGTATAAACAAGAGCGACGCGTGGGTGTACCTGGACAAAGCAATACGAATAGAATCACAATTGAATAAGAGAAAATACTCAAGCGCAATTCAGAAAGTGCTCGACTCCGGAATGTCGCAAATTTCGTGGATTGGTGGATTGGTGACTGCTCCGTTTGCAATTTGATATAGTTCATCTGCTGTAATGTTGATTTTCGGGATACCTAAGATGGCCCGATCGCGGTTGCCATGTTGGCAACCTTAGCGCAAACCTAGCGGCCGCACCTGAGGTACTCTCGTACCTTATTCTCCGGAGGTAGAGGAGAAGTACAACGGTACACCATACACTGTATACTACAAGCTCGTTAGGCATATGCAAACAGTCATAGTCGAGATAAGTAGTTCAAGAGGCCAGTGTCTTTCCAAAGTTCCAAGCCTACCTACCCGTATTTTGGATTACTCTAAAGGCTAAATAATTTAATTATCTTCTCTGGTCCTATTTTTCGCTGAGACTTGCCTATTTTTCATTCGAAAAATAGTAAGAATTAGATCCATTTCTTCTTGTTGGGTACATAATATCGTCTTTCAGCTCTGTATTTTCAAGAGCCATTACTTGGCATATGTTTTCAGCAGAAGTATAAGCCCAGCGTCTTTTATATCAATCAACTGTTACTATGGACATTCGGAATGTTAAGAGTGTAATTTATATTACATAGGCCCAGAAGTTATTCTTTCTTTCTTATTCTATTCGGAATTAGTACGTATTTTTGGCTTTCTTTCCTCTACGTTTAGTGTGAATATTCACCAACCTCTGCGGAATGTCTATACACAAATTTCCTCTTCCTGTCTGAATTCGTAAGAACAGAACGCCTGGTATAAGCGCCCTTCGAAATTCCGGAGGCAACTTATACTTATATAACTCGTGATCTTGAATCACCTGACTTTATTCATCACTCCGTAGGGCATATTGCAGGGATGCGATCAAGGATCAAGATCTCCATGATCCGCATCGCTTTAAACCCGATCCAGCATGACTATCGAATGCCGCATTCAGCACAGATGAAAAGAGACGAATCAACATCAGATCAGATGAACAAAGCTTTCTTTTTCACGGCCTAGAATCAGCTCCAGTACTGATTGTGGTGGTGGTATACCAACATTGATGGGGAGCAAGTTCTCTCTCTCTCTCTCTCTCTCTCACATCGCGATAATCTCATCCTCATCGCTGTCGCATCCATGACCTCAGCTTGTTCTATATTCCCTTTCTTTTGCCCTTTCTCTACAGCCTCGGACTAGTTGAGAGGAGTGAATTGAGGCAGCTTTGACCCTTTTTTCCTTTCTTTACCGCGCTCAAGATTTTACGTTACGCTTCTGCACTTGAAAGCCTCGCAATATCGGCGACCTTCAAGATGTCTTTCATCTTCACCATGCGCAACGCGCCCAAAAGCCCGCCGGAGAACGAACTATCATTGCCTAGCTTATTGCCTCCCCTATTGCCTACCTCATTGCCAGACATATCCGAAGATGGCGCCTCCTTGTCCTCTCACCGAGATCCTCCTCCGGTCCCTCTTCGCGCCTCAAATCGCCCATTACATAAACAGTTCATGCTAGGTGTACCACCGCGGTTCAATTATGAGACAAGTCCGCCGCCATATGGAGATCTCGTCGAGGACGGGCCATTGGATGGCGAGGGTGGAGAGAAACTGGCTGGGTTGAGGAGGGGCGTGGCAAACAACAAACATATCGCAAGAAGGGGTGGATGGAAAAGGTTGCTGCTTGTTGGACTTATCCTCGTGCTGTGTGTTGTAGGACTTGTGGTGGGATTGGTCGTTGGGCTGACGAATAGGAATAAGAACTTGTAAGTCGTTCTGATTGTATTCCAAGACATGACTGACAAAATATAAAAGCAAAAACAGCAGTGGAAGTCCCTCAGGAGGCGCATCAGGATCCGTGCAAGGCGGCCCTACAAACCCAGCATCAGACACGACATTCCCAGCAGGCTCCTACTCTTTCGATACCTACCTCTCAACCGTGTCCACCAATTGCACCTCTAATTCCGCCACTTGGCTCTGCTACCCCTACTCAACATATGCACAGAATCCCTCCGCATCTGTCGCAACCTTTGACTGGATCATTTCTCCCGTCAAAGGCACAAAAAGCAACTACACAATCTCCTCAACACCAAACTACTTCTCCGTCATGTTCAGCAACGCGTCCCTCTCCCTCCAATCTGCTGGAAACGCAGACGAGCACTACTACTTCCAAATAGACATGCAGAAAGACACTAAACCAACATCGCAATTGGGAAGTCAAAATGTAGCTGCGACTTGTTATTTCAACCAGACGACCTTTGAAGGATATCTATATACCAAGTTGCCAAAGACATACTCAAGTGGTGGAAATGGGACAGATGTGAATGAAAATCAATCCTTTGCTGCCTGGCCAAACGCAGTCAGAATCGAGCAAGTAGCTTCGAGTGGAAGCGGAAGCCCGACTTGCCTTGATCCGTCCGGGGACTCGCTGGGAGACTTTAGTGTACAGCAGCAAGGGGAGATGTGTGATTGTTCATACATAAATACTGGGACGTGATGATATTGGAACCTTTAATGTTATACGAATTTTACGGTTGGCGTTTGGCAATAGGATACGAGTTCAAGTGGCTTGGCTGGGGAGTTTTATGTTTACTATACCATTATCTAATTCTTAATATGAGATTATGATCCATGTATTAACACAAGATTTGTATTTGCATTATAATGTTCATGTAAATATATTGAAGAGTTGCAGTCATTACTCATGACCTCATAATCAAAAATTCGCCAGTATTCATGTATACCACCATTAGTTCCAAATTGTGAGTTCATAACCTTCAAGACCAGAAAACAAAACAGCGCTAAGAGAAACCGAATTTGTTCGGTCTAATGGAGCGGAAATCCACGACCACAATGCTTAGGAATTGCTTACGATGCTGAGACTCCTCGAATTCATCATTCCTCTATTTAATACGCCTGAACTGGTTGTAGAGCCCTCGTATTTTATCGTTGTTATATAATGCTTTAAAATAGGGTAAAATATCAAGTTTTTAAGGCCCGGGAGTGTGAGGACCCCTAAAGCTCGGCCCCTGAAAGTGTAACGGCGCCTGTAGCTTTTGCGTTACAGGGCCCTAAGCTGCTACTTACTACCCTAAAGCACTGCATGTGCGAAATGCTAACTGATCTAATTTGTACGTAAGTCAGGTACGGTAAAGTGTAGTAGAGCAAGTTACAAAACGAATAAGCGTACGGAGTAGAGAAGTTGCGAAAGATTTCTGTTACAAGTAGTAGTGATTGCCGTTTTAATATGGCTGATATGTCTACCGGCATAAGGAGGGGGAGGTCAGATCATCCCCATTGGCCCCGACGGACCCACCCACGAATCCGCTATGCCACTCTGTACAGTGGAAAGCTTAGCGGGTCTTGGCGTAAAACAACGCCGTGAAGCTGAAAAACCCGACTGCTGTTTCCATGTGTGTGATGTATGATTAATCCACACGAGCCTGAACGTGATATTCAAATCCAAACACGTTCATCCCCCATCTTCGACACCTCGTCCTATCCGCCCATCCGCGTTGTGCTGGCCATCCTCTGTGGAGAAGGATACGCTCCTTTCCCGGATTGGCTGCGCATCCCCGAGAGCTTTTGCGCATGAATGCTCTCACATACTACAGCGAGTTGGCCGACCGGGTTTTGAACCATGTCACAGACAGTAACATGTTCTATGTACAGTCCGTGGTGACCTGCACCGCCTTGGTATGGTGCGTATTGCCCTCTTGCGTGCGCTGGAGGAAAGGCGGATGCTAACTCTGCTGAAGGCTCTTGCACCGAGCATGGCTTACCCTCTGGAAACCCGTTCCAGAGCTCATCAGCATTCTAGGTGTTGAAGTCCCAGATGCGCCCGCAGTCTCCCTCGCCGGTATTAAAGCCGAAGCTGTCACTCTTCACTGGACCCGGCCTGGTGTCAACAAACCAGTACTCAAGTACTTGATCCAGGTCAATGGAGTCAACGGTATGTCCGAGCTCCTGTTATCTGCTTGCATTTGGCTAAATCTATACAGTCGGTGAGTCATCGCGGATGGAAACCGCGATCACTGTTACAGGGCTCAAGCCGGGGCACTTTTACAACGTTAGAGTCATTGCCGTGGGATCGAATAATTTTCAAGCAGGAAGCCGAGTTATACGATTGAGGACATATGGACGAGACGGGCGGCCTCTTGTTAGCGGTCGTGTACCCTCGAACTTTTCGATCGAGGACCAGGATAGCGGTGATGAGCTGCCATCCATCCGAACACAAGGCGCTGGGGTCGAGATGGCAGCACTTAACGAAGGTGCCCCAGCACTACAACGAGATTCAAGTTACCCTCAATCCGGGCAGAGACGAAACACTGGCGGTAGGAAGCATTCTCCATCAAGCGCTGCTGCCGATCAAGCAGCTTCTGACAAAGTCTCGTCTAAACATCCGGAGTCCATACACCAATTAACAGAAAAGTTTGAGGGTATACGCGGTGATACGGAGGAGATAATGGGTCAGATTACACGAGATGCCGAAGATTTTAAATGTCAGATGGATGACCTTAGGAAGGAGAGAGATGAAAAGAAGCAGATGCTGAAGGAAAAGGAGGAAGCAAGCGAAAAATTGAAGAGGGAGGTCAACAGCTCAGAGCGCGCCAACCGGCAGGCTCAGAACCGTAAATCGCAAAAGGAGAAGCTTTTACGAGACAAGGTAGCCGAGAGGGCCAAGATGCAAGAAGATATCGCGAGATGGGAACAGGAGATCGAGACTATGAAGGCCCAACGCGAGACCTATCTGCAAGAAAAAGAGGATCATTTGGAAGCGAAAGGCACTGAGGCTGAAGAACTACGGGAGACCATACGAGAACATCACGGTTCCATAAGTGGGTTGGAAGAGGAAATTCGCGTCAAGGGGTTGCAGCTCAAGCAGCTTGAGGAAGAACGCAAGCATCTTCCAGGGGGCGAGGACAGTGAGGAATCTCGGGCTCGCGATGCTGCAGACAAACAGCGTGATGTCGAATGGGAAATCAAGCAGAGAAATCTGACTGAGCAGCTGACCAACCGAGCGGTTCAGCTTCGACAGCTTGAGTACCAGCAGCAGGAACTCCAGAACACGATCAGTGCACTCAGTATTCGTCAAGCAAGCAATCCTCTCATGTACCATGGAAATTCCTCGGGTGTAGATTTTGAATCTATGGCTGGACAAAACAAACCAAAGCCACGCAGAAGTCGCAAGGGCAAAAGCCGGACGAACACCGTTTCATCTCCCGTTGCTAGCTATCCAATTACCGACTCTCCATTTCCGAGCGTTAGCTCATACAACAACTTGAATGCAACATCTTCTACTTTTGCCCAAGGACCATATTTCGACCTGACGCCCATGGTGCCACTCTCCGATCACTTTGGAATGAGCGAAGCGGATGTCAAGGCTCTGACAGCAGGGGCTCCTCTCAGTCCCACTGCAACTTCACTGTTGCCTTCTAACATCTTCGATATTGATGATGATCCTCCAAGTCCTCGTGCAGGCTCCACGAGATCGTTTGGCGGTGCTCTTTACAGCAATGCAGGACAAGCAGTGTTTGGTCACGATCCTCAATCACCTTCCTCCTCGAGTCGTTCTGCAAGTTTAATATCAAGCCCCCAAGCTTCCTCCCAAAATCTTGCAATGTATGGTGTCTCTGGTCACGATTATGCAATTGATAGTGATCGGCGATCTTTGCACTCGCCAAGGGCAGAATTCGGTGCTATTGGGTCCCCAAGTGCATCCAGCTCCAGGCTTACGTCCAATAAAGCCCTTAGCAGCCTATTCCAATTCTCAAAGGCCCGGGGTAAAACGATTCCACAAGATGGTCCTCCTCTTGGTAGTCTTAAACAGGGGCAAAGCCAATCACTCCCACGCTCTGCCGATGAGCCGGAAACGGAAGCAGTTCGTAGGCGCCGTCGTACTTCTCTTTCTTCAAGCTGGAACGTGCCAAACATCTTTAACCGCAGCCAAGCAGTGAGCGAGGCCACGGAAGGTAATGGTCCTGCACCTGCGCGAAATCCTACCAACAGAAGTAGACGGCGCGCCTTCGGTATGTTTGGTAGCGGCTCAGATGATCCCAGCTTGTTCGCCGATCGTGACCTCAGCAGCCCACGCCCCGTGTCCATAGCTTCTTCTGACCTACCTCGTCCCTCCACCGACAGTGCCCCCTTTGGATGGGCCGCTGCCGAAGGTACCTCGATGCACAAGAACAGCCCTTTGGCCACTAATTGGTCTGTGAACGTAGTCCAGCCTTGGTCTAGTAATCCTTCAAGGAGACCAAGCATTCATCAAAGTTCCTCCACCACTGCCTTGACGTCTGGAATTGCCAGCGAGGATGATGAGTTCTTGCCGTCAGATACTCTGGCAGGTCAATCTAGTCCTCCGCCCGTTGGTGTCATTGGCACCAGGCCTGTTTCTTCGTATAAACAGGTAACGCCAAAACTCAACCCCGCAGCACCCACCTTCAAAGCCATGTTCCCATTGTTCAATTCAAAGACTGACAAAGGAAAGGACGGCGGCAAAGGCAAAGAGAAGGTCATCGAGAACCCGCTATTTTCTGGCGACGGGTCGAGATCTATCAATGCCACGTCGCCGTCAGAGCCAAGGCAGTCCCGCGACACGCCTTCTATTCGCACCCAGAACAGCATGGCTGAATCTCATGACAGTCTGGAAATCACTTTAAGCAACACCACCTCGGAGCTGACAAATCCAAGTACTAAAGATAAGGAGTCATCCTTCAGGCAACTTCTTCGCAAAGGGAGCTCCAGCAAGTTCAGCTTGTCTTCCATCCGTGGCAAAGATTCTGGTCTATTCGGCGGTGGTAAAAAGGGTGGCAGCAGTGTTGCGACCTCTGAGCGTGATGGCAGCCTTGACGGATTCGGAGAGGATGGCCAAGGTGGGAAGAACACAGAAAGCGTTACTAGTAGTCCTATGCTGGGATCTGGTGATTGGAAAGGCAAGGAAAAAGATAACCACCCCGGTACGCCTAAGGAAGGCCGCATGAGCAATTGGACTAGGCCTTTCAAAAGGGGAAGGGCGAGGGAGAGTTCAGATGTTGAACGTAGTGAGGCTGAGATGACTGGGACTGAGGATGAGTACGTTTGATTTGGTGCTCCGTACATAGGCGCATCTTTAGTTTATGCCCGCCAATGAGAGAATGCTATTTTATGTCCAAGTTCACTATATGAGCATTACAAAGAAAATACGACCAGTTACATTACTTCTCGGCAGAGCCTCATTGGGGGATATCCTCCGCTCTCGTATCGGTCTGGCCACTCAGCAGCTTCGATTACTTAGGTAACAGTCCAGGGTACGTTGATCTCTTGGCAATAGTAGGACAGTTCCTCTCAGTCCCAGCTTATGTCAGAGCTGTGCACCTTCAAATTAATTATGCGGCAGCCTGATGCCTAGGCCTAGGCCGCTCTTCAGCCCTACGTTCTTATCTACGTTTACAGTTACTGTACCATCCATAAATAGCTCACACTAAACTCTAAGTATCTGGGCTTGAATATATTATTATTCTCACTTAGTTAGGGGCCGATCGATGAACCTCGAGAGCAACAGACATGGAGAAGGCCAACACTGGAAGGAAGAAGATTTTCCATGCGAAAAGCAGATCTGGGTAAGACGATTAGGCTTCTTTACTTTGTTCGTCTCTTTGAGGAGCTTCGCTGATGGTTGTTCTATGGGTAGTTGCTTGACATGTAGAGCGCGCCGAATAAAATGCGACGAGACACGACCTACATGTCTGCGGTGCCGAAAGTCAAGATTAGAGTGTAGAGGTTTCGAACAATTCCATCGAGAACGTTCGAAAGCATGTTCGCGTAAGTCAGAAATTCGTATTTGTCATATTTATGGAGGTCTCGAGGATTGTATAGTATAGTTGTGGAACAATTCACGAGCTTCGAATGATTACTATACTCGTACTTCCTACATCAAACCTTCCTAGAGAAATCATGCTAACCTATCTAATTTATCACACAGCATTGGCAGTCGGGACAAAAGCTCTGGTTCCACCACGTCCAACCCAGTTGCTTCGACCGGCCGCGAATTTCTTTGCTACTAACAAAGAGTATCATTACTTCAGTCTCTTCAGCGACAAGATTGCCGCTGAGATATCTCCAAGTTTCGGCGCAGATGTGTGGAGCCGAACGATTCTGCAAGCTTGTACATCAGAGCCTGCGATTCGTCATGCGGCTATTGCTATCAGTGCTCTTAGCAAGTCAATGGAAGCAACACAGGACGGAAAATATAAAGCGGCAAGTTGGCTAAACTCTAGAAGCTCAGCTGAGTGGGAGCAGAGACTTCCGCCAACGTGCCAGGAAAAGGCTCTGGAAGCACGAGCACATCATCAATATGCCCTCGAACAATACGGCAAGGCTATCGAACGAATGCGGAAGGACATTGCCCAGGGAAGACAGAGTCTGAGGATCACGCTTATAAGCTGTATCGTTATTGTCTGCTTCGATGCCCTTCATGGAAATCACGAGTCTGCAACAATGCAATTACACCATGGCATTCGAATAATCCAAGATTGGAAGCGGCAACACCGGGAATCGTCAAAGCATCCACTTGGGTTCTCCTCTCCAGATCCGGATGTGGTGGAAGACTTTCTATTGCAAACTTTCGGCCGCCTTGAGATACAGGTTATATCATTCTTCGATAACATGACACCTGAGTCTCACCACCTGCTCCGAATGGAGGGAAAAGAGACGATTGAAAAAATGCCTGAACACTTTTCCTCTCTCGACGAGGCACGTTTATATCTCGATCTTATCATGAGGCGTGTAATGCACACCTCAGCGAGTCTACCAATCAGGTTTCGAAACCCAGCGCGTAAATCACCAGCTGTTCCCCATCCAAGGTCAGCAGAGAATGCCCTACTAGCGGACAGTAAATGGCCGCTATCTGATAGGGTAATCGCTTCATCATCTGAGGTGAGGGGTTATCTGAAGAGCCTATCTTCCACTCGCCACCAGTTCTCACACACTAACGAACGTATAATAGGAAGACACGCAAACCCCTCAACCAGTCGAACCGAATCCTTCCATCATCACAGAACGAGATAGTCTTCTGGGGGAGCTCGAAGCTTGGTGGTGCAGTTTCGAAACCCTTCTTAGATCGGCGATCCAAAAAGGAGGAGCGGATGCCATCTCAGCATTGACCATGCATGTCCAACAGCAGACATCGTCACTGTTCCGCAGCGGTCATTTCACAACCGAGATGCAGTTTGATACGCTCTTTCCTGTTTGGCGCACCATCGTCTGCCAATCCTCCAAGCTGCTCGCCATACAAGACGAATATGCAGGCAAGAACGGAGGTGGGACGACGCTAGGTTTTGCCTTTGATTCAGGCGTCATTCCGTGCTTGTATTTCACGGCTATAAAATGTCGTGACGGACCCACGAGGCGAGAGGCGCTGCATTTATTGCAGATATATCCGCGGCGAGAGGGTGTCTGGGATAGTATTGTTTCTGCTGCAGTCTCGGCGTGGGTTATCGATCTTGAAGGTCAGCTTGAAGAAGGCGCGGACGATGTAGTACCAGAGGAGAAGCGCGTTTCGATGACGAATGTGAAATTCAATCTATTGGAGAGAACGGTATATATGACCTGCTTGCAGATGGATCTTGAGACTCGCAGTTTCGTGGAGAGAAGTCATGTCCATACCTGGTGAACCTTAGTTGGGGTAGGAGCGGATGATGTCGGTCTACCAGTGGTTAGTAATGCAATACTCATGGAAGTTATGAGAACATAGATCGAATTGTAGGATTGCCTGGGTAAAATACGAATCCGCCACAAGCCCAGAATCCTAAGTAAAAGAGACATAAACCATCTCAAACAGTCGTTGTTCCAGATCACGTTTTTTTGTCGCAGCCCCCTTTCATCGCTCGCTTAGCTAGATCTTGTCACCAAAGAGCTTCAACCAAGGTTACCATACTTCATACATGTTCAGTAAAGCAGGACAATACCGTTTTCCGACTGGCAATCTTTCACGGGGTTTTTGAGACTTTCACAAAGCATCAGGCGTCTTGCTGGATGTGTAGGAGGTCCATTTTGAGGTGTTTGAGGGGGGCGTAGAACGGTTGCTTGGAGGAGGAATTGCCACACCACCCAACCGATAAGCATACACGCGATCGGTTTCAGCGAAACATTCTTGAGCGACAAATCTGTCAACTGCCTGGGAGTCTGCCAAAACAGCCCAAGCCATGCTTCTACTCATCTGACGGTCGTTGATGGATGTGAGGGCTGCATGTAACTCTTCTTTCTGCAACAACAACGTCTGCACGAAGTCGGATTGCCATCTTGCTGATTTCCTTCTTTCAGGTTCAAGAAGCTGTTTGATATCTTGAAGCTGGATCTCTATTATGACGGCAGCCGTCTGGTCATGAACGCCTGTGGTAGCACGAGGCGATCTAGAAGCCATGTTAGTAGATCGAACGCGTGACAGTCTTTGGGGTATTGCCAGTCCAAAAACAACCAGAATTGAGGAAATGGAAATTTCTACAGAGAAGCGGGAAGACGAGTGATGAGCCCTTCGCGCCTTCGGATTACTTGCTTTGGACAAGAAGTAAAATATCAAAACCGAGCGAGTTCAACTCATACGCAATGATGAAGTGTTGACGGACAGCTTCCGTTTCGTACCGCTTTCGGACGAAAGTGGCAGGAAGTCACTAGACCGTTTGAAAAGAAAGGCTTAGAGCAGTGCTGCGAATGGGCCTTCTGCAAAACATAAGAGAGTATTTGCATGGAGAAGGCTGAGGAGGAAAGAAGAACAGTGTTGAAGTTAAAGAGGAGCATCTTCGCTAAAGGCAGAAGGGCAGCCCAGTTTGGCAAGAGCTTTCCATCGCCACTGCCCAGGCTTAATTCTAAAGAAGTCACAAAAGCACACTTCTAGAGGCGGGGTTGTAACAAAATGTGCAAGATGATAGGAATGTCCAAATTTGGATGCGGAGATGGTTCGATAGAGATTTGTAATGTGCATATATATTACTGTACCGCTTATACACTGAAAAAAAATCATAAAGGGTTGTTCGCTTTGGAGGGATACCTCTATAAAAACATTATATATAGGCAGTGAAAGTGTTCCGCATATTATCTATGGCGCTTGCAAATATGAATATTCAAAGCCATTATATAGAACTATGGCCAAAGCTGCTACATTGAAAAGAGGGGAAGATATCATACCTGCTGCATTCAGAGCAGAATTATTACCACTAAGCGTCTTTACCCTGGGCTATATGGAACGCCAAATACATTATTGCTGAGGATTTTGTAACTAAAAGCTAACTAGAGCCTTGCCTCAATTGACAAGCACTTGTAAAGTTTTGGTGCAGAACACGTCTTTCGCATCCGTTCTGATGTCCCTCGATCTTTGCACCGGGGATTCAATACACCAGCGTACTAGCATTTTGATATTTTGATTGATGCCTAAGCCCTTTTGACTGCGTCAACTTCACTTCTGTCCGTAACTCGTTTGGACACGCCTGCCACATTTAAAAAACCACCTAAGAGGTTCTTATCCGTCAGAGCTTACTCGAGTAGCCGTTTTCTCATCAACTACCATTGTCCTTCTCCAGGTGTGACATGCTGAGTGCAGCGCTCACACCTTCGATCTCCACAACTTCGACAGGACAGGAGGTAAATTGGCAAGAATTGATGGCAGAAGGAGCAATGACCTGCCCCGTGAGCGAACACCCATTCGACACCTAAGTGATTGCAACGGTCTCCTTCTGGTAGTAGGTAAGCGATATTTGGTTGTTGTGCAACGTCCCAGACGATGGGTACTGCTTGAGGCTGGGGTAGTTGAGGGACATTGGGAACAACATTTCGTGGAGCATCAACAACTGGCTCGGCTTCAGCGGGAACTACCACATCATTTGGACCAGCAATGAGTCGAGGCTGAACTGCTTGAAGCGGGGCTGGAGCATGTTGAGGGGCCACAACTAGTGCAGCCGGAGGTAAGGGTGCTTGAGCGGGTGGTGGAATAGCATTGACAATGATGGGCTGTGTCGGAGGTGCATCTGGGCGAAGAAGAACTTGCAAATCTCCATTTCTGACTGCTGCACCGAGCTCGAGAAGTGGGAGCGCGACAGCAGCTTGACGAATTACAGCGACTGGTGGAGGCTGGGGAGCAACCACACCTGCTTCATTGCGTCTCCTAGGTCGCGGAAGAAGTAGCTGACGTACATTGTTCCACAGAGGACACTCGCAAGTATGCCAAACCAAACCGCATTGGTAGCAAAACTCACTTCCACAACGACATCTAAGAATACACGCATTAGTGCCAAATCTTTATATGTAAAAGATGCGTAATGCGTACGTAATATGATTACAGCCAAGCATCCTCTCAACCAAGCTGCGACATAAAAAACAGCGGCGCCATCCTTGCTTTGTCCCGTGACTCAAAAGCGCCTCTGTTGTTTCATCCCTAGGACAATCATCTCCCTCATGTGCAGTAGTTTTGCACTTGGTGCAGGTGCTTTCATTGCAAGTAGCGCAGGTACCAAGGTCTCTAGTGATGTATTCGGGGCGAATGAACCGGTGGCATTGGAGATCAGAGCAATAAGTTCTATCGACAGTCTCGAACTCCACTTTCTTCTGTTCGTGCGTGGCCATCAACTCTCGTGTCAAGAATTCGCGAACTTGCTCAGGAGGTATGGACCCGCAACATTTTGGCGGAAACAGCGACTCATCGATCTGGGATCGTCGAAATATTCCTTGCAAGCAATCGCGGCAGAACTTATGGTCGCATGGTGCAGTGGCCAGGGCTGAATGCTCAAAAGTATCGTCGCAGCCTACGCAAGGGCTTTTTGGAATTGCGGCATACAGAGCCGTAATTGCCTGTTGCAAGAGTTCAGATTCCTCTCGTACCACACGCTCCTCATCCGCTTCCCCCTCATCCTCATCGCGCGCGGCCCTTAGCATCGCAAGCTCGTTCTGAACATCTGGAAGTTGAAGCCGAGCGATGGCCAAGGCAGTGGCAGGATGTAAGCCACGCAAGAACTCTGGCAATTGTTGCTCTGCCATTTTTATCTATGATCTCCTGCCTAGGCCAACGAGAAGCGTATGGTTGCAGTTGTCCGAACCGGAAGGGTGAGCCCCAGTGAATATGAAGAGGAATTCCTGATAGTCCAAAAACGTGCGAGATATCGTTCTGATGGAGTAGTGAATTTGTTCTCAACTGAGCAAAGGCTTTGAAGGATATGATTGTAATCGAAAGAGGGAACGAAGAGAGGTATCACCCCTCGCTTTCAATTGCACCGTAAGAATATGAGACAAGAGAAGCTAGAGTCAAAGTCAACTTGCAAGCCAAAGAGTGAGGGAACGTTGTTCTAACCTAATATTTCAAGATTGTTCAGAGAGAGACGTCTAGAACTCTGCGTACCGTTGGGCTCTCTTGGCATGCAAATTTTGGAAAGCGACGACCATCTGATGAAGATACACAAGAATTGAGAGAACGCGCGATCGAAGTTGTGTGATTGGGACTCCGAGATCGGGCAGAGTGTTCAAAAGGGGAGAGAAACAAAGCAATAGAGCGGTGTTACCAAGAACTAAATCACTTTGCATTTTGAACACACCAAAATCCAGCAGGAGTGTTATGGAAGTATGCGTCCCAGCAAGAAGTCTTTGAACGACCGAGAAATGAGACAAGAGTTCAAAGCTGATGAAAAGCCAATTCACTTCATCAAATACATCGTCTGGTTGAAAGCTCTCACTTTCAAAATTAAGCTGCACTTGCTACATTTTGGGCAGTGCCATATTAATGACATTGTTCGGTCGACGCTTGCTCTAGAAGAATTCTGCCAAACCCCTTGAGACAATTCGCAACGTTCTCGAGTTGCAAACAGCATGTCGAAAATGGAAACCATTTAGTTTAGACAGCAAGTGAGCATTCGCAGGCCAATTTAATCAAGAAGAAACGCTCAGCTCCTAGAATTCTAGTTTAAAGGTGGAAAGACACGTGAATACAATATGTTCAAAGTTGAATTTCCTATCTTTCATGTCAAAAGGTGCAGTAAGAGGATCTTCCATACTTCAAGTTGGGGAGTCGCCACCTGAAGTTTCACCTGATAGGAAATTTATTTTCTTACTAAAGCAAGACTACCTCCGTAAAACAGACAACCAGATACGGTAGGCAAACTCTTGAATGAGATTTACCAGAAGCAAGGATAATGAACAAACAATACAGCAAATAAACACAACATCACTCACCGTGACACAAGCAGCCTCGGTACCCCTTTTTCATTCTTCGCCGAGCTAGACGTGCATCACTTTGCTTCTTGCCCCTGACAGACCACATGTCTCTCAGTCGCCGCCGCCTCATCCTCCACCGCTACCTCCACCTCCACCTGCACCTCCCTCCACATCCACATCCACATCCACATCCAAATCCAACTGCCAGCCCTGAGCCTGAGCCTCATACATGTACGAAACAATTCATCTCGCCCCACCTCATCCCACTTCGCCCCTCCTGAAGCGTCGTCTTCACATGGCATCGGTCGACTTGCCAACGCGGTGCAACTTCGGGTGCACGCGGCATTTACCTAGAAGGGGAAACGGTGTGGTAATAGGAAAGAAAGAAAAGAGAAGAAAAGTAAATATGGCATCTTTTACCGGTACTGCACCGGACCGGCAGTACCTTATACCGAGGTAGTACAGTAGTATAGCACGTACCAGTATACACTCGGGAAATACTAATCATCAATTGTACTCGCATTTTTTAAAAGTCTGACATTCCGTACTATATTTACTCCATATTTTTATACGCCGCGCCCTCTAAAGAGCTTAGATCTAAGTAAAGAAAGGGCTCTCGTAGAATAGTCTTCCTATATTCCAAGACTGGCTTTATAGTTATTCCAGAGGTTTACTTTGCATACCGCTAAGTAGTAGAGAATATCATGTCAGACGTTTAAAAAACCCGAGTATACGGAGTATCAAGAAGAGAGATGTACGAGGTAATATGTCCGAGTGGTAGACCTTTAGTACTCGGGCTTCGAAACGCTGCTAGGCTGAGTGGACGGAGCTTGAATATAGCATAAGGTAATTCAAAGCCCGATCCATCGAATGCTCTTCTATATTTCTCTTCTTTTACAATGGCGTCGGATCTAGAGCCGCATGATTATGTTATATGCATGCATCTGGAAGTCTAGCTGCTAGAGAGTGAAGCTAGGATACTTATATGAACCTAATGCATGCAGGGTTCAAAGCTACGAAGTAAGTTTCACCAACCCAACCTAACCTGCGGTCTCGTGCTAGGAAAATGGATGATTCCTGGTGATTCTACTCCAATGGCAATTGATAGCTATGTAGGTAGATCACCTGTTACGGAGTATTACTCTGTATAATAACAATAAATACTCCGTGCCGCCGAAATGTAATTTGAGTCCCGCTTTTTCTACAGTGTGTCAGTGAGGATTTACAGTGATGAACAGTGATCTACAGGATCTAAATACTAGTTACATGGTAGCCACTATGCACACGTTGTAAACCCAAGAAGGGAATCAAATTATTCTTCAGCGACGCCGAGTTATTAATAACCATAGATCCTTTAATTATGCTATGCGAGTCAAAGACTAGGAAGTCCTTCCCAATGGAAGCCAAGAGCACCTACCTACCTAAGGGAGGGAATCCCCAGATGATACCTATTTATACCTCCCCTCTATCCGTATACACGGTCCGTACACGGCAGCAAGAACTGGCCCGAGGGAAGTTGCCCATCCCTCCATCCCCCGAATTAATTAACCATTACGGGCAACGCAACGTCGCGACTCCCATCCCATGGAGCTACTAACCTCCCCTCTGCACCCACCCCATCTTTGACGTAGCCATACGATGCTTAGCGTACAGCAATACCCGCTGCCCTTACTCCGTACCTACCTATGTTTGGCTAGGTACGAATGCGAGTGCTATAAACGCCAAACAAAACACCACGAATCGCCAGACACGACTGACTCGTGCCGCATAACTTATAAACCTTAATTAACTAGCCATGTCTCCAACACCCTTTGTTTACTATACCAAATTCAAGATATCGTGCCGTTCATGCAGCCACAATTTACTCGCTGTCTGGTTTGGGAAATAATCATCCTAGTGCCATTTTAAGAATTGTCACTCACATCATCATATCATCATATCGTGAGCCTCCTGTTGACGTCGGTGCAATTCGAACAATGATGCATTCCGTTATCTACTGTATTATACTCAAGCAAGCAGTATATTTATTCAACAGTGCCTTTCCATCTAGCAGCGCGCTTCCATTCCCCTGAGATCATCGCTATGCTCCCTCCCAGTTATCCCATCCGAGCTAGGTAAGCATAACTCCTCATAAATCAATGAATAAATACAAATGGAAAGAGAACCTTTCAAATCTATAAACACCACACCACTTCCCCTCCTTATTACGCCCATGCAAGTAAAGACAAGAAGAAAGGAGACAACTTTTGTAAACCGAGAACGAAAGAAAAAAGTGAACAGCGAGCGGTACCGCCAGGCGAAATATTGACCAAGAGAAAGGTAGCGTGTTTGTTCGTGGTTCGTCCGATTGTGTATGGGCGCAAAGGGGTCGTAAAAGCACATTCTATCCATCCTAAAGTCTTTGCCCAATCAATCAATCTATCCGGGGTATAGTCTTAGCTCGTGATGTTTACCAACTCCGTCCCAATGCATGTAATTTTTGTGAAAGAAATGACGCCGTTTTATGATGGAACGGAAAGGAAAGGTCCAAGAGAGGAGCTCGTATGCTTGCTGTAAGAAGTACTGGATCCCGATGTGTCGATTTGTGAAGAGTAATAGTTGAATCACATCATGCCTTCTTCACCAATGCCTGGCAAGCCGGCGACGTTGACCCCAATACCGCCCAAGCCTGCAGCTGCCATGTGGCTATTGAGCTTCAGTTCAGGGTTACAAGGTGGCGAATGTTGCTTATGCTACAAAAACGTCAGCCGAGGCTCCGGGAGAGTTGGAAAAAGCTTACGTATTTAAGTCCGTTCAAGTTCTTGTATCGTTTGCCACAGACTTCACATTTGTAGGGTTTCTCTTTTTCCATACCCAAAGTACCTGGGTAGGGAGTGGACGTTTCCGGATTTACAATTGAGAATGTACCATCTCCGTTCTCATGTAGTTGCTGAGTTTGGTGGCCATGCGTCTTGTGATATCTGTTCCAGATTAGCTATAAATCCATGATAGAAATCATGACTACATACTTGAGACCATTCTGGTTCTTGTAAGCCTTCTCACAACCAATGACCGGACATCTAAACGGCTTATGTTCCTCGGCGGCCATCATCATTGCCACTTGGGCTGCTTGAGGATTACCACCCATCTGAGCCATCATTTGCTGCTGTTGATAGGCTCTCATTATCTCCTGGTTCGCGTTCGTCGACGCCTGACCTTGTCCTAGGCCGAATTGCGAAAATTGCTGTTGAAGTGCTCTTTGGTTACTAAAACCTCCATTTGGACTGTACAATCGCTTCGCTGGCTCATCTATACACAGATCGATACCCATATCGTTTCCTGGGAAACCATAGCCAAAGTTCATGTTGGCCATGTTCATGTGCATTAAGTTTGAGAAATCATCTTCCATTTCTCTGGCTGGAGTACCCGGAACCGAGGTATCAGGTGAAAACGTCTGTTGCGCTTGGTGCTGTTGAATTGGCTGTGCACTGAGTGTAGGGGTATTCACAGATGAGACAGTGGGATTATGTTGGAACCCAAATCCTGATGTAGCCGGAGTTGTAGGCTGCGAAGTACGCAGTCCAGAGTGCTGTAGACCGTTGGAATTCAAATTCAGAGTAGGCCTTTGCGGTGCTTGTCCAAAGAGTGATGGCTGGACTGGCTGTACCGGGTGCTGATTCTGCTGTACTGGGGTGTCCGGGGGATTATCCAGAGGGCCCATCTCATCATCCATTTCCATGTCTTCAACACCTTCCATCTCCGTATCTGCCACAGGCTGAACATTCTTCTGAACTGGGGTGGAGGGCTGCGACTGCTGTTGTTGTCGCATTAGCTGGATTCCTCCTACGCTCGGTCCTCCTTGAGGCATCTGTAAGCCTTGCGGCCGAGGGGCTTGCGGTTGGTTCTGCTGTTGAGCTTGCTGCTGCACAGCCGACGAGGCTTGTGAGGCAATTGCTGCCTTGCTGTTAGGAGTAGAACTTTCTCGCGCGCGCGCTGCTAACGAAGCAGTCCGCAGTGACTGCGGGGTTTGTTGCGCATGGCTCTCTTCGTAGTGCTGTAAAAGGTCGTGAAGTGATGGCAATGTCTTCCCACAGCATGCGAAATCCTTCATGAAGTTGGCCTCGAGTTTCGGTAGATACGATGAAGAGTGGTAGGAGGGTGATTGGTAGGGGAAAGGCGAGGTACCCGCCATGATTATGCTGTCAAGATGTCAGTTTCTGGAGATCAGTGGTGACGTAAAGCGGGCATTCGAATGATCAGAGGAGCGATTGCTTCTATATTGCTTCTATGAAGGCAACAGGAGCTGACTTACTCGTCTCGAATCCAGCTTCCAACAGAGACGCCTCCCCAACTCATGCCTTGTACCAGGCTCCCAGCCAAACTCTCTCGCCGCGGTCGAGTGTCTCCGTTTCTATTTGGGATATTCATAGAGATCGGTTTGGCTCCTGCAAAGGAATCCTGCCTGGATCTGGACATGCCAGAATCAAAACCGGCGCCACTACTCATCATGGCGGAGGTCCGAAAATCGGTCTCGAGGAAATTGGAAGTCGTCGTCGTGGGCTTCTGGCCTTGCGACGATGGTGAAGACGAGGAATTCCTTGTGGGCGTGGCGATGTCGATAGGAGAGGTCATCGGCATCGTAAACCGATCGTGGTCGTTGGGAGTCAACGGTTGATCGTCAAGTGAATCTGGATCTGGTGTCGAGGTGGATGAAGTTAGAGGCGATGCCTCGAGGGAATCATTAATGATAGATGCAGGTGTGGCGGCCGCTTTATCGTACACCTTCCGCCAATGGGATAACATGGAGGAGATAGGGCGATGCTCCACTCTTGGGACACGGTTATTGTAGTAGTAGTAGGTGAATAAAAGAGTACGAAATGTATAGTGGGTACATACAAAAGATCTCGAGGTTGATTATTACGAAGTATAAATGTCGGGATACAGGAGACAGGACAGGATACCACCAAAATATCGGAATATGGATGATGTACGGCGTGTCAGTGACAGGTTAGGCGTAGGCTGTACCAGAGCAACGGTGAGAAGGATGTTGCTTGGAGAGTAGTACAAAGCTAATCTAAGACTATAATTGTTTGGAGCGGTGAAAAGTACAGAAGTAGATTGTGTCAAGGATGTCACTACTGTATACACATTGGGGAGAAAGCTATGAATCAAGGATGGCTTTGGTCGTATAGTGGTCTGAAATATGAATGGATGGGATGGGATGGGATTGGGATGGGATGGAATGGTGGGTCATGGAAGAGCTATGTATAGGTACATAGGTACGTCAGGACTCAGGTAAGGTAATTTATCTACCGACTTCATATAATAAAGAAAGGAAAGGCCTGGTAGCCCAATTCGAAGCCACCCGGACACGTACCATTTTAGAGGCCATATTGGAAGTTTACTCCCGAGGTACTGGATGGATAGTCTGGACTTGTTTAAGTACTGTTACTCGAGTAAGGTTCGCCTGCCCATTGACGGTTGGAGCTTTGGCCGACACATCCGCGCCGCGCTACCTATAAGTACTTACGAGTAGGTAGATACGTAAGTTCTGGTTCACGGAGGTACCTCAACTCTCTCTTGTACCGGTACTGCTTGAGCCTCGAGCGGTTCGATTCGTGAAGCAAAGGACCTGGCCTAGTGCAGCTGCTACTCCTCGCCTACCCCCCTTCTTACGGAGGACCTCCGTAGCTTGATATCACATCTCAGACCGTGGCGTGGCGTGGCGTGGTGCACGTGCGACAGACCGTCACAGACGTTGCAATGACAAGCGAGAAGTTATATCCAACAAGAACCGTTCAGTTGCTGCATAATAAATAATCACTGGCTGTAACTCAGTCGCACCAATGAATGAGGTGGTGATTGATGATGAGGGAGGCCAGGTAGCTTTATAACCATCCATGGCTTCGTACTTATGCCTCTTTTAGGGATTGACACAGATTCGGATGCTTCCGAGTTCTTCTTCGGTCAGCATTCGGATTTGTTCGGCATTCTAGACCTCAATCGTGATTATGTCATCCGGAGGTCAGCTCATGACGCAAAGGAGTCGGGAATCGTTGCAGAAAATCATACGAGTTGAAGCATTTCCGAGGTTTTTTGCAAATCTCAATCTCGACTGCTTACTTATCTAGTAGTTGTTCATTCAGATATAACTTCAGGACCCCCACACCGCGTTGCTCTTGATTCTTGCATCTCCAAGACATTGACGACATTGATCGACCGCATTGGCGTCATCGGAATATAAGACATAAAAACAGCGACACCACCATCCTCTCAACCAAACACCAGAAGCTCTAGATTGCATAAACCTAGTTGATCTAGGCGCCTACAAAACACAGTTCCAACATGAAGATCCTCACCAAAGAAGAAGAAGAAGCCCATTACAATGCCACCTTAAAAGGTGGTATTACGGGCGGCCTCATCGGTATAGCAGTCGTATGTCAACCACGCTCAATTAGCTCCAGCAATGCCAATTAATACAACTACTAACAACATTTCCTCCAGGGCGGATCAGCAGTCTTCGCAGCACACAAACGCTTTCCCACCTTCCGCTCCCTCACCCTGCCCCTAAAAACCTTCCTCGTAACCTCCTCCGGTACCTTTGCCGCAATAATCCAAGCCGACCGCTCGTCTCGCAGCTATGAATTCGCCCGCGACCCGCAACGGCAATACCGCGACGAAGCCTCTATGGAACTCGACGCTATTCGCGACAAGGAGACCTCGTTCCAGCGCTTCAAGGAATGGGGTCGCGAGCACCGTTATCCCATCGTGACAGTGTCTTGGGTGGCGAGTATGGCTATTGCGCTGGGTATCGTGGGCCGGAGTCCTTATTTGACGGGCGCGCAGAAGTTGGTGCAGGCTAGGGTTTATGCGCAGGGGCTTACGCTCGCGGTCTTGATTGCGACGGCGGCGTTTGAGGTCGGCGATGCGAATAAGGGCAAGGGGAGATGGGAGACGGTCAAGGTGCTGGATCCTAATGACCCAGAGCATAAGCATATTATCGAGAAGAGGATCCATCATGAGGCTTATCAAGGGGAGGACTTGTGGCGTGGTACGTCTATTCCTACTTTTACCCAGGCTATGATGTATGCTGACTTTTGTGAAAAGATATGGTAGCTACTGAAGAGCGCAAAATGGCCGCACAAAAGAAGGCCAAGGAGGAACAATTAAAGTCTCCAGGAACACAAACGCACCCCAACGAAGCAGCGACCAAAAGCAAAATCGTCAGCGAAAGCAAGAGCGCAGGCAAAGTGGACTTCAAGGAAGCTGCAGAAAGAGAGAGGAAGAACCAATAAAGGCAGGATGAGAAGGAGGAAAATGCGGGCAAGAGTGCCAACGCTAGGGTTTTAAGGTATCTGACAGGAATGGGTCTCAAGCAGAGTAGGTGTAGAGAATAGAAGTGAGGAGTGTAAATACACGGGGTATAAGCACGGCATGTGGATTCTGATACACGATGGGCTAGACAAATCATCTCCTATTCTTGTATGTATAAAAGTCATGAACATTGAAGCGTAATGATAGAAATGCTAAGAACTGCACTTTTAACTTATAATGTGGAAACTGAAAGAACCCGAATTTGCGAGCAATAGAGTTGACTATAGTGATTAGGAAGATTTTGAGACGAGCCGGATGATGCATAAACTTTATGATGCTATTCTAGTTGCTGAGAATAGGCAGCTGGTGGTACTTGTGAGATTTGGGTATAAAACAAATTTAGGTGTTAGATAAATCTTTGGTATCAGGTAGAATTTGAGTATCGGGGTGAGACTTGGGTATCCGGGTAGAACTTTGGTAATAATGATGAAGGGAAACAAGAAAAGTCAATTCCAGGTTTGCAAATCAAAGGTAATGAAGGAGTGCAGGACAGACCTATTCTGTACTATACTACTATCTCCCATTTGTATATATACAGTACACCAATTCATAAATAGTCATAAATCATCAAACATATACAAAGCTCAAACGCGTATAGAACCAGCCTCTGTATCTTCCTTAATCCTAAGACCCCCATTCTCAGACATCGATACTGAAATGACTGATCTGGCTATAATACGCATGCACAGCCAATTCAAGGACCTGCACATCCGCGAAGACTTCACTTCCATCAAAACCCCCTACTACCACAAGCCTACTATCATGAAGCACGGCTCCATGATAGCCTCTAGGTTTAGGAGCTATCCCATATATCTTCCTCTTATCCCAGACCATAGTCACGAGATTGAGAAGCAACACTTCGTTCGAGTATTCCACTCCATCATGGCCGCCTATCACAAACAGATAACTCCCCACAATCGTAGCAGTGTGAGAAAGCCGCGGGTACGACAGGGGGATACGGACCGGCGAAAATGCCTTCGTTTCCACATCAAAAACCCAAACATCACGGAAACATTCCCCGCCATCCGACCCCCCAAAGATAATCAACTTGCTGCCTACCATATTCGACGTATGATAACCTCTCGCTTTTGGTTTGTTTTCATCCTCTGAAGAAACAGACGAGGGCGCTGAGATGAGCTTCCAAGACATCTTATTTGTATCCGCAACATCCAGCCTCCACACATCGTTCAGCGCCCTGACTCCATCCCCACCACCAAAAATGTAGATACCATTTCTGTACAAACAAGCGGTATGCGCCCTTCTCTTACTAGGCTGCCTATCACCCCCTATTATCGGCTTCGTCCACCGAAAGTTCACCGTATCTAGCACGTACACATCATTGTAATACACAGGCCCGTCACCGCCGCCGAAAACAATGAGTTTCTTGCCAACGGCAGTGCAGGTCATAGCGCGGAGAGGCACGGGGATATCGCCACAGACATGGGGCGAGGAGAAGTAGAATGCGTCGGCGTCAACTACGTATAGTTCGTTGAAGCAGCTACGGGAATCGCAGCCACCGAATATATAGATATTGGAGCCGATCAAGGTAGACGTGTGGGCTCTGAGAGAGGTATGAGATGCCCCTGATACTGGGGCCCGCGACCAGTACATGCCACTGGCGGGCGCTGGTTCCACATCTGGGGCCGTCTTAGGGTCGGGAAGAGGTGGGAAGGGGACATGTGGGCCACGGGGAGGACGTTGAGCTGGAGTTGTATTTCGTGAGATAGTAACGGGGGATGGATTCCCTTCTTTATTTGGTTTCGAGGCTATCGCTGATGTAGATCGTATGTTCAGAGGTCTTCGAGGATCTGGGGTACCTGGGGCAGAAGCTGGAGTGCTCGAGACTGGAGGGGAGAGAGGATTATCTGGCTTTGGTGTGGTTGCAGAACGAGTGGGGGGATGTTTCGAAGAGGATCTTGGAGATTCTGAATGCTGGTCTTTCTGGGACAGTGATTGCGAGCGCTGACGCAAGGCTAATTCTGAAGCCTTCTTCTTCTTATCCTGACTTTTCGTGGACAAATGTCCTGGCGTATGACTTCGTGTAGGAGGAATATGCTCTCGTGGAAGTTCGGAATCCTCGGGGATATCTGGGGGTCTCGTATCCGTAGGAGAGAGCTGAATAATCTTCTGGGAGCGGACTTGCTTGCCAGTCTTGATACTGTGACGGTTGGACCTGTCTGACCTCTGTGAATCAGCCATTGTATATGTGCTTGATGCTCCTTAAGCTGTATATCCTTTGCATTGTCTGTTGAAGATATTCGAGGTTGACGGGACCTAAGATGAGGAAGAGGTTGTGGCTGACTCTGAGATCGTAAAGTGTCGCAAGAAGATTTGATTGTCAACTTCCTTGCCCCTGCAAAGTTAGTTTCAAACGATCTGCAGCGTTCGCATCTACATACGGTATCATTGGTGATGTTTCCATTTAATAGTTCTGAATACTTTCCGCAACATTCCTCTTTCAAGGGATTAGATACTTCGTATATGATGGAATGCGACTGGAGGCCGCCAAGGAGCTACTGTAGAGAGGAGTGAGGATGGAGTTTCGCGGTACAAAGCCACACACTCGTCAGCGTACCTACAGAGTATAGGTTGCTGAGACGCTAAGATACGCGATAAGGCGGGAGACAAAAATCGAGGGGAAAAGCTCCATGGAATTTAGAGATCAGCATCGGCTCTCAATAACATCTTGAACAACTCCTCTCGAGGGAAACAAACCTCTCACCATGACTGAGGAAACTCGCAATCCACTTGCGCCGGAGCAGCCGCTCAAGAGACCATTGGAAGGACAGCAATTGGAAGAAGCACATCCACCACAGCCAATCTTCCCCGAAGACTCAGCAGTCACGAAAGCTGAGAAGATTGAAAGAAATGGCGTCAATGCCAATACTGTTGAGGCTGCTGAAGCCCCAATTACCTCGGAGGTCTCAGGACCGCCATCAAAACGAATCAAGGTCGACGAACAGAACGTGGAAGCTCCTAAAGTGGATGCAAGAGACAAGGTAAAAGGAATAGCTTTGGTGAAACCCGAGTGAGTCAGCCTTTTCTAATTGAGATTATTCTCCACAGGCATAAATAGATTTTCTAATATTTGGTTTATTTAGATATCTTATCGACACCTACAAAAGAACCACAGATGATTCAGGACCCCGCGATGACGATGCTGCAGAAGGACGAGGAACAGATTCGAGAGATTCGAGAGACAATGGTGGAGGCAGAGACGGCAAAAAGAAAAAGAAAGAAAAGGGTCAGAACAAGAAGCGCGAATTCGGATCTTGGTTTGACAAAATCCGATTGTGCAACACTCTAGCCACCAGTTCTGAATTCTCACCAAAACCCTGCAAATTTGGAGAAAAGTGCAATTGCAGTCATGATCTACGGGAGTACTTGAAGGATGGTAAGAGGGAAGATCTTGCGACGTTTGGGGGTAAGTGCCCCGTATGGGAAGCAAACGGCAGATGTCACGCAGGTTGGAAATGTCGATTTGTTGCAAGCCATTCCGAAGAAGTTGTGAGAGAAGATGGTCGTAAGGAGTTGGTCCTCATCGAGAAGGACGGGGTGACGGCAGAAGATGATGATGATAATGAGAATCGAAAAGGTATCGTCAATGTCGTGGGAACAGAAGCAAAACTCCAGCTTGCCAAACGAAAAACAAAGACGGATAAAGCAGATGCATACTTGGAATGGATGGAAAAGGATGCAAGAATTATGGAGAAGATTCATCAGGCGAAGAGGGCCGAGTCCGAAACCCAGAGACAGGAAGCTCGCGCTGAATTCGTGGATCCTCCTTTTCTGCCTTCCGAGAAGCGAAGGATATACTACGGTCCAGAGACTCCAGTTCTCGCTCCTCTTACCACACAAGGCAACCTGCCCTTCAGAAGGATGTGCGTCGAATTTGGAGCACAACTTACTTACTCTGAGATGGCCATGTCGCTGCCCATAATTCAAGGTCAGAAGGGTGAGTGGGCTTTGATGAAAGCTCACGAGAGTGAGATCTCTCCACCAAGATATTCTCCTACATCGATTGTTCAAGACTATGATAATTCGAAGGACCTAAAATTCGGAGCACAGATATCAGCCAGCAAGCCATGGCAAGCTGTGAAGACAACAGAGATTCTCTCGCGGTTGGTACCACACCTTCGGGTCATTGATTTAAATTGCGGATGCCCCATTGATCTTGTATTTCAACAAGGGGCTGGTTCAGCTCTACTGGATGCTCCATCAAAATTGGAAAAGATGATTCGAGGTATGAATATGGTTTCCGGAGATATTCCCATCTCTGCCAAAATTCGGATGGGCACTATGGATAGTAAGCCAACGGCTCAAAAGACGATCGAACGTCTGGCATTCGGTGGTCACGAATCCGATCGACTCGGTGCGCCAGGTTGTGCGGCAATTACACTTCATGGAAGAAGCAGGCAGCAGCGATACACAAAGAATGCGGATTGGAGTTATATTGCCGAATGTGCTGCGCTCGTCAAGTCATACAACAACAAGAAAGACGAGCTGACAGACACAGTCATGGAGCCAGATGCTCGCACTTTACCCAACGCCCCAGATGGAAGGATGTACTTCATTGGCAACGGGGACTGCTACTCACATGTTCAATATCTTGATGATATCCAGAATGGAGGAGTGGATTCTGTGATGGTAGCAAGAGGGGCTCTCATCAAGCCATGGATTTTCGAGGAGATCGAAAAAGGACAGTACCTTGATAAGTCTGCTTCGGAGCGTCTTGGATATGTTGAAAAGTTCGTTCGCCATGGTTTGGAAGCTTGGGGATCAGATGAAGTGGGGGTTGGACAAACTCGACGATTCTTGCTTGAGTGGCTAAGTTTTGCTCACCGCTATGTCCCAGTAGGCATTCTAGATCATCTCCCACCAAGTCTACAAGATAGACCACCTGCGTACAGGGGTCGAAGCGACTTGGAGACGTTATTAGCTAGTGAGAACTACTTGGACTGGGTCAAAATTAGGTAAGAATATCCACGCAGACCTGGGGTAAATACGTGCTAACTCGTACGCAGTGAAATGTTCCTTGGTCCCGCCCATAAGGATTTTCGATTCCAGCCAAAGCATAAGTCCAACAGCTATGATATTGAGGCAGAGGGATGATTTCTCCTAGTATTCGAGTGCACGAGCAAAGATTTTCATGATTGCATAGCGAAAGGTTTTGGCTTTAGAAAGCACATGTCGCATAGATGTGGGCTTGGCTAAGCGAGTGCTTCTCTTCATTACGGGATTTGCATAATGGATGATGAAAGATGGTCGCGAATACATGGAATAGATAGTATAGAAGCTCAACTTGAGCAAAATATTAAAGGATTGCGTCGAGTCCTCGTGCAGAAGGAGCTATCGAGCTGCCTTTTGACCTAATTCCAGTTACATTTTTGTCTTCCATATTCGTGTCACAAGTACTTGCACTTCTAAATCATCAAATTCACATAAAAAGAACCATGAGGGACCAAGTACAGTTTTGCTCTACTTCCCCCCTGCCTTCTCCGGAATCTCGCTACCCCTTTCCGGGAGAATTCACGTGCCAGATATGTCACGTGCAAATTTCTTTACAATCCGCGCTAAAATTCCAAGGTTCTACACAGCTATTCGTCTTGGATGACGTTGCGAGAGCTGTCGGGAAAACACACACACGACCCTCCAGGCACCCTCTCCTCTTCGTCCTTCTCTTGTTTACAACCTGAATACAGAACATCATCTTGCACTTTGAATATTGTAAGTCTTCCTCGTCTTCCGCAGGTCGCCTCTACAATTACATCAATCGCCAACAAATATAAACACACCACCACCATCAAGCTGGTGGTACCTAGCCTGGCGAAAACATCAACTAATTGTTTCTGCATAGGACACATTTCAACAATATCCCCTACTCAATAACACAAACCTATTACGCCCGTCAAGATGACGCTCTACTACAGTCTCGTAAGTCGATATTGCGAACCCCTCGGGTCGTCGTCACTCTGATGGCGGGGGCTTCGCGGATTGCCTCAAGCATGGTGGGACAAGAACACTACTAATCACTCCCACCACAGGTCTTTCTGCTCCTCGTGGCCGAGATGGCACTGTTCATGCTTCTGATCGTGCCCCTCCCATTCACGATCCGCCGCAAGATGTTTACTTTCATGTCCGTTGCCCTTTCCCCCTCGATTAGCACCCGCTTACTGTTCCCCACAGCTCCGAAAGTCCTCTAATCGCGAAATTACAATACGGGATGAAGATAACCTTTATCTTCATCCTGATCCTCTTCATTGACAGCGTCAATCGCGTCTACAGAGTTCAAGTCGAGCTCGCCGAGTCCAACAAGCAGCAAGGAGGGTATGTATTCCCCCGGCCTCGTAAACACCCCGCACTAACAAATCAGCAGAGCTGCTGTGCTCGGCCACGAACGCATGGAAGTGCAAGCGCGAAAGTTCTATTCCCAACGTAACATGTACCTCTGCGGCTTCACCCTCTTCCTCTCTCTGATCCTCAACCGCACCTACACCATGATTCTCGACGTACTCCGCTTGGAAGAGAAGGTCAAGAAGTACGAAGGTGACCCCAAGGCTAGCGGCAAGGCCAGCGAAAAGCTCGCTAATGCTGGTGATGCCGGTGAGATTGGCCGCTTGAGGAAGGAGTTGAAGGACAAGGATCGTGATTTGGAGACCCTGAAGAAGCAGAGTGAGGGATTGAGCAGGGAGTATGGTGATTTGAGTGACAAGTATGGGGCTACGCAGGTTGATGCCACTCCTAAGAAGGACAAATGAAGCATTGCGTGAGCAAAGTATACGTGGTGGGGGAATTGGGTACAGGGGTTGTAGGTGGAGGTATGATGAGAGATTGTAGTGCATGATGAGGGCTTTGCAGGCTACTTACGGCGTATCTGCAGTAGCTTGGAGAAAAAGTAGCTTTTTGGAGTTCGGCAGACACGTCGTTTTGTATTCATAGCAGAAAATGTAGCAGAAAATGGATGGATTTCCTTGCCGGTCCGCTGTAGTTTTCACGGCCTTTAAGCCGGCATGTATGGTCCTAGGATTGGATTTTGCTGTCCTGTTGCCATTAATTATACAGCATAGATGGAAGACACAGTCTCCCGATTTGATGGTGTGCATCTCTGCCGAAAAGCTTGCTTGCATGCTGCTGTGTATGTGTATGTATTCTAGACAGTACCCACGAGCTCAGCCACAGCGACTATTCCGCTTCATTGAACGACACGTGAACATTCTCTTCATAGAAGCATAAGAATGAAAGAAATCCCCTATACAAAGTACCTTGACGACACTTGTATTATGAGGGGCAACTAAAACGGCATTAAAAACAGGTAGGAATAACAGTAGACGTAGGGTTTGGTAGTCATCGCGGTATGGCATGATCAGATATCACCTAGATGAAAAATATACAAAAGTCTAGCTTCAGATGCGACCACAACGTGCTTTCGCAAAGTGGAAAGCCTCCGGATCTGCCTTCAAGTCGATACCTCGCATATATTGTTTCGGCCGTGAATTTTGTTCGTCGAGTCGTTTGAAACCCCTTAATGTTTGACCTGAGCTACCGTAGTAAATGGCCCAGTCGCACCAGACGCTCTACCTAACAGCCTATCTGCCCTCTCAGTTCGGCTGTTGATGGGTCGTGGTGGTAGAGGCGGTTCTCGGCTTGCTTCGGTCTGTAGGAGTCGAATGTGGACGATAGAGTGTACAGCCAGAAGCCTCATTGTTATACCGGCAATTGCAGCACGCCCTATTGAACTCTCCAGCAAGGACAATACAGCGTTGGAAGGGACCCTTGGGCCTTTTGGCCTTCGCGCAGCTTGCACACGTTTCATCGGCTTCCTCCCCCCGCGTATATGCCAATGCTGGCTCCAGATTAAACCGTCCCAGATTGTTCAGCGTCCTCCCATCCCGCAATTCCAGCTCCCGTACCTCTTTCATGTTATATATGCGCCTCGCAACACTCGAAGTAGTGTCCGGAAGCTTCGTCAATTCCTCATAATTCCGCGGACTGGCCGTTTGGGGCTGTGTCAATTTCTCATAAGTTCGAGGCTTGGCGGTATGGAGCTTTGGATGCAGAGTTTGTTGCTGAGACTCAGTCAATATTGCTGAGAAGTCTCGGTGGGGTGTACCAGTGCTTGAGAAGCTAGAGTCACGGTGTTTCTTCACCGAGCGTGCGGAACCTGACACATCTGTATTGGTAGCGAGATCTTCAGAAATACGTTCTGGTGGTCCTTTCCTGATGTTAGCTTCAGTATACCTCTGGAAGAAGAGGGAGGTGGGGTTTACGAGCTCTCTTCCTCTTCTTCGGTGGCTTCAGTTTCAAATCCGAAAACGCTGGGATAGACAAGCTACCACTATCCGTGACCATATGTTTATGTACCCGTACTCGATTCTCATTTCTCTGGCGGGAATGATCATCGCTCCTCTGAACCCTACGCTCGGCTTCCAACTCTGAAGAGTCTGGCTCTGGCTCTTGGGGCTCAGATGCTGTGCTCTCTGAGAGAGATTCTTGAGCCTCGGCTTCTATGATGGCAGCGATCCTTTGGGCGATCAATTCGTCCAAAGAGGGGAAGATCATGATTGCATTGCCATAAAGGCGGGATGTGGATGCAGGATTTTACATCATCTGTGGTGTGGTGTGGTCAAGATAACAAAAGCAATCTGTGAACATTCATTGTAAGCGGGCAGACGCGGTTGGAAACGCGACTAGGATATGCATCACGGGAACTAGCATCTTGATATGAGGGGCAAACAAGAAACCATTAGATTAGAGTCAGTTTGAAATATATTAGAGACGGGATTTTCATCAGCAGGCCTTTAAAAAGGTTTGGTAACTTTTGTCTTTCCCGTAACACCTAGTATCCGCCATAGTGCTGGTTATTCGGTTACTCGGAGCAGTTTCATCTTCTCACATCTGCTCTAGGTCTCACAAAGTCAAAATAATTCATGATCAATGTCTTGCTTTATGCATTTTATTCTCGTTGACCGACTCAAAGAGCAAAGGCTAGAAAACAACCCTTTATGCTGTGCAAAACCAATTCATCCCATCCCAACCACTGTACTCCCTGAACCGCTTAGTAGAAGGTTGATGGTCGCTTTCCGACGAAGATCTTGGTGCCAGATGCCTTGGATACACGGTGAGGAAGAGGGAACTTGAGGTCTTTGGTGAGGAGTTGCTTGATGTATGGGCGCTTAACGTCATCGCTCTTCTCGAGCTCGACAACCTTGAGGATCTGTTGAGATTGTCAGGAAGTTGTCCTCTGCAAGTATATATTCATGGTTAAACATACGTGAACTGAACGGAAACGGGAACGATGTCTAGCAGCCATGTCTTGGTAGAGAGCCTCAACAGCATCGGTTCTTGACATCTCACGGTACTCCTTGTACATGTTGTGGGTGCCGGAGCGGGAGTCGTATCGGATCCAGATACCGAAGTTCTTGACCTTCATTGGGCGCTTCTCGTGGATCTAATATGCAATTAGCACAGTACTGCTACTCGACTCAATCAAAACTACGCACCACGTTCAAGCTGACGATCTCTCCGTTCGCCTTCTTGACCTTTCTCAACTTCATCAAAAAGTACCAGAAACGGGACTTGGCGACAACGGTGTTTGGCGCAAAGATTCTCATTCGGTACAGCTTGGGCGCTGGGTTTGCCTCGGAGGGCAGATGGCGGCCAATGACCTGGTATTCTGTAAGACGACCTAATGGGAAGCTGTTAGCCCTCGTCCTTTATAACATTAGATCATCCGGTCGTGGTCCTGGCAGATAATCCTCAAATATTTATATTGGAGATCATGCAGCAAATGTCTCGACCGCTTTTCTAATCGTCGTCTCCTATGGTTTCCAAATGCTGGCTGGAGAACACTTTGCGGTGTTCGGCGTGAAAGATATTCGAGGTGGAATAGACTCGCTCAGTCCTTTGCAATCGCAGTCGCTTTCAACCCTCAAAATCCTTTACAATTCCGCATACAGTATCCTGATTCCATTGCAGGTAATGCTAATGCCCTATAGCCTCTGTTTGTCGTCCTGGATTATCGTGGGAAATTTCGATGCCGAGAATTCGAGTTCGCAATTCCGCGTCGTCACCGCCATGGAGGGAAAGAAAATCTGTAGCTTACCCATCTTCGGAGTGTCAGCAAACAATTACAAGTTGTCAAGATGTCGGGATACTAACTTTGAAGTACTGGCCGTGGTGGTTGTCGATGTCGTGGTGTGTCGCAAATCAACGGAAATTTCCTGAAAATCAATCGACGGCAAAGAAAGTGCGGGCTCGCTTGTGAGTCACGTGTTACAGCGCTAATTCCAATTCAGAGCCTCCTTCACTTTGGCGATGTAAACAGAAGCGGCATTACAAGTAATAGCACAAGTCAACGAGAAAATTCGGATCGTGCACTACTAATTGTTCATTTGGTTCATATCTGTTTTGCTTCACATTCGAGACATTGTGAGAGGGGGCTACTTTCCGCTCAGAATGCTACACAACCACCACCCCTGATCTTTACCTCCGGCTTCTGGAATCAGACCCATCGAGACAGGCACCACAAAACTTGAGACTTGCGAGATTGATGCAACTACAACCCAGCTAGACTCCTACAACATGAATCCGATTTTTGATGATTTCAGAGAAGCGTACGAGAATGGGGATGGATATCTTCTTTCACAAACGCTCTCTCCCATCCCCCCTTCTTCACAACCTCAGAGGGTATATAACTTCTTCCGAAGTACAAATTTTGCTGCGGCGCAGAAAGATCTGAAACAGCAGATTTTACCCTTCAAGCTTGACCCAGATGAAAGCAAGGGTTGGATTGAAATTTATCACGCATATTGGAAGGCTGTGGGCGAAGTCTTGAACGCAGAAAATGCTCAGAAGGGAAATACAAAGGTACTCATCAGTTATTTCCATCTTACTTGTTTTAATCTCCGATGAAAAGGAAGAGAAGTATATATATGTCACGTGATGTCTAAACTTCCCTTGATATCTGACGCCCGAACTGCTCCAGAATTCAAGCTAACTGAATCATAGGCAGCGTGGAGCAAAGTATATGATGCTTGGAAAGAGGTGTTAAACGCCCTAATTCGGGGCTACACCAACTGTGGATTTGAGGCCTGGACGGTGCCTTGTCTGTACGTGGTCGGCAAGTATCTGAGGATATTTGCTATCAAAGCAGATGAGGGAAGTGGAAATAGCATCGGTGCAGTCACCAGTTTCCAAGACGACTTCAATCCCGAGGCGGAGAAAAACGAAAAGCTTGAAGATGCTGCAAGACAACTCAATCGAATATTCCAGATATGCCTTGCTGATAGGTTCGTGGCACTTTAAAAGCTTCCTTCAATCTGGCATGTATTGATAGATTATAGGGCCGAAATTGGAGAATCAAGAAAGTGGGGCATTTACAACATCATCAATTTGTTATTCAAGACCTATTTCAAACTCAACTCAATCAGCTTGTCGAAAAACATCCTCAAGGCAATCCAGGCTTATCGAGGCGATATGCCAACTCTTGACAAATTCCCTGTGGGCCACCAGGTGACTTTCAAATATTATATCGGAGTCATTTATTTCCTGGATGAGAATTACGCGGAGGTGGGCCTATCCAAATCCCATTACCGCATTTGTGCTAAACCCTCAGTCCGAGAAGAACCTGACAGAAGCCTGGCAATTATGCCATAAGGACGCAATCCGCAATAAAGAGTAAGCAAGCATGTCTCATCTCGAGTCATACATCACACGTACTGATACGCAAGATAGACTCATCTTGACCTACCTTATTCCATGCCACCTCCTCACCACCCACACCCTCCCCACGCTCGCTCTACTGTCGCCCTATCCACGACTACAGAAGCTTTTCCTCCCCCTATCACGGTGCATCAAGAAAGGCGACCTCGCAGGCTTCGATGCCGCGCTCGTAGCTGGCGAAGACGAGTTTGTCAAACGACGCATCTACCTAACGCTCGAGCGAGGCCGCGACATTGCCTTGCGCAATCTCCTCCGCAAAGTCTTCATCGCAGGCGGTTTCGAAGAGACCAAGGACGCCGCTACACCTCCTGTACGGAGGACGAGAATTCCCGTTGCTGAATTTGGCGCTGCTATTAGTATTGGTAGCAAGGAGACGATGGATAATGATGAGGTGGAGTGTTTATTAGCGAATATGATTTACAAGGTGCGATGCCTTTCTTTTCCCTTCTCTTTGACCTAGTTGCCTTGCGAGACGAGGCAACCCCTTATCATACCCCACCCCAAAAAATCCCACATCCCCATTTGTCGGAATAATTCGGGTGCGGCCTACGTCCTTTATTGATGAGTCAATAATAAATGCTAATGGTGTGGTGTGCTATCTAGAATTTGATGAAGGGTTACATTGCGCGGGAGCGTGGTATCGTGGTACTGAGCAAAGGCGGAGCATTTCCTGGAACTGGAGTCTGAACAATGAACATGCACCTCCACCTCGTCTCCTTTTCTTCACTTGTTCACTTGTTCATCCGTTGCCCGGGTGAAACGGCCCCTTTTAGCGTTGTGTCAACCCCCCTACAACAATACCTTGCTCTGCAAGCGACAGAAATAGGGGCTGAGACTCATGCGCAGCATCGAGTCACAACACCCCGTAGCAGTACTGCACCTCTCACAAACTCGCATCAATAAACCAGTATCTACAGTACCGGTTAGCTCCAACAATCTCTCTATTTTCTATTTCCAGCCAGTCCTTCTTTAAAACAGCGCCCCCCACCCCTCCCCCTATCTATGTGCCGTGACTCACTCACTAGACAAGACAAGGGTTTCTCCGGTCCGGGGAACCCCAAGCAGCCCAGCCATTGACAAATCACAAGCACGTCTTTTTTTTTTCCTTTCCAGGCAGACTGGAACTGGGCTGGGTTGGGCTGGGAGGGTGGAAGCTAATGCATGCGCTTTAGCTGATAAGAATGCACTGCGTCTTTTTTATACTCATATCCCTTGAGCTATATCTGATATATGTGATGGTTGTGTCTGTGCGAAAGTTTGAGTTATGCAAAGTCGCATGCTTTATTTGTGCAGAGTTTCGGATGGATTTCATTACGGTGATGTGATAGATGTGTGATATAATCTGAGGTGAAATGGTAAGAATGGAATATCTATTCATTTCTGCTTCCTTCTACTTCCCTGTATCCTCATTAAAATATCCAACATGAAAACCACCTGCCTCCATGTCATCCAGAAATACAAGATTGTACAAGTGTCATCGTCATCCCTTCTCGCACGCAATTTTCATCTCGACTGTTCTTTGACAGGAGGAACATAGTAATAATATATGGTGGTTTTGGTTCGCTGCCAACAGACAGTAACAAGAAAACAGACAAACCACTGGAATAGCATAGCATAGGTAGCCATGTGTGGTTAAGAAGAGTAGTTTTACAAATTCCCATGCCATCGAAAGAGTTCTCAGCCGTAACTCCTGTTCCGTTGAACGCCTGGTATCAATCAAATTCATGTTGTATGAGAAGGAAGGAAAAGAAGGAAATATGCAAAGCCGCATCGCCGAATTTGTGTCGTGAAGGAGGGCGAGAAGTGAAGGTAAAGTAGGGTGGGAGGTCATAAGATCAGAGGCATTCAGTGATGAGTCCGTACGCTGCGTGGTGATCCTCTATTATTGATCTCGTTAGCCTTGTTTTCACCTCGTAACAGAGAGAGTGTGTGTGAGTGTGTGTGAAATAGGCAGGAAGACTTACGCAATGCTTGCAACATCATCCACATGGTTGCACAACGCAACGAACAAGTCGAAGAATAGCTGACTACCGCCGTTGTGCATTTCCAGCTGCATAGTCCCGCTACGCTTAAACGTTCCTCTGCTGCGGATGATGAGGGCGAGGTAGTGTGCTCGGAGTTTGGAGTCGGTGTCGGGTGTGTTCGCATAGGCATATCTGGCAGTCGAGAGAATTGTGCTGCATTGGATTCCGGACTCTGTATGTAGAATATATGTTAGAATTGTAAAGTCATTAAATGGGACGAAAAACATACGCAGGCCCTGTTTTCTCAACGCAACACGCTTCAACTCCTCCAAGCCGTATTTCTCCGCTGTGCAATAAATCACAGTATCCTTTAACAGCTCCCCATCAACACCGTGATGATAGACTGTGCTCTCCACGCTTCCCGTCCCTCCCTCACCACTCTCCAACTCCCACGAGTTCCTCCGCTTATTATGGACCAGCCGCGGATAATAATCACCTTTGTAGAGGTATTCGAGGACGGAGGAGAAGATTTCGGGCTCTTCGTCTGGTAGGGAGATTCGCTTGCTCGATGCTTCCATGAACTGGCCTCTGCAGGCAGCCTGAAAGAAAGGTGACATGCAGAGAACGTCTTCATGTGCAGCAAATAGTCGTTGTTCTCGCCCGACGACGAGTGTGATTATCGAGGAGGTTAAAGTGCTGCAAGGAAGATTGTCAGCGACCGTAAAATATATCGTAAACCAGGAGAGAATGGAATAGCATACCTTCCCATGGGAGGAGCTTCCTCGGCCGGAGCTCTGCGTATCGAGCGATCATGTCGGTTTTTTGACACTGCATTGTCTCTGAATGACGAGGACTTCTTCGAGTCCCTTTTGCGTCGTGAAAAACTCTCAGTCTGTGATTTATTGACGTTCCGACCGAACATCCTGAGTCGTTTTGGGGGTCGTGGTTAGAGAGTGTCGACAACGAAATCGGGATCTCTATCAAATGTCGTTTAAGATGATGAATTATGTCGATTTGGCGGCGTTCCGATATTTCAGGATGGATGAAGAAGGAGAAGAGGCTCTCAGGGTGGGAGATGGCCAATATTTATACTGGTTGCCAGGAAAGCCAAGGTTGCCTAGGTAGTGTAGGCACAGAACGCGGTAGGCATCGGGGAGACGCGCCGCATAAAAAAGCACTGTACGCGAACCACTCACGTTTGCAGGTGACTGGGAGTCATGTGCCATTGTTGGCTGGATGTATTGCCGTTGCAGGGAGACGATCCTAGTCCTCCGGGATAGTGCAGAGGAAAAGCGACCAAAGCGGCCACCGAGGGAAGGATGGTGAGACGAGCTTGCAGGGGAATGCGAGATGTGATTGATATGAGGTGGCACAGGAATAAAGTGAAAACGCTTTACAAGAGAGAGAGAGAGAGAGAGA